TATTAAGTTATTAGCGTAGTTAGTTAATTAACTAGAGTACTAGCGAGTTAGCCGACCTTAGCGTAAACCTTAAACCTTAAATTTTTTTAAAAATTAAAAATACGCTAAATTTACTAATATATCTATATATAAAAATTACTTAATTAGGAAATATAATAGTAGCTATAAGTTCTCATAGAATATAGAATAAGCGCTGAGTAGCCCTAGGTTCTCATAGAATATAGAATAAGCGCTGAGTAGCCCTGGGCTCCCTGGGCTCCCATAGCAAATTGAGTTGCGCTGGGCTACGGTCCAAAACACCGATGTATAGGACCTATCTAACAAGGACGTTAAGCTAAAGAAAAGAGAGAAAGAAGTCCTGCCGCTATCTAATAGGGAGATATAATCTCCTAGGGTGGGTCGCTCGGTATCCTAGGTAACTATTAGCGTCACGTAATATCGTCCGGCTGTATAACTGTACGGTCGAATCTAGGCATCGCTGGTTTAGTCTTAGCGTCGCTTACCAAGACATCCATTGATATTACGTGACATCGTTCGGCTGTACAACTGTACGGTCGAATCTAGACGTCGCTGGTTCTTACTAAGACACTCATGGGTTCAACCCATCACAGATATCGATAAATAAACCGTAATATCTAATTATGACCGATGCTTAATGACTCTATAGAATCGCCTCGAATAATAATAACGAGATCTCGTATTTAAGTAAAGCTAGGAGGGTATCCTTATGCCTCAAGGTTAAGTATCTACCCTATAAGTATTTACTCTTGCTTATTTAATAGTAGTTGCTGTGGTTCACGAGCTATTGCTCGTGAAAGGCCACCTCGTAGTCGACGGCCTAGAGTTATATAGTTGACGTCATTTACCGCCGCAGCAGCGCGAATACTAGTATATCGACGAGTTTGGTAGTCGGATATCGCTTGGAGCATTCTTATCTCTCGATTTGAGGCTATTTTATCGTACAAATAGGTGGATTGGTAGAGTAGTTGGATATGGAAGAGAAGGAGCAGTACTGGGACGCGCCAAAAAACGCGTGTCACATTACACGGGTGTCTCATTACATGGGTGGCCGACTTAGCGGCCGACATGACTGATCAAAGGAGGGCGGCCCATTGACGGATCACAGGCGAAACTGTCATTCGTCTCTTGCTCTATTTCAGTCAAAGGTCGTACGTCTCAGCTTCTCAACGAATGTCCTCAGATTCTATGTTAGCCATGCATTTCCTAGTATTTGGTGCTACCGGCAAGTCGTCAAAGCCTGCTGTTACGGGTAATCGAAAGCATTGATTAGGTACTGACTATGATCCGCAGGGGCTTGTGGATCGATTTTTATCGAAACTGCGCATAAGGAAGGCCATTCTATTGACCTCCTGGCTCGACCAAGCTCTGTCATTCCGCAGAAACTGCGATTGTGTTGTCGAAAAATAATACAAGGGCGTCTGGATGACCCGGAAATACTTCGCGAAGCAGCAGAATCTGGCGCTGATATCTTTGTCTCTTTTGCCGGTCCACATCATGGGCAGAAAGGAACGGTAAAGCTCTTCTTTCTTTCTTGCCTATGAGCCACTAATCCTTTCGAACAATATCACAGCCAATCACAGACTTCTATCGCCAATTTTTGCCTCTCCTAGGGACGCAGCACAGCAAGCGCGTCCTCATTCTCAGCACGCCCTCCTTCACGGCTCCCGAGGATAGACCATCCTGGAAATGGAACATAGGTTCGATTTTCATGAAGATTTTCAGCGGCGAACAGTATGAAGAGATGGTTCAGGCTGGAGTCTTTATTACGTCCTTGTCGTTACAAGATGTCAAGTGGGTACTGTACCGAGTGGGTCGGCTTACAGATGGCGCCGCACAACCAGTTGTAACAACCTTTTTGGGTAGTGGGAGGGATAACATGTCCATTAGTAGATCAAGTGTAGCCAGATGGGTTCTGACGGAAAGCCAACAAGCGAACTGGACGGGCAAGGCTCCTTACATTTGCAATTGATACACCAAATTATGAGCGCAACCGGAAGCGAAGTGATTGCCAGCTAGTCATCAAGGGTCTCGCTGGTGCGCGATGACGCATATCCGGCGTGATATACAACAGAGATTGTTGAATCAATTGCTAGAGCGAATCTATGAAATTAAGCTGGTGGCAGAGACAAGAAGCCGCAAGCGAGATGTGCTGAAGGCTGGCAATGTTTAGCACTGGGGGTCACATTGGCGCCAAGACTCTGCTAGCGCGTACTAACCCAAACAGCGTAACGTAATAACGAGTGGATCCTGAAATTCGCTAGTAGTCAATATTCTCAATGAGCACTCACCACCAGGTCCAATACATTAGACTGTGAGGCATCTGGAAATGCCTCATACCTGGAAAAGGGCTTCATAGAGATTATTTACCTAGAGAATGTCTATATAGACTATAACAGTCACGGTAGAAAAGCAAGGGACAGAAATCCTAATCATCATCTTTGTCGACTCGCGTGGTTGCCAAGTTGTATCCGACAGCTCACCAGGGCTTGAATGTACCAAAGGGTATAGAAATCATCTCTAATTTTCTCTATTTTTTGCTGTCTGTTCTATTTTCTATGTATAATGAGTGATGATATGGTCCGGAGTGGTCTATGAAGCATTATTTAGAGCCCACTTGAACCCCTTCCCTGAGTGAAATACCTTTGTAGGGCTGAAATTTAGTGCATATTCCAAGACCGCTGTGTCATAAGATTGCTAGAGTGGAGTATTTATCGTAGTAGCGTAGTGCGGCGAATCATTGACTTCTAGGCTTCGAAGATGACGAAGCTGGTCACGTGGTACTACTAGCCCAATATGGTTAACGCAGCACTGTCCGGGGTCCAAAACACTTCTTGCGAATCCGTGACGTTGACTTTGTCACATAAAAACAGTTTTACTTAATACAGTTCTCGTGATGAGTACACTGCGCAAGGCGTCTTCTTACAAAACTCATCCACCTATTCGAACATGCGTTCAATGTCGACAGAGAAAGAAGAAATGTGATAAAATTCGGCCTGTTTGTGGCCGATGTGTAAGGTATGCGTACCTAATTAACTGCTACGGATCATATTCTGAAATAACATAGGGGTAAACTGCCCTGCGATTGGGCTCGAGGAGCCAGATTTACAGATGATGAGAGCAGTGCTCCACTTAGAAGTATCCTACAGCGCCTTGACAACCTCGAGGACCGTGTTTTTGCGGACGAGGATTCCCCAGTGTCTGGTACAACCCCTACTGAGGCTCAACCCCAAGCGAAGTCTAGGGAAACATCTCCATTTCGGCGTGATAAAAGTGTGACCAAGAGCCGTCTAGCTGCTTTTCCTTCTAAACATTCTACAATGCAGCTCGGATGTGAGCCTCAAACCGAATCTCCATGGCCTTTATCAATGGGATTTCTTGACCCTTCATATTCTCAGTTCCTTCTTGGAATTACCCTTATGCGATTTCTGGAGGATGGCAGAACAAGTGCCGCTCAGGTAGCGCACAAATACCTCGCAACGGTCAATCAGTGGATGCCAGTGTTACCGGAAGTAAGAATTTCGATTGCTGTTGGAGAAGTCACCCGCTTGGATCCCTCACGAGACGCCTGTCTCCTCATAATGGCCATGTATCTTGTCATCTTATGTGTAACAAGTCATGATAAGAGTATTGCGAGTGCCGCAGACAGGACGTACATGGCTTGTAAATATCATTTTTATCAAAGTTGTTCTCAGGACAGCCTTTCGCTATACACCGTACAGGCAGGAGTCTTACTCGGGCTCTCCGAGCTTCTTCGATGCATGCCCCAGAAGAGTGCCATCACTACGGGCATTCTGGCTTCAATACTTGAAAATTCTGCAACACTCCAGCACCAAAAATTACCATCATCATGCAAGGATCACAGAATTGCGTTTCGGGCCTTGGCAGTTTTACTGCGGTACGTTGTTTGACATTCATGCAAGTGTGAGGGATTCATAATTGACCGATCAACAGATCCACACACGCGTATTCTTTCGTGACGAGCGGGAGGTTGCCACTTCAGGAGACGTTACATATTCAGCAACAAGCCCAGGTTTTTTGGCCCTCGGCGGCACCAGGCTCAACGAATGATAAGTCATCTATGTCGATCCAGTACGGAGAAACCGGTGAGATATTTGAGGCCGAGTTCCAAGCCAGCAATCAACTCGGACAGGTCCTGGACCTGGTGCGCGCAGTGCAAGCATCAATAGTATCCGTATCGGCTCTAGGACCAAGGACGGAGAAGGAAGTATTCGGCCTTCAACGGAGCTTACTCGTTTTGCTGGACAACGGTCCCTGGAATGGGGCACTTGCGATGCTCTCAGGTAATCCCCTGGCATATATCATGCCCTATGCCTGAAGCTAATTATTTTGTATCCAGTGCTTCTCTAATATTGTACTCGTCATGTCTAGAGCATGCTCGAAAAATAAACGATCTTAGTGAGGAACTTTTTCACATATCGAAGCTGCAAGAGCTTTTGCAGAGCACCGAAAGAGTTGCATCGCGAATCCTAAATGCATTCGAGGGTGAAGGTATAACATCCGAGAGTTTGTCACCGTACTGGAGCATCTTGTGTTATCAAGTGATCACGGCATGGGAGCTGGTCAGGAGTACCAATACTGACACAACCACCTACTTGTCATCACTAAAACTTCTAAAATCAATGGGGCCCGATATATACTTAGCTAATCACTTGCTTCAGTCGCTGTCACAACCAAGGAGCTGCGATGACTAAACCCCCTAATGGCGAACGGCAATCCACTTCAGGCCACATGAATCTAGCAGTGGTCGAAATCATCCAAGGGAGTTCATGTCCTTGGCTCCAGCTCGATCAAATAAAATCCTTCAGGCGCTCAGGCCTCTCTTCATGCGAAGCGGCCTGATCATTACGGATGTTTTGGCTCGTTCTAGACTGTTTGCTATGCTAACAGTACAGCCATTTGATGCCATGCCGACCACGCAGCCTGGGCTACCGTAAGTTGCACTCATGATTCGTATTCAGCGACTTGAGCTCCTGCCTAAGATTGCCGGACCCTGCCATCATACTCATGCAGCAGTTGTGGAAAAGCCTCCTCTCAAGGCTTTCCTACATAGCCTGCGTTCCGTAGCTTGGCCATATAGAGATGCCATCACCGTTGTCATGCCGTACTCTTTGTCGGGTGTACGCTCCTACAGCCCACAGTTTGTCGACCCTGTCAAAGAGCGAAGAAGAAGGTTAATGGGAACTATTCGTACTTTGAGATAGGGACCTTCCCACTAGCCTGGCAACTACGAAGGTCGAATTCCTTCTGATAATTCTCAACCCAAAATCTGTCACCCGACAAGAATAGCATAACAGGTGGTTGTCGCCGTCAACTGAATCTTGCCTCACATCAAGACAAGGCTGGACTACTGTACGATATCCTCCGTTTCGATTAGCAGACCGATAACAACTCCAAAATCGGTGGCGGGGTTTGTGACATTCACTCGCGTTTATGCGCAGTGCTCAAACAAGTTCGGCGAACGGGAGATCGATACACAGTTTTGAAAATATCAACACTATTCTCTTTCTTGTTGCTCCTTCAGAGTATTATCAGCTTCTATTTGATTGTGAAACAATTAGACGTATGGAAGACGCTCTTTACCTCTCCAACAATATCTGCCACCCTCACTGGTTCATCAAGACCAGTATTTTGTTCTTAAATAAGATCAACTTCCTTTAGGAGAGACTGGCTATCAGTCCTATATAAGATTAATTCTCTAACTATGAAGGTAATATGAAATGGCCGCGATGACTTGCTCACCCAGTTGACTGTGACTCAAGAAGCGCAGACTATCCAGCGGCCTGCCACTACTTCCTCGATAGATCCATGTTACAGAATCAGAGGTGGAGGCTTTAGCGGATTGTTCAGGTTCATTTGATGCTGTAGCTCCTGCACAAGCGGTCATGATGATGGTGCAGCCATAAGAGTACACTTATATAGGGAAGTGTAAGTCAAATTACTCCACCCAATCCCAAACCATGCAAAGTGGATGATGTTTGAATCTCCTGCATTTTTCAAGCATGCTATCCCAATGGAATGGACAGTAATCTTACCGCAATCCAGCCCTGGCTGTTGGTGTCACCGTGTGGAGTACTCTCTACTTGCTTCGGCCAAAGGATAGCACTAGTTTTAATCGCTACGCGCCTGTGTACCATAGTGCAGGATGCCTTGCTGTTTTCAACTGCCCAGAATATGCTTTGGCATGTCATTGCGCCGCTGAATGTGGAGATCAGTTTTCTGCGTCCAGTATAAACCCATTTAATTCGGCAAATTGGCAAGCTTGCCAGAATTGCGGTCACACGCAGTCGCTACCAAGCCATGCGCACTGGTCCTGATGTTCAAAGATCTACAGTCGAACGCAGGTTGTGCCAGAACTTACCTCGAGAAGAATCTGCCATCCATGGAAGGGAAAGCACATGTTGCCCAGATACGCCTCGCTCTATCTAACTGATCTAGGAACTTCCGCGTTAACAAATGACGAGCGTACTTCCATGCCTCCTTCAGTCTCAACCCGCACCCGCCTCTGCGTGGGGACTTACATTCTCACTGAACTCGAGTCGTAATATACAGGTTTGGCGAGATCTACAAGCAATTACTAGTAAGCTCGATCAGGCTTCTGACCCAATTCCAAGCTCGAACGACTCCACCAAAGCGCTTCTAGCTAGACCTTGGTCCGCATGGAAACTCCTAAGCTACCACCTGATGTGGGTCTCTCAAGTGCCCTGAGCTTACCAGAATCACAACAACAGCCCGATCTTCGCGTCTGAGAGTTAGACAAATAGCCTACCCCAGAATTCCAAGGCATTATCTCTAACGAAGTCTCCGGCGCTTTTTCTGGGCTGTGATCCCAGATACTACGTAATCCTACAGAGGTGACATGCTACTATTGCGGAGAAGAAAGTGCTCCATACGATAGGAAGCAAGATGTGGCCACTACTGTCCAGCCAGCGTGACACTGGCATATCTTCCCACAGCTTAGCTACGGGCTAGCAATAATTCAGGCCTGCCAACGCGTCCGAAGATTAGTAAGAATCCAGCCTATCTTAAGCACTAAATTTGTAGTGGTGACTTTGGAGAAGATGGTTCTGCTGTCGGCTCGTCGGCTTTTGACTTGGATCGCCAGAGTGAGATTGGGACAGGAGCGAAGTAGCAGCCTGCTGGTATTGTCAACGCCATTGGTAGCCACTAAGTGTATTTTGCGGGACAGCAGAACATCCTTAGTGGATCTCCAAGAACAAATGTGAGGAGGATACGTCAAATGTTACAAGATGTTGATACGTAATTTTAGGTGATACACCAACAATCCGCTCCAAAGGAAGACGACGGAGGGGATAAGCAACATCTCTTGCGATTGCCACCCAACTGCCACTTTCAAGACGAAACTGTACGAGTTGGGCATCACAGAGAGATAATCGAGCGCCATAATTACAACATTGCAGCTCTCGAGGAAGAGGGGTAATCGAAGTTGAAGGGTGGACCTAATATTCCAACATACGCAAACGCCTCATAGGTCCAACGACAGCAGCTTCAGCCTGATTCGGAGTATTCGCTTTTGAGATATTGCGGCGAAGCAAAATCAGAAATTACGCTTATGAAACTCCTGGCGGAGAATGTTGGAAACCATATGGGCAGTTCAACGCAGTAGTCGAAAGTGAGGTAGGTACCAACAACCGCAACGACGGATGGTCAGTTGAAGTGATATCTATACTGCATCCTGCTTTCGAAGTCCTCCCTCTCAGCGTTGATTGATGACTCTGTAATAGCAAGAACGGTTCGCTGCTCACGTAATCTGGCGTTTTATGGCTGCCACCATCAAAACCAGACGAACGGTTGAAGGTCAAAAAATTGTCTCACTGATCGAGGGAACCCTTGATAGATTGCTGTTGATCAGTAGAGCACGTGGTGAGGCTCTAGCCGAACGGGCCAATAAAGGGGACCGGATGTTGTTTACAACAGTCAAGCTTCTGAAGCTCCAGATGACGGTTGAACGTGTTTTACATACGGATTCAATCAAATGGGGAACTTCCCGATGGGATTACATTCAGGGTCGCGTACCTAGGCATTCGTCCGTCGTAAGGAGATTCTGGTTGTAACTTGCGACGACTCTTCGCTTCAGAGACCTGTAGACTGCCCTTGTTCTGTTAAAGGGGGAATGCAAGATATTGGCAGCTAAAACCTGAAGGTGCAGCGCCAGATTTTGAACTTCCCGTACTTCCGGGTGGAGTACCTCGCTTACTGGTAACATCCCAAACTCCAGGTTTCGCTTCGGCGAAGTACGCCGTATCGAGCTCGCTAGAAAAAGGGGCCCTTCGTTCCTAATTATATGGTGACCCTCCAGATGAGGTATAAGCAATGAAAGGACTTGCTACCCAGCCGTGCATCTAGCTTATTTCCAAAGGGTGCTTTAGCTGGATATACTTGGTGATCTGCTATTAACATCACGGCCTTTCAGCAGAAGAAACGATAAGCTGTCTCAAAGCGGTAGGTTTCTGTACGACTGGTATCGCTAAGGACCAGGAACAAGGAAAATCCCTTTGCTCCGGGCCCCGGGGTTCACGCATTAAGCCAGACCAGAATTGCGGGCAACACGGGTTGGCAGGGGTTTTCGTTTCCTCCACATCTTGTCAGCAGTTCACAAAGTGGATCTGGAGGACAACCTCGTGTCTGGCTGAAAGGCGATTGATTTTCTTCGGCTCGCTTGGCACGCTTGAAGTTTTACAACTCGAAAGCAAATCGACATATGACTGAATTCTTATCATTCCAACATGCTTCAGTCAATGTTCCATGAGATACTGTATAGGCAGGATGTTGACTCTTGCTGTATGGAATGCCTTGCCGTTGACAGCTTGGGAAACACTGGCCAAACCCAATCTCTTTGGTGCTTGTCCGATTCTCAGTCAGAAATCTTTAGGTGAAGATTCCTGGCCGTGTCTCGAGGCGAAGCCTCAGCAAGAGAGTGCTTTGTCATTCTTCCTGAGGCATTCCTTCCAGGCCACGTGCAGCCTGGTTCCCCGTTAGTTCGACCACACTAAAGGAGTTTCCACATGCCCGTCAGAGTCATGGGTCATGGGTATTCCCGCCGTCTGAGCCATGATGCTGGGTGCCACGGGCCAGCAAAAGCGCCACATGCGCGCTATGATGTTCAGGCACGGCCTTGTTGATGCCAACCGTTCTGGACCATTCGAAATACTTTGTGCAAGCCACGCCAGTAGATTGAAGAATATCGAGCCATCACTCTAGTCGGCGCCACAAGCTTCTGCCAATGTCGCGCCAGTCCCAGGAACCCGATACGATGCTAGTCCATGCGCATAATGTGTTCGCCTAGGTGGACAGAAGGATGATCGTCCAAATATGGAGACATCCTTATGCCCATTTCCTCCAAATGCGAGCACTATTTGCAATGCTGGGCTTGGTTTTGGTACGTCTAGGGACTTCTCACAGCGCCTACCTTGCTTCAAGGTGCACGCTCGTATTCTGGCGGAGAACTTTGTGCATGGATTTCCACGGCATCCTCTTTCTCCAGGGAATCAAGTGGGCGGCCCCTGAGTATTGCTGGGAGGCCTAATTCATCTTGGTATCAATCGACATTCTTTTCGCCACAGCGTACGAATCAAAGAGACAAACTCAAATGCCCTCGAATCTGTGACCCTCTCCCGGAAGGACTGGACCGACTCCCGTCAGGCTGGCCCATAAATACTGCACTTTGGCCAGCTTCTACAGCCTTGGTAAGGTAGGGTTTCAACAGGGAGTCAGGGAGTATCCCCTCAACACTTATCGATATTGGACATCCGCATGCCTCGTCCCGAATTCTTCATTCCTTACTAATATTGTTGCGTCTTTTGCCGTTTAGATCATATACCATTTGTTCTTTCTCTACCGCATCGTGCTACAAGCTCAGCATCATTTCTTATGCACCATGGGCTCTCTCTTTTTGTCGTCAAACTATACCCCAGAGGCCGTTTCTCCTACTGATATTCGCGTGGCCAGTCTAGCGTGGGGATTCACACTGGGATTCAGCTTCCTGACCTCGGTGAAGGCTGGGCGGCAGACTGCTACGATCTGGCGTCGAGCCCATCGGGTCACGACATATGTCGCGCTCATATGGGGAGAGATGCTAGTTTCGACTATCTTCGGGTTCATATGCTGGTTTTACATAGACCACTTCTTCAATCCTAGGTTTGCTGGGACCGAACTGTGGAACCACCAATCGCTAATGCGTTTTCAGTTTCGCTTTCTTTTTCTCAATCCGTACGTTACTTTCTGGTCTTCAAGCAATACAATGGTTAGTTCTGAGCTAACTTCGGTCCTGCTTCGCAGTAACGTTATGGGCATTACAAGTAAGAATCCTCTCCCATCGCCAATCTCGAGTACCAGTACTGATATTCGGTGACTCACCAGGTACAGTTTCTTCTTCAGATCATTATAAACCGGATCAACCTCCTGATTACCAATAAACGAAAAGTCGCGTATATCAAATGGGGCACTGCAGGATTGATTACTGCCATCAACATCTCAGTTTATTGCATTTGGATTCCTGCTCGCCTGCAGGTCAGTGAGCGATATATTCACATTAACGAAGTCTGGGACCGTTGCGAGAAGGGGATTTACTTGATCGTCGATGCCGCGTTGAATATGTATTTCCTGTATCTTGTGAAGAACAAATTGATGGCACGTGGCATGTCCAAGTACAAGCCATTGTTCAGATTCAACGCCGCCATTGTTATTGTCTCATTGAGCATGGATGTAAGTCGACTGCCACCTGTCCTTTAGCGTACACCATGAGACGAGCTGACCCAATTCAGGTTCTTATCATTGCCATGATGAGCATGAAGAACACTTTCGTGTACGTCGATCATGAAAACTGATATTTATTGGTGTTTATCCTGACTGTTCCTTTTCTAGTTATATGCAGTTTCACCCCATCGCCTATGTAAGTTCTGTTCAGTAGTTCCTGCCGCTGTCCACGATGTCTATCTTTTGGTCAATGTTCTTTGGATCCCCTTGGTTTGCAGCAGAACATCACACTTGAGGGATTCGCACTGCATCATCTCGTTGGCCCCCCTCAGTGCCTAGGGCTGAGTTGTTGATACAAATCCCCTCCAGGATAATAAAGCTGACTTTGCTGGGCTCTAGATCGTCAAACTTAATATCGAAATGAGCATGGCTGAGCTCATCACGAAAGTCGCTCAGGCGCCCAATCATGCGGGACCAGGCAGCAGTAGCGGGCCACACACATCCAGCGCCGATCCCAACTCGACTGGAGTCAGCAGGTCTTGGTATCACAAAGGCGGAAAGGACGACAAGCGGCACTCCAGCCGAGGGCGAAATGCCCAGGATGGTGCGATAGACACCATTACGGTGACGACAGACCGCCGAATGGATGGCGTTACAAGTCCAGACCCAGTCAAGAACTACTCAGCCTGGATCTCGGTCGGCGACCACGCCGCTCGCGACGTCGAATCTCAACGTCGATACCAACGCAGTCACGCGCATTTTGAGGATGAGGAAGACGAACTCGATGACGGCCAAAGAGAAACTCATGAGATGGGTTTTATTGACTTCGTCAAGGGCGGCGGACGAAGGGTGGACGAAAATGTCATTGTCAAAGCCATGGAGACGATAGTCACGACCAAGGGTGTCGATGGCAGTGGAAGTGTCACCCCTTCCACCAACACTGCCATGGGTGATGTCAGTCGCGGTACGAGTGAGACCGGGTCCACCAACGAATTGAAGCCATCAAGATGAAATGAAGCTCAAGCTTGTGGGTTGCTTGACCTTGGCGGCCCGGTGATTTGAAGCATCGAGGGATTATGTTTGATGTTCCGTCGAGCGGCAAAGCCTGTTTTCACAACTACGCAAAAGGTGTAAAATGTACCGGGATTTCTTTTTGTTACCAGGGGAAGTAATAAGCATTGTGAAAAGATACCATTGCAGCAGATCATTTTCAGCCCGACAGATCCTCTGCTTCGACAGCTATCTACGGGTACTGGTACAACAAAATACGGACAGATACAGAATTCTAGGGTAGGGTTGCCAGCTTCTACAGTATTGATACAACCAAGATGTAAATAATAGACCGATAGATTAGTCCACTAACACACAGTACAACCTGCATTTGCATTGGGCACTGGAGGGGCCTAGATCATGTCGCACTTGAGAAATAATACCCACAGCATCGAGGACTGATATGCGTTCAATGCAGGGATTCCAGTCAGCATCTTGCTATACAGGACGACGGGGCGGAGCCTAAAAACCCCGTTCCAAATGCCAATCTCACAGCCTTAGTCTGAGATTGCGGATTAGAATCCCCCAAAGTATTGGAGGTATGATGAAATCAATCGTCCTCGCTGCCTTCGTCTCCATCGTCCTCTGTCGACCCTCTCCCTGAAAAGAAGTCTAGAACATTCTCCACACGCCACAGCAATAGTTCCAAATAGCCAAGCGAATTGTCAAACTAGGGATTGCTCCAATCGCCGCTGCGATGGTAATGTCTTCTCCTCATAGTCCTAGCAACTTCTATCCATGGTGATCAAGACATTTGCACCAAGGGTTATTTGTTTCGGCGACGGGCCGCGCTATCGTTCCGAGCCAGTGAGGGAGGTGCTGAGCACGGTGCTGCCGTCTCAGTGTCCGTCTCGATTGCATCGAGCATCATCAGCCTCGGCCGATGTGGGTCGAAACGATGTGGCAACGCGTATCGACCAGTCCCCGGAGATCGAGAATATCGCTGCTGCTGAGTATTGGAGTGATCTGTGGGATTATTGATTGTGATTATGTCTGTTGTTAGTCTGGTATATCTTGGACCAGGTGCTGTGTATAAGCGGTGGTTTGCTTGTTGTGATTCTTTTCAATTTCCTTTATAGATAGGCACACGTGTCGAAATCTTGGAAGCACTGCGAATGACTGAATCATGAATTCGGGAATGGGAAGAAAAGAGAGCATTGAAGACATATGCAATCGGGATTGAACCATGCATTCGCCGTCTCTCCATGCTATATCCGGCATCATCTCGAGATGCGCGTGCGACCCTGACTGGCCATAGCCAAAAAAAAAATCCACCTCTCCATTAGTACACCATAAATCAATGTTCTATGCAACTCCTTACGCCAAAGCTCTCGTTGGAAGAACACAACCGCAATGAGCATCCATCCGTCAGTTAAGATGAATCGTCAAACCCCGCTGCCAAATCTTGAAGGAGGAATATGCATGCATGCAAAACCATGGCATCATTACTCGCATGAAAGTGCCGTCCAAATTTCATATGCCATCATCGTCCGCCTTTTCAACCACAACCATTTACGCCGCAACAATGCAAATTCTTAAACCGAACAGGAAGCCGAAAATCATGACCGCGCCAGGGCATCTAATCTCTTCATAATCTCATTGACTTCGTTGATCAAACCCTTTCTGAGCGCTCGGGCATCCCCATTTCCTTCCAAATCAATCGCATCCGCCTTGAGTGTAATATGTTGCATGACGCTTTCGCTCAATCTACGATGCTCTTTGGCCCTTGTTGCAGCATCTGAGGGAGGAGAGTTGATGAACTTTTTACATAGAGGTAGCCACTGCATATGGAACGTATTGGATAATGCTTGCAATTTGCCAAGAGGGCTATGAGGATCGGCTGGAGGAAAAATAGGTGTTTGAGGTGGCGCTGGCGCTGGCGGTGATGTGGGTGCCGGGCGCGGAGATGTTCCTCTTGTGCGTGAAGGTTCTCGGCGATAGTATCGTTCGTCAAGTTCAGGCTGAAAAGTTGAGCGAGATTGTCGCTCCGAAGTTATGGGAGACGGGGCATGGTCATTTGGACTGAGAAATGCCGAATCTGCGGCGGGTCGGTAATCACTCTGTCGTGGGAGTTGCTCATCGCTTCGATGTCGAACAGACGAAAGGGCGCGGGGCCGTCGGCGGACGTTGCTGACTGATGATTCTGTATCTTCTCCACTGGATGAATGGCTATCCCTGTCGCTGTAGTCCAGCATACTCTCTGTTTTGATGGCGGCAACTTCGCTATTTTGCTTCATATTGTATTTCCTCAGGGGCCATTTGTCGTGTTTCAGGTCGCGCTTCTTATACACCAGCCTGACTCTTCTTGGATCGGTTTGCAGATAGTTCGCAACCGATTGTCGTAGCTGACCAACATATGCAGTTTCTTCGCTGATTGAGTAAGGGGGAAATTCGACGGGGATGATGGAGGCCATATATCGAATCAGGATAACATCAGGCGCTTCGGGGTCTTCCAGATTGGAGTGAAGTCTGGCTACCGAGGGGCGATGTGGATCTTGCAAGATGCCTTGGTCAGCATCGATGTATTCAAAGTGGCCAGACAGGTTGCGCGGGTACGAATCGACGATGTTACTGGTATAAGGCGACCCCCCACCTCTGCCACCATGGGCGACATAGCCATAGGCACTCATGAGGGAGCGGCAGAGAAGGAAGAGAAGCGAGAGGAGAAGAGCGGCAACAGTAGTATAGGAAGCGGTTGAGTAAGTGGTTAATGCTGAATGGATGTTGCTGTGGAATTGAGCAGGGACGAGCGGCAGGATTTGTTCACTGAGGCTGTGAAGATGGTATTGGATCGAGGATGACCAAGTCTGCAGACTTGGGGAAGCCACGGTGAAGGGAGTTGACCAGAAGAGGTGAGGCGGTGGGCAGAGTTCAATGTCTGTCGGATTGATTGTGTCTCTTTGTGGTGCGAGGAAGAAGACGAGGAAGGTGGTTGAAGGAGCAATGCAGAGAAAAAAAGTTGCCAGGAAATAGAGGATCCGCGTCGATGTAGTTGGTGGAGTAAAGATGGGTGGATCGACGGCCAGCAGGACCAGTTAGTCGTGGTAGAGCTGGAGAGGGCGAGTCAGGCTGTTAAGGCTGGGCTCGGTAGGAAGGCGGTGGAGAAAAGAAGGGTGGATGGATGATGGATGAGCGGTATAGATAGGCGGAATGTCAGAGAAGTGCACAGTTGATGGTAGTTTGAAGGATGGATGACTGGACAGATGGGTGGGAATTGGTGATGCGGCGAGACGCTGAATTCCGAACAGGAGACCGTTTTACTCCCAGACTCGGCAAATCCGGGCGTAGAAGGTTGAGCCTTGACTGCTTGGGGGCGGGCCCCGACTCTGGCACGAGGCACGAGGTACACCAGGCGAGAATGACGCAGGTCGAGGAAGTGATTGGAAGTAATCGGGTTGGTAGGCGAGGGTTGTGAAGTTTTATCGTTGAAAGGGCACCGTGCCACTTGCCCATCTGAATTGTCAACAATAATGAATGTGAGTGAGAGGCTTTGAGTCTGCGATACTGCATGAAACCTCAGGCATCAGCGGTAGAATTCCTTTCTGTTTAGCGACAGCGTTTCAGCGTTCCAGGCATCTGTTTGGGCGGCTGAACTGGGCCAGGATCATTAATTCTTGTGGCCAGCGCAGCTGCGCCCGGTCGGAAGGAAAATCTTTTTGCCGGTGGCACGGAAGAACCCCGCTGTTAGCGGCGAGGTTGGTACGAGATACGCCGTAGGGAGGAGTGACGAATGCATTATTTATTGAGCCGGCGGTTCCAGACAGCACCAAGTGCTGAGGAAGGCATGTACGAGGATGTACCTGGTACCGAGTTGACCCTGAGCACGGAGTACCTTACATAATGACAGCAGGACAACTACAGCAAGCAGAATAGTACGTCCTCTGCCTAGGATGTGTGTGACAGATAGGACGTGACAGACATTGTCTGTCATTTATATTGGCGCCAAGAAGTCCGTCATTTATTCTAAAATCACAGCGTTTTGTCACTGACAGGTCCTACTTAAGTGTAGCCATGTGATGCATGAAGATATCTATACTCCGTATTACTCGTAAAGTGCTTTACTAGTAGATTTTAATACAGAATAACCTACGTAGCGCTAGCCTCTAGCATCTAGCGCTATATTAAGCCTGTAAAAGTGGCTAGTGTCATGACGTTCGTGAAAATGCTCTGTCCGTCATTTGTTGCCATTTGACTGTCATTCTACTAAAGTGACGGACAAACTCGAATCCCCAACTCTGGCAATCCTCCGTACAATAGTAAATAATATGCCTCGCATGACTGGAAAATGCCGCTTCTTTGTTGCGCTCTTTTCTCAGCCACCGCTGGCCAGCTTTGGTCAGCGGCCGCCCACTCATCCAACATCAGTCACCCACCACCGACTCACCCACCCACACCCTTAGCCGTGCGAGGTCTGACGCCCACGCTGAGGTAATTGTAGGATGGCGAGAAACGAGATTTCAACAGGACTCTCCTCACCATATGGCGTTCATTTCTTTCCGCTCATCTATCTTGATTTCCATCCTGTCAACGTGGCCGAACACTCCCTCCTCTCGTCCTCGTCCTCGTCCCCAGCCTCAGCCTCTGCGGTGATGTGATTGCGACTTCGTTGCACATCACCGCACATGCTGTGATCGCTGGTGTCTTCTACTGAGATCATCATGCCACAATGATCCTCGTCTCGCCTATTAGGCCATCGTCTGACCTGACACAGCATTAGTTCCCCGGATTCTACCTGCAGCCCCTCAATGCAGCCCTTTTCTCCTCTTTCTCTTCTCTCGCTTTCTCTCTTCTCTCTTCGCTCTTCGCTCTCCTCTCCCAACTGAACATGTGGCACGCACACTCCTACTTTCTTACATGGGGTTTCTGCTGATTGAACACTGGCCCCAGTCGTTCCCTTTGCCCTTCTTCGTCGGGGTTTGTTTAATTCCCCTCTTTCTACATGCCAGTCTTCCCTTGCCGGGAATGTAACCCTGCCACTAGACTCATCCCCATTTCTCGTTACTTCTTGATTCTTCCCGTCTTGTCTTGCTCGTCCTGTAGCCCGATCTCCCCCTGGTCAGCTGGTATGTCCATTTTGGAGTCAGCATTCCATCGTCTCCCTTCCAGCTACATCGTCCTGGGTACGCTGGCAACTATTCCCCACGATTTTCGAACTCAACCCCGGTCTAAGGGATCCCCTGGTACGAGGCAGTGATCCGCTTTCTGATCAGCTTGGGGAAAGATTTGGGAATTATCCGTAGAATGATGCTGAAATGCATCCGCACTGCTTTTGATTTGGTTAACATCCCACTCTCTCCCCACGTCCAGTCACGAGTTCCTTGACCTTAGGCCCCGGGTACCTGATTCTGGAACCGGTTTGACCGGGTTCTCGTGGGATGTCTGCGTCTTGGTGTGGGCTACCCAGTCTTATTTTGTCGCCTCGAATTTCGATCAAAACATTCAGTTTTGTGCCTACCTAGGTACACAGACTTCCATCATTGTTTACTATGTGCTCAAAAACAGAAAGGCTTCCTCTGGCATGCTCAATTCATTCATGCTGCTAGCCTACGCCGCCCTGCTGTATAGGCTATGCGGAACAGGCGAGAGATTCTATCTTGAGAAAACCAACCCCGCCAAGCCGCCCGATGCGCAATGCACCCCTCTGCGCTTTACGAGAAAAAGTAGAGAGTGTCCAAATGACCTCACGCATGGCCTGGTGTCTTCGGACTGCTGCTGGTGCTTAGAAAACCCTCATTGCCCTGCGTGCGTCACCCAGCTTCACTCTACCACTGCACAAATAAGAGGCCCCCATACTCTGATAATGTGACCCGTTTCATCCTCCGTCACCATGCAATGCAGCTTCGTGCTGGCTTTTTGGCCCAACTTCCGCCAGATGCTTGACCAAACTGGGACGGTAGGTCATCCGATACGTTCCTTCTTCTCATCTCTCCTGTGATTGCTCCTCCATCAGGCAACGTGAGGCCACATGCTTCCATCCCTTCGAGGAAATATCCTCCCTTCAGCCCTTCTCGCTCTCTTCCACGCCATTCAATCTGACCGATGACCGGTACTCCTCCTTGCACTATTTCCAGCGCCCTTTCAGAAGTACTTCATATCGTTCCTTTTTCCTGTCCACGCCAGACTTGATCGTCCTTCAACTCCTTCTTGTACTTTGTACTTCGTACTTCGTCGCTTTGCTGTTCTCATCTGCCGCCATGGAAGTATACACCCCTGACAACATCAGCGACCTTCATTTGACTCCCTTCTCTCGCTCTTCCCCCTCCTCCTTCCACTATTTACCCACCTACCTGCTTGTCCTTGGTGTTATAACCTTCCTTTGCCATGGCCTCAATTGGTGTGTCAAGGACTACCAGGCTTTCAAGGCTCTGGGCCGAGGCGGTACCCCCTACAATGTTTACGGTTGGTTGTCTGTCACTTTTCTGCTCAAGCCGTTCACCCTAGCCGAGCGTGATACTGTGTGGACAGGAGACTATCCGGATGGTGCTCACAAGGATATCCAAGGCTTACCTGATCGCCAAGGACAGAGACCTGACATCCGTGGCATTGCTCCCCAGAGACAATTCAGCCAATGTCCAACCCAAGAAATGAACAAGGTGAGTCAAGCCAGGGCATCGTCTTGGTTTGGTCTACGTGCCACCCACAGTCATGCTAACCTGGATTAGCGTGTCCTCTCTTTGTTCACTTCGGTGGTTCACAAAAATCCTAATATCCTTCAACAAAAGGTGTCCAGTTTTGAGAAACATCACCTTGCATTGTTTGTCCATCCTTCCATTCTTGCCAATTCAAGCAAAGTCTCGGAAGTGGTGATTGCGTCTAGAGGGGAGTTGGGTCACATTCATGGCGACACTTCACTCCATCTCTACCTGTCGCCACAGGATGCCAAAGTGGTGATTGAGAAAAGATGGGCTCAGCGCCACCGACTAGCAAGGACTCAACCATGGTGGCTTGGCGGCAAGAAGTTCATCTGTGGCATCGGGGACACGTTTCTGTTGATCTACGCTCCACGAGACGAAACTGAGCTCGACATCTTGCGCACGTTGATTAGAGCGAGTGCAAGATTTATGACAGGCGTGGAGGATATTGTATCGCCATGAGAAAGAATACGTTGATGTGTACCATCCAGATGGCCAGTTGAGTGTTTTGCAGATGGAGATTTGTCGATCGAGATGCCCCAAGAATTACTCTTGTTTGAAGGACAAATGAAGGTTATCACTTGATGTTTTAAGCGGCTCTGTTAATACGCGGCATTGATCACCAGGCTGAGTGTCCATATCATTAACCTGTCATACCCATGACCTAAGGCATTGTCACAAAATGCAAACTTTTGTACGAGGACAAGGTATTCGGTCCCTTTGGTACATTTTGCTGCTTTGTATGGCTGGCCAATATCAGTGCCAAGATAAATTATAGCGGCATGAAGCATATATCACGTGTGTCCGCGGCTAGCCGATCTGGCCCGGCGTGTTGAGCGATCTTGCTGTGTCGGAGAAGTCGTCGATTCACCGATTCTCATCTCATTTCGTACATGTCATTCCCTGCGTTCATCTAACCTCCCTCCCGCCTCACCACCTCCCCGTTTACTTCTAGCATTCCTCGTGAGAGATGGCCGCAACAATTTCAAGGCGTCAATGCCTCAATGGCCAGGTCTGGCAATCACCTTTCAGAATCTTCCTCCCCTCATACACTGCATCCTCAACGGGCTCAAGGACATTTGCCACCACAACCGACGATTTGACTCCTACGAAACCTCGGATTCGACCAACGGCCTTTGCCGACAAGCTCAATACTGGTCCTTCATTCTCAGACTTTGTTTCCGGTTTAGATGCACCGTTGAAGCCCACTGAAGCTTATGCACTGAAGACTGCTCTCGTGGGACCCAGAGGAAAACAGAAGGAGATTACTCGTCTACCGTCTTGGCTCAAGACGCCGATTCCAGATGGTTCGTCCTACAAGAAGATTAAAAATGACCTGCGAGGCCTGAACCTGCACACTGTTTGCGAGGAAGCACGCTGCCCCAACATCTCCGACTGTTGGGGCGGCAGTAGCAAGGCTGCAGCCACAGCAACTATTATGTTGATGGGGGACACCTGTACCAGAGGTTGTCGATTCTGCAGTGTCAAGACATCCAAGGCGCCTCCTCCTCTAGATCCACATGAGCCAGAGCATACAGCTGAAGCATTGTCGCGTTGGGGTCTGGGCTATGTTGTTCTCACCAGTGTGGACCGGGATGATCTTGCGGATGGTGGTGCCCATCACTTCGCCGAAACCGTTCGCAAGATCAAGTCGAAGGCTCCTACAATTCTGGTGGAATGTCTGACCGGTGACTATGCCGGAGACCTTGAAATGGTCAAGCTAGTCGCAACCTCGGGCTTGGATGTTTACGCCCATAATGTCGAAACTGTTGAGGCCTTGACGCCTCAAGTTCGCGATCGTCGAGCTACGTTCCGACAATCACTATCGGTTCTCAAGGCAGCAAAGGAGGCGAAGCCGGGCTTGATCACCAAAACATCGATCATGCTAGGATTGGGCGAAACTGAAGAGCAGCTGTGGCATGCATTGCGAGAACTTCGAAAAGTCAACGTCGATGTGGTCACGTTTGGCCAATATATGCGGCCCACCAAGCGACACATGCCCGTGCATGAGTATGTAACACCTGATGTGTTTGAAACTTGGAGGGTTCGTGCTTTGGAACTAGGATTCTTGTACGTGGCCAGTGGACCACTCGTTCGCAGCAGTTACAAAGCGGGCGAGGCATTCATCGAAAATGTACTCAAGAAGAGACAAGCTGGAAGAGCAGAGACAGCTACGGCAGATCTCGCTGGCGATATTAAGGTCGATGCATCGACGATATAATGAGTATGGCGGTTGAAGAACCTTTTTTGATCCTGTTTGGAGTTGCGGACCACGGATGTATTACTTCGTGATGCTTTGATGTACAGGGATCAACAGAGGCATCGTCCTAGGTCGCCATCCCATTCACTGTGTTTGAGGCCATTGTCAACCAATGACAACCTATAGCTCAGTGGTACCAATACCATTTAACGAAATATAATCATGATGCCATCATCTAAGGAGGCCAGTTTGGACTCGCTAGGTTCTCTCATGCTAAGTAGTCCTCTTCTACATCCATTCCCTCGGTCAACTCCCAAAGCCCCCATTTCGACAAGCTTCCGCTGCCAGAATCCGAATACGAACCATTCATTCGCCGGGTGAGACCAACTCCAGGCGCTAACTAGAGATCCCATCGTGACTCTTCTTTCCAAAAAGGTATCGTTGATTATCCTCTACCATCATCGCAGCAGCGGGGGCATCATCAACCACAGCTCCCACACTCCGGGGCCCTCACATCCTCAACGGTGCCAATTCTTCTCCCCGGCCCGCCACCTCCAAACCCATTCGAACCTCCTGCTCCTCCACCGCCGCCACCACCACCTCTTGGCGCAGCACCCGCAGCAGCGCCACCGCCGGTGCGATTCACACCACCAGCCCACCTGGTACGATCCTGGTATGCATTGGGCCGGCCGCGGGTATTGAACTGGCTGTTCTGCGCCGCCGTATAGGGGTCCAGGCTAAGCAGTGATACGATGTACAGGCCTAGGAAGTTGTAGATGTCGTCGAAGGTGCGTGTGAAGCGTGCGGACAGGGGTGGCCTAAACGAGTTGGGGGGTCAATCGGGTACAGATGGAGGAGTTGTTAAGGGGGATGCAAGCCTTACGTTTCTAGCACGTGCCCCGATGAGGAGATGTATTTTGCTGAACCAGATGAGGATGAGGTGCTGGTGGGTGATTTCTTGTCGGTAGGTCGGGGTCCATCGGCGGGTGCCATGTTGGCCGATCTATTGGAATTGGGGACGTTGGGTCTGGTCGGATATTGGTGGTTTAGAGAACACCTGCTGATGAGGGGTCTTTGCGTATCGTCAGTAGACTGTTTCTTTGCTTTAAAGACAGGTTGCAGGGAGAAGCGATGGCTAGTTACGAGTACAGGTGGTTGTGTAAGTCGGCATAAGTTGAAAGTGTCGGATGAGGATCTCAAGTCGCGGCGTCACTCCCCTCGTGGCTCATGCCAAGGCGGATCGGATTAACGGTCGAAGAGTTTACTGCCTGGAAGAACTTTGTTCCAGTCTCTGGAGCCTGCAGGTGTTTTCAACCTTAGAACTCCCTGCAAAAGAGTCGAATGAGCGTCAGATCCTATTTTTGGCTCGGAAACCCGAAACAGCCCAGCTATGTACGGACGACTGTGAGTCGAGTGACAGTTTAAACGCTCTTGACGAGGGTTAGCGTCTAGCCGGCTCAAGGTAAGTCGCCATAAAGAACGACAAGTTGAGGTCCACGGCTTCAGACACGACAAGCCAATAGAGATGAACAATCCCGATCTCTCGACCAATAGGAATCACCAATCCCGACGCCCAAAGCTCAAAGCTCGTAAAGACGTTAATGATATGGCGGTTCACAGATGGCCTAACACTGAGGAACGGTCGCTTACAAATCGTTGAGGCGCTTTATATTGAAGCAAAAAGGACTTCCATGTTCAAGTCAAGACACGGTTAAAGCTTTGGACACAAATTCAACAAAGAACCACACAAGAACGAACGACATCTACCTTCCTTACCTCCACAATGGCATTGGACAGGGATTCCGCTTCGAAATGGTTGCAAGACGTGAGCATCCTACGCCCAAGAGACACTTGGGTCCGACTAATATGGCTGTGTATCTTTAGTTTCACGCGGGAAGTGCAGCACTGGATGCGGACCGATGGCTTGATGATTTCTTCACAGAAGATATCAGCCTTCAGTATTCCAACAATCCAGTCATCCACGGCACGGATGTCAGGGCGATGTTCAAGATGGTCTTTGCAAAGCTTGATCTTATGACCCATGAGGTCCTCTACTTTGGTATTGCTGCCTGCTTGAGCAATGTGAAGTGGTACCTACGACCCTTTTTCTGACCTTGTCTTTCCAGATGTGGTCGAATCCAAGATCTACCAGGCGGCAACCATCCGATATCTCGTCAAAGGCGACGACCCCAACCGTGATGTGATTGAAATTCCGGGATTTGCCGTGTTTTTTCTGCGGCAGCAGAAGGACGGGGAGAGACCCAAGTTGTTTCGCGCGGAAACTTACCTCAATCCAACTGGGATCTTTGCCAGGATAGCTGAGAAAGGACTTTGAATTAATTGACTCAAGGTCCATTTGCGTTCGGTATTATGTGCGTCAATGTAAGACCAGCCAGGCTGGATGCAAGCCACGTGCGGCGATGGCCACTACCTGGGAGTCCTGCGCCAACGTCCACGGTCAAATCCGTGCTCGTGCTTTCAAAGCACCAGCTTATGGAGGCAAATGGGCTGGACCATGACTAGGCCAGTAGGGCAAGAAAAGCTAAAATTGTTCTGTCTATAGCAAACCCGTTACCATAATTGTCAAGGGGTCGGCCCATCTTGCGACGCCCACCTAGTAAGGCAGCTGTAAGCTGTGGTAGCCGATATAGTGACCAAGCGAAACGTCGAACTAAATCCATTTCGTCTTGCTGAGGAACCGTACGAGTCTCCACCCATATCATCCTTTGAGCTCGCCGACCTTCCGTCTTGGACTTGATACTGCCGATCTTTGGATTCTCATTACTCAACCGCCAAGGCATCGTGCAGAAACCAAGTGGCAGAGAAATGGGGGAATGGAGAAGAGCCATGTTACCTGGCTTGCTGGGCCGAAGCTTAGTTCAAGAAGCACCAGAGCATCTCGAGTATTCTATGTATTGCTTGTTGAGTGGAAAGCCTGGCTGTAAAGCTGCAGGTCTTGGTCTCCACGTGGCCTATTCAAGAATAATGTTGGCGGTCGGTCAGAACCAAACCAGAGTCCCGGGGGGGTACAGAGCACTATTCGTGCAAGGTAAGATGCGTCAAAGCTGACAGAAACCGTTCGACCAAGGAACCAATGTCTGCTCTGAACCGTGCGCTGCCACGTTGTTGCTGTCTCACAATTCGAGGGCTCTTGCAGCTTAATTTCTTGTTCTTACGAGGCACGTTAGATCGAGAGTGTGAAGTCCGTATTTCATGCAGATGCAACAGAGATCCCCAGTGAGTCTGAATCGAATTGTAACAGCCAAACAGAGCACAGATATTCGCTACGCGTCAGAGGATACCAACGGATTGATGCCCGTCCCAAATGATTGATGCAACACAAACCTGCTGGGCGAAGCCGTGAAGCCAGTGATAGGCCGACCATCCCTCTACAACGATTTAATTGACTGGGATGGTTGAAGTTGATTTCCTGGTTGACTTCCACATTCTGTCTAGACGGGCCATGCTCAACGCCCCCCCGCAACCTCACAAGACAATGAACGTTCCAGACTAAGCCAGGATACCACACGCTCCACGCCGTCCACACCTCTGCTGTCGTTACTCCTCGTCGTAGAGTAAATGGTTATTCCTGGACCATACTCTGTCGTATTTCTCCAAGGTTGATCAAAACCAGGAAGAGGGCTTCTCGTGCGGATCACTGCGGTTACTGTGTCTGGCACCAAGCAGGTCAAGTGCATATATGGTTGACAGCCATATACATACATAGGGTCTACTGGGTATAACACTCTACCATGCTTTTGCTTCTGTGCCACTGCTACCGTCACGTTTTTCACCTCTTCACTTCCTCTTTCCTCTGCACCTTGCCATTCTAAGGCCTTTGATCATTCAGCATGTCGGATCCACCGCAGCACACGAACGATGCATCCCATCGGGAAGACTTCGTGGAAAAAGACAAGAAACCAGCTCCCCATTACGAACATAAGGATCTGCCACCTGTGGCTCAGAATGACCCCAAGATGCAGAAGTTGGCACGTGAGATCACCTACGCAGACCACATAGAGCCTGTCAATAGGCAACATAATCCTCTCGCCCAGAAATTGAAGTCACGACACTTGCAAATGATTGCCATCGGTATGATTATCCCCTGATCTTGAGTTTCAACATGCTACGCCTGGCCTACGCGCCAGTATGGAGTGGTGAAGCAAGGATGATCTCGGAACTTCAACTAATCGCATTTCCAGGTGGGTCTATTGGCGCAGGTCTCTTCGTCGGTTCCGGTGGTGCACTACGCAGTGGTGGTCCAGCCAGTGTCCTTCTCGGCTTTATGATCGTCGGCGGCATGCTTCTATGTACAATGCAGGCTCTCGGTGAGCTTACAGTGCTGTACCCAGTCAATGGGGCCTTCTATACCTACATTTGTCGCTTCGTCGATCCATCCTGGGGCTTTGCTGTCGGCTGGGACTACGCTTTGGGATGGTTAACGGTCCTGCCATCGAACTTACGGCTGCTTCAATAACTATCCAGTATTGGCGAACTGACATACACCCCAGTGTGTGGATTATTATCTTTTTAGTCTTCCTCGTTGGTGTACAAATATTTGGTGTCCGCGGTTACTGCGAGGTCGAATTTGTCTTGTCCGTCATCAAAGTCATCGCTGTACTGGGATTCATCATCTTTTGGAATCGTAGTTAACTGCGGAGGTGTGCCAACTGATGACCGAGGATACATTGGAGCTCGTTATTGGCACGACCCTGGTGCTTTCCAGAATGGGTTCAAAGGCTTTTGCACGTAAGCGGGAAGATCAACAATCCTCCGACCTGAACTGACGTTTTTGGCAGCGTATTCGTAACGGCCGCGTTCGCCTTTGGTGGCACTGAACTTGTTGGTCTGGCCGCTGCCGAGGCTGAGAACCCCCGCGAAATCGCTTCCAAAAGCCACTCGGCAGGTATTCTGGCGAATTGCGTTTTTCTACATTGTATCGCTATTTATCATCGGTCTCATTGTCCCCTCGGACAGCCCTGACCTTCTAGGTGCCAGCGGAGCCAATACAAAAGCCTCACCGTTTGTGCTAGCAATCAAATATGCCGCCTCAAGGGATTGCCATCTGTCATGAACGCAGTGGTGACTATCTCCGTCATCAGTGTTGCCAACAGTTGCACATATGGATCTTCCAGGACCATGCAGGCTCTTGCGACCAGAGGCATGGCCCCTAAATTCCTGATGTACGTCGACAAGAAGGGCAGGCCAATGTGGTGCATCGTGATCCAGTTACTTTCGGCTGTTTGGCCTACATCGGAGAAGCGCATGCTTCGGGCACTATCTTCACTTGGCTTTTGGCTCTGTCCGGTCTCAGCTTCTCCTTCTTGTGGTTCAGCATTGACCTTGCACACGTTCGTAAGTGAATCTGTGCTCATTCTCATGCCATACGTTGCTAACGAGAGCACAGCTTTCCGTCACGGATGGTACATGTCACCCAGCTTCCCATTGATGATCATCCACTGACAGTTGTCTTTATAGGTACGCTCACGGATTCACCAAGGAACAGCTTCCCTACCAAGCAGCATTCGGCATCTACGGATCGTATGTCGGAATGTGTCTCAACTTTCTCGCGATGATCGCCACATTCTACACATCACTATTCCCACTCCACTCATCGCCTGATGCCGAGACCTTTTTCGAGAACTACTTAGCAGCCCCGATCGTATTGGCCCTTTACTTAGGTCGGAAAATCTACTCCCGAGAATGGAAGCTGTATGTCCGCACAAGCGAAATGGACGTCACAACTGGCATTCGCCGTGGAAGTATTGATATGGCGACCTTTGACAAGCAGCCTGGCTGGAAGAAAGCTATGAGGGCGTTCCTCTAGACAGTAGCCCATGTGTAGAAGTGGCGGAGGGAGTTATCGCCCGAAAACAAAATTTGTGAGCATTTTCGTGCATTAGGCACGATTACTTGACCAGGATTCAAAAAAAAAAAAGCAGTTGATGTTTGAATCAGGGCTCGCGTTCGGAACAGGGGCAACTCTCCTTATTAGCGAGAAGGTGTGGCCACCAAGATGCATGACGAAGCCTCATCTGAGCCCTGGCCCGTCGATACTGAGTCGCCATTTTCGAACCTGTTTAAAGCGGTACCAAGAGCTAGTAGTTGACATAAAACGATAATCGAACTACATCTACAAGAAAAGGGAGCAGTTCTCCAATGACAACTAGCTTCGAAGGTACCAGCTACTAAAGGTATTAAATCTGCCGAATTTCGGTGACTCACGATTACAGAGAGGCTTTTGCTACGACCCTGCGATATTTTCACCACGTAGCGTTCGGTTTGGCGGGGGAAACTGGCGTATAAATACCAACGTGGCTCCGCTCCATCCTCTATGACAGGAGTATAAATTTATCTGTACTCGGCTTCCCTCTTACCGATTTCTTTCTTTATTTCCCCGTAGCGCCTTCGTCCTTCCATAGCCTCGGTGGGTGCAATTTCCATGCTTCTGAGGTCGTCAACTAGCATTCAACGTACACCTAATCTTGACTCTCCCGCAGAAACATGGCGGATGCTCTACCCTATGGTTTCTGCTTACCGATTGACATATCAAAGCTAGAGAACAGCCGGATGAGCCTAATACCTCTCCAGGTGAGTTCTGTTCCCGCGTTTCATCCATTGCCTTCGTAGTGCAGTTGTCCTGGGACATCATGACAAGTCGGGTAGGTCGGAAGAGGGATGTCAGCATGCCCTCGCGGTAAACTGATGCGACACCTTGACACCAGAGAGGAGTGTGGGGTGCCAATTGCTGATGCAGTATCTCCCTTACTGAACTAATCCCGAGCTTACAGGCAGACTGGGACCGGCTCTGCAGTATCTACGTGAGAGAAACATTGCCATACCCCGAACTATTCGATCACGTATCATTCGGACCATTTCGCCACAACAACGAGTTCCGCAGGCACTTCGACGTCCGTTGTCTGCAGGATCACGGCACGATCATCCTCGCCATCATCCTCAAACGATGTACGATCCGCAAGCGGAGAGGAGGTGGCGACATCAGTGGTGGTGCGAACAATGTGGATGATCTCGAGGTCGAGGATGGGACATTTGCAGGCACTATCGGGCTCTTGAACACTGATGTCAGCCGTTCGAGGACAGAAGTCGGCCATGTAAGTTAAGTTTCGCAAGCGGCTCCATGCCTCAAATTGGCCTTTCCTTGCATGCGTGGAGAGAAACCAAAACCACGCAGAGGGTCCGAGGGTCCATCCATTGATGAACCGTTGATCTACGCCTCTGACACCCCATCTCCAAAGATCGTCATCTTCCCGCGCTTCCAAAGGACCTTCGTTGGCACGCACGCCCACGGCCTGCTCCTGCAACAGTGCCTGGACCCTCTTCCGTCCGGGCTGGGCCTGCGTCGCGTGCAGTGGCAGGCCAACTCGCAGAACACGACGAGCATCCGTGCAGCGCAACGGATGGGGTATCAACTCGAAGGAATAATGCGCTGGGAACGCGCCCTTGCTGAGGGAAAGACCGGGATCGGGCCAAGCGATGCGCAAGGGAAGGGTTTGCCTATGCTTGATGCCAATGGAAAGACGCTAGGGATTGGGAGGCATTCAGCCATGCTAGCTATCTGCTGGGACGATTGGACGGGGGGTGGTGGGCGTAAGAGGGTTTTGGAGTTGATGAGCCGGTGATTGAAAGAGGGAGGGGATTCGATTCCACGAGGCCTGACCGACGAGGAGCCTGTAGAAGGGGAGAGGTTGGGGTGCTGGTGGTCCCTGGGAGCCAGAAGGGAGAGATGAAAGATAGAATAGATTTCAAAGTGAGATACACTTTGAACAGCAGCCCAAGTACAGATCATCCCCATTTATTCCCCCGACCGGAAGCTGGGAGTAATGGTTAGAATGTGCATCAACACAGTTACCGTTCGTATGAAGCTGAAACCTTCAGTCTTGTGACCCCAACTATCACACATGACATGCGAAATCCTGGAAGCGTCTCAAACAATTGTAGTTCGGAGATTTCTTAGAGCCGCCGCCTCGGACTGTCAACTACTGCCGCCCAGCATAGCCATTGTAGCACCTTCGGAAAACTTCTCCTTCCACGTCATCTTCTGCTTTGGTTTGGCTTCCGCGTCTGCGATGATTTCTGCAGCGGTTTTGTTGTCTGCAATTGTTTTTTTGGCTGGCTGGGTTGTGTTTGCTAATGGGAGAGAGGTGTTGTTGGCCGAAGTGGATGTGAAGGGTGTTTGCCGCGTGCTCTGCATTGTGTTACGCCCGTCACATGCTTCCACTGTGGTGCTTCCCACTGACTGGGGGTGGTCCTTTGCATCAATTTGATAGTCCGGGGCTGGCCCTTCGGCCTGGGCTTCGGCATAGACGGGCAAGGCGTGTTGGCCCCTGGTCCATTTGTCTCCTTTCGCGGTGGGATCATCGAGACGCCATTTCTGGACATTCTCGGGTTTTAAGAGACAGTCCTCCGCCGGTCTGTGGGTTTACTCAGCTTGATCAGTTGTGCCCTGGCCGAGGGTCCTCGTTGAAGGGAAAAAGAACCAGTAAAGGGTCATACGTACGCATGGGTGCCCCAGTAATTCCCATCCTTGTCTTTGGCATAGTGCTTTCTCCATATGTCATAAGGGACCTGGCGCATGACAAACGGTGGAAGGTCGTCCTCCTCTCCAGCCCGTTTCTTTTGAGTGGTGAGTCCAACTTTGCGCATGAAGCTTTTTCTGCGGCCTGGATCCTCTTGCTTCACATCATCATTGTGTTGCCAGTTGACAGCTTCATTCCAAGAGAAAATGTCGGCGGGACCAAGGCCCGTAGGTGGTGCCATTCCAGACGGTAATCGAGGTGGGAGAACTGCCACAGTCACCATTCTCATGGCGGGCTCTGATGAGTCGGATTGCGATGCCGTCCCCACTCGGCCAACGGATTCACGGCGAGACATGCTGAGTCGCTTGTGTCGCTTGCAAATTGCAGACGGTGCTTCGTTAGAACAGCAATCACCGTGCAACGCCAACCTTCTACTTAATGAAAGACATGCTGGGTTGAATTTGGAAAGATGTTGCTAAGAATGGAAGAGTTCCAGATAGCAATGAAGTTCGTCATCCCCGCAGTTGACTGGTGGCTTTGGCCGATCGTCAGGATCGCGGGGGTCGTTTTCTGTTTGCGGGAAGAAAGTCTAGCGAACGATGAGCCCATGCTGGAATAGGGCTTGATTCGCCCGTGTGAAGGAGAAAAAGTTAATACGTTTGAGTAGTGGTCGAGGTTGTACCCGAGCGGTGGCCGAGCATCCTCGCGCATAGGTGGTGGGCGGATATCATGCTTTCAATTCGGCGTGAAGGCGTGTATTCCGCCTGCAGTGCTCTTCTTTCTCGCCTTCTGGAAGTACAGTCCCTATTCTAGGCGTATCCCTGGCGCTGGTATGCTTCGGCTTATCTTGATCGCCTTTATGCTACGGAACATGGCCCCTTTTCAGTTATAATGCAGGCCGCCTGCGATGACTTTGGCTATTCTCAACGCGCAGCTGACGATAGAAGCGGTTGGTGTTCAAGCTGGCGGAAAGTTGTTGTGAGTATCATCATGGGCCTCGTTACGACTTGCCCTTCGAAAAAGACAGAGACTCCGAGCAAGAGAAGTGCGTACGAGACGTCGACACGTACCTAGGTAGGCACCCAGTAGGCAGTGACACCCAGTAGGGACCAAAGGGGGGTGATGACTTCCTAGTCACGTGGCGCCTTATCACGTGGTTCAGCATGTGACGCGTCTGCCAAGATCGCGCGATTGCTTCCACGTGTGGACCCAAAGGTCCGCCATCACGTCCACACCCCACCCATCAACCTCACGTCGACATCATCAGGGTCGGTAACCCTAGAACTCTTGATCTTGAATCAATGCGGACTTACAATTCATCTATCCATCCATCCCAAGATGCCTCCAAGGGGCCATACTCGCTCGGTGAGCAGACGAAGCACCCCTCTGTCTCCTCCCAAACCCTCACCACAATCGGGACTGGGTGACGCGCGACGCCAAAACAAAACCCCCATTCGCTCCATCAGCCGCGAGGTACTCACCGACGCCCAAAATGATCTTCTAAATATCGATCAGGTGCTCGAGACTGTAAATGAAGAGGAATCCATCCAGCACTCTGACTTTTTTGATCATCCGTCTTCAGTGTCCGCCAGTTCTGAGTCGGTCTCCAGTCTTCAAAATGATCTTAAAGAACTTGAACATGACGAAATTGTTGAATATCTCCCCAATTTGCACAGTGAATCGTTGGCCGTGCTGTCATCCTTCGACATCTCCGAGGAAGACCGCCTGAATAGCACCATCCTGGAAATGTCTCGGACCGGCTCGTTACCGCGCAAGCTGCACATTCGCGCAGAGAAGCTTAAAAACAGTCGGAAGCCTTTTGCAGAAGGCGACTTCATCAATCCCGTACTGATTGTACGCAAACTCGCCGGCATCGTCGATCTACATCACATTAATTACGGGAGATGGCGGCCCGACGCAATCCTGTATCTAGCAAACCTTGCTCAACAAATGGTTAAGGTATTAAGTGGTTCTTCGGCGGATCGACTGTCACTCCTGACCTATTTGTACAACAACTTTCCTAGGGCTTTTGTCGGCGACAGGAAATTCTCCTTTGCTACCGGGCTTATCGAAGACACACGCAATCTGGCTATAGAGGTGATGACCCAATTCTTCATTTACACTCTTGACCTCGATGGTATGGGGCAGTTGGAGAGCCCTGGGAAATTAGCAGACCAGATATTCGACAACGACGACGCCGTCTCACATGACTTTCGGGACGAAGACTCATTGGAAGCAGTGGTGTCGCGACTAGAATTACTAAAGGGGAATTGCACCATTCATACCAATCTTTCGGAGCTTCTTGATGAGCTGAAGCAATTATACCCATGGTCTGCCTTTATCTTACAGACTGCGAAGTGGAGTAATGCCCGTGTGGCAGAATTAAAGGAGATTATCGCCAAGCAGGGTGGTATCGAGAATATCGTTCGTCTTCTAGACTCAAGAAACTATGAGGCTGATGTGAAGGGGAAGCTTCTCGCTGATACCAGGAATGACCTTACAGACACACCAAGCGAAGCGCGCCCGAATAACAACCACCAGTCGTCTCTGAATGATCCGCTTATTCAAGGCCGTAGCAAAAGGGTATCAGTACCACTTAATCCACGCATGATTTCAGCCGAAATTCGACAGTTTCGGGAAGAACAGGCCAAGCATACATTGGAATTATCGGGTCTACGGTTGCATCCCTCCAATAAAGCGCCTATACATGAGCCACGAGAAATTCAACAAACTCCAACACCAGTCGATGATGACGACTATCGAGCACTGCAAGACAGTAACGATGGTCAAATTGAATCCAATCATCTAAACTTGCCATCTCCTGTTCGTGAAAGTTTCAACGATGGCGATGGCGGTGATGATGACGATGAACTACCCCCGTCCACTCAGCAAACCCTCGAGGTCATGAAAACGCTCGAAAGACAGGCGATTGAACGTGAAAAAGAAAACAGGCCTGCCGTAACGAAAAGGTCGTTCCTTGATCGACAACCAGACGCAAGGAAGATAAAGTGGCAGGGTCCAGCTGTTGGTGATCGAGAACCCAGGTCAAGACAACCTTCTAAGCCTTTCCTACCGGAGATTGATGACGAGGAAGAGGAAGAGGAAAATTTCGAACAGGACCAAAGGCCAACAAAGATCTCTCGTACTGCAACAGGGAAGCAACTCGCACCACGGATTCATGATGTCGACTCCATCCTCGACGCAGGCTTCGGCGACGACGGAGACAACATAACCCCTTCCTCGCAACCAGTCTGTGGATCCCGTCAAACACCAGCAGCAACGAACTTGAGCAATCGGCCCCCACGATCGACTGCGCCGACGCTCTCTCAGGTCCAACCACCCCCACGCGCACGAATGGCAGAGTTTCAAGCAGAAGCCAGAGCTATGACCGCGGAGTCGAAAGACTACTACGGCCCTCGTACTGTTCAAGTACGGATCCCCTGGAATGACCTGGAATCCGACAGACTGATAGAGATGGTGGCGCGTCAGGGCACAAAATGGGCACGCATTCTGCACGAAGACGCAATTCATGAAGACGGACCCTTGCTGCAGAATCGATCTCAGGTAGCACTGAAGGACAAAGCGCGCAACATCAAAATCCTCTACCTGAAGACTAGGAGACGACTCCCCCCCGGCTTTGAGTCAGTTAGTATCGGCCAGCGCCAGATAAATGAGCTGAAGGATCTTGGGATCGACTACATCGAGGGCAGGTTTGAGGGGCAGAACCTCGATATGGACCTCGGGTGAGCTGAGGAACGCGGTTGAGGCTCTTCTTTGCCCCTTTTACTTTCTACCTTTCGTTTTAAGCAATGGCCGTTAGGAGCAAGACCTAGAACGGCGAGAAAATGGATCTGGGTATACTAGAGGCTCGGGGTTCAAGATCGTTCAAATACGACATATGATGGTGCGGTGGGGTGAACTTGTCATTTCGGATCCTTGACCACTTGCCATCTCTCATTTCCTTGGGTATATTCACTTGTTACACTAATCAGCAGGAGGGGTTACCACATATGTTGCCATGAGATGAAAGTGTTGGGTCCGGATGCCGCAACCACTCACCGTCTCTCATCTCCCGTCCATTCACTTGTCCAACTATACAGAAGCGTTTGCTCTTCCTCCTCTTTTCGTTTCCTTGCCAGCAGACTGGCCCTACACCTGGGATGATTTCACACGATTGTCAACTTGGGTGAGATAGGGTGGTTCGGGACAGGATCTGGAAAGGATAGGGCCCTAGCTAACGAGAAGTACTACAGTTCGCCAATTTGTGATTAAACCTTGACGATAACATCCTCGTAAAGGTGACTGTCTATAGGAAGTGGGATGTTGCCTCTGACATGACTCCCCCACTCCCGGCTTGGTACGCCACTCGTAGTTACGAGTAAAGGATTACACACTATCTCTAAAATTCCTTCGCATCCCTGTTGCCGGCAACGCGATGAATATGAAATGACTTTACATTGCTTTAAAAGCTCACTGGCCGTGCCCAGGTTCCTTGTTAGGGCGACTTTGCGGACCGACGATTTCCGAGCTTGAGTCACGACACCTGGATCCAGCCAGATTGGTAGAGCAAGATTCACGACAAGTTGTGGAAGTAGTGCCATATACCGATTGAAGCCCTCCGTATCCCTTCTGAGGTGAAATAGGGCTGAATAGTGAAGCAAATAAGCCCTTCTTACAACTGACGAAAAATAACTGTTCTGCTATTAGATGGACCTTGTTCTGCTAACGGGGAATCATAGATACTTGAAGAAGCGACAGACATATCGACGACCCATACCCTGGGTTTGACTCCTTGGTGTCCTCCCCACCACCCTGTCCCAACATAGCATCCGCTTGAGAGCTGGCATTTCAAAACATCTCAAAGTACATGGTAAATAACTTTCAACCCAATCCTCTCCATTTGACCCGGGACCGAACACTGGACCGGACCCCATGTCACCGGCGCGTCCCAAAAACACCGTGCTTGGGGGAATCGCGCACAAAACACCGACCCGTTTTCAATTCACATAGACCTCACTATCCATTGTTAAAGATTCAGTCATCATTGAGTCATCTCACTTCCCCAGTCATCATCTCCCAAGTCGCATAGCTTGGTCGAAGATATCCCGTAGAATTTCCTTTCGTTTAACCACCGACCTTACTAATCCCGGAAAAGAAAATCTGCATAATCTTGCTGGTCCTCAGTCCAAGCCTCTGGATGTTGTACATCCAGTCCCATTTCTTGCCCATTCCATTCGAGGGCCGACAACTGTGGTTTCTCTATCGTCTCGAACGGTGAGCCATCCTCGCCCATAACAACGTCGGTATCAGGGACAGCGTTAACGTTCTCGAATGGTGACATGTCAAGACCACCAAGACCAAGGTCAAGGCCTTGAATCTCGTCCAGGTTGACTTGCCAGGAGTCAAACTCTCTCTTTTTACCTCCCATGGCCTTATCCGCAGGTAATTCCTTATCACTGAGGTCTGTCGGGCTTTTGGATTTCTCCGTAGATGTGTCGGTCAAGGCACCATCGGGCCCTTCCACGATCTTTCGCCATCTGGGGCTCGTCTTGCGATAGGCCTCCAACATTTTACTGTGCATTTCCTCTTGCTTTTGTTTAGATGGGAATAAGTCATCCCAATCATTTCCACCAAAGGCCACGCGGAGTTGATCAAGTGTAGTGTTAGTGTGGTTCCAGGGATTATCATAATCATCTTCAGTCTTGGATTCCACAGCTTTGGGACCAGGTACTCCTTGGCTGGGAATTTTAGACATGGGGATAGGGGTTGCAGAATTCTCTCCCTTGAGATTTGTTCCTGATTCAGCTTTTAATTCTGTCTTGGGCTTCTTCTGCTGCTTCATATTCTCATCTAGGTTGAAAGCGAATCGCAGGGACTCGTCCAGGAAGGCAAGGGGATCTGTGACCGGTTCCAAGTCAAGCTTGTGAGTAACATTATGGTGCTGATCAAGTTCCGCTTGTGTGGAAAAGCCTTTAAGTTGATGTTCACAACCGAGCACAGGACATCTGAACATTTCAACTGGTTTCGGTGCCTTGGTAGCGACAGGCGATGTGGTCCTAGTACTTGGGCCAGACTGGGCGACGGGAGTTGCAGGAGTTTGGTTATTCTTCTTGCGCCGCTTTGGATCAAGTTTAAGATCTTCAGGTTTGAATCCAGGAGCCGCATAGGTAGGTGTGCCCCGTCCTTTGTCTCCAATCTGAAATGGAGGCTGACTGGAAGTGGGTGCGGGGGGAGCTTGATTTGTACCCAGGGACTTCTTCCGTTCTTTTTCCTGAGCTTCCAACAAACTGAGATTCTCCGGAGTTAGTTGCGCCATTGGTCTCGGTTTGTTCTGCTGGGGAATCTGAGCAGCGGTCTGTTGGAACTTGGCAGTAATGTTGTTGATAATCGCTTCTGCGCCGTCTGCAGTCAGACTGAAATGGTCTACCAACTCGAATGACTTGTTCTGCAAGGCTTGAGGCTTAAACTGGGAGAACAATTGCATCTTTTGCAAAATAAGTTGTTTGAGGGCAGCGTCGTTTTGCTCCATCCGATAGAAAGCAATCAAGAAGGAATCGAATCTGCCCAACATGTTCTTCACATTGTCTGAGGTCAGAATCATCTTTATCCGGTTCCTGTTTGCCGCATCCATGTTTGTGATTGGCTTGGTCTTTGGTAGCGTAGCTTGGACTTCTCTGGTAAGCTCAAAAATCTTCTTTACAACTTGTTGCTGCCGTTGCCACTGCATATACTGCTGCTTCTTCTGTGGATCCAAAGCTGCAAACTGTTCCTTGTTTAATGCTGGAGGTCCCTTATTCGTGTCTGTCTGGATAACAGGTGGGTTGTTCGCAATAGGGCCTGCTAACTCAACAATGTCATCTCCATTAGGTCGTTTCACCTTGTTATCAGATTGCACCGAAGCTTGAGTCTGTCGAGGACCTTGAGCGGAGGGTGGTCGGATTTGTTGCCCTGGCTGGATTTGAGCTTGCTGTTGAGCCATTTGGGGCGTAATCTGTTGCTGCATTCCAGGTATGTGTTGGCCCATAGGTTGAGCTCCAGATGGTTGCTGCATTGATTGCTGTTGTAGGTGTCGTTGCCGCGTTATTAACAAGAGTCTGATTTGTTCGTCTGGTACGTTTGCGAGCTTGGGATTGGCGGCTCGAACCTTCTGAATATCTTGCTGTGTTGGAGAGCGGAACGGGGCTGGTGCAGGAGGCATGTTTGGTGCTTGTTGAGGAGGAACCCCCGGTACAGGAGCCTGGGGAGCTGGCTGTTGCTGCTGTGGTTGCAGTTGCAGTTGAGGCTGTGGCTGCTGCCCAGGAATCTGACCTTGCATAGCATTGTTTTGCTGCATCATGTTTTGACCTCTGGTCTTCATAAGATGAGCAAAATGATTCGCCTGAACATTGAGCAACTGAGGTACCGGAAGGCTGGGGACGGGGTTTTGTATGAGCCATTGTTTGAGCGAGAACCAATTCTTGACATCAGGCAGTCTAGTATGTTGTCGAACACTATTGAGTACAGTCTGCGGCACAGCTTGCTGATCCATAATCTTCATCTGCTGTGGAGTGAGCTGAGGTCTAGCATTTGGAGCTTGACCAGGGACATTCGGCGCGCCCTGCTGCTGCTGCTGCAACTGCAACTGCATTTGGCGTTGGCGCATCATCTCCTGGTTCTGCTGTATCTGATTTTGGGCACCTGTCATTGCGTTGATGTCTTGACCAGGCGGAACAGAAGCGGCTCCAGCAGACAGGGATTGTTGCATGTTTACAGCACCAATGTTAGCACTACCCATGAAAGCACCATTCTGCATTTGCGTCATGGGTTGCTGCTGTTGTCGTTGCTGTTGTTGTTGATGCTGCTGCTGCTGTTGTTGTTGCTGCAACCCCGCTGGTTGTTGAGAAAGACTCCGTCGCATTTGGGCACCACTGTTCTCCCTTTGAAATTGTTGAAGAATGTTCCGCCATTCATTTTGTGGCTTTTGTCGCAACAATTGCTGTAGTGGGGCGGGGAAGTTCGCAAGAGCCTGTTCTCGCTTTTGGACATCTTGCATATTCATCTGCTGTTGTTGTCCTTGCTGCATGTTACCAGCCATTGACATCTGCTGATTCATCATGGGAGTGCTCGAGGGAGGCCTTTGTCCAGCCTGAGTTCCCGGCTGCGGACTGGTACCTGATACATTTGCCCCAACAGGACGATTGATAGCAGACAGAGGGGTGTTGTTGCCACCAACGCCCTGCATCTGACCACGCTGATTAGCCAAAGCAGCTTGTGATTGAGCTCTGGCCTGGGCTTGAGCTTGTTGATTCTGAGCTTGCAACTGAGCTTGTTGCATCTTGGCAGCTTGGGCTTGTTGTAAGCGTTGCTGCTGAGCAATAAAGGCCGGGTTCAAAGCGTTTGGATTCTGTTGATTCATACGTTGTTGAGCGAGCATCTGTTGTTGCAAGCGCATCTGATCGGGCATGATAGCTTGGCTGGTGCTTGCGGGGACAACCAACTCTCCTCCTTCCTGAGATCTCAAACCCTCGGCCTGGAGGCCCTGGAAGCGGCCCATATCAGCCATGGAGTTGCCGTTGGCACCCATGGCTTGGTTTTGTTGCAGCTGATTCATCATGTTTGCATTGTTGGCTTGTCCAGCTCCTCCAACACCACCTTCCATTTGTTTGCGGCGGCGGAATTCCTTGGTGGCCAACATGCGGAAATAATATATGATGGGATCCACGGCCTTTTGAGCGAGATTCTGTCGCAGCTGAGGATTCATCTTTTCAACAATACTGCGCATCTCCTCCTTGGGGGTGTTCTTTGCCAACTCGGCGGCTCGGAGGTTGATGGCCTTATTGTCTTCGGGAGTAAGCTCGGATACTGCATTGCCCTTCTGCTGGTTATTGTTCCCTTGCATCATTGCAACTTGGGCCGAAACATTTTGAGGTTGAGTCATCATGGGTTGCGGGGTGCGTTGCTGTGGAGTCTGCTGCTGCTGAGGTTGCTGAGGTTGCTGCTGAGACTGCTGTTGACCTAGAAAAGGAGAGCCTTGCATCTGCTGTTGGAGGTGGGCAGGGAGAGCCATGTTAGGGTTCATAGTCTGGCCCATCTGTTGTTGCATCTGCTGGAAGGTTTGGTTAGGGATTTGCATGTTAGGTTGCATGCCCATTGTCTGCATAAGGTTTGCATTGCCCTGGTTCATCTGCTGGGCTCTCTGGTCTCGAATGCGTCCTAGCTTTTCACTGCACTCTCGAACATAATCTTCTCTGCTAGCACTTTGACTGAAGCACTTTCGCTCGAACTGCAGGGCGACCTCGATGGCGCGGGGCAGGTCAACAGGGGGTCTGACGAGACGCAAAGAATCGACAAGTAGTTTGATCTGACCGGCTCTTTCTCTGATGTGAACATTTGCCTGCCAGCCAGCCCAGGGACCCTGGGAGTTGAGTTGGTCGAAGATGTGCTGTTGGACCGAAGGATGGCTCAAGCTCATCTGCCCGGCCACCTGTTGCGGAATGCCTCTCATTTGGCCAGCCATTTGAGGGTTCATCTGACCAGGCATGCCGGGGATTTGAGCAGCCATGTTAGACATTTGATTTCCCACCTGAGCGCCGATTTGGCCTCCCATCTGAGCACCCATTTGACCGCCCATGAGACCTCCCATCTGAGGATTCATGGTCATCTGCTGCATGTTGTTGGGCATCCCGCGCCCCATGCCGGCCATGTTTTGAAACTGCTGGGGATTCATGGTGGTAAATGGGAACGGAAGCCCAGGAGTAATGGGGGATGTTCAAACCATCCGCGATCAAAGGTGTGGGAGAGGGGTTGAAATGTTGCAGTGGTGAGTTATGGGAGTCGGTGGTGGTAGCAGGGTGGGCTTAGGTGACCCTGAATTGGAAAAGAACAGCAGGAGGCAGTGTAGGACAGGTGGACCGAGACGGTTGGTTTGTGTGGTACAGAGTCAGATGGTCCAGCTGGAGCAGCGGGGAGTAAGACTGCGAGTGAGAGCAGGAGTGTGAGTGAGTGGGCGAGTGCCAGCGCGGAAGGCCATGGACTGGGAGAATGAGAGTCGAGGAAGTCGAGTGAGGCTTGGGCTCGGGGCGTGGGCGTGGGCGTGGGCGTCGGCTTGGGCGTCAGTCGGATGACGATGGTACTGAGGACAACAATACGAGAAGGCGAGAGGTGCAGGATGCGAGGAGGGAGACGAGGTAGCTGGTTGGGTGGGCGGGCGCGCGTGTGTGTTGTGCTGGAGGACAGATGGGCGCTTGCGGTCTATTGAGTGGTAGAGCAGTGGAGTTGCAGCGGCCGTGGTCGTGGCGGTAGTGGTAGGGAAACCAGGACGAGGAGATGGAGGAGGATGTGGAGGACCAGACTTCAGGCCAGGCCACTAACGAGCTGAGAAGGAAACAGGTTTCGGAATGCCTTGTTTGCCTGGTTGGAGTGGATTGGATAGGAGAATAAGAATGGGACTGCTCTTTGACCAAACTGGAAAGACAGGGTTGTTGGGATCTGCAGTTGATGACTCTCACACACAATGTTCAGTGACAATGATGATGGATATTGATGAGTGAGATATGGTGGTTGAGTCGTGTACATAGTCAGTAGTTGATGGACAGGCAGAATGCGACTTGGCCTGCGAGGTGGGTTAAACGTATGGGTCCCCGTTAACCACCTGGTTAGGGGAGTTAGCGGCCCTAACCAAGTAACCAGGGGTTGGTAGGGCTAGTAGTCGTGAGTGGTGAGTGGTGAGTGGTGAGTGGGCAACAATGGCCATGGCCGTGGCCGTGGACTAGGGCCGGCGAACGGCCAAGGGTCCAGATGCAAATGCAGGTGAGGGTTTAGGTGCGCATAACCGGCAAGGGTGGGCACTGGGCGTATGGGTGACCAAGTACGGAGTACTCGGCCTTCATGACTTAGCTAAGCCCCCCACGCCATGAACCCAGGACGGGGCACCTTGCCAGGAGCATGAGAATGATAACGGATCGAACAACAGTGACCTTAAGAGTATGACAACATCGGTAGCAACGTAATCTACGGTCGGCTGCGGATATGGCTTCCCTCAGCCTTGGTTGATCTGCAGTGTGTTTGTTGATCACCGATCGCTGACTTACCTCCAGCCTCGAGGCCTTGAGCGTAGGGGCGGACTGTCCACCTTTTTGGCTTCCCCGGGCCGGCCGTGCCTAACATGCACACCCCGTTTTTCTGGTGGATTTCTAAGTGCTAGGGGCATACTACCGAGGGCAGGGCACCTAGCAGAGAACCTACAAACACAAGTGGCGACTGGGGACCGCCTAGCACCACTAGCACCACTAGCACCACTAGCACCACTGGTCGGCGTCTCCCATTGGTCTCCAGGGCTCGGCCGGAACAACCTAGTTCCTCTCCGGTGGCCTTCAGCCTTCAACGTCACCCTCTGTCACTCCATCTACCAGTACTCCGTATCTTCACATTCAATCCTACCAACACTGCTACCAGTCTAGGTAGAAATCTAATCCATCAACTGCCTCCTGATTCCCCCCACCCATCCCCGTTTCTATATTCCTCTCCCGCTCGATATGAACCTCACCCTCCTCCAATGGCTTCCTCCGTCGGCTCTGATGTGTTCGCTCTTCTCGCTCTGTTAACCATCTCCTCCATCGTCCTCCTCCTCCTGCGCCATTATCTGCCTCTTCGAACAACCCCGGCCTTTCTACTAGTTCCCATATTCTTCGCCCTCGTCCTTCCCACCAGCGCATTACTTTTAGTCCCTATCGATCTCGCCTCCAGTGCCAGAGTCTCCAATCATGGTGGGAAAGGGATCTGGCTGCCACAGAGGGCAGTCTTGGTATCATGGAGGATTGTCTACTGGTTGACTTTTGTCCTGACATGGTTTATCCTGCCCCTACTGGCCGAATATATGGATGCTGGCTACCGGGACCCCCAAGCCCGCTTGAAATACTCCTTGCGCTCCAACGCTAGATATCAATTAATTGTCTTATCATGCGCCATTGCTGGTCTGGTGTACATGATCTTCTCCTATGGCTTCGATTTTACAGCCATCAAAGCACTGGTGATGGCATTGGCCTACGTCTGGGGCTTGATCCTCGCCATCTATCTCATGGGCCATGGCCTGGTCGCCCTACCAAGGAAGATGTTCCGCAATGCCGACATAAGTGGCAGCCTGCGCAGAGTCCAAGGTCACGCCCCTCGTGTTCACGAGAAACTTCAAGATGCAATCCAAACCCTCGACGATCTCGATGCTCAGGTTGCACAACTCAAACAAAGAAAAACCGGTTCAGCCCGTGACTTTGCCGAGTGGATCGACGAATTGGTTGACCTCGCCGGGCCATCCGAGTCCAGTCTTTTTCCTCCTCCCACCCCCATCGACCCAATTGCAACTGTCCCAGCCATTATCACCGAGCGCTATCTGGCCGATCTGACCAGAAGGCTTGTCCGAGCCAAATACCGAAGAGCACGATATATTCACGAGTGGGATAACATTGTTCGATCCGCATCCGACCTACAGTCTGTTCTCGACTCAAAAGCCTCCAAGAAACTCGACTTCGGCCGTCCCCCTTCCTTCATCACTCCCTACATGCGCTACCACCTACACGCTCATTTGATCCCCGCTTTGCAAATCACTCTTGGTGCTATTTTCTCTCTCGCATCAGGAGCTATCATATGGTCAGAAATCATCAAATTCCCCGCTCCTCACTTATCCGCCGTCAGTCTCACCGTTATTCATCATCCAAGTGACGACACCTACCAAATTGGCTTAGGAGGCCAGGTCCTCGCATCCATGTGGATCTCTTACATGTGCGTCTGCGCTCTGAGCAGCGTCAACGACGTTCCTACCTGGAACCAACGCGCCCTGGTCAAGCGAAACACCTACCCCGAATCAGCCTGCTGGTATGCCGGCCAAATCGCAAAGTTGACAGTCCCGCTAGCTTACAACTTCCTGACCTTCCTCCCTCGAAACATTCACCAAAATTCCACCTTCTACAATTTCCTCGGTCGTCTGATTAACCTCACCCCGTTGGGAACCTGGTTCGACTACCTCTTCCCGATCTTCATCCTCCTCCCTGTCTGCGCCACCTTGTTCAATCTTTACGGCAAGATTAAGAACGTCTTTGGCTTCGGCATCCTTGAGATAGACGAGGACGAAGAGGAAAACCCTTCCGGGTTTGGCACAGGAGGCTGGAGGGAGGGTCGAGATCTCATCAACCGAGACTTAGAAGGAAATCGATCGTCGGCCCTTGGCCTGAGAGATTCCCCGCGTGTCTCCCTCGACACCGCCCGACCCTCCCGCGCCGCACCTACAAGATGGGTCCCGCCCTCAGCAAGAGAAAGACCAACAAATCCGTCCCGAACCGAAGGCTCAGGAATACCGTCCTTCCAATCCAATCCTCGTACTCGACCCGCAGTCGACCCAGAACCCGAGGAAGAGAACTTCTTCACGCTATTCGGCCGCCGCGTAAGAAACACCCTCGACACCATCGACGCGCCGAAGTGGATGCAACCAAGTTCAAGCTCAAGCTCAAGTCCAAGTCAATCCAGCGGCTTCAAGCGACCGAAATGGTTCCGCGGCGACACTGATACCGACACCGACAATAATGTGTCATCATCCGATAACGCCGGAGGCGGCCCGGCGAGCAATTTCCTCGGCTTCTTCGGCGCAGGAGGGGCAAGCGGAGGCAATGGGAATAGTAGTCAGGGACGGATTGTCATTTGAGCAGAGTAATTTTCGCTTCGGCGATTCCATCTCTTGCTCGATAGTAATTATACTTCAATAGATTAAAGTTGTTACGCTACATCACTGTAGCAGCCATTCGAATCGTGCCGAAGTTATAGGTATACATATTATATACCCGAAACAGTGCTTTAACCATGACTATTGCCGGTCAGCAAAGGGAGCGAGGCCACTTCAACCGGACACGTGACGGAGCACCGAAGAGGCCTGGCTGAGCAATTCGTAGAAGCCAGTTCAGGCTCATGGGTCCCCTTTGAGCCTCCGCTACAGTTTGCCCAATAGCTGTAACCCGTCACGTCTTTCAGCCAAGCCTACCGCCTGACACCCTCTGAATCATTCGTCTATATAGTACTGTATCTTACTTCATCCTAGCATTTACGAAGGGTGACAGGGTCCCATCCGATAAGAACGCGTGGTGAGTATCTAGGTGTGAAGTATTGACCTAATCCCTATAATCACCCACGAGGCTCAACTCGTTTTGCCAACTACTCCTAGGCCTGGTACCTCGCATTTCGGGGTGTTGTCTACTAGAGCGAGGGCGACGAGGGAGGTCATTTTGCAGCGTGGGAGCAGCCTGAATTCATCGCGAACGATTTGCTGCGAATGTTTAGCCAAAAACTCCCTGCTTATGGCGTGCTAGAAGGCTGTTCTGACTATCCCGCCTCTTCCAGCTGACCGATTCCGATTGGCCGGGAGGTTTCAAGCAGTGTCCTAGTATTGCATTGGGAATATCCATACTAACAAAAGGGGTATTATGGATCCGAGCTCTCTCATTCCTTCTTGGTGGTAGTGGACCAATTACCATTTGCCAAGGTAGTCTTGTCGCGTTCGATATTTTGCTTATCATTTCTTACTGAGGAAGCCGCCGACATATGATGAGGATAGAGTTTTGATATATCACGTTGGGGGCCGTGACGTTTCACACCAACAATATGCCCGAGAGTAGGCTGCTTTGTGTAAGATGAACTCACGAAGTCAATTCGATTGAAATACTGACAGAGTTCAGGTAGTTCAAGCGGATGGGCCTTTCTGCAAATACTCGGTTGCGCAGACTGCTTATTGGAGCAGCCTGTTGCTTCATCTGCACTCGTCTTGCAGCATTTTCAGGTAGGGACCTCTCCTGGCGTTTGCCTCGAAGATCACCTCGTGGTCAGTAGAGTATACCAGCTGCAGTCATCCATAGTACCACCATCATCAAGTCCCTCTACTGTTGGCATTTTCGCATTTCTGACCACAGTCCAGCTTATCTTAGCTGAAGATGTGGCTTGCTCTGGTCGATACCATCTGGAACAACAAAGCTAGTTTCCTTGCAGATGACTGCAGCTTCTGAGGGCGTCCATCTTGCTGCAAGGCCTGTATCGAGGCGCATCTGACCATAAACGGTGGCTTAATCCTGGATCTGCGACGGTTGGAACGATCTCATATTGGCCACAATCCGGCACGTCCTTTCGCATGTCGCATGATTGTCTTACTTTGAGATGGTGAAGGTGACTGGTGTTCGATCTACATAGCTGCAAGAGTCGGCGAGGAAGACCGTGAATCGGGCACAACTAGTGCTCAGGCATCGAAGACGTCCGAGAGCAGAGCCTAGAAAGTCAAGGAAGACGAACGAGTGCTTAGAAAAGGCGGCTGGAATTGACGAACATTGATCTACGCTCCCTCTCCACAGACGCTAGATGAGTTAATTGGGTCCTAGACAAATGAGACATGGTGACTACTGCATTAACTAGGGAATGGGGTCTTCAGGCTTCCCCTAAAATGCAGCATTCACCAAGGATGGGTGCGCAATCGAACCATCTCCAGGTCCAACAGAGTCGTCAAATTAAATGCGAGGAGGCGTGCCATTCTGCACAGGCGGCAGGTCTGGCTTTTCCGAGGCCCATCGGTCCTGCTTAACCGGAGGTCACTTGGGGACTGTTACGAAGAACTCGGGCATGCTCAGACCGGCACTCCAGCTCATGCACGTGGAAAGGTACTCAGGGCAAACTGGTCAATAGACTTGCTCTGCCGACAACGTTTAATACAACCTGCTCGAACCCCTGATGTATTTCTTCTCCAGGTTTTCTAAGTCTTGACGGTTTAATTCAAGCAACTATTTATTACCCAGCCTTTACGACAATTAAGACGGCCACCCGGAAAGAGCCGACGGCTCCTGTGGAGGAGACTCAGCTTGGTCAGTCTATCCACGACGAGCTCACCAAAGCACAACAGCCACAGGAGATAGAGATAGTCCAACCAGCCGCTCCACAATACCTCCCTTCTGAGGAGGACAAGGTCACTCGCAAACCATGGGCCCTAGTAACAGTAAGCCAAAACATCTCCAGACCAATTTCCGCCGAATTAACGCCGTTGTAGAGTCTATTTGCGTGCGTTGCGAGCTGCCCCTCTATCTCACTTTTTTATATTGACGACTTGTAGCCAAAGGCTTCGAGTCTCGTGCTGGATAATCCCTATTGCTGCAAACATCGGACCCCAACTTGCCACGGAACTTCGTTGTTCAGCTAACTATACATGGTTCATAACCACCTATACCATGTGCAATGCCGTTTCATCCATGGCGTTTGGTATTTGTGTGAGTGGTTGGGAGCCGAGGTGGCCCCATAGTCATCCATCTGCCGACCAATGCAGCCTACCCGCCGCCAAATATATGGGGGTCCTCCAGTCGGGTCCTGCTCCGACTTATTTGGTCGGCGTTGGTTTATCATCTTCGGCAACGCCTTTGTCTCTGCTGGACTCATTATAGCGGGAGCGGCCAAGAACACAGATACGTTCATCGCTTCATGTGCGATAAGTGGACATCCAAAATTCGATACCAACCATCTGGTAGATTGAAGGCTGGTGGGTTTACCGCTATGATAAGGTTGATTATCCCAGCGTCACAGAAAGTACATTAAATGTTACAACAGAACATTGTGCAACTTTCGGAGTCTTTGTCTGATTATATTACCACAGCTGGAGCTATACATCATCGTCGGATCAGCTGGGATGCCATGCTTGCAGTGGGACGGCGTGGACATCGCCGCCTTATAAGGGAAGCGCCTGCGCGACTTGGATGCAGTCTTAGATTCGGTGAGGCCAGAGAAATGGACTTAAGCAAATTAAATGGGCTCGAGGTCTAATCCAACCGATTATTTTTGTGCCCCTTTTGTGAATCTTGATGGTAGCAGACCCCGATACTGAACTATATTTCACGCCCACCATCAATGCCACAAACCAGAAATGGCCAAAGACACCAAACGGCACGAAAAGACAAAAACATTCGCCAGTCGAGAATTAAAGAGCTGAAAGCCCCATCGCACAGACCAATGGAACTGTGGAACGAGGCTTTCATAAAATCGGTAATATCGAATGAGCAAAGTCATTCTCTAAATGCGTTACCGCATCTTCAGAACATGCGATTGTGAAACACAACCCTCTCCTTATTTTAATTACTCATCTAACCTGCCGGTTTTATGGAGAGATTTTTCTTTTCAACAGAAACACTCTAAGTAATTGGGTTCCATGTCATCGCGTAGAGCACTTCCTAGCGAAATCGTGCCGAGGAGAAAATCAGAAGCTGTCCCGATGCAAGAACACTCCAACTTGGTCCTCTAGGTCATACAAATAGAGCGTTGTAATTTACTGAACATAAAAACGAGGCATTTGAGAGGCACCTGTGGTTTCTCTTCATTATAGTCCACGCAGAAAAGGAAACGCAGAGAGCAGAATCGATCCAAAACGGTCATTCTCTGTTATCATCACCAGCCGGACTCCCACCAAATAATCAAATAAATAAATATACTACGACACCATGTAGAAATCTGAGCATGCGATCGAGTCCATCGCCCATGAGTGCTCCTAATACTACTTCCGCCACAGGAATTGAAGGATTGGGGGTTTTAGTCAAGAATCTCCTTGGTACATGAGATTTTTTCGTGCAATTCGTCCACTCAGGCGTAGTCGCACCGGCTGGTGGACCATACGTGAGGTTGCGAATGGGCCAGGCGAGACGTATTACAACAGCTATGCCATTTATGACGATAATTATAGCAAATGACTGGGCAGTGGTGCTTTTTACGCAGGAGCTACACGTACTTGTTTGTTTCTTGACTCGAATCCATTCAATGGCAGTATTTGTGAGCCAGTGAAAGGGGGGGTTTGATGGTACAAGATAACTCATTTGATGTTACAGTCGATCTCATCAGAATGCTCAAACTTTTCATGCAAGGAATGGCCCGGTCCTTCTCCCGAGTTCTCGATAAGATAATGGGTGTGGAATATCTCTCATGGGACAAGGTCCTAGGTATCCGAAATCTACTGTCCAAAGGTTTTGCTGGATGTTTAACGGATGTGTTTATTAGACGAGAATCTATGTTAAGTTGTAGCTTTGACGGACTGCAAGATCATTGTTGCAGCTGGCGGGAACCTTCCTCCGGGCTGATCTATATCACGATTGGCCTCGCCTATTCTAACACCTAGTAGCTATCCCGTTACCTATATTTCCGTTCCTCGCTGTGGGCTATCTTAGAAGAGCTATAAGAGTTTGATGATTTGATATTGGCTGAATAGGCGTGCATTTGTATGCTGTTGGGTACCTCGACGGGTGAGGGTTGGATGACAAGGAGGTATGGAATGTGATGCCAAGGCCTAACATCGCTCCATCATTGACTTACCTTCTTACCCATCTTATAAATCTTTCCAGGAAAGGAGCCATCTAAGTCTGAGTGGAAGCTCGCAGCGCAGGAATCCACTTAGACCCACAACGAAAGAGGTCACTCCTTCTTTGACCGACGCCAGTGGAATTGATTGGACTGGAAGATGTAAAGATTCAACAAGTCTCTGCCCTAGTTAGGGTTAGACGAGCGGAGAGGTTTCCCATTCCTTTGGTTCGCCATCCTACTTTTTCAAGCTTTCTGCGGCTTGTATAAGGCATCTCCTCGAATCTCAGGCGCCTTAAGAGGGTGTATTCGAGGTCCTCACACCTCTATTTGCTTGGCACGGTGCGAATACTATATCTCCTGGCATTTGAAATTCCCCCCTTGACTTTGGTACTGTGCCTTTGCCACTCTCTTAAAATCGACTTCTAGACAGATTGTAGACATTTTCAGTTCACGATTGTCACTATTTTTCGCTATGGATTTCCTCGCTGCACTGGAAACAATGGTCCATCATCTCCCATTTGAGGACAATGAATTCGTTTCCGTGGGGGACATTGCTGGGTGGCAGATGTTTTTTAGCATCACGGAGCTGGACGCAGTCCGCCGTATTGAGTATTGAGAATCATCGACATAACTATGCAAGTCTGAGAGTCCCGAATGAGCTCTGGGAGGCAGTTCAAGCAATAAAGAAGCCGCGGGATTTGACAGAGAAGCCTACGAATTCTCCCTCATCCACCAACCCCCCTTTCCACGACACCTTGAGTTGCAAGGGACCTCAGGTACTCTCATTTTGCAACTAGAGTAGCCCTTGGACGTCCCTGAGAAATTTCAACAGGCTGCTGATCTCTGAGAAGTGTCCAACTTCGTCAGAGGAGCTGGGGAGTCTGGTGAATCTACCACTTTCTGCGAGATTAATGGAAGGGCCAGAGGGAAAGTCTTGGCCTGGGTTTCGCAACACCATCTAAGCTTGCATCCGACGATTGTTCGGCTCTCAAAAGCCCATAAAGATCTTTGCGCAAATATTCAGGCCCCGACACTGTCTATGGACTCGGCTCTGCCACAGTATCGACTCCACGATAACCAAACTCCGCTTCCATTACAACATCAGTATCCGGTATGGTACCTCTTCTATGGCACGTTACAAGATCCAGAGATCTTGGCACAGCATGTTGCCTCAGACGGCCAGCCGAACCTGATCCCAGCTCGAATCCAAGGTGGAAAAATGAAGAGCTGGAGAGGGAAATACAAGGCACTCGTCGACGCACCTGATCCGATGACGGAGGTACATGGGAGTGCCTTCCTCGTCCAAGATCGCGAGCTAGAAGACTCGCTTCGATCCTACGAGGCGGACAATTATGAGGTTGTCAGATGCCGAATCATCTCCGATCAAGGCAACCTACCAGGGCTTACTTTTCGTTCTGGAAGTAGCTCAGAAGACCTGGCGTTGGATTGACAGTTGGAGGTCCTCACGGCAAAAGCGAAGGCTAATTGCGCTAAGCCGCGTTCTCAGGAGCCAACATCAGGCCAATCAGGCTTGTAGCTTTCCCCTTTATTTGGCCAGGAAATACTACGCAGACAAATAACAGGAAGATAGGGAGCTCTAGTTTGACGAGTAGTTGTTTATTATATACTTCCCTGTAGCGCAATATCTCTTGGAGCTTGCAACTATGAGCCGATCTGGAATGCACCTAACTAGCTGATAATACAGTAAAATTTATACAATACGGGTACTAGGCACTCATGAAAGCATACACTATGTAGTTGCTGCACAAGGAAAAGGACCTTTGAATCGAAGAAACTTGTTGCCTGATCCAAATAAAACCTAATCACAGCACCTTCCACCTTGTCCTCAGGAGTTTGGCCCGAACGCGGAAACCCTTTCCATGCCAGGCGTGATCAGCAAACCTGGTGGTAGAATGACTCATACACTAGAATATATTAACTTCGAGATAGAAGACCTGTCGAAGCCTTTGCCCCACTCTGGAAATGGCCTAATGTGCTATCTAATCCGCACAGTTCAAGGACGTGTATTGCCATCAGGTCACATTATTCTGTTCTTCGGATCAACCAATCAAGCAAAGAGTTTGATGATACAAAGTAAATTGTTTAATCTAACACGGTAGGTGACAAAGGGTTTTATATAGACTTTCCTAATCTAGTCATGAAGTCTTGAATACATAACGCCAAACCCTGAGTGAGTCCTCGAGCGGCGGACTTGTTTTCACATTGCTCACTTTCCTTTCCTTTTCCCCTGTTTCTCCTACCCATGCCCTGACCTGTCATATATTTTCTGCCGGCCTCAACTCTAGCATTCCAGTCACAATGGTGTCTCCTGACCAAAGCCAACGCTCCCGCTCCCGCTCCCCTGCCCACCCAGGAGTGCCACGTCGCGCTGGCGTACGCTCTGATAGCCCTACAGGTGCAGCTCCCATCAGTCGGTCCGTACGGCGTCTCCGTCGTGAAAATAAACTAACCGATCCCCTCCCATAGCCCTGCACTCCCCGTTCCCCTAACAAATGCTGCCGTCCCCCGTGGTTACCTCCCTTTCTGCTTCGGTACCGACTTCGGGTTGATCCTACGTCCCAAGTCCATTGCATACACTGACTTTAATGCTTCTTCAGCCCGTGCCACAAGTGCTTTAATCTTCATCTGCTCGACGCAATTGCCAAGATTCTCTCCGTTGCTGGTCTCCCCTGTAGCGTCTTCCACCAAGGCTCGGACCAAACGCCTGACTATACCCAATGGAACGCTACTCTGGACGGATCCGTATCCAAGAAGCACATTCCTGATGGTTTTTGTAAGTACTAATTATTCAATGAGATGAATAGCAGTGTAAAGGTATACTGACCCCAACAGACCCGGTAGAGATGTTATCACCCGTGCTCTTGGCTGATGAAGGGTAGGTGCCTACAATCGACAAGTTTTGGTTCGCACTCGGAGAGGATGCCTCTTGCGGCTTCCATGTTCACATCTCCTTGTCCAGTGGATCTTACACTGACGTTCAACTAAGGTCCATGGCCAAGGCTATTGACTTCTGGGAGCCCGCCGCAGCACGATGTGCGCCTCCATCTCGACAAGACCAAGTTCAGAGGTTCTGCATGTCTAACATTTCCGGTACCAGAGCGGCCGCCCCGCTGACAAGATTCGGCCCACTTAGAGGACTCGGATACGGTTTTGATTATATCGACAATTTTTCCAGGCAGTTCGTTGTGGAGTACGTCTGCCTAGATAAATATAGGGTCTGGAACTTGAACCCTGCAGACCTGGAGGCTAGACAGCTTGAATCCGGATGCTTTCCATTTCACAATAGCTAGTTCAAAAGTTATTTATCATTTACGACGCATTGATTGAAGGTATGGTATGAGTGACAATGCATGATTCCTGTGAATTTCTCGATTTGCTGTCTCCTGGTTCCTTGCTGGAGCAGAAAATTTCCATGAAAAATGAAAAACTGGGAGACTGACTATTTCTGACTTTGGACATGGTTGGGAGGCCAAGGCTTTCAGAGTGGTATATAGTATGTCGCACAATGCGGAGGCAAAAAAGGAGGTCTCTGGTATTCAGGCCCAAGTGTTTTCTCTGCTGAACTCTATTTTCTGTATTAGTTAGAAAGCAGCAGCGATGGGGTCCGAGCCCATTTGCCGTGAGATCTGGTAATGTTTGGGTATAGTGGATAATCGAGTTGGCTCAGAGGGCGCTTCAATGGGCTAAGTGTCCCTGTCATATGTGAAAACGATTTACTGATATGTTCCTACAGCTGCTCTAACTTTTACTCTTTGATGCCCTGCGATGGAACGAACCTTCGCGTGGTGCAGGGTGTGAGTACTCAACTGCCTGGCCAGTGGGAGAGGAAGCTAAGACCTTCCACACCTTCAACTCAACTACGTCGACAACTTGCCAATCGCTACTGGGACAGAGTCGCTTTGTATCGCAAATCATCCTGGCCCTACTCTTCCTGAGTTTAGTTCGACCACATGCTTGATGCGCGCCACTCATTTGTTGTATAGTAAAGGGTTTCTGTTCCAGATGTAAAAAGTCTGTACCTATGTGTTTTATGTGTCTGAGGCTGCTAGACGATTATACATAGTCGCGGTTGTTGTCTGCACTGAGGACTATGACGGATTTACCTAAGCTTCGTGAAGCGATTGAAGGGTGGGTAACATTGATGCGGGTGTGAAGTTGCTGTTGATATCTCCCACAGCCTCAACAGTTCCCAGAGGCTTGAGTTCAATAACCAGTCTCTACTGGCAGAACAACCTTTCCATCTTGGACTACTGTCAGATCCCTACCCATGCTGAAGACAATATTGTCGAAATCAATGAACCTCAGCTCGTCTGGTCGAATCTTCTCTAGATATACTTTGTCCTTGTATGCCGCTTCCATATCCTCATAACTATAAAATCGGTAAGTCAGGGCCCGCGAGGCTGCTTTGAGATTGGTACATACCGACTGAAAGTGATTTCAGCTATTCCATCATACTGGGGCGGATTTCCAATAGCTTCTGATGTGTGCTGTACTCGGTGGAACTGCACAGAAACTCACTTAAACAGTGCGCCATGCCTCAGCCTGAGAAGGTTTACCTGATTATAGACTATAACACCATATTTGCTCATCCTGCTCCGGGAGTCAGTCTTCTCCTGAACTGTCAATGCCGGGAGTACCAACCAATCAGTTACCAACGGCCCATGAATATTTGCCCAATGTCTATGGAACTCCTCCTCAGTTATGCCCTTCTTGCGAGGGATTAGCAAGCACAGACGCAACTTCCCAGAAGAAGACATTACGGTCAGTGTTTTAAAAGGTGAGATGAATCTCAAAGAGTAACGATAACTTGTTGACTTCTAGGAGGCATATCCCTGGTATCGTATTATTTATAACCGTGAACTCCAGCTGGCCTCCATGAGATAGGCCATAATGAAACATCAGAGTTTGTCATGGTGGATGAATCAAATTCCTGTTCTCCACTCGTAGTCTCGGCGTGGTAGGTAGTCAGAACGAAACCAGCCCCCCGAAATTGGCCCGATGACGCCCCGTAGCATAGTTGTGAGGGATCATGAGATTTGACACGATCACATTCCCTAGTAATGGGTGCTTTGATTACGAGAATACAACTCGCTTTCATTGTTGCTTACGAATCGGTCTAGCTATAATAAATGTTTTTCATTTTCGTGTAAAGGGAGGTTGAAAAGCTACTAAGAGGCATTGGAACATTGGAAGTAGGCAGCATTCATCATGGGAGAAGACAAAACAATTACTTTCTACACTGCTTTCTCGCCAAATGGCCACAAGATCGCAATTACGCTGGAAGAGCTCGGGCTACCTTATGAAATGGTCCACGTAAACTTGCCAGCCATCCAACATAAGGAACCATGGTTCATGAAGATCAATCCAAACGGGCGAATTCCTGCTTTGACGGACACGCTTGAGGATGGCACTCAGATCAATCTCTTCGAATCAGGGAGCATTCAGCAGTATCTGGTAGACAGGTATGATACAGAGAACAAGATATCGTATCCCCGTGGAACCAAAGAATTCTATCAAACCAATAACTGGGTACGCAAATCACCCTCTTCAGCTGATTGATCTGATGATGAATCCTAGCTATTCTTCCAAAACGCAGGCATAGGTCCAATGCAGGGTCAAGCGAACCATTTCGTTCGATATTGTCTTTCCAGCGAGCCAGAACAGTATTCAAAGGATCGCTATGTGAACGAAACTCGACGGTTGTATCGAACCCTCAACAAGCATCTCCAAGACTCTCAATCCAAGTATTTGGTGGGAGACAAGTGCACTATTGCAGACATTGCTATCTCTTCCTGGGCCAACATTACTGGTAGGTGAATTATTCAGGGGGTTCCAGCTCCAGCGAGTGCTAATTATCTGCGCACTCAGCTTTTGCGGGTGTTGATATAAGCGAATTTCCATACGTTGGCGGGTGGCAAGCTCGAATGGCACAGCGTCCGGCTGTGCACAAGGGATCTCAGACACCAAAGAAGGTTGACTTGGAAAAGCTGGAGATGGATCCTGAAGCGTTCAAAACCTATCTCAAAACAAATGAAGCTTGGATCAAGCATGGGATGGACGAAGACCGCAAGAAATAATTGGAGTATCTGGCATGGACACATTGTGAAATACCTAGGTGGCTCGTGGTGTTGGGCTCGCTAATTCATCTTCAAAGTTTCACAAACTTGCCATCCATGAACATGTAGATCTACTGGTATACTGTCCTCCAGACCCTTCTTTTCAGGAGTCTAACTGTCAAATCTATGGTCTACAATAAATTCATCCTACACAATAGCTTTCTGCTCCAATCTCGTGCCAGTTGCCTTGTAAGACGGGTGGATTGGTTCTTGATATGGGAAACTATTGACATACTGACACTTACTCTGTGGATCAGGCGCACAAGCTACGTCCATCCCTAGGATTCAAGATAGACGAAGTCCTTACATGAGAGAGCATACTGAGACTGAAGTCTCACCGAAGATCTTGGTTTTCGGTCGAAATATGAGCTCCAGAGCGGGTTGCTAGCTTCAGTAAAATTCGGATCCGAAAAAGTATCCTGGCGTAACTCTCTTTATCAACTGCGTGCATCATCAAACATGTCTCTCGGTTCAATTTCGCTCTCGTCTTGTAGCAATGTCTTGCATTGTGGGCCGCTATAGCTATTGCTATTTTTGGCGCGGCATAGGTCTACGTGGCACATCCAACACGCCTGGGGCATCTAGCCAGGCAGTGAAGTACCCATGGCACGGAGTACCTGAGGCACCATGGCTAGTTCCTGCATCAGGGGGTATTTCCTCAAAAGTATGGGGTAGAAGCTAGATCCTCTTATGGCGATGTCTTTTCAAGGCACTTTTCTATATATAAAGGAGAGGCACTGGGCGGAAAGTCATTATTGTGCCATACATGTCATTCCATATCATCTGAATTTTCCACCTAGAGAGAATACAAAGCCAGAAATCCTTCACCATGGCATTCACCAAACTTAGAGGGAAGACCCTCTATCGAGTGATGAGCTTCGTTTGTGCCTTGGTAAACCTTCCCACTCTCTCTTTTCAACAATCTCTTTGCCATGCTTCGCAATCAATCACTGCTAACTGAGAACTGCAGTCATTCATGATGTTTGGCTACGATGCTGGAGTTCTTGCGGGTGTACAAGACACAGAGCCCTTCCTTTCTGCAATCGGCCATCCTGAACAACGTTCGACCATTATCATCCCGATGGTGGCGTCAGCCTATACCCTTGGTGCCTGGGTTATGTCAATGCTCGTGAGCTTCATCGGTTCACCGATGGGCCGGCGAAACTGCATTATGTATGGAAATATACTCGTGATTATTGGAGGGACTTTGCAAGCATCGACCTTCTCAGTCGCGCAGATTATTGTTGGCCGAGTCTTATGTGTAAGTATATCATCATATTTGAAGCGTTGTCGAAAAATTAATATCTTCTAGGGCTTTGGCATCGGTTTCATATCGTCTACTGTTCCAACCTACATGGTGTGTACCTTAACCGCGATTCTATGAGGCCGAATTTACTTATCTCGTCCCCAGGCAGAGATGAGTACCAAAGCCAATGATCACGGCCCTGAAGTCTGCTTTCAGCTAGCAGTGACTATATCTGGAGGTAAGTAGTACTGTTCACATCACCGTCTTGGTCTAGGCTTACAAGGTCCCCAGTTGCTCTCGCAGGATGGGTAGATTTCGGATTCACGAGAATGTCGAACCAAGCCTCCTGGGTACGTTCCCTCCATCTCCGAAATAAATAGAAACAATCGATTTAACGAGACATTCAGAGATTTCCCGTTGCGTTTCAGACATTTTTTGGTATATTTTCCGCCATCGGCATGTTCTTCTTGCCTGATACACCTCGCTGGTAAGAACTGAGCCGCACGATCTTCCATCCGGATCCCACTAAACGATGAACAGGTACTATGTAAAAGGCCGTATCGAAGAGGGTGACCGCGTACTTGCTGCACTTCACAACCTTCCGCTCGAAGATGCACATGTACAAGCACAAAAAATTGCCATCATTGAGGCCATTGAATTTGAGACTTCCCAGAAGGCCTTCAATCCAGCAACCTTGATCTGGGACAATACAGGTATTTTGGATCCAAGCTTGCGCCAAACAGCATGTGCTTACTTGCGACAGAACTTCAAGCTGGGCGTCGACTAAGGACTGCATTTATGGTTCTATGTTTGCAGCAGCTGATGGGTAGGTGCAGCCCTACAAGTTTCAATGGGATACAAAATCTGGTCTAACGCGGTCTCCAGGAATAAATTTGCTCATCTACTTTAGTACCATTATTTTCGGCCAAGTTGGTCTATCTCCGTTCTTGTCTTCTCTCCTTGCCGCCGTCATGAACAGCCTGTTTGCAATAGGCACCTACTTCACACCCAGCACTGTCGAGAAAGGTGGGCGACGTGGGATCATGTTGTGGACATCGATGCTCTTGGCAATCTTCATGCTTATCTTTGTGGTTATGGTTAACCTGGGCGACAAAAAGTCCACGGCCACCCAGTGGACCGCCGTGGCTTCCGTTGTCGCATGGATGTTCTGCTTCGGATTCGGATGGGTCGGTATTCCCTGGCTTTACGGACCGGAAGTGAGTGAATTCAGTCTTCATCCAGTGAACGGAGATGTATGCTCACATTTCCTAGATTTCACCCCTTCGCTACAGGCATTTGGGCGGGTCGTTTGGCGCCACCGGTGAATGGAGTATGACCTTCGTCACTGTGTTCGCTGGAGGTATCGCCCTGCAGAGGGTGGGACCAATAATCTGGGTTTGGTTCCTAATATTCTGTGAGTGTGAAACTAATGCAGAAGAACCACGTATCCCATGGGTTCTCTAATGCTAGAATGCTAATCTAACCCGCCAATCAGGTTTCATCACAGTACCCTATGTCTATTTCTGTTGTCCTGAGAGTGAGTTCCGAATCCCCTTTCCCCCGCAAGAGACTTCACTAAGATATGCTTCATAGCTTCTGGAAAGACTTTGGAAGAAATCGATCTTATTTTCATGAAACATCCACAGATCCTGGCTCACAGAGACCCTGAGGGAGCAATAGATGCCGAAGACCCTACTCATGATATGAAGAACACATCCGCGAGCACTATAGAAGAGGACGAACTCGTCGCGATGAGGGATTAACTAGCACTGGGTAGGTATTTCGTCAAAGTAAGGTTCTTGATGAACCCAACTAAGAAGCGATGGTTTTCGCGAGTACCTTGATACCCAATGAAAAGAGGGAGCGGAATTAGTCAGGTTTATCAATGGATGAACCTCCTTTTTGGTGGAGAGGCTAGCATAGCTGGGGGAATATGGTAGGATCAGAGTGGCTGCACATCTGCACGAATGGGTTGAGTAGAGCGGACGCATAGAAGTATATTATGTGGGCGAGGGTATAATTAGAACATGAATTGCTACAAACAAACTCCTGAGAAACCGGATATCCCTGTACTGAGGTATCACCAGCGCCACTACATCAATTGAGAGTAGACGCACCCAATAGTCTTCCCTGTTTCGTTGAACCAGTCTGACACGAAAAATATTGACAAGCAGGAGTCTGCCCCGGCAACTAGTAGATGAAGAAAAAGAAAGCCTTCTTAGGCGATCTTTGGAAAGTTCAACACATTGTAATCCACCTAAAACTTGTATCACACGAAGGTTTTGTTCCTCGTTGCTACTGTTGCCTCCATCTTTACTACGGCATATAAGAGCCGGAGAAAACCTCGTCTAGGTAGTTCGAAAAGTCCATGTCAACGTTTCGTTCCAGTGCGAACTGCCCACTATCCAAGAAACATGAAGAGAAATGAGCTTCTGCTTCGGCACTGCTCACTGAGCGCAGTTGCTCGGTGCCTGGAACTTGTTCAGAAGATGCCATACTATAAGGTTGTTGGTTTTGAGCATTACCAAGCACAGGTGGCCGTGGCGTGTAAATGTTGCCCAGAGACGATAGGTATGAAAAGTCTTGCTGGCCTTGCATGCCTGAAAGGGAGGTCTGGCGTGGTAGAAGAGTTTTCAGGGCAGGTTTGTCACTCGTACCGTTGTCGGCGGAGAGATACTTGAAAATCTCATCGACGTTGCTGAATTCGCTTGCAGTATTTTGCGGTGCTGCTTGGGGAGACGTTCTCTTCGATTGTGGCTGATGGCCTGTAGTGCCCCCGGTGAAGACAAAAGGTCTTTCATACTGATACCGCTCCTCACCACTTGGGTTGTCCCTCATCTTCTCGAGCCCATTCTCAAGGGTCTCCCAATGCTTCAGTGGCACCCTCGACATACTCCAAAACTCAATAGTCTTCTGGTATGTCAGACATAGCAAATCAAAATTGGACTTGATCAAATCCCTGTTTGAGCATTCCTCGGGCAACAGGCTGCGGTGTAGTAGTTGAACAGCCCCAGCTAGCCACGTAGTACTTGCCGTGAAAGGGTTAACGTGTGTGTAGAAATCCTCAGAGCAGGATCGAGTTATACGCACAACATTTTCCGATGCCTCAAAGTACTGTGCCAAATGAGGCGACTCTGTTGTTTCGATGTAAGAAGCTTCAGATGTAGCAATGTTGGTTGAGCCGGCGTCAGGACTGTTTTCAGACCCTAAATTCCGCTGCGAGGTCCAGGACATCCCTGCACGGAAGACGTGGTATTTAAGGACCATCAACTTTGTAAGCTGGATCATCATATATATGCCATATACATGACTGTGGATTTGTCGCTGTGCGATTGCTCCCTGGTGCTTTATGTCACAACCGCTAAAATCAAGATATTGACCGTAATATCTCAATTCCCTCGGAAGAGCCATGACTGTGCAATACAGAGAGTTCAGTACAATGTTCAATCGGCTGACTGCAGGTGTCTGTTTCCTGGTGTGCTCTCGATGAGACTTGGTTGGAATGATGTTGTCCTCCTTGTGTCGAGAATCTGGTATCATCGGCTTTTCGATATTCATGGGGCTTGAAATATTCTGTGCGTCCTTCATCAACGAATTGATTATAATGAACCATGCCCTCGGTGACTGGGTTTTGGCTGCCACTAGGGTTTTCCATCTCTCCGCACCGTTGAGCTCCAAGGGGCAACTGGGCTGAGGCTCCCCTCGATACCATTGCTCATCCTCAACTGGTAGGAAGGTCTCATTTTGAGACCAATCAATCCCAGCTGGGCAGCGACGAATGACACTGGCGAATACATCCATCTCCCAAATCGCCCACCAAGCTCGACGCCATTCCTCCTCGATACACCACTGCTCTACGCTGGAGGGTTGATAGTGACCTCTTGGCTTTCCAGCGTCGATCAAATGTAGATTCAACTCATAAGCACTTCTGATACAAGTTCCTAGCAGCCTCCAAGCTCTGCCTCTCACACCTTGTACCAGAAGACAGAGCGTATTCAAGATCATGGCCTGCAGGAGGGGCAATGACAATGGTTCATCTCCAAGTTCAGCGAGCGCTTTGTCCATATACTTGATGCTTAAGCCTCGAAAATGAATGCTTGGCACGCCAGTACGTTCAGATAATACTTGCTCACCGACAAGATTGTTGACGTCAGTGTGGTCAAATCCTTTCAGGCCCCATGCAAGCAAGGCGGCGAATAAAGTTGTTCTTTGGTTCGTGGTTGGGATTTGTCGAAGCTTCGTTTGAAACTCTGGGACTCTAAAGAGTTGAAATGCGGTAAATACTTCGAAGAATCGAGAGATTCTATTTCGGCGTTAGCTTTTTATGCTGCCGCTCACGCCGAAACTGACAAATGCATGGAGCGACTTGTTGTTGTGTTAACTTACAGTCGATTCAGTTGCAGAAGCGTCAATCCCAGGCAGTTGCAGCTGTCTATCAATGCATCAACATAGAAGCAATCACTCTCAACAGCGCCTTGAATGGTGTCTGTCGGGGATGGCGAGCCCCTATCAAAGCAGGGATGGATAGCAAACGACAGGCTTTGCATATTAGACTGCTGGGAAGGGGTTTGAGGGGATAACGACTCGTATGAGGAAGTTGCACTACTGTTTTTGGGCGATCCCTGTGTGGCTGTGGTACCTCGCGCTTGTTGGTGAATCCGAGGAATTCGCTGCCGTGGAGGACTTTTCTCACTGCTTTCTCTTTCCACTTGGGTCCGTTAGTCAGAGTCAAACACATCTAGAACTCGAAATTCTTACATTGCCTCTTCTGGGTGACAGCATGGCTACTACCTATCTTCGGTCCTGGCCTCATCGCCTTTGAAGGGTACGCGCATGCCTGTGAAGTCTCTCTGCATATCTGACAGTAAGGCAACTCTCGGCCGCACCTTACTTTGCGCTTGCGACAAACAAAGCACGCCAATGGGGAGTATGGCTGCTGTTGAAGGACACGTTCTGAGATGGTAGACATATCGGTGTAGGGCCGGCGGCGGCATGGAACATGCGTTTCTGTACTGTTGGTTGAACGAGTCTGCTTCGATGGTTGCAAAGAATCAAGAGACAAGACTCAGCGTCGCACTTCTCACCTTGAGAAGCCAAGAAGCCACCTCAAAGCGAACGTCAACACGAGCAATGATGGAATCGAGTGCAAGTGTTCAAGCGTAGCAGTCTTAGACGAGACGGCTTAAGGTCCCCGCACCCCGGATTCTCAATCTTGACCCGAGCAGCCCAGAGCCACTGAGCATGGGTGAGCAGCACTAGGTCTTGGTCTAGACGGCAATCGTCGAGAATTCCCGATGATATGGTATTCTGTGCCTCAGTTCTCTAGGTCTTTTGGCAAAAGGGCTGCGGACATCGATTTCCCGGCCAAGGCGGGAGTATGCAAAGGGAGGAATCCGGGTCGAATTCGGTCGAATTTTGATTTGCTGGGTGGGGACGTCCAGAGAAACCGGAGCAGAACCCCGAGATCTTCATCCCGGTGTTGATGTCTATGCGAGGCATGGCGCTACTACTTTGATCTTTGATAGCCCACTGGCATCAACACAACAACTTCTGGAGTTTCACTATCCGATAATCATGCAAATGGGGTTAAGCCGACTGACTTCATGCCCTATGGTGTACTCGACGACAAAATGACCCCAGATATTTCCCTCGATCTGCCAAAGCCGTCCTGGTGACAAGGGTGGCTTGCTAATCAGAAGTTCCAAATCCATCCGTACGTGTTCGCCCAGTGTAGCCCCGGGAAAGCCCCTTGAACACTCTTCGGATCCGTCGAGTCCCCGTCAGAGTACCAAGCAAGGTCCATGTCTCAGATCAAGTATATATCTGCACTTGTTGTTTGGACTTGTAAGACCTTCCCACAGCAAAGGCATTAAACCAAGTAGTACCGAAAAAGACAAACCAACCAATACCGAAAACAATAAACCAGCTTACAACACACTCCGTAAACATGGCCAGCTTAGAAGGCAAAGTGATCGCACTCACCGGCGCTGCCTCTGGCATAGGGCTCGAGACCGCGACGCTCCTCGCACAGCGCGGCGCCATCCTTTCCATCGCCGACATCAACGGCGCCCAGCTCTCAGCCGCCGCGAAGTCCCTGCAAGACAGCGGGGCTCGCGTCATTTCCACCGTTGTCGACGTCAGCAAGGCCCCCGACGTTCAGGCTTTTATCTCAAAGACTGTCACGGAATTCGGGAGGCTAGACGGCGCCGCCAACCTCGCAGGCGTGATCGGGCGGCATGGTTCCACAATACCTCTCCGCTCCGAGACCGACGACGAATGGGACCTTATCATGAACGTCAACGCGAAGGGCGTGTTCAACTGCATGCGCGAGGAGCTAAAGGTGATGAAGGCCGGGGCCTCGGTCGTCAACGCCGCGAGTGTGCTTGCCCTGGTCGGCAAGTCCAACGCGAGCATTTACTGTGCCAGTAAGCATGCCGTTGCGGGGATGATCCGCGCTGCCGCGAGGGAGGAAGGCAAGAATAAGATCCGCGTCAACGGCGTCGCGCCGGGGTTTATCGACACCCCAATGGTATCCGCAGTCGAACAGGCGCAGCACGTCACCCAGGTCGATTTCGCGCCGCAGGCTTTCGAGAGGAAAGGAAAGCCCGTGGAGATCGCGGCCATCATTGCTTTTTTGCTGAGTGATGAGAGTACGTTTGTCACGGGAAGTGTTTGGACGGCGGATGGGGGGTGGCAGTGCTAGGTGGGAAAGAGATATCTGAGGAGATGGACATGCACGCCTCTTGCTAGATATTAGGATCCAGTAACCTCAGTGACTAGATTTTGGCAAGGTGTATAAAAAGCTGGTCAGAACAATCCCATGGTCTCAAAGACAACTCCAATCCCAATCTAACTCACATTGAGCTTCACTATACAATACGCACCGTCTCCTCCTGGTTGCAGAGATTTAGATAACCCTTCACCCTCAGCTTTGAGAAGGACGAAACCCTCTCATATGTTCCGTCCTCAAGCGGAGTCAAGACCAAGCCATGCAGGAGACCAACCCTTGCAGAGATGTCGTCCTCGCCGCCGCCCTCTCCATCGACGCCGTCATCGTCGGGCGATACCGGCTCCACAAGGAGGAGGAGAAACACGCTTTGGGCCTGCAGAGTCCAGTCGTCATTAGATCCCAGGTGTCCCTTTGCAGGGCTCATCATCAGCTTCCGCCACTCCATGGAGTCCTGCGGCTCAGGCATGAGGTATTGCTTCCGTAATGTATCGGCCATAACCTCGATGTCGAAGCTAAACACCGGGCCCTCGATTTCGACCGCAGCCGCTGAGATTTCTCCGTAGGGGAATACCTTCGATTTGGGAGTGACTTCGATACTGATGACTTTGGCCAGCTCGGTCGCATGTAATGTAGGAAGACGACTGTACGTGACGGAGCTCTCGACAGAGGCCCACGACCATGAGGGAGCGCGCCACTTATCAGGTTTTCGCACATCTAGGCTAGGCCACGTTGACCACAGCAAGCCGCGGAAGAAATCGGCCTTCCACAGCCCAGCAACGTAGTCATCTTTCAACACCACTGCAAATTCGTTCGCGAGTGCGGCGATTGCGCGGAATTTGTCCTGTGGGTAGGTCATATCGCGCTCACAGAACTCCTCGACCGCTTTGTACCACAAAGAGTGATTCTCGGCAGGTATTTGTCGCGTCACATTGTTCTTGCCCTCCAGGCTCAGATGTCTTTGCATTTCTCTGAGCCCAAGTTTAATCTCGCGGCCACTGGCGCTTCGAGAGTCGAAGGACCAGTCCTGGACACCACCATCTGATTTCTGAGTAGTAGTACATTGCCACATCATCCGGCTGCCGTAGGTGAGAACGCGTGGCGAGAGTATTCGTTCTTGAAAGGTCCATGCTCTTTTCGAGACGGGTTCGTCGGAGAGGGAATATGGACTCTCTTCACGGAAAAAGATATCGTCAATCTCTCCGTTGGGTCCGAAGTATGGCATATTAAGCAGGTCTTTGGGGATGCCAGTGTTGGGATGGTCTTCACATCGTGCGATTTTGGTCGCAAGAAACCCTGTCTCGCAAGAACCACCCCCAGCGCAAATGGTAAGATACGCGTTCCGATAGTATGACGGCATTTTGGGAAGCTCAATCTCTTTGTCATTCGGAGAGTCTTGAATGATGCACAGGACATCAATCCACAGGTATTCAAGCCCAAGGCTCCTGGTCAATTTAACCGCATCCTGGAGAGTCTGAGGAAGCTGACAAGTTTTGAAGCCTGCTCGTCTCGATTTGATGGTGTCAATGGTGGAGGAGAATTTCTGTGTTCCACCCCAGCAGTAGCTCAAGATGGTATATCTTTCGGGCGAGGCACCAGACACTAGACGGAGGTTATCATCGTCCAGTATCTTGATCACTCGTGCGGGTAAAAGCGTAGGTTCATGGCTTTGTGAGATTGTTGACGGTGATCTACAGTGCTCATGATTCTCGAGGCAATCGATGACCCATTTGTTTGCAACCTCCATACTTGTTGAACATCCTGGATCAATATTTATGGGGCGTGCTTTAACAAACTCGCTTACTCGAGATCCTTGATTGCTTTAGCGACTATATCACTCGACGTTGACTCACTTACCTGCGAGGGCGGATATTTCAACAACAATCTGCCGCCTGTAGCCCAAAATCTCTTCCACGGCACCGGCTGTGGTCAAGTTCGTCCGGTCCACGAGAAAACGCAGTCTTTCATATCGGCCATCCGGAACAGAATAATCATCGGGCTGTGCTATAAGGAGGAAGCGTGGGTTCCCGTACTTCTTACAGTTCTCCCGTGTTCTTGCGACAGCGTCGAGGACCTCCTTCGCTCGTGACGGCGAGGGATTTTGATAGCAGCATCCGAATTTGGCCCCGAATTCTTGACCGATATAAAAGGTGTACATTGGATCATTGAAGAATCGAGATATCATGAAACAGCAGAATATGCAGTCTGCCTCAGCAGACATGACAAGATCCAGCAGAGTAACATCCCATTGAAGGAACAACTTGGATTTCCTTGGATGGGGCTCATTTGGCCGTGAGAATATGCCCAAGTCTTTGGTGACAGAATAACAGACCGGGCAGTATCGGCCCTTGGCCTTCAATTCCTCACTCAGACTGTCTGAACTCTGGGATCCAACTGTGAATTCTTCGGGCATCCATACTCCAGGAGTGACGATTCGAACTAGCTTCTCGGCATTGTCCTTTGCTAGTCCCATGATCATCAGGAAGTCGTGGAAACAGAGTTAAGGATGATCAAATAGATGCAATGACCAGCTTGAATAAGAATTGAGGTGTGGAGGTTGGGCCCCTGATCCTTCATAACTGATTTCCCCCGGATTGTGGCTATGTTTGCTGCTGCCTGCCAACGCTGACAAGGCCTTGGCCCCAGGAGGGGGAGCTGGCCCTGGGTTTAGATCTTCAGCCTGATATGCAAAAGCCTTGCGAAAACGGAAATATGACAAGCTAAACTTACTCAGTCGGGTGCATGGGACGGGGTTCTTAGCATTCAGATGATAGGGTACATCGGTGACAAGCGCAAGTATGCGAGCTTCACTTTTTTCTGGCCATTCCTCGAGCTAGTTTGGGTGTAGGTCCTTCGCACCAAAACAAAATTGCCACGCACTCGGAGCATGTTCCTTGCGCCTTTGGCATGATAATCACGAAAATCGCATGTCGACGTCTTGATGGCGCAGCGGCGATGTCAAGGAAGGGAAAGGAAACAGCAAGGAGGTACTCGAAAAGGACATTGTCGCGAGCTCCGGATCATTGATGCCATAACCTTGCATCTTCCCGAATCCACCACGCTAGACCGAGATCGTTGGCTTGCGTCAGCCACTTTGCGAGCTTGCTGAAACCGTGGCAGAGAACATGATCCCAAGATGTGGCGGAGAAGGTTGTTCCATCCGGCTTTTGAATCTACGAGTAAGCGGCGGCATACATCGATTGGTGCCGTCGGACCCCGACCATGCTTAGGTCTCACCGATGGACGAAGCAGCGGATTTCAGGAGGTGATTGATTGTGAATAGCGATTACTCAATATGGTTGTTGCCGCGAGCAGAGCTTCGACGACACTATCACTTTGGGACAATATTGCACTGCGCGGAGCACCTAGGCGTAGGCGCTATCTTCCTCGTCTACGTGCGCCCTCACAGGGGCAGGAAGAATAAACCAGGCCCAATCGCATTTAAGATCTCTAAGTTCAACTCCAAATTGCCGGTGGAAGTAATGATCATCGCCAAGGAGGGCGTCATAACGGTTCCAAAAAGCCTTCTCCAAAAAGTGAGGAGGATCAGCAAATTCAAGTCAAATAGCCGTAGTGACCGAGTGCGGAATCCAAGCATAATGTAGATGTTGACTTGAGAGCTGTGATACAGTAGCAAGGGGACCGTCTTCACGGCCATCGCTTGTATTGTTTCTATCTTTCAAACGTTTGGGCCTTACATAAGTCAAATATATATTGATTGACGTCATGTCTTCTAGCGAGACCAAGCCGAGGAAACGAGTCCTCGTCTCGTACGGGGTTGATATCGATGCCATCGCAGGGTGGTTGGGTTCGTACAAAGGCGAGGATTCTACGAGCGATATATCCAGAGGTATGAAGTCCTTATAACATACCGCCGTTCTACACCCGTCGTGCTCCTCTAAGAATTCGAAATTGGCTTTGTTGTTGACACATTTTGGACCAGGCTATCTTGCGGGCACAGAGGGAGTCAGGAGATCATTGAAACTGTTTGACAAGTATAGCATCAAGGCATCATGGTTCATCCCAGGCCATAGCTTAGAGTATGACTTTCCCATCGGAGTCCTCGCACTGCATTGCAGCCAATACTGTGTTGGTGAAGTTTTGAAGCAGAATACAACTGACTCTGCCCCTCCTTAGGACATTCCCGGAAGAGTGTGCCATGGTCCGCGATGCTGGGCACGAAATTGGGCTTCATGGATATAGTCATGAGAACCCGGTGGACACGACCCTCGACAAACAGCGTGATATTCTCGACTACACGTATCGAAGGATCACCGAGTTCTGCCATGGGAAACCACCTCGAGGAACAGTCGCTCCTTCAAGTAGCCAGATCAAGTAAGATCAGGTTCGTTTCATAAATTTCAAAGCACCGCCCAGCTTCGCGACTTTAGTCACATCACGTAGAGTGAGGCTCATCCTTGTATCTCTCTGGGCTTTGCCAGACTGGAACGGCGTTTGATCCCCAAGGTATTCCCAGTTGATAATGCGTTCGCCATTCAGATCTTTATCGATAGTGAGTTCGGAAATGCCATGTAATGTGTTGACGTACATGTCTCCAGTCGTTACCAGAAGGCTGCGTGGTTCCTGCAGAACACGCCATGCGGGGACTGCCTCTCGCTCGCCGTATTCATTCTTCTTGTATATTTCCAGCACAGTGTGACTTCCAAGGCTCACCGTGGCAGTAATTGGGTTGTATGCGGGTCCGTCAACATGTGGCATAATCCCTTCTCCCGGTTTGTACTCATTGATCAAGACATGATTAGGTCCCTTGTGCGTTGAATCTTCGAAGTAGCCCTCTTCTCGCAAACGACGGACGACCGAATCAAGGAATGATGGCATGGCAGCCGCGATGAGGGTATCATGCGCTGGGCCAACCAGTGAAGATGGGAGAGAAAGGAGGCGGCGGTGGCTCAGGACTGTCCACCGGGATTCTGGAAGCCGTCTTATCTGGTCTAGAATCTGGTGTTCTTCTGCCGGAGTAATGAAGCCGTTCACATAATAGCATGATTCAGGAAGCCCTGGAATAGGGCGGGCATGGATCGCAGGCATGGATCGCAGGCATGGATTCACCTGCAGAGGTAGAAATGGACAGGGACAAGGTGAGGCTTGCACAAACTTACAGAAAAACTGAAGCAGAGGGCAGCATAGACATGAGCACTGGAGTCGTTCTCATCCAACAACAGCGCGGAGGACTGAGGACATGATCATGGCACCAGAGCGTGCAAAGGTGCAGAGGTGCAGGTAAGTAGAGAGTAGGTGAGAGGTGGGGATGAAGTGCGGTGATGACATTCAGCCTCGTGGCGTGGCGTCAAACTCCCACCATCCCAGCCTCACCAACGACAATTTAATTTCCATCCAGGCAACAGAAAACAATAAGCTACCACTCCCAGTGGCTCAAATGTTGACCAAGATACCATCCTCGTGCTCAGGGTCCTGCATGGCTTCGGCGCAACCATCGAGCACTACCCCGCCACAGATATAGGCCACCCGTTCGCTCATCTCACCACGTCATGACTTGATGTTCCTGATGCCATTATTGAGGCTCCGTTGATTTCTATTTCTTCTTCGTTTCCACATCCCCTTCTTATCCTCTCGCGCCTGGACACCGGCAACAAGCAGACATGAGCCAAACATATGTATCATTGTATCGGCAGACTTTGGCATTACGACAACAAAACTATAATGCTTCCATCGCGGCAGGAGAATATGTACCATTCCTCTATCCTTGGGATTCGTTCTTCGCGCTGTACCCACTCCTGGCCATCATCATCACTCCAAGACTGCCAGAGAGATCAAGGAGCCTACTGAGGTACTTGGCCTTTACTCTAGTCTTCTCCCACAGCTGGTACGTGATCGTTCACCGGAGAACATTATGGTTTGCTGGCGGCTATGGCATTGGACTGTGCGCAGTCTGGGGTGCGATCATGTCTGGTGCTTTAATGCTATTTAATGATCCTGAACGGGATTTCTGGAGACTGGAAGCGAGGGAGATTCAGCTAGACGATTCAAGTCTTGTTCACCACGCGTCGACAATAGTATCTGCTCCCCGGGCTGCCAGTTCACATGTAGACGTCAGGCGGCGAAAAGTGCCCAGTGTCTATACTGCAACCAATATTGAGCAAAACGAAGTCCCTGGTTCTACTGAGCCAGCCAACAAGCCTTACCAACTGGTATGGCAAGGCTTTCCCTACAATGCGGAATGGATACATGTCATTGATTGGACTGTGGATCTCGTTACAGGGTTTCGAGGAGTAAACTGGAATCATCGCATACCTACACTAGCGGGGATTGATGCACCCATTCCTCCAATGCCCACAAGAGGACAGGAGAAGCCGATATCAGAAGTCAATCTGGAGAGTAAGCCAACAGCAATACCGAGGCGAACCTTGCAAGCTCTCCAGCGTCGGGCGGTGCAGGACTTTCTATTCAGCTACCTCATGCTTGATGTCCTGAAGACATCAATGGTAACCGACCCATACTTTTTGGGTCTGGGAGACCTGAACAGTCCAAGTCCATGGTTGTGGCTATCGCACTTGACTGAGGCAGTGCCATTTGCGACCCGATTCTTGCGACTCGGGATGTCCATGGCCGGAGTAGTGGCAGCGTTGACCTTTATTTTCAGTCTCAGCCCATTATTTTTCACTCTTGTTCTTCCGGCGCTGGTGGATGTGCCCAAAGTCACCAAGTCACCTCTACTGGAGCCCTGGCTGTACCCGCCCCAGTGGCATCCTTTGACGACTTCAGTGCTGCATACTGGACTGGCAGGCTTTTGGGGCAAATTCTGGCATCAAATGTTTCGTTATGGGTTTTCTCAGCCATCACGAGTCCTCATACGGAGACTGGAGTTGGACCCGAGTGGCAATGGAGCTCGAATAATTCAACTCCTGACAGCATTCGCCCTGTCAGGTTCGGTCCATGCAGCGGGGAGTTTCACGGCATTTTCACTTGTACAAACGCATCCAGTATCGGGTTCTCTTTTATTCTTCATCTTGCAGGCATTTGGGGTGTTTACACAGACACTGGGGGTCAAGATCTTGCACACGCAGATTCCCATGACAAAATCTCTGCCACAAGTCGTGCGTCAGACAGCGAATGCTGCTGTGACTCTGGGCTTCCTTTATTTCACAGGGCCATTACTGGCAAATGATTTTGCACAGTCTGGCATCTGGTTGTTTGAGCCCGTTCCTGTCAGCATTCTTCGAGGGCTTGGATTTGGACCCGGGGGAAAGGATGAAGGGCTTTGGGCATGGTCTCAAGACGGTTCGACATGGGTAGGGTGGTGGACTGGGAGGGGCTGGTGGGAAACTGGTTTGGCCATATTCTAGATGGAGAACAAGGTACACCGTAGCATGAAAGGAACAAGCTCTCGAGTGTTCAAGGCTGCAGTTCGGTACAGAGTACCCATACCTAGGTACTACCGCACCTGTCTACGGACTACTCCGTACGTGCCAGGAATCATAGGAACACTCGTAGCTCATGAAGATCGCCCATGACACGACGTTCCTTCACCCAGGAACTGGGACGCGACATGGGGGAATGGCCTTGGCTGATGTCATATATAATCACGTGGATGATCTCGTGACATCTCGTGATAAGCCACCAGAGGTGAACTTTGAAGCAGAAGAAGCAAAGACAAGTTCGGGGCTTTCGCCACCTTGCTGCAACGGCTGGGGTAAATGACAGATCCGAGAGAAGAACAGATGGGAAAGCTATTTTGGGCATGTGAGTGACATGTTCCCAAATGTTGAAGCACCGTGTCGAGCTATTTACTCGTAACTCAAATCTTGACTGACCAAGCTCATACTGCGAGGATTCGTACCTATACAGACGTGCAAGATCATTCTAGGTACCACTGGATGCGTGTTCTCACATCGGTCCATCCTCCAGAGTCGGACTTCCGGCGCCACAGAGTCGATCAGCCTGATCCTAAATTTCCCGAAGGCTCTAGGTTTCCCACGCTAACCACTAGGTAGAGCCTAGGAGCCCGCATGGGGCAGCATCAGCTCCTTTGTAGGCCCCTCGGGCCCTAAATTAGCTAAGACTGGTTCTCTTCACAAAGCCTGACGGGGGCTGCCGGGGGCCTGGGCTTTCGCTTGAGCTTGCGCCTATTCCACGTTATCCAGCGCCTAAGGTAGGCTTTGGCTCTGCAGTCTGGGTGCCTGGGACGGTCTGTCACCTGGTGCACCTGCAACCTGCGCCTGCACATCAGCAGTTCGGCTGCGGTTCGCAAAGTCAGAGAGTCACAGACTCGCCGTCGTACACCAACCAACCATCGCATCCCAACCCATCATATCCCATCCAAGACTCGCGTCAGCAGCCCAACTCAATCAACGACCCTAGCACGTCATATTGCCCTTGCTCCATCTCTAACGGTTCGAGTTTTGCACCCTTTGACGCAGTAGCTCGATTCACCAAAGTTACATTCGTCCACGAGTAGATCACTCTCACTCCTCTTCTTGTCGCCTGCGCACTACCTGGAGTAAAGCGCGCTTCTGTGAGCCCGATCGCACAACCTCAGCCGTCTGCCTCTGCGACGGCTTTTGCGACCCACCCCCGCGCCACCTGTTCTGTATCACCATCCAACTTCACCTTCAAACGCAATCGTAACCGTACGCCTTCGACTCGCACTCCCACTCCCACGTCCTAGATCCATCGCTAATCAGCTTGCGGTCCGTCTCCCACCGCTTGCTGATGTCCATTCGCTTCCCATCTCTTCTGCGTCATGGCAATGCAACCGCCGCTTGCCAACGACAAGAAGAGAGTCAAGGTCTATGAGCTGCGCGATAATGACTGGTTCGACAGAGGAACCGGCTTTTGTACCGGTCAGGTCATCAATGTAAGCTTCCACTTACTTCTCACCGCGTCTTGTCCGCATTGCAACAAAAGACGCGCTGACACGCCCAACAATAGGATGAACCGCGCATCTATGTCGAGTCCGAGGACCAACCCGATCGCATGCTGTTGGAAACGCGCATCGTTAAGGACGATGGCTACCAGAAACAACAAGGTCTGCCCTCATGATTTCCTGACTCTTTTCTTCTCCCAGAGCCTGGCTAATGCTCAACAGATACCCTGATCGTGTGGACAGAAACAAATGGGACCGATATGGCCTTGAGTTTTCAGGAAGCGGAAGGATGCGCGGTCATCTGGTATATTCTCCTTCTCTTGCACACGTAGGATCTTGGACATCCAGATAACGTCTTTACAGGGATTTTGTACATCAAGTTCAGCAACAGCTTATGTCCCTTCCCGGTACGCGCCTTGGTACGCGATCAGGCTGACTTCCACTAATTGACTTCCAGATGATGGCCTTTCGGACGATGCGCTCGAGAACATGACCTCCTCCTTCACCTTAAGCCTACCCGACTTGAACAATCTGGACGAAATAGAGCAGAACATAAGACATGCAAGTATCACACAAGGCGGGCGCGAGGCTCTCGCAAAATTTTTAATTCGAGAGGAGTATCTACTGAAGTTGATACCGTTGGTCGAGATTGCCGAGGACTTGGAAAACTTGCCAGACTTGCATCGCCTTTGCAATATCATGAAGGCTCTCATCCTGATGAATGACAACTCGATCATTGAGTATCTGGTTACCGACGATGTCATCCTAGGCGTCGTGGGCGCGCTCGAATACGATCCCGACTTTCCCACGCATAAAGCCAATCATCGACAATACCTGGCAGACGAGTCCAGGTACAAAGAGGTGGTCGAGATCAAGGATCAAAACATCAAACGTAAAATCAGGCAAACCTGGCGTCTCCAGTACCTGAAGGACGTTGTTCTGGCCAGAATTCTCGATGATCCCACGTTCGGTGTCTTGAACTCCCTCATTTTCTTCAATCAAGTCGACATCGTTCAGCATCTTCAGAATAATACCCAGTTCTTAAAGGAACTCTTCGCCATTTTCAGCCTCGAAAACACCGATGTGAAGAGGAAGGAACAGGCTGTCCATTTCCTACAGCAGTGCGCCGCAATCGCCAAAACATTACAGATGCAGTCCAGGGCAAATCTACTTAATAATTTCATTGCCCATGGACTTTTTGCTGTCATTACTTTCGCCGTCAAGCACCCTGAGCCTTCAATGAGAACCACCGGCATAGACATCCTGGTCGCGTTGCTCGACCATGATCCGAGTATGATGCGCGGGTACATGCTCAAGGCCGTTCACGAAAAAAAAACCCCGCTCACAGATACCTTGATTGAGCTTCTGCACGCTGAGACGGATCTGGGGGTTAAGAACCAGCTTGCCGACGCAATCAAGATCTTGTTGGATCCTCAGCCACCCTCCAACGACCAAATGGGAAATCGACAAAACTCGGAATTCATGACAAAATTGTCCCGGCCACAAATTACACCAACGCAAGCTGCGAATGAACAGTTCGCCCAAGATAACTTCGATCGATCCTGTCGAAAGCTGTTTCAGCCTCTCAAGTCCTTAGAGTCCAGAGATTCGCTACAGAATTTCAGCTATCAAGAGGTTTCTCTATACTCTTACCTCATTGAGATACTCACCTTCTTCGTCCGACAGCATTCAATGCGAAGCAGACCATTTGTCTTATCTGAAAATCTTGGCCCACGAGTTGCCCAGTTGCTCAAAGTCCCTCAAAAGCCTTTGAAGCTGACCGCTTTGAAGTTCTTCAGAACGACTGTGTCCCTACAGGATGGCTTTTATGCTGCCCAGGTCGTCAAGAGCGGAGCATTCGACGCGATACTAGACATTGTGATCGACACCATGCCTAGAGACAACTTACTGAATTCAGCTTGCCTAGAACTTTTCGAGTTCATCCGGAAAGAAACCATCAAACAGGTCATTGTACATCTTGGGCAGCAGTATAGAGAAAAGCTGCAAAACATCACATATGTCGATACGTTTGAAAATCTTTTGATCAGGTTCGAGCAACTGACAACGGAACCTCCACCCGAACCCGAGCATACCTTGTTCAGTCAAGATGACGCGACACCACCAACGAATCGATCTCACCTAAATGGAAGATGGCAAGGTCTTGCGGACATGGATTCGAATGAGGAAGACTATTTCAACACCTCAGATGACGATGAGGAAGAGAGGGAGGAAGGCACAGATCATGAACATGCCAAAGACGTATCAGAAAGGATGCAATGGCATCGGAGAAGGATGAAGTCTGAGATGATGAACGGCAGCGCCTCTCCAATCAGCAAACCACTTGTCGATTATCCGGACGATGACGAAGATGAAGCTATGGATTCCAAAGCCATACCGTCTCAGGCACCACTCACACCAGACAGCAGTAAAGACGGCTCTTCTCCTGAAGCCAAAGCGGCCCCAGAGAAGACACTCCAACCATCTCCAGACATCAAGGCGGCCGGCGACTCGGACGTACAGGCACCACCGGAGCGATTAGCTGAGAAGCGAAGAAGACAAGACGATGACGAAGACGACGAACTAGGAAAACTGAGCGGAGGACCCAAACGCCGGAATTCCTCTTCGAGCACTTCCAGTCTTGCGTCCCATGGGTCCATACGTCGGAAGAAAGGATTCTTGAGATCGAAACAGGCTGGTGATGGTGCGACCCTTCCCAGTAGCAATGCCGACACGGAGAATCACATCGAAGGCCGCAAACCGCGCAAGATCGCTATCAGTCTGACCAATGCTTCAAATAAGGCAGAAGAGAATAAGAGCAATACCAATGTGGGCGGACCGAACAAATCGCCTGCTGCGGCCAAGGAACAACAGTGATGAAGAATTGGAATACTTATATGACATTTGCTCGTACTGGCGACGGTGTTTGGAGGAGTCCGACTGACAACTGTGTACCAATAAAACCAACCACGAGCGACGGGATGAGGGTGAAAGGAAAGATTTCTAATTGGACTCTGCACTGCATGAGGCATGACGGCGTTGGAGCTGAGAGATGCGGTGCTGACTCTGATGACCACTGTATTCTGCTCGGGGCTCGTCAAGATCAGAGGAGAGTTGCTTTTGAGCTCGAATGAGCTGACTATCAAATATCATATTTGTGAATAGTAAATGTGGAAAGGCTGGTCGGTCCGTCTCAGATTTGGCTGCCTTAGGTATCAGGTATGAAAATGATCAGCACGTCTTTGGGCTGAATGAAGGTCTTTATTGCCCTTGGTGGTACTTATGGATCTTGGCTTCTGTCACATGAGGCCGTGCAGACCGTCTGACCATGGTTAGTCGGGAACTTGACTGAAGAGTGCCACGTCTACTTACACTTCCATGCTGACTCAACAATCTGCTGCCCTCGGTGCATCAACTCATGATGCTGCGGCTCAGTCGTCAACAAACTCAGTCTTCCGTTTCCTGGCAATCAGCCCTACGCATGTACCTCCGCCTTGCCCACCCCCTCTTACCAGGGAAAATGCCTCCGTCCTGATGGACAAAAACTCATGGTCTAAGAAATCGGGAGGGGGAACGCTTGATCAAGAATTCCGTCCGAGGATGAAAAGGCTCTAGCCTGTAAGGCCTACAAGATTGTAACGGTGATTGCGTATGGTTTGACTCGTGTACACAATGACAGAGCTGGAGAAGATCCAACTGCTTTTTGCTAATGAAGCTTTATATTTTCACCCTAATGAAACGATAGATAAGTTAAGATCCTGGATTGAAGAATGCTGCTCTAAGAGCATACGTCGGCATCAAACGACTGGCACGATCCGCTGTTTATATCAATTTGCGGCCACTGCCTAACAGCTTGGTCAAGAGACAGGAAGCAAGTCTTAGGAGGCGAGACATATGAGTCTCTAATAGAGGACGCCATCCAAAGAATAGTTTCACCATTTGTGAACATCGTGGTAGGTGTTCATTCAGCTCGAGCTTGACCACGTTGACGCGTGCAGTTTCCGTGTCTCGTACTCCGCTCTGGAGAATGTATAGGCACATACAAAAAGAGCCAGGCGAGAAAGAGTGCGCTTGATGAGAGGAATGCCCTTCACGGGAACCCTGTCCAAAGATTGATTCGACTGGATCAGACCTTGGATACGGAGCAAGTGGCAGCAGGTCCGCGCTGCCTTGGACAAAGCTCGGCAAATATCAAAAGCGTGTGTCGAAAATCGACAGAGACGTGGTGAGGATTGAAAAGACCATCCAGGATCAATGGGATTTGAAGCGAACACACGCTAGCATCAAGGATCCACGCCCGAGTCTCATCCTCAGCGTCGCCTTGACCGGCTTCACCGTTATAACCATCAACTTCACGCCACTAGCTTTCGCGGTGAGCCACTTCGCCCAGCCCCTTGACAGGTCTTTTCATGATCAAGTTCATTTCGGCGGCACCAGCGGGACAACAGAAGCAATGGGACGGACCCTTCAGCTGCCTATTCTTTGCGTTTTGCGGGGACGTGAGTTGATGAGTGCGAGGGTTCTGCATGTGCATGCCGACCTCACTCGATCTTGCTGACCAGGTTACAACCGTGACGGAGATCGTTTCCTCGGTGGTTACTATCCTTCTCGTGATAATGTTCTTAAGGAGTTTCTGTACGAGCTGGCGGGATACGATCCCAAGCAGGTGGCTCAAACAGCGCTAGAGGGCGGCTCAAGATCAAACCCAGAACAATACTGCACGGTCACCTCCTGCGCAAAGGCCATGGACAAGAACGCCACAATACAGACGGTCTCGACTACAAAATAGTCCAATGCCAGGAGACGGGTTGCCGCCGTCTTCAGAGGTGGAAAGTCGCGGAAGGGAAACCCACCATAGCGATACTATCGCATGGGCATGTCGCACCCGGCCGACTGAGGACATCGACACGAACGACCTCTACATAAGGCTCCGCACTGCTACTTACCAGTGCTCATCCCGTGGAGCTCAATTCGATTCATATATCTTTAATATGGATATCAATGTATCGAAACATTTTTGACCGCAGGTGTGGAGAAAGCTTAGTCAGATGAAAAGGAGGTGGTCAAGTCCGTCCATTCCTGATCCGTTGGACGTCTGGCCGTCTCCTTTCCCCGCCTTACGATCTCGACATTAGGCAATGATAAGACGTATTCGGGAAAGTCACAGTGACTTGCTATTTAAGTTTAAGTTTGTAGTGAGCAGAGCACGCCCTGTCAAATGTCGTGGTGGAATAAATATCCACTTTGAGATCTTCATGAGTCAAACCATACATCTCACATTGCAATGATATAGCATTTAAACATTTCATTATCACGAGCCTGCTTGACGATCTCGAGAGGAGACAAACAACTCCGAAGCTGATTGTTTCCTACTCCCTAACATTGAATCTACTCACTCTACTTCAAGGACTATTCCACCATTACATCAACCATGAGCAAAGCGCCCTACGAACACTACGCTCACGACCATGTGATTCTCATGCTCGATACACCTGAGTTCGAGAACCTACCGACCTGGCTGACGGACAACTTCAACATCATCGAAGGAGGAACGCACGCAGGTAAGCGAAGAGGCATCAGATCGATGAGGAATGGCTTCCGCTTGCAACTCCAGAGTGGAAATTCGAAATGATCATTCCACTAACCTCCCCACCAACTCTGCAGGCGGCTCAACACGCAACAAGCTGATCATCTTCGCGGACGGGACATACATCGAGCTGCTGAACTGGATCGCCAAGCCAGTGGAATTCTTCGACTGGGCGGGCAAAGCACCCGGTTTGATCGACTTCGCGTTGACGTCGACGCAGTCGGCACACGAGGTGTTCGATGCGGTAATGAAGCGGCTAGAATCGTCCTCTTCGTCCTCTTCCTTTGGAGACGGCGGCCTCGGCGTGCGCTTCAAGGACCCGCTCAACGGCGGGCGCAAGCGAAAAGACGGGAAGCAAGTCGAATGGTACGTGACGAAGCCACGCTTCGACAGCGACGATGACGGCGCCCCGAATGTGCCGAGACCGCAGGAATCGTATTTTCCAATGGGAAGGCTTGACACGCCGTTCTTCTGCCACGACGTCACGGACCGCGCGCTACGTGTGCCGTACCTGGAGCCGGGAATTGCAGACCACCCTTCTGGAGCGAAGGGGATCCTAAGCGTTGAGGTCGTCGTGCCCCAGAATAAGCTGGAGAGTTACGCGAAGCTTTACGCGAGCGCCACGGGCTCGGAACCCGAGGCCGCAAAGAATGACGCCACGACAGCAGTTCGCTTGCGTCTGGCTTCACCTGACCCAGAGGCTTTGAAAGAAGTCCAGGATCGTGTAGGCATTGATCTTCGAATGCCCGCGGATGAGGCTGATGAGCAATGGATCCGAGAGCGTGGAGTGGGCATCAGAGCATTGAAGATCTACGTACCTGGCCTGAGCAAGGACAGGCCCCTCGATGGTACGGGCATTGGGAGTAGTGTTGTTCTGGTCAGTTAGGGGCAGGATCAAGTTGAGCCGGGGAAAGATGTGGAAATAGATGTGACAAATCATAAATATGAATCCGACGTGCCAAACCTTGAGAACGGCACAAAACCCGAGCGAAAGGGGACCTTTTCACGATTTCTGGACAGACTACAGGCTGCAAATGCAAATACACAAGAACTACCATCCCAACAAAGTTCCTACCCCAGAAAATGCACGCGAGCGAGTCTAGTTTTCAGAGCTTCGACTCCTTCGCAGCGCCACTTGCACTCCCAACGTCAGGGTGCAAGCCGACTCTCAGCCTCGCACCACCATCTAAACTAACATCCTGCCCATTGACATAGCTCCCGGCCGCACTGCAAAGATAGACAACAAGGCCGGCGATGTCCTCCGGCCTGCCCAGCCTGCCCATTGGGTTCTGCTTGCCGACGACATCTTCGCCACCGAGATAGTCGATCTGCGGGTTTGCGAGGCGCGAGGGGAAGAAGCCTGGCGCGACAATGTTCGTGGTGATGTTCTTCGGCGCCAGCTCGAGCGCAAGATTGCGTCCTAGATGGTGCGCTGCCGCTTTTGAGACCGAGTACATGATCGCTCCGCGTGCTCCGACGTGCGGGACCATAATGCCGCCCACGGAGGAGGTGATAAGCACGCGAGATGGGGAGGCTGCTGTCGCTGCGGCGCTTAGAAGAGGGACCATGCTGTGCGGTTGCGTCAGCCGTGAGTCCGTTAGGCAGGAAGGTAAGACTTGAAGGCCACCGGCATAACGACCAATATCAGTAGGAAGAAGAACAATAGAGCAGACCAAACAAAAAGCAATGAAGCCACATACAATCGAACCAAATTAAAAACTCCCCTGACATTGAGGTCGAGAGTCTTTTGACTCTTCCAATCCTCGAACTCCTCAAAGGGACCACCCCAACTGCTCGCAGCATTGGCGATAAGGATGTCGACGCCGATGGGAGCCTCACGGTTCAATCCGCGCACTTCATTCCCGACGTCCGTCACGAACTTCTGGATCTGGTCGGTGTGGCCCACGTTTGCTGGAATGGCGACGGCACGGCCGCTGGTTCCTGGGATGGCGTTGAGTTTGTCGGCGGCCAGCATGAGATTCGTTGCATCGCGTGCTGTGATGATCACCAGAGAGCATCCTGCTTGGAGAAGCGCGGCTGATGCGTAGAGTCCGATTCCTCGGGATGCTACATTAAAAGGGAGAAGGGATATGTCAGCTCTCATTTCTGGCACTTTGCTTGCCAGATGTGCATGGGTTTATGGAGTTTCTTTGGTTGAGAGAGCCAATGGGTTGTCACTTCTGGAGTAGTCGATCGCTGCTGCATGTAGAGCGTGCTTGATAAAAGCAACACACGATTTCAAACAGTGAAATGAATGTACCGTGTTACCCGACTCCAATATGCGATTCACGTTCTCATGCCTCTCAGCCGTGCAGAATTCAGAGATGTGGCTTACCGCCAGTGACAACTGCAATCTTCCCATCTAATCTGAATAAACTGGAAAAGTCCTTGATTTCTGCCATGGTAATCGGGTGGCTTCGGTCTTTCTTGATCAATGGATCCCGGTGACTGGTGAGGCACCAGCAAATCACCAAGGGAGTGAATGCAATAAGTTATAACTTATAATATATATTAGAAGATGCAGCGAATAATGCTCTATGCCTCCTAGATTTGATAGCATTCATTGGCGTTTCAAGTGACACGAAGAGGAGATGTCTAGACCAGCACCAGAAAACACAAGGAGTTCGGTACATTTGTCCCTGTCACTCCTGGCGTACACTATGATATGGAAGAAGGACAGTAGTATGGTATATCTGTGGGGAAGCTGGCATGTTCGAGTCAGTTGGTCCGAGACGTGCCTCGGCCTCCCATACCAATCAGATTTGTCGCTCACACGGGCGTGCCATGAAAGTCGAATGCTACTATATGAACTAGCTAGTAGTGCTCGGATCTCATGTCCTGATAATACATAATCTTTCGTACCGACCTTGTACACACAATCACCATCAAGCCCCTTGGCGGTCTTCAGGGAGAACATCAGCGTCCAAGGCTGTCCCGGGCCATACTGACTCTATTGTTGATTCACCCTAAGTCTTCACAACAAACGGTCCAGGCTCGTTCTATACTCGACTTCCTTGCTGGGTCTTGAATACATTCTGGAATAACCAATGCCATCCATAGACCTTATTCCACGCTCATGATGAGGGGTGCTAGATCTCCGGCGAGGCCTGCTTGGTCCGGGTAGTTTTGCCAGTGCCTCTGGGTTTGTCTTTGACAGTGACCTTGCCCCATTGCCTGTGTTGCTGCTGGTTGGCTGAAGCGCCGGGACGTTATTTCTCACGCTATGTTTCCGCGTTTTGACGGCTGGGCTGAGATTTCCGTACTCAGCTTGCTTGGGCCCAGAGTCTACATCTACCACCACATTATTCCAGCTTGGTTGTTCTTTGCTTGGGCGCCCTTCCTGCGCTCCCGCAGGATCCTGACTGGGCTTCCTGCCCTTCCTCAAATTGCGTTGCTGTCGAGTTCTGAGTTCTTTCAACTGGATGAGCATATTCCGTTCATGTTCACTTAGCATTACCTTTCGAGGAGGCGAGTCTGGCGGTACCTCGAACTCGGATTCAGAGAAGCCAAGGCCTGAAGTCGATACTTGGAGTCTTGGTAGCCGAGGACCGTCTGGTTTCGGTGATTTGTCTTTCTCATGAAGTAGATGGCAGTGATAGCAGCTTGGGTGACGTGTGAGATGGCGGTGCGAGCATGATGCAATGCTGGTGAGAGCAGGAACAGTATTCTCATCCAAGGCTCCTGGGTTAAGCCCCCCTACACAGTGGCTATGGCTGTGGGTGTGACCAACCTGACGTGGAGAGCTGTCAAGATCTTGAGTGAGGGAATCCACATCTCGATATTGGAGCTTGGCTCTGCTTTGACGTGCCTTCTCTAGAGACTGTCGAACAGGCGCCGAAAAAGCCTGTCCTTGCTGGAACGAGGTAGGGGGCTGGTTGTCGGTAACAATGGGCACGGTCTTCGCTCTTTTTGCTTCAATGGAAGCAGCGACTTGGGCCATAGAATTTGGTAAGATATCTAGGGAATTAATTGGTATGATGGTAACCGGAAGCTGAACGGCGACAGTCTTGAACATCTTCACACTGACTACCACGTTGACGAAGTATCGAATCTCAAAGTACCTTCCAGTGCTGATCGTAACATGGCCTCGGGGAGCCTCAAGCTCTACCGTTCTGACATCGGACGAATAGGACCCGATGCCACCCCAAGTACTTGATTTTTTGACGGTGGTGCCACTCACTATTTCGGTGTCCGTTCTTCGAGGAAGTCGCAGATAATGTACAGTTCTTTCCGAAGTGCCAACTGGAGGGTGGGTGTACCACAGAGTGGTCTTCTCCAGCTGCACTTCGATCTTCTTAATTGCTTTGGGTGTATTGTTGGAGATGTGGACGTCAATAAATATCAGTGCTCCGTTGACCCATGTCTGTCGATGCAAGCCAGCGGTCAGTTTGACGGTCTGCAAGTCTGGCTCACGCGAGAGATATAGCGTGTCTGCAGCAAGGAGAGGGCTCGGAAGACTAGCCAACGCTTTTTCGGGATCATGAATTGTGAGCATCAGAACACTCCAGGTCTGTCTGATCACGCTGCTCTTGTCTCCAACTTTTACTTTCACTGATGGACAAAGGAGGTATCGAATGGCTGCTTGTCTCGAGGAGTATGGAGGGGGCCCAAGTTTTAGTGGTAAATTGATGCAGAAAGGCAGGACAGCACTGGCAGATTTCAACTCCCACCATAACTCTGGCCCATCCTGAGGGTGGGGGGAGGTGACCAGTGATGGAGGGGGCGGGTTGTTGTCATCAAATAATTCCGTGGCGAGTGACAGAAATACCTAACGCCTGCCATCGCTGATCTCTTCGACACCAACAACATCCACCGAGGCCTTCGAAATATAAATGGGTTTGGTCTTTGATTTTCGGGGTCCTCGCCCATCGACTTGAATTGATAGTTGACCTTCAACAGTACCTCCGCCGACGAAAAGCGGAGAGACCAAGCGCACTGAAATCTCAACCCGGGGATGTCGTATACTTCCATTATCGAGGGCCTCGTGTGGGGGTGTAGTTCGGATGAAAGTACGCGCAGGGGTAGGACGGAGAATTTCGGATGATTGAGCTGCTCTACCCAATGCTCGCCGCACGGGCGACTCTGCTCGACCGCGGTCGGGGATCACTTTGCTTGTATCCTCCAATTCAGGGATTTTCCACGTGGGCAACTCTTGCAGGGAGTTTTGGCCAGAACCGCCACCCAGACTTCGAGAAAATACGCTGGCTGATGAACGTCTTTCCGGAACATGACGAACTGGGAGGCTGATAGCGCTGGTTGCTCGGCTTCCCAAAGCCTTGGATATGTTATTGGGAGCCGAACGAAGTGCGGTGGGCGTGAGGTATTCGGACGATGTAGTATGGGAAAGAGCATCTGCTTGCTGAACTGGAGTTTGCGGACGGTCTTTACCTCCATCGGTCCATTTCGGATTGGCATCTGTGTAGCCAGAGGCCTTGGTAGACGTTGAGACCTCTCGAATTCCAGATAGCTGGTGAATACGATGTCGTGCTAATGCCGAGATCGGTCGAGTGAAGGCTTCAAGAGTTGAAGGAAGCGGGAATCTCAAGGGTTTATTCTCATCTGCTACTGTCCGTTTCGAGAAGTGAGGCCGATGGGGGGCATCTGTAAAGCTGTTAGAGGAGTTCAGCTTCATAAAGACTGGCTTGCCCACCTCTGAGATGTCGTGAATCCATCGACGGCGGACACCTGTTGGTTAATCAGGGCTAGTGATGAATTGAAAGGCTTGAAGAACAGTATCGACTATTGTTACGGGGAGCAAAGAATGCAACGACGTAACGGCTGAACGTTGAATGAGGCGGTTCTACTCAAAGTTCTGACATGGTTGCATTGGTGTGGTCAGGTCACTGATGAGTAGGAGGATCACGAAAAATGGGGGAGCAGGTAGGGCTGCGGTTGAGATAGAGTGCCTTCCGCCAGAGACATGTTGACACGAGGGGCAGGCGCGATGGACAGTCCACGAACACATTCTCATCACGTCACATTCATCCTTACCCGCACATCAGAAAGTCCATAGAACGATACAGCTACTCCGGGATATCGGACTCGCCCTCTTACCATGAAACCACCAAAATGAAGAGAATTATGGTGTCGGAAAGAGGCCACCGGTGAAGCCTCACCGCTTTGATTTGTCCATGGGTACTGTGAGTTCACTGGTACTTGCTTCACTTGCTGTTTGACGGTTCATCTTCTTCGGCTTTCCTTGTTGGGCAACCAACCTCGATAGGGTCTGTGTGTGGGATAACCGTTCGTATTTGCGGCAAGAACGGACTGCCAGTGTGGACGCTGGCGCAATAATCAAGTCTTCCCAGAACTACGGGCGAGCCTGTGTTACACTTTGGAGTCGGGAGGACGTGTAACCTGCATTGGTGGACAAATTCTAGCAGCAGCGAGTGCCCAGCCTCGGGATTTTCATGGCAGGCCAGGTCAGCTGCCTCTCATCAGAGTGCCCCATTGGTTCCGACAGATCGAAGCTGGAGTGGCTCGAAGGTTTCCGGAGCATCGCGGTGGCTGTGAGTGCCATGAGCCGCTCCCAAACATCATGAGGCCGCATTGAACAGGGACGATATACTCCGGTCTCATTTCCAGCGACGATGGTCACCGCCGTGTCGAAAAGATCGACCAGGGTGTTTGTTGGTAGCTTATCTTGGCACGATCAATTGAATCATTTCTGCATGGAGATATCATGAAACCTTGTGAGGCTGTCTATGCCGAGGCCCTCTGTGAATCTGTTATGGCGGACTCCAGTTGTGGGCACCCAGCGGAAATAGGAAGCCGAGATAGCTGCGTAACTTATGGTCTGGATTCGCATGGTCACGGGGTTTGATTTCGGCCGGAGAGTGCCATCCACACCTCCTGTAGGTACGAGTGACTTTGGAGGTTGGCGGATCGCAGCCAGACATCCTGTTAGGTGCCGAACCCCTAAAGTTTAAGGGTATGGAGGCTAGAGGATCGAAGATCGGGGGCGGTAGTCGCCGTTGCTTTGTCTGAGGTGATCAGCAGGGGATGCCTGGAAGCTCCGGACCCTTTAAGTGGGAGTAGCCCCCGGAGACTCGTGAGGAAGGCCACCGCGGCCCTCTTCTCATAAAGCACGCAGCTTTCGCTCCTGCCTCCACGGAGAAAGACGACCCAAGGGAGGGCGGGGAAACCACGCTAGCAGGGGCTAGTGACACTTGGCGTGGCGCCATCCCCTTCCCGGAATGGTCGATGGCACATCCGACGCGCAGAGGCGTTCGCCTGATGTTCGATCAGCCTTGTCCCTCTCGCCCATCTCGAGACATCATTAGCCTTGTTCTCTATCCTGAATCCGGGCATGGTTCGCGGATGGCGTACTACCTGATTGGTTCCCGCTCTTAAAGCATCCCAGCTGTGAAAATTTTCCTCCACGTGGCGCCTCTGCTCCTCTCCTGTTGCAATGTCTCCGATGCAAGCAGAGTTTTCATCCTCACTTGCTTCGCGTTCCAGGTTGTCGACAACCTCGTCAGAAGATCAAGCGAGAAAGCCCCTACTCCGTAACGTTGGGATTGGACCTTGTAGAACCCCCCACCACCAAACCACATCTGTATGGCGCAATGATCGACTTCTACACAACCCTCTGAGTGAATTCCGCGCCAGGTCCACGCTTCACCATTCTCTCTCCAGCCCTGCCCTGTCGCCTGGCTTCCAAGGTTCGGAACTGAAACGCGTCTTTCCTGAATTCTGAGGATTACTCGTCCTCGACCTTCCGCCCGGTTCGTCCTGTAGGAGAGACACAGCTTCCTACTAACGAAGAGTGCTAGCTTTAATCATCTCCCCCGCCTGCCTCCGCACCTCCCCTCTCGTCAAGTGTGCAAATTTTCATTAGCTTATTGGATTACCTCACAACATCCCGTCTTTCGGGCACTCGATTGCTTTACGTCTCTTATCTCTGTTTTTAATTGTCACCTATCTCTCTTCTTACGTTACTGTTATCACTTTACACAGGCCAGGCGCGCGTCTAATCTGCTATCCTGGTCGTTGATCTCGATTCTGTATCGGCGCTTATGCCAGGCACGTTGCATTAGACTCGGTAGCCTGGAGAAGGTATGGGCTCAGTCGCGAATACCGACGTCACATTACCCGACGCTGTCGTACCAAAACGAGAGTTTAGTACTGAAGACTATCTCTCGGACACGCCATCTACCGCTGATGGCAACGACACGGCAGAAGGGAGCTCTGAACAACCCAATCTGGAGCCGACGCCTGCTCCGAAGCGCAAGGGTGGAAGAAAGCCAGTAAGTGTCACCGAGTATAATGCGAAGAAAAAGCAATTCACTTATCCATTCAGATTTACGCGACGTCTGAAGAGCGCAAACAGCGGAACCGTCAAGCACAGGCAGCCTTTCGTGAACGGCGCACAGAGTATATCAAGCAACTTGAGACGACCATTCAGCACCATGAAGAGACTTTGCAGAATCTACAGCAGAGTCACCGTGCTGCTGCCGATGAATGTCTCATGCTGAGGTATAAAAACTCCCTCCTGGAGCGCATCTTGCTTGAGAAAGGTGGGTCATTGTTTATCTCCTGCACGTTCTTGGTACTCACAACTGTCCACAGGCATCGATGTCCAGGCTGAACTCGCTTTGAAGGGTAGCCCCAACCTTCGACCCCATCGAGGGCCTCCTACTACAGGAGTCGCGTCACCAATGCAAAAGGCGATGCTGAGCCGGCAGCAACAGGCTCGAAATCGGCCTGTCATGGCGCCACCTATTCAGACTGTAAATCCATCTTCCCAGGTTGGTGGGCAACGGAACTTTGCGGGCTCACCTACAGCACAGCCTACTCCCCCTTCGCAGCAGTCCTCACCTTCGACAGCACGGTCGCCAGGTTTCGCTTTGCATGGTGGGTTGACCTCACCCGCCACCGATATGGTTGGAGCTCAGCAACCTCAGCAACAACCACGACCATTACCTCCGCAGCAACAGTCCTCCTACGCGCCGCAACCCAGACCGCATGGACGGACGCTGTCACATCCGACAACATCCCAAGCCTATCCTCCCCGAACCCAGGCGAGCCCCACAGTGCAAGACTCTTACTATCCAGCTTTCCAGAAGCATTATTCTCAACTCGGCAAGCTGACCCCTTTCATTCCCCCTTCCCTGCTTGTGGAGCTTTGTTCGTCCTAGGCTGAATTCGTGAGTACAGAACAGGAGTACGACGCCCAACCAGATATCGTCGACGAAATGGATGCCGAAGACGTCGATACCGATTCTTTCATTCCGAACTTCCGATTACCCCCAACTACAACAACTTCGATATCTATAGGCATGCACGCCTCTCCGCCCATGACGACAAGTGGAGCTAGCGACGGCGGTGGAGGTGTAGGCATGATCGATCCTTACGATCCTATGCTAGACGCAGATCCTTTTGGTTTGACTGCTAGCATGCATTTCCCTAATCCTTACGCCTACCCCCCCATGCAACCCAGGAGATGATGCTTGGGGGTATTGACACGACATAATACCTACGCTGCTGTTTCAAACGTGCCGGTTTGTTTACCACCCATGCATCGCACGCACGCATCGCTAGCGAAGGCGCACTCTTGATTACGGAGGCATTCTGTTTCATCTTGGATTGACTTGGACACAGCCCCTGGACCACAGCGTTATGATATAATTTGTATGTACATATTTCAATCACTTAAGATTGTAAATGCTCCGAGGTTCAACTAATCCTGAACACCGTGGTATTCTACGTGAACAAAGATTGGCCTCACCTCATCTCAACAAGTCCTGACCGACAGGACCAAATGATAAGATCTAATTCATTACCCATCGACCGACCTGGTTGCCGTGCAGTACAATTGGTGCTTGTGTATCTGTACCTCAGATCTCAAACCTGATGAGTTGACGAAATACCCACGTGATATTCTCTTGCCCTGACGCCAAGACTCGCTATTCTATTAAAGGCTTAGAACAAAATTGATCACTCAATTCACCTTGCGCAGTAACAATTGCACCAATTTGCCGGAACTTTGCAACCTCATCTGTCAGGCACACATCCCACTCGACTTGACAGCGTCCTGCATCTGAGGACAGTTGTCTCGGTCGAGAGTCTCATTCAGCTCAACTAAAGTTGGAGTTTCAGTAAAGAAAGCCTTCACGGAAGGCGCTCGAGAGGAGAACGTCATGACGGACGTCAAGAGCAAGGTGAGCATTGAAATCCAAAAGACGCCCTTGGATCAAAATTTAAAAGCTGACTCTTTTCCCTTCAGAACCTCTACGAGCTTTTGGGTATGCTTGAATGATTTTGACAGTCCAACGCGCGTCCTGACCACGATTTTCGCAGGCAATACCTCCGATCAGGACTCTGATCGCGAGCCCGAGCCACCCACCAAGACCATCGACAAGCCTACCGCTCGCCATGGAAAGCGTGATGCGCCTGCTACAGCACCAACTGATTCAGGTGTAGCTGGTCGTGGTCGCGGTGGTAGACGTGGTGGTGGTTTCTCTGGAAGTGAAGCAGGTAATTGGGAAATTTCACCAAAAAATGTAAGGGCGTTGGCAACTGATATGTACAAGCTTTCCGCGACCGCACCGCGGGCAGAATCTACAATCGCGATCAAGGTACTGGTGAAAATGCTGCCCAAGATGAAAATCGTCCCGGTCGTGATCGAGGCCCTGGCGCCCGACGCGCTGGTCGTGGTGCCCCAGGTCCCCGTCGGGGTGGTGATCGCCACAGCCGCACTGACAGAGCGTGAGTTTGAACGGACATCACATTCTATTTGAAGCTAATTGTCGCAAGTGATCATCCCAAGCAAGTTGAACATGGCTGGGGAGAGAACACTGGAGAGGGTGAGTGGGCAGACGAGAAAGCCGGAGAGGCCATTGCCTCACAAGAGGTAAAAGAAGGTGGATGGGATGCCAATGTCGATGCCGCAACTGCGCCTGAGGGTGGTGAGGCTTTCCCCGAACAGGAACCCGAGCCAGAAGACACCAGCAAGTCCTACGCTGAATACCTCACTGAACAAGCTTCTAAGAAGCTAGGCGACCTTGGGCTCAAAGAAGCACGTGCGCCCAACGAGGGATCAAAGGAGAACAAGAAATGGAAATCCGCAAAGGAACTCACCAAGGAGGAAGACGCAGACTACTTCAAGGGCGAGGAAAAAGCCAAACGCGAGCGTGCACGAGAGTCAAAAAAGGAATTCCTTGACATCGACTACAGTTTCAAGGAACAACCACGCGACTCCCGCGGCGGCCGTGGCGGTCGAGGTGGTCGAGGTCGAGGTGACCGTGGTGACCGTGGTGATCGTGGTGACCGCAGCGAACGTCCTGACCGCGGCGAACGCCCCGAGCGTACCGAGCGTCCCGACCGTGGTGAATTCCGTGGCCGCGGACGCGGTCGTGGTGAACGAGGTGAATATCGTGGTCGTGGTGGTCGTGGTCGTGGTGGAAATGAAGCCTCAGGCTCTAAACTACCAGTCGACGACACCACCGCCTTTCCTAGCTTGGGAGGTAAATAGACCGAGCGTCTTTCATCGACCCGAAAGCCACAGGCACAACACAACCACAACGCACATCAATCATCACCACTATCTCCTTCGAACCCCAACCGATTTGTACTAGTGAAAGGCACATTCATTGACCATATGTCAACCTCTCGTCCTGTTGTCCCGGAATCTTCGACTCTAGGTACGGATAATGCATTTGCAAGAGAAACTCGGAATTGAAACCAGTGAATTCAGGTCTTGCAGTGAAACCACAAAAGCAGTAGAGCAACGGGAAAGGAGGAATTTTGTTCTGCAATCTCAAGCGGGCCAACCACTAAAGCCCAGCTTGGAATCGTGTAGCATATGTTCTTGCCTGGAACGCCGTTGCCTCCAGAATGGAATCTCAGTTGAGCTCTTGTATCGTGTGCTGTTTCTCTGGCTGTTGTTCCATTGTTTCCCATCCACCAGTGCTCTGGCCAACGATTGCAGCGTTTCGCTCCTTAATTTGAAGTATTGGAACTGCAGATTGAAGCACACCATGGACGAGTACACTTGCTCCCTAGTAGATCGCACATGATTCAGGACCGGGCCTTGGGACTTTTCTTGTCCTCGGTACCGCTTTGTTGTCGGCAGTTGCTTGAATGAGTGTGTATTTCTGGCTTAATCTTCAGCCTGGCGTACCATATTCCGCCCTCGGCAGTTCAGGAGGCACGATCTGCCGACACCCTCGCACCAATTCATCCTTTGTACTCCATACTGCTGCTCATGTCGTTCCTCACCCGCCACGCCGACTCACACAAACAGCTGGCCATACTGGAGAACATCCTGCTTCCCGTGAACTCGGTCGGCTTTTGTACAATTTGTCTGGCTCTGGCCACCTTTCCGTTTTCCGTTTTCCGGTTTCCCCACGGCATTTCGTCCTACGCCAAAAATACCCCCTACATGCCCCAGCCTCCACCCATGGCTGTACGCACCCCCCCTTGCTTGATACCACTCTCTACACATATGCCGTGTTCCTGGACCTACATTTTGTACGGCGCGCACAAATTACCACCGCTGACATGACATAAGCCCCGAGAGTGATTCGTTGGCCTTGCCCAAGTCTCCATCACCTATCGGGCTGTCGCTAGCTAACCCCTCGCCCATAATGAACTGCCGAACCCTCTGTGGCCACCTATCTGCCTCCAGTAACCGGTTCAATGGCTTAGATTGGATGGAGCTGTGGCATTTCGAGGCAGAATGTCGCCGCATCATCCGCTTAAGACAAACTCGATCTATTCTTGAGGCCTTGTTGAACATCTTAATATGATATTCTGTTGCCGCACCATTCCTCCTTGATACACCGCGAACACAACAAACTCATTGAGTGGCTGAAGTGACCGCGTGGCCGAACTGTTGACTAAGCGCTGTGAAAATGCTTGAATCGATTGTGCCACTGCTCTTGGACAACTGGGTGTACGCCGTGGTTGTGGTTGGCGTCGCTTATTTTCTGAGCAACTATTTCAATCATGGACTGAACAAGTATCCCGGGCCAGTCCTCGCGAGATTCACCAATTGGTGGAGGGTTTTGGATGTATATGGTCGACGACCTGATATTACACATCTCGAATTGCACCGCAAGCACGGCGACATTGTGAGGCTAGGACCAAACACACTTTCGTTCGCGAACCCTAAAACATTAAAGACGATATACGGATTGAACAAAGGCTTCACCAAGGTATGGCAAGGAGTACTCAGAGTCGTCGGATACTTCTGTTGACACAATTCTAGTCTGGATTCTATCCAGTGCAGCAAGCCGTCAGCCAAGGCAAAAGATTGCCGTCGCTCTTCTCTACGGTGGACGAGTCGTACCACGCCAATCTGCGCCGGTCAGTCAACAATGCCTTCTCTATGAGTCAGTTGGTTCAGTACGAGCCTGCGGTCAACGAAACCGTGGAGCTCTTTTTGAATCAGACCGAGAAGATCTACGCGAAAACCAACAAGGTCTGCGACTTCGCCGAGTGGTTGCAGTTCTTCGCTTTTGATGTAAGTCGTGTAATGTAATGCTTGGATGTTGAGCTCCCACTAACGATTGTGAAGGTTATCGGTCAGATCACCTATAGCAAGCGCCACGGATTCCTGGAGAACAACACGGATGTGGACGGAATGATTGGCTATCTAGGCAGGTTGTTCTCATACGTTGCTCCTGTAAGCGTTTTAATCCAGACAATCACACCTACCCCCCTTAACATCCAATACAGATTGGCCAAATGCCATGGCTCGACCTCCTTTTCCTCAAGAACCCGCTAGTTCTTCTCCTCGACAAGGTCGGATTCAAACTTTTCGCCTTCCCTGTAGCCACGTTCGCCAGGCAGCGCATGTCCGAACGAGTTAAGGAAATGGAAGCCCAGGGCCTTGAAAAGGGCACTGCACGACCTGATCTCCTTTCCATGTTCCTCAAAGCCCAAAACGACCGCCCAGAGTTCATGACGGATCAGCGCGTCCTCACCATGGCTGTATCCATGGCATTTGCCGGATCCGAGACAACCGCTATCAGCTTGGCGGCAGTATTTTACTACCTCCTCAGGAACCCCACTTGCTACCAGAAATTAATGAAAGAACTGGACGAGGCTGTCGAGGAAGGCAGGATTGCGGCCACCCCAGCAGGGACAGTGACGTGGGCCGAATCCCAAAAACTCCCTTACCTGGACGCCTGCATCAAAGAGGCCTTCAGGATGCATCCTGCTGCTGGCTTGCCCCTCGAGCGTATCACCCCACCTCAAGGCATTGAAATCGACGGGCATTTTATCCCTGGAGGCACCATCGTCGGATGTAACGCCTGGGTCATCCACAAACGAGAAGAGATCTTCGGGTCGCAAGTCGACAGCTATATCCCAGAGCGTTGGCTCGATGCCAGCCCTGAGCAATTGAAAGAGATGAATGGCACCTTGTTCCAGTTCGGCGCTGGGGCACGAACATGCATTGGCAAGAACATCAGTCTCCTGGAGATGTATAAGCTGATTCCTGCGTTCTTGCGACGCTTCGAGGTCCGCCTCAATGATCCAAGCAAGGATTGGAAATTGCACAACGGTAAGTTCTCCCCTCTCTCGTAGACTCCCCGCGAGGCACTTCACAGGGGCATATTCGCTGACAGTATCTGCCCTTCCAGCCTGGTTCGTCAAGGAACACGACTTCTATTGCAGATTCAAACCTCGCAAGCTGTATGGAGCAAGCTGAGCTCTGAACCACACCCAATTTAATCTCACGCACGTGTCACCGGCGACCGATACTCCTAAAACTATCCACCCGCAGATGTGTCACGACTGGCGACGAGGGCCCGCATTTGAAGAATGCCCCATCAATCATGCATTGATTGCTGAGGAGTTTTCTTTTTCTTTTTCTTTTTCATTGCAAAAGCGAGTTTGGCGTTATTAAGGCGGACGTTGGGAACGTGCAATCCACATATCTCTAGTGATTGGACTGGCCAACCCAGCTGGCTGGCTCGTATCATATATGCTTATCAAGCCCGGAACACTGTTTCACAACCGAGCTCCCAGCTCCACACAGAAGGGACTCAAGTCATACTTTTTCCTATCTAACCAAGCCGACTGGTTGCTGCGTGCATACGAGGACGTGCAACATCCACAGTCCGTCCGCCAGCGACGAGTGTCTTCTAATGCCTAGTCACGTGCACGAGGCTGCCGCCGACTCTGTCACGTGATTGGGCATCTCTCACTCGGCCGAGAAGCCTTGATGTAGAATAAACTGATCCTCTTTGTCCCACGAGAGAACCGAGTGTCCGATACAGTTTGTAAGAAAGGCTCTTGTGCTCTCTATGCATTCCGCGTTCTCACGCGCGAAGACGCATGCCAGAACCTTGAATTATTCAGCGCAGGTTTTGTCCGAGTTCCAAGTGTCCACTGTCCAAGTTTTAGCCACCGCAGCACCGGCCCTACCATTTCATGCCGAGCGTCGTTTCAAGCTCAGACCGACGGTTCTCTGTCCACTCACTGGTTGTTGTTGAGTGTGGTGGTGCGTCGACCTGTTAACCTGCTCTCGGAAAGAGATGCGAGCGGCTTATAGTTCGCAGGATTTAGGACACAGGCGGCCCAGGTCTAGGCACCTTTTTCGGTCACTGACGGAAAGTCGAAGCCACTATTTTAGTTTGGGTAGCGGGGCATTGATGTTGCGGGCGCGGAGGTGCATTTAGTGATCTCTGCAATCATGGCTTCTATGTGCTTTATTTGAACACGAGTGGATTCAAAGACACCAATCGCGAGCTTGATGGATCTCCGAATGTGGTGAGATCTCTCGTTCTTCTTCATCGCACTGTTTTCAATACTGGTTGTCGGCTTCTGAGGTTCGACTGGATAATCCATGGAGAGAAAGGATGCCTCATTCAACTAAGAGTTATTTGGTCCGTTTCTTTGAAAAAAGGAAAAAAAGACAAGCTATCATTACTATTTCAGAGGCCGAGCTGCGTGTCATGCATACCGCCTACTTGACACAGCATCGCCTGTATGCTTTAGCCGCTTTTAGCTTATCGGCCGAATATTGCGTTTCTCGACCGGTGCTCTCACCTCGGGTTCCCTCTGATAGGCTGTCCCGAGCCTGTTGGGCAATTCTTGTTGCACGAGTATCTAGGTCCCTTTGTGGATGCCGGTTAGTATGGTTATCCTTCAGGAACACCGGAGCCAAGAGCAGTATACCTGACCGCGAGGGGAGGCGTGGTTGGCTCAGTGACAGACGTAGTGCAAACTCGTTCACAAAGTTACAGGGGGCCTGAGTGCATGATATAAGAGGTGAGGTGGATGCGACCTCATCGTTCTTGTTCTTTCTCTTGTTCCTGCTTGTGCCCGTGCTCTTCATCTCTCTGTTTCCTCCCGTCTCTTTGCTGCTCTCACTCACGTGCCGATCTCAAGTCGTTCTTAAGACAACAACGAGTTGCTCGTCATCCACAGCTTCGGCCTCCTCATAGCGAATCTCATCATGGCGGACAAATTTCTGGACGCTGTCAAGGATCGCAAATCGTTGTATAAGCTGAAGGCAGAATCGCCCATCCCGGACTCCAAAATCCAGGAGATTGTCGAAGTAGCGATAATGCATTCGCCCTCCACATACAATGTCCAGTCAGCGCGAGCTGTTATCCTCTTTGGGGAGCAATCTGCTAAGCTGTGGGACATTGCTCTCAAGCACATGGAACCTGCCCTGGCAGGCTCACCAATGAAGGACCATGTGGTTAGCCGCATCGCTTTGCATCGGGCATCCAAAGGCACCGTGCTGTGGTTCGAGGATCAGAATGCGCTTGACGCCCTAGGGGAAAAGAGTCCCATGATTAAGCCGCTGCTGGAAGAATGTAAGGACTGATCATGAGACTCGGTTCCGGATAAACCATGCTAATACGGCCTTGTAGGGTCGAACCACTCGAGCGGTATCCATCAATTCGTTGGTATGTGCCGTGTCGAGAGAAAGCCTTGCCGATAGGCATTAGCCACTGACATTCGTTTATTAGCTTGGGCCGCGCTCGAAGCAGAAGGCCTAGGAGCTAACCTGCAACATTATAACTTCCATCCTGGGTTCGTTGCAGAGGTTGCTTCCACCTTTGATTTGCCCGACCCTGCGATCTGGAAGCCAAAGTCTCAGTTGGTATTCGGTACGCCCACCGGTGACCGAGAGTACCCAAGGGCCTATGAGCCGTTGGACAAGAGAGTCCTCGTCAAAGCCTGAGAGACTGTTGTTGTGTGAAGTTGCTTGAAGACAACTTCCTTCCAGAGTGCAGTCTACAGGGCAGAGGTACTACCAACATTTTGAGCGTTCATGCCACAGGAATCCTTACTAGAAGGCGATAGAATAAATATGAAGATGTTATGTTCTATATTCACCCATACCTCGAGTCCCTTTGCTAGTTTACAACTTACCTGCCGCGTAATGAAAAGTTGGAAAGACAAACGATCTGGTTCTTCTCCTTGCCACGTTCGGTTTTAGGTAGTGCCAGTGTCTGCTAGCTGGAGAAACGCCCATCCCGAGCTAATTGACACGGACATGGAAGCTCCGGATTGTGAGAATGAGAAAAGATATGCCAAAATTGAAAAAGCTGTTCGCCTCATTGGGGTAGGGAATCATCTGGATTAGCTACACCACCTCACCAGGGTATTCGAGGAAGGCATGTCCCCCAGTTTGATCAAAGAGCCTGCATGATCACGAACAACAAACCATCGTCCTAACACTTGGGAGGGGCTGTCAAGAGACTAAACTCACGACGTTGTTGATTCGTCTTCTAGTGGGTTCCAAGGGATCACCTGAAGGAATGTCGTGTGATCGACGTTTTTGTAGCAGTAAAGCACTTGGGAAGGCTTTCCACTTGCTTCCCGAAGCTTGGTCACCTCTAGAGTCCGCAAGCTAGGGTTGTGACTGATTGGAGACTAAGACCTGTTCATTTTGGTCGCACTAGATCCCTCAGACTTGGTTCTCGGACCGATGGAGCGAATCTTACATAATTGTATCGGAGACAATGGAATACCTCGCGTCCCATATCACACCCAGATATGGCAAGTAGTTGCGCCAGATGTTAGCCCGTCCTAGTGAAAACTCGTAGAGACTGATTGTAACTCTCAGTCCTGTCGACATCGCGCAGCATACTGGTCAGAGTTTGAGTGTAATAGCTCGTACGTCAGTAGGTCGAGGCTCCCTCTGCCGACACTAAGCCCAAGGGAATGCAAGCGAGCGGTTAAAAAGTCTTTCTAATGCAAAGTTTTCTCGTGAATCACATGGCATAGGCCTAACCAGTTAAAATTACTTACTCAAGCGGCTCCTACCTTATCTAAAATAATAATTTAAGACTTGTAGATGCGGGAGCTCTTGGAAGTGACGATACCCTGGTTTCCCAGATCAAGTGGAAGGCGTAACAAGCTTGACAGGCTGCCTGCCCACTGTTCCAAGATAACTCAGACAGCTCGAAAAGAAGGAAGCTGGTGGTTCATAATGGTGGCGACCCTCGGAGCCGCTGTGAGACTACATAGAGTATTAACAGACTTGGAATTTATGCCTCTTTGAGATGGAGTGACATACTTCCGTTCTGCGGTGGTCTATCAAGTTCGTCATTTGAGCGAGAAACAAACCCCAGCTCAACGACCGGACAAACGCCACATTCGGGCCGATCGGGCTATTGCTTGCTGGTGGGCTTGAGGTTTGCGTAGAACAGTAGAGGTACGTGGGACATCCCACCACTATCCAGCGATCTGAAGAGTGGCAGCCGTTGGCATGTTTGGTCCCCAAGCCACAGTTATTACCTAAGTCCAGCCACAGTATCGGATACAGCGGGAAAGAAAATTGGAGCATAGAATTGTAAGCAAAGGTAGCGCTCGTTTGGGACGCAATTAGGTCGGTGGTATTGTAGCATCAAGAGCTTGTCCCGTGGTATTCGGCAACAATCTATGATGTTGACCTTTATAAAAGCTGTGCGTACCTTGATTAACGTACTTTGATGGCACGGTGAGCAGAAAGTCCTCCAGACCCTATGGGCTCCTCGGGCGCAACGGTGGTGTAACCCGGCCTCGTTGCAGCATCACAGGCTCGAGATGAAGGGCGTCTGTCCAGAGCCAGCCCCTTTTCTCGCATCGAAACACCTGCGCGCCAGGTGCCGTGGGAGCAGTAGCAGTGATGATCCCTTCGTACCTCGCCCCGTGCCGTTGACCAAGAATCAAGTTTATGAAGTTCCATCAGGAAAACAAGGATGGTGATCCGTAACTCACGACCTCTAGTCACATCTCTGCAAGGATACTATGCAGGAGGACGGCCAGATCGACTTCTGTCGAATAGAGATTCGCGAACGCGAAAGATCGAAGGATGAAACTTGAAATGTAAGAGGCTAGCGCTGGTTCCACGCAGGGAGGATCAGCCGAATCCAATACCACGAATGCGGATAGGCCATCACTGACAACCTTAAAATCGGTCGCAAATGAAGAGCAAACTATACACGGAGTCGACTACGTACCCAAGGCATTGTTGAATCCTCGATATTACTGAGTATGGTGGTGTACATATAGTTCGCTTATGCTCGTGTCCGGTCGATTCCAAGCCCAACCACTTTCTACATTCCTTCAAACAGTCATTCATTCATTTCTCAACTCGCGCGCAGGACGTGCAAATTTTTGTTTGGCTATCCCACGGCTGAATATCACTCCTTTATCGATAACACGTTCTAGCTGTTTGACACTGAACCTGACCACCTGGCCAGATTGAATTAGACTCTCTCAATTACTGAGATCATTTGAGAATATCAGTCATTAAGCGACCAAACATGCGATTCACTTTGATCTGCGTCCTCGCCTTCTTCCTCCCTGCTCTTTCCGCCTTTGCCCAAAGAGGCGGCGGTGGAGGCGGTGGAGGTAATGAACGTCCGGGACGACCTGGGAGACCAGGAAATTCTTCACCTCCAAACACCCTGATCACAATAGCATCTGCTGCTCCAGTTGCTACCGCCGCTCCCCCACCGGCCGCTGGTGGCAATGGTGGCAATGGTGGCAATGGTGGCAATGGTAACAACAACGGTGGTGGGAACGCTGGCACTGTGAACGCTAACCTCATCCCTCCTTTTGGAGTTACGGCTGGAGTCAAAGCAAACGATGGAACCGCGAACTGTGTTGGTACGGGTGGCGTGGGCATCCCGTAAGTTGTAATCCATATGCTAGGTCGTTCGCGAGAGCTGTCTAACATGAAGCAGATGTGATTGTCCACCACCGTTGAACACTTTCGTCAGTGCTGTCGCAGACTCAGTAGCTCTCGGGGCTGCATTCCCAACAGGTCAGTCTCCTCGAAGCGCAACCTACTTACCATGAATGCATCTGCTGACAACCGAAAACAGGCAATTCCGTGGCTGACCAGCTTACACGCCTTCAAACCAGCATTGTGACTCTTCAAAATTTCAGGGGAGGGCCAGGCAGCGGTGTTGGATGTCCCGCCGCCAGCACGACCTGGAAGGCACTACAGGCTCAGCTGCAGGGCCAAGCCTGATGTGCAAGAGGGATGGAACATCTCACTTCCTGGCACTTGCCAATTTTCTCAGGGGGATTGACTTGTTGTTGGCCTGCATTGAAAATATGCAACTCATGCCTTTGATGGAATACATCACCACTTACGCCTGTCACGTCTTCACGGGGAGTTAGAGTTGAAGGGAGGTTTGAGGTCTCAGTACACAAAGGGAACTGAAGTTGGGGGGAATCGCAGTAAATCTGATAGCGATAGGCGTCTGGAGCTGGTAAAGGGGACAAGCGCTGGGTTTTGAAACAATCACGTTTCATAAAGATGCCGTTCTATCAGATCTGACCGGTCTAAGCTGTATATGCACTAGCGTGCAGAGTCTACCCGAGCACTGCTCCACTATCTCGATGTACGCACTCGCTACGAATAGACCCCTTGAACACAGGAACACGCGATGAGGATGGGCAGCTTCTTTCCGAGTTTGCCCCACGCCCGAGGGTGCAGGCTGGACTTTCTATCCGTTCACAATGGCACCATGTCCGCATTTCCAGAAGGCTAAACTCTCGTCCACATGATCGGCAATATACCCTGCTCTCACACCATGTGATACATTGAGCCCTTAGACAGTGGTGCCGGAACCCGCCCTTCAGCCTCAACATCAATACTTACTGATGTAAGTACTTGCCGACAATTCTGACCTTTTCGCCCGTGTATGCCCCTAGGTTCGAGGAAAACATCCGCCAGACACGGGACCGAGCATTGAGACCACTGAAAACTCCAGGGGTGTCTGTCTTGTTCCAACATTCGCAATGTGTACGCCCCTTCCAGATGGCAACGGAGCCCAGCTCATCGCGTCGAGGGAAGTGAGCCGAGCCGCTAGCGACACGATGTGTGACGCCTTGGGACCTGGTTCTCTGGGTCTTCGGATAGAGCGAAGAGCCAAAGGTGGGCCGTCCATTACGGATTAGAGGGCCGATCCACCCTGGCGTGAACTATGGTCTGGAACTGCTGGACTGACGACTGATAGGAGTCATGGCTCGTATCTATAACTACCGAACTCAATACCCATCTTCGTGGCGGAGGCAGAAGGTCGCTGACCTAGCCAAGCCGCGGAGAATCGACTGGAGATGGAAATATGGCGAATAATGTGGCCTCATAGAAGCCCTAATCAGACACATGAACGACGTTCCGCTCTGCAAACATTCCCTCTGGCTATTTACAACGACTGCATGCGGATTATAAGGCGAGGTCCACAACTTGCGTCCAACAAGCCGGTTCGAACGCCGTCATCCATTCTTGATACTTCTCGCCAGCATTGACCCAGCCTTTGATTCCGCCTTTCAGAATCACACTTCGTATCTTGAACCCGTCGTCGTCCTCCGCGCCTGCTGTTTTCTGGTCTTCATATAGTCAGGAAGCCAGGCAGCCCCTCTTCTACCTCGACCTCGTGATGCTCCACAATAAAAGATTGCTAACGGGATCCTTGAAGACTTGAGCAGATTGTAGACGCTTGGTAGGCTGTAGTAGAGTGTTTCAAACGCGCGGGAAAATTGGTCGAGTGTGTGATGCTAGCGCCCTGCACAAAGATGATCAGCAGGGAGGAGGTCATCGAACCTCCTGCCACAACGCCCATCAACTGATTGCAAAAGTGTGTCCATGTGCTACCTTTGAAGCATAAGTCTCCGACCATTGTTCTCTGGCCAGAGATAACAGGTTCCGATCCAATCCCAATGGAATATAAACTCTGGCTCACCTCGTGGTCTGTCCTTCTCACGTCTACGAGCAGAAAATCGCGCCCGCCTCGTTGACCCGAATCAAATCTTGCGAGAAGCTCCTCACGCGTGATAGCGGAAGGCTCTGTGGTTGAGGCAAAGGGAACTTCTCCTGCCAAGGTTTCTCTTCGTGCCCTCCTGCTCTTAAGAACATGGCAATCTCGAGTTTGCGGTGATACACGCCACTCTATCCTTTTGTCAATATGAAGACTCAATGGGAAGGCCGCACTCTTTCACAAGGTATTCCAACAGGCCTGGTGATAGTTCGTAACTGTGCAGATGCAGGATCAAGTCCGCCCTTTTAAAGACGGGGGAAAAGTTCCTTTGGCCACCGAGAGAGATGATTGGACAGGCCCGATTTCGTTATTCACAGACAAAGTGAGCCCCGAACCGTAGACTTCGGACAGAACCGATAGAGACGAGGTTAGCAGCGCGAATGAGGAGATGCACTCCCAAACATCTGCAGCTATTCCTGCAGGCCAATTTGGAATGTTCTAACCAGTATGATCTGTGGAAGCATCCCGAAAAGTCTTAGCATGCCACCCACCGCTGGTCTCGAGGCCGATCTGTCTGCCTCGATCCGTATAACCGGAGAGCATTGCGCATACGGTCTCTTCCTGATGGTGAAAGCCCATAGATCGTTCATGTGGGGCTAGAGAGGTAGTTGATGATCCTGATGTCCGTTACCTCCAGGTGGACGAGTAGAACGTACTCTCGCCAAGACAAGTCACGTGACAGCGCGTGCTGGCATTGTGTCGGTCAAAATCATCGCGCGCGGTGGGTCGCGACTTGTAAAGGCGAGATGCTGTGTTTTGTGTAACGTCTTTGGCTGAGATTGAAGGTTATGGACAGACGAGAGCATCGGTTAGCTCACAGCAATAGATCCCAATATCCATCGCAGTTGACGCAGTGGATATCCGGACCATACATCAGGTTGGCCGTGAAAACAGGATGGAGGGCGTGCTTCATAAACCGGGAAGGTCTTAACTTCTCAACTTAACCACCGTCTCGGTGAAGAGTAACCTCGAGTCAGGCCGGGACATAGGCTGAATGTCCAATGGTCTGATGGGGTCGCTTGCGCTTTGCACTCATTGTCAGATCCCCGTGACTAATGCTAGAGGAGCGTGATCATGAGACATCTGCAGACTGGTGCTCCTTATGTGTTTGATGCGATATCGATATCATGCCACCGGCTTTTGATAGTCGAAACTGCTGGTAGCAGGCAAGCACGACGCGGTGTTGGGTTCCCCTGAACGCGGCTTCCTCAGGAGCAGTCAATTTCTACCTCCCTGCACTAGGTCCAAAGTAGACTAGTGGCCTTCTATTCACGGTGCGCGTCTTGTCAGCCACCTGCCAACTTGTCTCCTTATCCATTCATCGCCATTTGATTTCGTTTCCGTCCCTCGAGTTTTAATCTTCGCAGCCTCATCAGCAACATCACCCAGTTTCTCTTCTTATTTCTTCGAGGGCATTTTGGTATCCGCGCGATCTTTGCAGGGCTGTGAAAGTCAAGAGCGAAGTCCTGTCTCGTTTTGAGGCTTTGGCCTTTTGCGGTTGGGGTCAGAACCTTGGCATCCAGGATTTCCCGGCATCCCCGTTGCTTGTTGCCTGTGAACTCGACAAATCGAATATATTACATTTGCAATTCGTCAAGTCGCGACGTTCCATCTCCATCTCCATCTCACTGGTTAACGACCGATACAACCGATCGTGCGGTCAAGATGCATTTTTCATTATCCACTTCAGTCCTTCTCTTCATATCCCTCTTTTCTTCAATAATCTCGGCGTACCGACCAGTTCAATTCGTCAAACATACCGGCCAAAGCGGAAGAGCGGACCAAGCGTTCTCTTTGGTAAATTATTACAATGAGACTACACAGCAATCCGATGCCTACTTCCGCATGTGGATGTTCCGTTATAAATCATCGGCAAATGGATGGGCTTCACTCGCATTTGGCCCAAGGATGGTCGGCGCCCTCATGTTCATTATCTACGGTGACCCCAGTGCTGCAGATGGTGCGATGGGTTTCAGTTATCGGACAGTAGATGGCCACCATCCACCTCGTCCGGTAGATGAGTTCAAAGACTTTTATTCTGGAGAAGTCCCCGATGTTGAGCTGATCTCGTCTCGCTTTGAACCCTACACGGGTGAGTATTTCTCTGAACAGCTCAACGACAAGCCTTCGCACGTCGGCGTTGCCGACTTTGTCGTTCGTGGCTATGAGAAGTGGAAGAAGACGGAACTCGAGATCACCAACTCTACCGTCAAGCAAGCCATGATCTGGTCGAGCAATTTCAACCAAGATTTCCAAGGAGACTTCTCATTCGAAAGGCACATCGATATGCATCAATTCGGCCTCGGGTTTGGATTTCTTTGGGTCGACTTCAAAAATGCCGAAAGCCCCTACCCGTTCTTTGGTGAGATCAACGATCTCGATGACCACAAAGGCGTGAACGAGATTGGTGATCCTAAAGCACCGACCGAGGACGAGTTGAAAAGTGGCGAGGCGATCATCGAAAAACAAGCTGCCATTTTCGCTGGTACTGCCACTCCTGATGCTGGAGCCGACACGGGATCTTCGAACGATACCCCAGCTGCTGATGACGGAAATCAGGTTGAGGAGCCCGTCAAGACCCCCAAACAATGGAACATTCGCTCGCTCATGTGGTAAGTCACACCGAAGGGGTGGCTTCTGTTAATCGTACAGAGTACTAATATGGCATCCCTCTAGGCATCTTCACGGTGGGCTCATGTGCCTCTCCTTCCTAGTTCTGTATCCACTCGGGGTCTACCTGCTCCGTTCACCACGACCGACAGCCTTCAACCTCCACTGGACCGTCAACTCCCTGGCTAGCGTCTCAGTCAGCATCGCCGCGATGATCGGCTTCGTCAACTCGCGCTCCATTTCCATCACGCACCAGTATCTCGGAATCCTGCTCGTCTGTGGACTCGCTGTCCAAACCGTGCTCGGGTGGCGCCACCACATCATCTACCTGCAAGTGCAGCGGCCCACGTGGATGAGCAACGTGCACAGGTGGCTCGGACGCGTCGTCCTCCCTGTGGGGATGCTCAACGTGATCACAGGCCTGCTCCTGCGCCAGTACGGCTGGCTGACCGTGGCGTTGACCATCGCGCTCGCGTCCATCGAGATCCTTCTCCTCGCGTTCATCGTGGGCCGCGCCAAAACACGACGACCCGGTGCGATGCAGAAGGGCCCCGCCGCCCCCACAGCCGATGAGGCTGAGGAGTACTTCCAGCTCACGGGTGCGGATGACGATGACGACGAGCTTAGCGACGACGAGGCCACCGGTTCCGAGGGCGGCGCCGCCAAAAGGACCCAGGACCGCGCTGAGCAGCAAGCGCGGCTGGCGCGCTTAGATAAGGTGTGAATGTGGAATGAATGTCAAGGGAGGTATATCGCGTGCGCCCTCACTTAGGAGATTTCCCACTCGAATTAATTCTCCGTGTCTGGAACCGGTACAGAGAGGCATGGTTTTTCTATCTATGTATGTATACAACACGTGGGGAGAGTCTTTGACAAAAGATGACTGTAGATAATGTAGATTATTTTTCATTTCGTCCGACAAAACGTGCATTCAAAATTCGAGGTGTTAGAATCCGGCCGATATTTGATTTGTTTGGTGATGAATCTCAGATGCCAGTACAATACTTAATGTTGTCGCATGGGGGGGAGAAGACGGGTATTAGGATGCGGCGTGGCTGAGACCGCAAGATGAGATGAATATATCATTAATTGGCATCCTCTTTCGCCCATCATTTCGGTAATCGGATCTAGCATCCAAGTACCGCATAAACATGTTACTCAAAAGGTGTCGTGACCAAAATCTATCATAATCCTCCAACAATCGCTTTCCAGCCCTCCGCAAGGTCGCCGAGAAAGTAGGTGCCCCAAACGGTGAAGCCTGCCAGGACGAGGCCACTCGCTTTCTCCAGCCAGGTATGAAACCATATCGCAGTCATCATGAGCATCCACAGATCGAGAATAACAACAAGGTAAAGAAGATACCGAGACCATACTCGAACTCTTGCAATCCACTCTGGTTCCCATCCTCCTACAGCGTTCCGTTCCTCTTCGGTCAAATCATGCGCCAACCTCGCTGCGGCTTGTGGGGAAACCGAGGGATGTGAAGAATGCCGATCGGCGATGTAAAGCTCATAGAGGAGGAACGCTGAGGATAGAACGAGCATGAAAACGTGACCTGAAATGTCATATCCTCCGCGCCAAGTCCCACCTGCTACTTTACAGGCTGGGCCAGACGAGATAAACTTGAGGTCCAGCGTCTCTTGCAATCCTGCCTCATTGTAAAACTGGGGCTCACATTGGCCCCCAGTGATAGTGAAACTTCGATCAATCAGGGCAGGGCCGAAGAACCATTGTGTGGTCAGATACCACGACAAAGTGATAAGAACATAACGGAGAGTTGCTTGCATGTAGTGCTTTTGTGTGTTCGCAGGAGGCGGTCGGGTGGTGAATTGCAGTAGAGTGAAGGCCAGTGTCGTCCAAAACCAGCCAATCTTGACAAAGTAGAGGTTGAAGACATTCTTCTTCCCAGAGAAATAGTTGCTCGGTGGGGCGTTCAGATCGGAGGCAAGCCCTGCTGCGAGCGGCGTCGCAGGTGGCGGGAACGCAGCGGGAGAGATAATGGAGTAGAAAGAACCGAGGACGAGAATAAGGGGGTAAACCAGAGGTAGATACGGTGAAGGCCTCCTTTTGCTCATGTTTGTTGTTGAAGGCTTTGTATGTGATGGGAGCCGTACCGACGGGGATAATGATTGAGGGTTGGCTTTCCCATTGCGTAGGGTCGCAGGCATTCTTGAGATCTGACAGAGGTAGACCGACAAGGGATTAGGGCAAGTAGTGCATTGCAGAACAATTGAGATTGCGGAATCTTGCTAGTACTTGTATTGTAGAGAGTGAATGCAGGTGGTAAAGACGAAGGTGGAAGACCAAGGAAGTGAACAGAGTGTGAGTCGCTCCTTCCGGCTGCCAGTGCACTACACGCGCACTTGCGTTTTCTTTACTAAGTGACGTCAGCCTTCCCAGGTGCACGCCTTCGGTTCATTTCCCATCTTTATATGACCAATTTTTCACTGTCTATATGGGGTTCAGCGATAGCGTCAAAGTGAAAAGAAACGAGGATGTCTCTGTCCTGGATCGACTGATATTCCGCTCCAGTGTAAATTAAATGCAATCGCAGCACTTAGTTACGTCATACGCGGTCTTCTAAGTGAAGTAATAGCACCAACCCTACCGAGAAATTCTGAAGCGCGTTGAAGGATTGTCGGCACAACACCCGATGGCATCGACAAAAGGAGGCAAACAGCAAATGACGCAGCGACGGCGATAGATGCAAAGAGCGTGAATTGACCCAGCACCTCGTCCCGGGTACGAGTCCTGCGGGCAGAATGAGATACCATACACACACCTGCAGAGGCAATCTACAAGTGTTGGTGTCCCGGTCCCGGCAATACTATAATCCGCTCTCCTTCTGCCGCCTTCCTCGGATGGTCACTGGTTAGTGACGCACCTGATCATCGGTTCGCAGCTGTAAGCCACCACCTCGAAACTTGAACCTCGAGAAAGGGAAGCCTAACTATTTGCTGTCTGACGAGGTGACTTTCTGATACTGTGCAGCCTGAAGGTCCAACGCTCAGTTCCAGCTGGCAGCAATATTCCTGGTCTGACGCTGGGCCAAACGCAATCTTGACCGGTTCTCGGTTCGATCACATCCACCGCCTCAGCCGTGCCGTCTCGTCGCCATTTGCTTGTCCCTGGGTCGTCAATCCCTGCCTCCAGCAGACCCCAGTCTCCTGCAGCAGCTAAGTACGAGTCCATGCATGGACTCATGCAAGACATTCCAATAAAGCACCTAGTATCATGCAGAGGCGCAAGGCAAAACAAGTCATGCCGCGTCTGCCTGCATCGCTCTCGAGACAGGCATGTTTAAATCCTGCGACCAGTCAGCCGTTCCCGAGCATTTCGTCAGCCTTCCTTCCTTCATAGACATACATCTATATAAGAGTTTCAATCTTCTCGTTTCCAACATTCTTGCATTTGATCAGCCCTCCACGGACATCAAGGTCCACTCAAATAGTGTGTCACTCATCTGAGCCGCGTTGTTGGGCGCCTTACAAGATTCGCCACACCTTGTGCATCCAATACCAGCCGCCACTGGAATTCATGATTGTTACATCGGTCATACCCTGAACAACACATTAGACTCGACAAAACTCCATCTCTTTTCAAAGCTTCATTGTTTACTTTGTCGAGCCGTCTTTCTCCTGCCTACATACCATGGACATGCAGCACTTGCGGAGACCGGGCCCTTTAGGCTCCAGCAGCCTTGTCGATCTTCCCGAGTATATCATCACTTCTTTTCTGCCTGGAGCACGACCGCTACTGGACAAATACCCTCGCCTCTTCCGTTTCCTAGGTGTTCTCCTTGCATTTTGGTATCTTGGGCCCGTGGCCAGATTGCAAGCACTATGGTCTCGCTTCTCCTCTCTCCTGGTGGCCTCGATTAGCATGTCAAGCGAGGAAGATTTATTCAACTACGTCACTTCTTATATCGCGGAACGCAAGACCCTGCGAGCGGATCAATCTCTCACCGCCTCCTCTAATCCACCGCAAGACCAACGTCGACGACATCGCCATGATCCAGACTACGAAGAATCCTCCCGGCGGACCAATGAAGACCCCAAAATCAAGTACGAACAGGGTCAGGGACTGCAATTGTTCATTCACAAGAAACGCCTGTTCTACATCTCCCGAAAATATGGTGAAGGGCATACTTACCATGGCAATCGATACAAGCGCATAGAAGTCATCACCTTATCGTGCCTTGGCCGCTCTACAAAACCCATCAAAGATCTCCTAGAACACGTCTATTTCCTAAACAAAGATAAAGAACGCTCACTCACGATCATTCGGCGCCCTTATACGGGAGGCTATGGTAGTCGTCTGACATGGTCCAGACTGACATCAAAGCCGCGCAGAGCTTTGGATACTGTCATTCTCGATGCCACGAAAAAGGAGCAAGTCTTGGCAGATGTCGAGGAGTACATGGACGAGGCGACAATGACCTTCTATGCAAATCACGGGATCCCATACCGTCGTGGATACCTCTTCCATGGCCCACCTGGCGTGGGCAAAACTTCATTCGCACTTGCGCTCGCTTCGAAATTCAACCTTGATGTTTACAATCTCACTTTGCTTGACCAAGAACTTACAGATTCCGACCTGATCTCTTTGTTGAATCAGCTTCCAGGCCGCTCACTGTTACTTCTCGAAGATATTGATACCGCAGGTCTGAACCGAAAAGGCAAGGCCACTTCGGCTCGTCGCTCAGGAGGAAGGCGACGATTGGGACTCCCCGAAGGTGTTGTAGGATCAACGTCTCGCAACAAATCTTCCACAGCAGACGATGTAGACCTTGATAGTGACGATGAAGCATCCGGTACTACTTCCCGCGTGACGCTATCTGGTTTGTTGAATGCAATCGATGGTGTCGCCGCGCCTGAAGGCCATATCTTAGTAATGACAACGAACCGTCCTTTCCAACTCGACGATGCGTTGGTTCGAGCCGGACGAATCAGTGTCAGGGTTGAATTCAAGAACGCGTCCAAGAGACAGGCGGAGGAGATCTTCCTTAGGATGTATGTTGATCTTCCCAGCACGTCACCTCCTTGGGACGAGAAGCTGGACGATAAAAAGCTGCCAACCGAGGGTGGTGGTGTCATTGCGACAATTCCTACTGTCCCTCCTGCACATGGTGAAAGCAGTGATACCGCCCACTTGAGGACTTTGGCAAAGAAGTTCGCAGAATCGATCCCCGACTACGATTTCTCACCCGCTGACTTACAAGACTTTTTACTGATCCACAAGAAAGAGGCAGAAAACGCCGTGGAGGCTTTACCAGCATGGATGAAACACACGTATGAGGAACGTCAGAAGAAGGAAGAAGACAAGGAGGCGGAGAGGGCTGCGAAACGGGATGCAAAACGCCATCAGCTTCGTCAATTCAGGGCGGAAATCAAGAAAGCCGTCAATGACGAAGACACCGACGACACTGATGAGGAAGAACAGGATAATTCAAGCGCCAAGGAGGATGGAGCGAAGGAGTCTGCGGACGAGAAAGCGGAAGACATCAAAGAGGCTGGTGAAGGCGCAGGAGACACGAGCAAGGTGATTGGAGAATCCACTGAAAACGGCAGACAACGCCTGACTCGTAAAGTCGATGACAACCATGGGACTAAATTCCAATCTGGAGGCTGAGCAACCGGACTATGGGCTATGAGCTGACTTTTTAATGGTGCTGGACGGAAGATTGAAAGGCGGAATCGAGGCTTAAAGCCATAATTCAGCATTGGTTCCATTCGTATACATATCGTCAGTAAAGACCAATATGACAGAAAAGCCGCAGACGGCCATCAATACCGACGTTAAAAGCTTTGCCAAGGAGCACCACATATATCACACAGGCATGGTTGCAGTCTTGAATCAATAAAAGACCTACTGAGCTTGAACCGAATTTTCAAACACTTTGGCAGTCATAGTGTATGTTGAAAACAAAATATACCTCAAAACACTAGGAAAGGCTAATATTTCCCCAGAAGCTCCTTCACTCTCTTCTTACCCCATGACACTGGCGTCTCTGGAGGTATGGTCTGATCGTAAGGTTGGCCTAGCTGACATAGAAGTTCTATCAAGCCGTTCCCAGATACGAAAGTATAGAACTTTATATATCTACTCACGATCCGGAGACTGAACGAAGTCGTCTTAGGGATGTATGCCGTCTCACCCGCACTCAGGTTTGCTTGCTGGTCTCCAATTGTCAGTTCTAAGTGGCCGTCCGCCACTTGAATGGCATGATGAACACTGCTAAATTGGAAAGTCTCTGATAGTACAGGGTCCTTGTGCCATGAAGAGCCCTCAATACAAGCGATGGAAAACCTGCCGGCAGACTCTGCAGCGCCAACGAGCGGGCTGACCACCACTCCGCCAACCAGATACCGCAGGCCTGTTCCGGCGCGAAGGAAATACGGCTCCAAGGCTCCAGGAAGTTTGTTATCGTGGCCATCCTGCCAGGGTTGCGGTTGAACAGCAGGATGGTCTCTCACGGGGATCATATCGAACTTATCCGCGGCGGCCTTCAATTTCGGGATGAGGACCTCGAAAATGTTGCGTTCGTCCGCCAGCGGAAACAATGGGCCGGAGTACGGCTCTCCGATGAAGCGGAAGAACTCCTCCCAACCGCCAGGGACAACCAGCCCCACAAATTCCGTGTAGTCGCCCAGGATCTGGTACTGGTGGATCGTGCCGGGTGGCACACTGGCCAGATCCCCAGGACCTAGAGTCCGACATTGATCGCCAGCCCAGACGTTGACGCTGCCTTTTAGACAAAGGAACACGTCGTGTGCTTCCCGATGGTAGTGGAAGCCGATGGGATCACCTTGTGCTCCGCCAGTGCCCACGATTGCGAACGCGTTGTCGCTTTCCTTGCCGGTTACGAGCAGCCGCGTCGCGGACTTGGACAGCGGAATGTAAATGATTTCACCGCACAGCGATTCAAGTATGTACGGGCGACCAGCCTCGCCCGGTGCTGTTTGTGTTGATTCGATCATTTTTGAGAGCTTCCGTAGAGTGAAGGTACCTGGATTGGGATTGTGTTGTGTTGCTCGCGAGTCTGCTCAAGTCATTTCAAGGTATATTAGGATTTTTGTCTGAGTCGGCTCGGTTATTCCGAGCGTGGAGTGGAGCCGGTAGCTGAGGTGCTATCGAATCCGACGCCCGAGAAGAAGCTCGCTGGTCGAAGCCTCTCCCCACACTCGGCAGATGGTCTTGTCATGGCTCCGTTGGCTGGCACCATTTAGGTGGTCCTTGTCTTATATTGTATCTTTGGACTGCACGGTAGACCATCAAGTTGACAATACCAAATCATCTCGCTCGTTTCGGACATCATTACTTTGGCCAGCCACAAGCACGGAATATGGATAGTCTGAGCGGCCTTGGAACCGCCATCGGGGCTATAATCCCTCCTACGTACAAAGCATATCAACCACTGCTGCTACGAAACGCGGACAAAATTCGATCGACTGCCCAACAGACATATTCGTATGGTCCGCATCCACGCCAAACCTTAGATATCTACACCCCGTCCTCCACAGCAGCCGGGGGTCTGAAGAACTCGGTTTTGCTCTTCTTATACGGCGGCGGACTTGTACGAGGAGACAAGATCAACCCAAGCTTTGCGGAGGGTCTCACTTACAGCAACATCGGCCATTTCTTTACCGAGCATCTGGGAGTACCGGTAGTTGTCGTGGACTATCGGCTGTTGTCTCATGGCGCGGTCTTCCCTTCTGGTGGGGAAGATGTGGCCCTAGCCATCGACTGGATCGAGGAGCATTTTCGTCAAGAAAGACCCGAAGGGCTCGACCTTTTCCTGATGGGCAACTCCGCAGGCGGTATCCACGTTTCCACGTTTCTTTTGGCTCCAGAGTTGGCGCCCAAGAGGCAACAGATCACAAGTTCTTCAACTACAGGAACAAGGCTGAAAGGAGCAATCTTGTTGTCAGTACCGTTCCATTTTGAGCGAGCAGATGCGAGTAGACAGGAGGTACTTGCGACCTATTTCAAAGATAACTACCTGTCGCTTTCTCCGCATGGGCTGCTTAAAAGCGGGATTGAGAGAAATTCTGTCAGAGATCTAGAAGATGTCGCAGTGCTTCAAATTACCGGGACTTTGGATCCAGAAGATGAAATCCTCGTCCCTAATCGGGACTTCAGTAAAGAATGGCAACAAATGGATCGGAGTGGGAGTCGCCTACGAATTGCGAGCTTAGAGGGCCACAATCACCTGAGTCCTGTACTGAGCCTTGGAACGGGTGTAGAAGCGGAGGAGGCTTGGGGTCAGCAAGTAATAGATTTCGTCAAGAAATCAGTCTCTTGTTGAATGTATACAATTGGTACATAGTTCACTCATAAAGGATCATTGTTTTCACTCCACATAACATCATCGCCCGAAAGTAACGGAAAGAGCTGAGTCATAAAATCAAGCTGGTTGTCGTCAAAGGGGTCGTATGCAAACTGCTCGAATGGTGCCCCGGATACTCCGTCACTGTTGTCGGCAGCTGAACTCTGAGCAGTGAATTCGTTATTTTGCAAAGGGTCGACATCAGAACGCGATTCTCTCTCGCGGATACGCATCGCCGTCTTCTCGACCAGATCGGCAGCCTTTTTGGCGACTGTATTCTCATCCATTGTCTTGAGAATGCCAACGCTCATATCGACGAGGCGGAGGAGTCCTTGAAGCTCGAGTAAAGTCGCAGTCTTCTGTGCATAGAATACAATTATTGATGCAGCATACAATGTGTATGTTGTGTTGTACCACCAAGTGCGAAAGTAGGAGAAATTACAATACATGTAATTCATGAACTCGATCGTCCTGGTAGCCGCGGCAACACATTTAGTAACAGCTTCATCAAAATCTGCTCGACATTCTCTGTGTTCATGGACGGTGTATAGAAGGAATGGTCTGTAAAGTACCATTTTAATATTGTAAAAGCGAAAGCCAAGTGTATGGCCCTGTCGGTTGGCCCACATTGGGATTTTGCTCTTGAGACAAGTGTCGCCGCCCATCGGTTCCAAAAATTCAGGCTTGATAATTTGAGGCAAGCCACTTATCCATTGATCGAGCTCAGTTTCAATCTTTTCTGCTGCTCTAAACTTTTGCGCAATACTATCATTGGAAAGATAAACCGAGGTGGACACTTTCCTCACGATTTTTGCTAGATCGACCATGCAGGCGATGATCGCGGTTGGAGATTCGTCAACTTCTGGTAGTGATCTGGAGTGGTAGATCTCCAGGCCCAAAGAATCCGGCCGTCCAAGAGCGAAGCTGGTTTCCATTTCCAGAGAGAAGAGTCCCCACCAAGTCCTAGATATCTCTTGGTCCCGTGGCGATGGACTCGAAGAGCGTCGATTGTAGCCAGCAGATAGACTTGTTCGAATAGCATGGCCAAGATACATATATGCCAAGTTAGGGTTAAGCTCGTTTTGACAAACCTTTGCCATGATGACATAGGCTTGTATGCTCTCAAGCTCATTTGAGCCGGGAAAGTCCCCCAATGCAATGGTTGCGAGCTTAAACAGTTTTCGCGACCAATCGAATCGATTCATTGTGTAGCGAGTGTCCTCATCCCACTCGCGGGTGAGAGCTCCCAAAGACATTATGGCATAGTAAAGCGCGATAAAGCTCCTACTCTGTTTGCTGGGTCGCCCAAACCAGATGTCCTCGCATTTTAGGAGAAAATCCTTACTGTCCACAAACGGATGAACGTAATGCAGATTCTGGAAATACCCATGAAGAAATTGATGCGATTGACGAAAGTAGAATGTATTCGCTGATAATAGCTGCCAATCAGTATTTGTGCAAGTTGCGGAAGTGGGGGAAAATGTCTCGTTGTGAAAGGTCGACACTAAGGATGATGAATTAGCCTCGGAGACGGGGTCGTGACCCGGTGTTGGATAGAATTGGCTCCTGGCTTGCTTCTGAATCGCCGCCAGAAATGCAAGAGACGAGGTTGGTCCATGAAATTCGTTATTCAGGGTATGTGTGTTGACTTCTGTGACTTCGCTCGCTATTTCCATGGCACTACTCCCAGGTCCATCGTCACAGCGCTCTGGAAATGAATGCTTTGTCGGTTCTCTTCCGAACTGAGAGTAAAGTCGAGATCCATTCCCAATAGTCGACTCGTTTGGTGTGGTAGTTTGCGTTTCTTGAGGTGAGGAGATACACCTGCTTTGATTAGCCCTCGCCCACGTCCTTTGTCTCGGTCGATCGACGCCTTCGTAGGTACAAGTGACACTCCAGCCTAGTATTGTCAGCGGAACCACAAGGGCGCCACATTTGACTCACGTTGACATTTGCCGCAAGGCTGTGTTTCATCACATCTGTATTTTTTGGCTCTGCAAAACTGACAGGCTCTGGCCGCCCTTGGTCTCTTGCGCGGGCCATGGGCTGTGGTCTCAGCCGTATCCATAGCAGAGCAAAGTTCAAGGATCATCTGACATGAGACTCGGCTGCATGATAGATAGCAATTTGGGGGAGAGCGCTGAACAGGATGGACGAATCGCCAGCTGAAAACTCGGATTAACCGACATGATGTACGAAAGATAATGTCCCAAGAAAAGAGGTGGGGATGACGTCTAAAGTCGAAACTTCGTCGGCATGCGACTCGGTAAACTCGGAATTCCCGACGAGCGACATTCCACTAGAATTAACAACTCTATGTCGATAAAAAAGAACTGAATATAACATCACGGCTGTCGTGGTCACAGCCATTGATATGAGGTGATCCAAATTCGAACAAGAGTCAGTCTTGCAGCATGGAGGACGCACACGAACAGCTCAACATTGCCATTGTAGGTGCTGGGCTGGCTGGGCTGGCAGCTGCCATCTCATGTGCGCTTGCCAATCACAAAGTGACAGTTCTGGAAAGTGCTAAACAGCTGACCGAAATTGGAGCCGGGCTACAAGTTACGCCAAACGCTTCAAGGCTGTTTCAGGCATGGGGGATTGCATCCGAGGTCGAAGCTTTGGCGGCTGAACCCACCGTCCTGGCTGTTCACCGTTACAGTGATGGCAAGGTGCTAGCACAAGAATATTCGTTCGACCAGAATATCCGCAGGAAGTATGGCGCTCCGTTCATTGACATGCATCGAGTCGACTTGCAGAAAATCCTTTACAGCAAAGCTCTAGCCCTGGGAGTGGATGTCAAACTCAGCCATCGAATCTCGTCAGTAGACAGTACACCGGAAGGACCAAGAATTGTACTTGAGTCTGGACAAATAATCGACTACGATATTGTTGTCGGTGCAGATGGGCTTTGGTCGAAATGTCGCGAAAGTATGCTCGCCAAGTCAGACGCTCCACTACCAACGGGAGATCTAGCATATCGAATTGTGTTGGAAAGAGATCAGATCAGAGACCCGGAGTTGAAAGATCGAGTATCTAACCCAGAAGTACACTTCTGGGTCGGTCCACATGCCCATGCCGTCGGATACTCCCTCCGCGCAGGTACTATGTACAACATTGTCCTACTTTGCCCTGATGACCTACCGACTGGCCAGTCAAGATCAGCTGGTTCCGTCGAAGAGATGCAGAACCTTTTCACAGGATGGGATCCAATCCTGACTCGATTTTTGCGCCAAGTTGATTCAGTTGACAAGTGGAAGTTGATGCACAGAGAGGAAGTTGCCTCGTGGACGAACCAACAGAAGAATTTTGTTCTTATTGGCGACTCCTGTCATCCCATGTTGCCATACCTTGCTCAGGGGGCTAATTCGTCTATTGAAGACGGTGCTGTGCTGGGTCGACTGCTGTCATATGTCCATTCGAAGAAAAAGATCTCTTGGGCTATCAACCTGTACGAAGTCTTGCGGAAATCTAGGAGCGAGATGATAGTCCGTGAAACATTCCACCAGAGAGACGCATTCCACATGCCTGATGGAGATTCGCAAATGGAAAGAGATCGTCTCTTCCTTTCACAGCTGGGTAAGGAGATAGACGTAAAGTTCCCCAGTCGTTGGTGAGTACATCTGTCTCTTGTCGAGTGGAAATATACTCATGCAAACTACTAGGACCTGTCCAGAGGTACAGCCTTGGTTGTATGGCTATGATGCTATGAAGGAAGCGGATAACGCTGTCCAATCGGCGCCGTGGCGAGAAGCCTCCTAGTTGAGCGCTTTGACACTAATGCATCTTCGTGGATCTACAGTATGACCACATAGTTCAAACTAATGGCGTTGCATTAAACTAGTCCGTTCTCGAGTTGTTAAATACCTTTGTGCACAGCGTTAGCGAATGCGCACCTTCAGATCAGCAATCGGGGACCTTGATGAAAGGTATTGATGAAACTTCGTTGCTGTGGGAGTTTCAGTTCATTGTGTTTCTATCTTAGAACCTAACAGCGAGCAGAAATACGGAGTTGGCAGGGTGAGGTCGTGATGCTTTTTATTCCATCTCTGGTGTTATGACATTACTCTGTATGCCATCAATTAATACATCCCTCATGGTTTCAGCGCTCTTCACCCTAATATCAACAAAGCTCTCCGGGCTATAGAAGGCGGTATGACATGTGATCACCGCTCGACCCATCAACCAAGGTTCCTTCTTTCGATATGCCTGAATAAGAGGATGTACATTGTCCTCTGGTATTGGCTCCTCGGGTAATACATCCAATCCAGCACCGCTGATGATGCCTTCCTTTAGGCATCTTTCGACACCATCTAAATCCACGATCTCGCCACGCGCCGTGTTGACAAACACTGCTCCATGAGGCAGTAGTTTCAGCAAACCATAGTCCACCATTCCACGAGTCTCCCGTGTACAAGGACAGTGTAGGCTCAAAGTCGTGCTCCTCCTAAACAGCTCGCGGATGTCTCTGGTGCGCTCAAGACCGAGACTCTTGTCGACTCCATTTGGCAGGTATGGGTCGTAGAATAGGACGTTCCAGCCAAATGCTTTTGCTCGCAGGGCCACCGCTGTGCCTATGCGACCCAGCCCCAAAATACCAAACGTAGCACCTTGGAGCCGTGACACTAGTGGTGTATCAATGTACATCCAAGGTGCGGGAGGGTCGGCACGTTGAGTCTCGTTGTGCAGCAGGATACCACGGCGAAACGATAGTACAAGTCCCATAGCGTGATCTGCAATTTCGCACGTGCCGTAATCTGAATACTCGGAGTGAGAATGGTCCTGTGTGCTGGGATATATTTTCTCGTGGGGGTCCGTGGGGGTATCAACGATCAACAGGGAGTTGTCTCACCAGGAACGTTGCACACAGTCACGCTTCGCTTTGCTAAAGCCTCTCGATCAAGCCGGTCATAACCAACGCCCATACGGACGATCCTGACAACAGTATCAGAACGGACCAACGCGCTAACGTCACCCGGGGCTTGAAAGTGAACTCACACCTTCAATTTTGGAAACAGATCGAGATCGGCGGAGGTAAAGTCCATTTTCAGGACCATGATTCCATCTACTTGATCACGGAGCGCTCTGTCGACATCTGACCATGGTTTCCTGTTTGGGGTTCCAGTTGGCCAGAGATATGTTTGGTGGTAATCGAGTTCGTATTGCTGAGACTCGCGAGGCTTGAATATCTGCTTTTCAACGACATCATCCTATATGAGCCATAGTGTCAGCAAAATATGTGCTTTTCGTAGGTAACACTTACAGGATACAAGCCATCAGCCTGAATGATGGTGAATCGGGCTTGTTTGGGTGCAGACGGAAGTGTCATGGCTGCTAGAGGCACCTTCGAAAAATGATATGGAGCGACTGAACGCTTACAAAAATCCGACAAGCGGGTGATGAGGCTCCTTAAATGACGCCTCGGCCCATCGGCTCGGTCGGGGTTGGCCCGAGGAGCTCCCTCTACAAAGGTCGTGGGGGCAATGCTTTTTCATGGAGATATACTCCACACCAACTGTCTGTCATCGTCTTTGATTGGAGGGCCGTCGCCCGCCCACGATAAAAGCCAAGGGCTACGGGCTACGGGTATAATATAATGTATGATTCTATGACTAGCTTGGTGATTTCAGGTACATCTTAAACTTGAGTCCACTTACAAGCAGCATCTCAGCTGCATCTGGCTGGCATGGTTCAAGGTGCCACTTTGCTTCCAGAACACAGATGGCTCACTTGCAGTCATAACCTCCTCAAGGCCGTCTAAACCTGGAGTGGTAGGCAGGATCGATGTACGCAACAGAAGCCTGCACCTTAAAGAGAAGTGGTTTATATGCACACTGTATTTCGAACTCTTGGCCTCTTGAGCAGGATATTATGAGCAGGAGTGGAAATGAGCGAAGCAGCGCAGTCTCGAATTGGCTAAATGACAAGGTGTCACGGTTGATTTTGGTGTCATATCATTTCCGCGAGGCCAGCGAAACCCTCCTGAGCAACTTTGCGCCCTGCGAGCTCATTCGCGAAACTAAGTTTCTTTTCTAAGGGCCAGTCATCGTTATGGACCAGACAAGAGTACAGCATTCCAGCTATAAACGTGTCTCCTGCTCCGATGGTGCTAGCAAATTCAGCATAGGATTCATGCCCACAATTTCCAGTGTCAAATTACATACTCAATGACTCCTGAACCATTGGGGACATACGCAGGCCTATGAAGATATGTCCCGGTAGCTATTTCAAAGATGGATGCTCCATGTTCACCCCAGGTGCAGCAACGAAGTGACCTAGCACAGATAATCGTCAGCTTCTTCGATAGGTGGAGATACCTAAACATGGAATCCTTACATCCCCGGGATTAGCTTTGCTTGATTTTTAAGACACTCTTCGGGGCCGCAGTATCCTCTGCTCTGGGAGAGACCCTAAATCAATACACGGGTGATCTGATGATCAATAAATCCTAGCTCCAAGGTGATTACTTACAGCTGCCCAGCTTTTCGAATAGAAGACGACGTCTGCTTCATGAGCAAGCTCCTGGAACCCTTCTCTTGCTGGCTTTTCCAGCTCCACACTGACCCTGGACTCAGAGAAATTCTTTTTCAAGTGACGGATACGCTTGATGATGACATCGGGAAGTCGCCCCTAAACTTCTCATAACCAGGATCTGTTGAGTCTATTTGGATTCTCCTTCCATGCAATGACCAAGAAGAGCGGCAAACCTACCTCGAAATGATACCAAGTCACATTTGTGCCGAGAGAGGCTGAGACCTCAACGAACTCATCATACGTCATCTCTGGCAAACTGCTGTGGCTGATTATTGTGCGAGATCCATTTTGAAGGCTCCTGACGATATAGCTGGAGGCAGGGTCAGCGTGACCGGAACGATAAAGGCACGTCTCTGTGGCCGCTCCAGCTCGTAAAGACTGCCTAATCTCTTGGACAGCTGGGGAAGACTCGTTGGGAAGAACGCTGAGCAACCTTAGGCTGATGTTATTTTGTTCCTCGCGTAGAAGTTGCTGGAGCACCTCAATTGTGTTGGGACAATTCCCTCGGCGTCTTCTTACAATACTGGAGGCACGCAGCTTTTCATGGTTAGACAAAGCCAGTGCGTGGACACCAGATGTAATGGTAGCGTTTGGGGGCCAATCCGTGCCTCAGTATGGTGTCAAGGTAGCAAGCTCCCACTCCTACAAAAAAACTTCATAAAGACAAACGTGAATCGAATTTAAGAGCTTTTAAGTCCGGATCGGCCACTTCCGACAACAGTCCTAACAACCTAAGTTAGTATCGATGAAGATTTCCTTGAATTTCAAAAGAGAATGAAGTTGATGGTAATAAGGGTTCTTCTAGCTGCGCACCCTTATAAACTGTGGTTAAGCCAACAAGTAGTTAGTTACTCTAGCATGCCTAGCGAGCCAAGCTTTCTCCATCTGCATGAGTTCCGGCCCTGGCTCGGTAGGCTCCCATCCTGTCCTCCAGCGCCTACATTGTCAAAATGATAAACGAAAGTTATCGTATGCTCTTCTGCACGAACCGACGCATATCGTACACTGAAGTCAATATGCATGGTCTCACTTTCCCTCTCTAGCTGTAATGGTGGCAGAATTTGCCCAAGGGTCCAGAAGAGCTATTGGTGGCGCAAGCCCAAGTATTCTTGTACTTGTCTTGCAAGATGCCTGCTCCGATCCGCTCCTTGCACGTATGAGGATGTGCCTCAAAAAATCGACCCAAGGCGCTCGAAAAGTTTGGAACAATTCCGCCATTTTGAACGGCCAAGCAGAATAATTCAGGGTCACCGTCCAGGCGGGTGAGATTCACTGAGTTGTAATTTTTGATATGCTCGCTGGCGAACTTGTCATACATGTCATCGTTACGTCGGCAGATGTGGGTGTGGATTTGCTCGTGAGTACGCACACGGACGGAGTTCATTGCCAAAGCTTGATCCTGGGGCTTGTAGACGGACTGCGAAAATGCCCAGCCGGCATCGAAGAATTTGGGTTTCTCATAGGTGTCGAGGATGCCTGACACGCGCATGTTTGTTGTGGTAAGATTCTCCCTTGCTCCAGGCTGCGAGAGGAGCACCCAGATAGGTGGGTCGTTTTGCTTGATAGCGGCACTGGTGACGGTGCACCATTTCGGATTTTTCAGACAGTCACACAGAGAATGGAACCAGAGGCCACAGCCTTGGCAGCTGCTCTCCATGTCAGTACATCCTCCGTCACAGGATGTAATATTTTTGATGGCAGAGAGGCCATTGCAGACTGAACAGTTGCTGGAGTCTTTGCCCGAGCACCCTGTTTGTTGGCCTCGACATTCGCATCCCCCCATGTCCATATTGATTATTTGAGTCGAATTACAGAAAGGCAAAGGCGTAGCCCTTGCATACAAGAGTGGACTGTGGGCTTGATGACTATCAAATGATCCCAACCCAGCGATGTTCAGCGCACAAGCGCTACCTGCCAAGAGGATTGCAAAGAGTAGGCCTTGACTCATCATCGTGCAGAATTGATGAACCAAGACGGAAGGAAGAAGAGGTTGAGGATAACCCTGTCGATGACGCGGTATAGAGTCACAAAACTGGGCGTGACGAGCTTGATGAGAGTGAGTCTTGAGGAGCAGGCTTCAGGGAGGATCGTCCCTTCTAGTAAAAGGTCAATATATGCTTCTTTCGCTCACCAGCTGATGAGCACTCGTATTCTCTTCGATATTCCTGACCGACCAGAACGTTCGCACGGACAGCTTCATCCGAAAAAAGATGTCCCAGTCTCCTTGGGGAAACTCAGTTCTTTCAGCTCATTTCATCGGACTATATTATACGAGCTCTGACGTCGTTGTAGGTTTGGGAACGAGTGAGATTAAGTTCATGCTGTGCGCGTACGCTTGCTAGAGAGTCACATCGGCGGTTCCTCCCGGTATTGGTCGTTATCACTCCAGCACGCGCACAGACCACACATGCTATGAGTTCACAAATGAACCTCATTCCACTTGATCGAGGAAAGCGGGTGCACAGCCTGGAATCCTCCCCAGTCTTGATGTTACCGGAGGAGCACAACCGAAGACAAGCTGGCAGTCTAGGTTCCAGAACGCAGCAGTATCTCAGTGGCCAGGTATCTCGATTTATTGTCGACGGGATGGAAGTCACAGCGGCTTCGGACAGCCAGTGGGCGCAGTTTGCAACATCTCTTTGCCACTGGGGCAATTTGGGCTCCCCTGGATTCTGCGGATTAGTGTTTGATTACGACGGTTTGCTCCTCCTAATTATTAAATATAACATCTTTAGCACGCCAATGTTGTTTTGATTAGCCTCGGATCTGGTATCTTGTAGTGCAACATATGTCCATTGAACTCAGCAGCTCTATTTGGCAGATGTTGGGGCAGCGAGCGGAAGAGTAACGCTTCCCTGGGTATCTCCTTCTGACCAACAATAATGTTCCAAAGAAGTTATTGTGGCAATTGATATCCATGACATGCGACAATGGTCCGAGACCCACCTTTTTTTATTTGTCTACCGTCTCAACTCGCATTTGATTACCACTCTTACTTTCGCCAAAGTTATCACCCTCCTTAGGCGACAAACCAACGGGATCAACTTCATCTCCAAAAACTTCTCCGATATCTTCGAGGGAGCGGCCTTTGGTCTGTGTCATTGGGTGTCAGCGATTCTTTCCAGGTACATTCCGCTGTGTCTTACCTCTGGGAAGTAAAAGAAGATGACTACTGCGAAGATGCTCGTAATGACAATGAAAACAATATAATATTTCCAGCCAATTGATGCGAATGCCGTTGGTGCTGTCAAAGAGTAAGGTTAACCCTTGTTATGCAACGAGCTGAAAGGGGCATGAACAGCTAAATATGACGATGGTAATCTGTGGGTTCTCGTGGCTAGTGAGGCTTACCTGCTTGTAGGAAGATGATAGTGGCAATAAATAACCCAGAGATCGACACTGCTAGTCCTTTCGCTCTAACAGGAGTTGGGAAGATCTCTGCAGCGTAGATATAGGAGGTGGCATCGACGGAAGAAGAGAAGAAGCCAATGTGAAGGAACAGAAAGAACACTGCAGCAGATGCAGCACTCCTGTGGCCTGTCCTCTGGAATGCGTCGACAGTTATGCATTCTCCGATAAGGGCAATCACAGTACCACAGAAGCCAAACACTGAGAAAGGTCAGCTAGGAAAATCAGGACTCAACAACACGAGACTTACGTAGCATTCGAACTCTACCGATCTTATCTACAACCAGAGCGTTGATCCAATTACCGAAAGGACAAACAGAGATCCACCCTGATTGAATGAGGAGCTGCTGAACAGTGCCAAAACCTAAGCTTGAGTATAGTGACGGACCATAGTCTATAGCATTCGTCAGCTTCAATTCGATTTGGTAAAGACCAACGTCAACTCACTGTTTATGACGAGCGTGGCCGTGCCTTGCGCTCCAAACATTGTAATGAAGCCGATGATGCATCGTTTGCGAAGAGACGTATGTCGAAAGAGATCCAGAAAAGAAATGTGATTTTGCTTCTCGTGAATTAATTGGCCGTGTAGCAGGTCAAACTCGGCACGTATTGCTACCTCATCTGAAAATATGGTATCGGTTGTTTCCGCTCGTGTCGTTTTGAATGATTTGTAGGCTTCGTCCATGCGGTCTTGCGCAAGAACTATATGCCATTTAGCTCATGTGAACACCGCACGCAATGATACTTTAATCTTACGCCATCGAGGAGATTCGGGGAGGAACATCACACCAAGAGCCAGAATCAATGGTGGGATGCACTGAATCGCGAGGGGTATGCGCCATTGGGCGCCTGAAGCCTGGACAAAGTAGAAACCAAGACCTATCCAGCTCGCAGAGGCGTATCCGACACAGATAAGAACCCCATGCATCCCCACCAGAAGTCCACGAATTCGAGGTGGCACAATCTCGCTTTGATATAGCGGGACGAGGGTCACCAGTCCACCTATACAGAATGTTAGTAGTGAAATGAAGCTCGTTAAACGTCAATGCTTTCTTACCGATCCCGACCCCCGTAATAAACCGCATAGCAATATACATTCCAATATTAACGCTCCCAGCTTGCAGACCGCCACCGACGATGGAGAATACACAGGCAATTAGCATGGCCATTCTTCTTCCAAATTTATCCGCAGTTGTGATGCAGGATAAAGTCCCGAAGAGACCACCAGTCTGAAAGAGCCCGTTGATGGCACCCATCAAGTCAGCTGCGTCTGATCGCGTATCCAGTTCGAAATAGGTGATGAATGAGGGTTGTCCTAGTGTCGTGGCTATAATGCTCGCGCAATAGCCATACGTAAGACTTCCTAGGGCAACAAAAAGAATAATCTGGAGAAGTGTGAGTTTGATGCAGAGAAAAACAGGGGGTGGTTTACCAAATATCGAGTTAACTTTGGTGAGAGCGCCATTTTGTCCGCAATGTTGAAACTGGAACTACTAGTGAATGATTCCAGACCGCGATAGTCAAGAACAGTTGGCAATCCATCTTATATAGCCCCAGTGGTACAACATAGATCGATCGTCCTCAGGAGGTGAAACCCCACCACTATACCCTCGGGTTTACCAGATCAACCATGCGTGAGGAGACGTCGCTCTGAAGTTTGTACACTCCAATAGAGCCACTTCCATGCTATCCAGATAGTCTCACCCGCCCTGGGGCCGTCTGGGGTAAATTTAGCTCGCAGCCACAAACTTGGAGAAAGGAAAGCTTTCTCGAGCACGGGTTCATAATGATGTGAGCATCGGAAAGCCCAACTGGGTCGACCGGTGGAATATTTCCGAAATCGGAGTCCCAGAGTAGTTTGATTTATAGCTATTACAGTACACCTTCCCACCTTCCCACCACGTGAAGCTCCGACGGATTTCGCGAGACTAATATGCTTCTTTGGCGTTTGTGGAGCTTCCTCTCTAGCCTCGATCCCCAGGAATTGGAATCGAGGTCATAATGAAAAGCCGGGGATTCAACATCGGCGGAGGTCGGGAACGGGAGAAGACAAATAAATGCCAATCAAGCATTTTGCCAAGCTGTCAGAATTGACTTGCTGTGCCGCGAAATTGGGGTTTATTTCCTAATTTATGCAACATGGTGCTGGATTTGGCAGTCCGAGTTTTACTTACGGTCTCGGTATCTTGTCCTCATGGTCATCACTCCCATATGTGATTTACCTTCAAGCCAAACCGTCGAAATATCAAGCTGGAAGAGTGCAGAGCTCCTTTTGAATGTTTTCTACTCCCAGGCAATTCTGATTTGTGGGGAGACTGCCATGGAGACGACTTTCCAACCGTTCATCCTAAGCCAAGCCCTGGAAAGCTCACCAAGCTCGAGTATACTGCAACACATACCAGCATCCAGTTGCAACTGTGTTCAATTGGATACATTCATGTTGATCAGTATTGTTTTTGCATGTAGATATCCTCTCAGTCCTTCATAGCCACACTCCCTTCCTATGCCGCTTTGTTTAACCCCTCCGAAGGGGACCTGCGGCGACGCCTTGAAAGCTTGATTAATGCCGACTGCTCCTGCTTCGATCTTGCTTGCAACCCGTAGAGCTCGGGGAATGTCGGATGTGAAAATCGATGCTGTAGTTGTTAGCCAATTGGGAGTGTTTGAAAATCAAAATTGCACCTACATCCAAGGCCATATGTGGTGTCATTGGCCATCTGAAGAGCTTCTTCCTCGGTCTTAAACGTCTTGATGGCAATGACGGGGCCAAAGATCTCATCGGTGAAGACACGGCTCTTGACATCAGGGTTCAAAAGAATCGTAGGCTGAACGAATGCACCCTTATCACCTAAAGCGTCACCTCCGGTAAGTACTTGAATTCCTTCGGCTTTTCCATCCTTCAAGAATCCCATCACGCGATCGAATTGCTTCCTGTCAGCGAGGGGCCCAAAAGCAGTTTCTTTCAGAGATGTGTCGCCCATTTTCGTTGCAGCATCTTCGAATGCTTTCTTCACACCCTCGATAAATTTGGGAGCAATCCCCTCTTGGACCAGTACTCTCGAAGAGGCAAAGCAGATTTGACCAGAGTTTCGGAGGAAGCCCTCCGCGTTATGCAAGATAGCATTATCAACATCAGCGTCATCGAATATCAAAGCCGGTGACTTTCCTCCTAGCTCGAGGGAGACGTGCTTCAAGTTCGACTTTGCTGCTGCTATTTGGACAGCTCGCCCGACTGCAGCTGAACCTGTGAAGGCGATCTTGGCGATATCCATGTGCGAAGCAAGCATCGAGCCAACCGGGCCGGCACCAGTGACCAGATTAATCACGCCTGGTGGGAACCCAGCCTCTTTAATTAGCTCGCCATATGCTAGAGCCCCAAGAGGAGCCTTTTCGGAGGATTTGAAAACAAAGGTATTTCCCGCGGCGAGAGCAGGAGCCATTTTCCAGGCGGCTAGGGTATAGGTCGAATTCCAGGCAGCTATGCCGGAGCATACACCCAATGGCTCGTACGCAACAATCTTGTAAGATCCATCGCCTTCCGGTGGGTAACTCTCTCCTGCAATCTTCCCAGCAAAACCAGCGTAATATCTCCAAACACCAGGTGGGCCTTGGGCAAAAAGTGTAGCTACGGAGACTGGTTGACCCATGCAAACACTTTCCAGTTTTCCGAGTCTCTCTGCGTTGGCTTCCAAGAGATCGGCAAATTTCAGCATAATCGCCGCCCTTTTGGCCCCTGTGGTAGATGACCACGAAGGGAATGCAGCTTTGGCAGCCGCAACAGCGCGGTCGACGTCGGCTTCAGATGCAACCTGGATTTTGTCTGATACTAAGGTATCATCGTTGGGATTATAAACAGATAGAGTTTCCCCAGTCGACGACGGGACATACTGTTGAGATGTACATCAGCATCGCCAGCCTTGAGAAATACACGAGGGTACTTACCTCATTATTAATGAAGAGATTGGTCTGATATGACATCTTTTGGAAGAACTGAGGCTATTCTTTTCAGAGAAGGATATGGATGAAAGGATAGCTGTACAGTACGGCTGCTGCGAAGTTGTTCAGTAACACACACTTGGTATTATCGCAGCGCTGATTTCCGATTTAAATCTTTCCATCTCCACGGCTTCCAATTCCCGTGAGTCTCTTCAGGAGTTGGAGCACTATGTCTGTCCTCGCAGCGAATTTTGCCTCGGGTGCCAAGGGAATACAACCCCGCCCACGGCCGCCTGCAAACATTGGTACCCCTCACTTAGCTGTGTGGGCCAATCGAGAAGCATGCTCAAGGCGAGTTCGATAGCAACGGGGGCTATTCCGATAGCGATCTCTTGTGATAGGGAAAATTGGATAGAGGCTGGAGACTGGGACGGTTTCTAAGGTCGAATTTGAAGATTGTTAACTGCAACATCGATTATATGGGGCCGTCACACAAATACGAAATCTACGCGCTTCAGGGCAATGACTTCGCAAGCACTCCTGCAAGGCTACGGCAGAAGGCTACTACGAGGGCTTACGGTTGCCATATTGACCATAGCGTGGGAATGTCTGACGGCAACGCGCGGCGTCCTTGGCCTTGACGAAGAAGAAGGGAAGTGATATAGTAGGAAGGAGGAATTATCATTTGCCTTGGCGGTCGATCATTCCAAGAAAGATTAAGTGAACACCCTTTCGAGCCTGGATGGGCGCCGGCCTTTACTTCTTATAAGGCATCAATCGAGGAAAGGCTATCGCCAAGGCCATCCTACTAGCATATTGCCTTGGAGGTGACAGTGGAGCTGGGAACCCCGTAGGCATACCTGCGAGAGGGATCAACTTACGTTTTGTACCTTTTTGAAATGATATACAATCGATCCTATGCTTGGTCCCCTAAAGAACGAGATCACCGAAACGGCCCCTGCGACGCCTCTGGCTGCCCAAATAACTCGACCTAAAGCGTCCAGCTGATAGGATTTCCAGGGTATAACAGTACTCGAAACCAGTTCAACCCATTAGCCAGCGCTAACATAAGTTCTCGTGGTCCAGCACGACTATTCTCAGGAATGGCTACAGCAATGCTGGCTTCCACCCGCCAAACCAGTAAATTCTGTGTAGCAACAGGCTATTCAAGCTTACCAACTGCCGTTCCGGGCTCAAGCGCTGATGGTTTGTAGGATCTGCCTTGGGATTAGCGGTCGACACTCTGCAGGGGCCCCCGAACCTCCCACGAGCTGGGTTTCACGGTGTCGCCAATCTACGGAGTTACCCAGGAGTCCTGGCTGCAAGCTGACAAACAAGTGGAGCTCTGCCCACCGAACTGGATCCCCGCCGCAGGATTGACTGTTCCTCTGGGATAGCAGCGGTCTGTCCCGTTGGGTTGGGGGCGGGAAGTTCAAGGAAAGTCTAACCCTTCTTCCTAGCCAAACCTCTGGGGCTGCGACGTCTTCGTTTCACATCACCATCATCGCTCTCATTCTTTCTGGGTGAAGGTGCGATTCGTTGGGCCTCCTTGATTGCTTCCGCGCTCTATCTTAAAAGCAAGTATCCTTATCACAGGGCCGGCGTCTCGAGGATCGCAATCAGACCAGGACACAGCTGTGAGATGGCTTGGAGATGGTGCTACTCGTAACCTAAGAGGCAATGGCTCCAAAGTCCAAGGGCGAGCAGCCAGACTTTGTCTTCCTTTCATATGCGCCCAAACCCAATCGAAAATCTCAGGCGATCCAAGATACCCAAAGGCGTGCTCACGCAGCTCGGAAATCACACGCGCTGGCACGGCAGAGAAGAGGGGTGTTTGATCAGAGTGGAAACGATGAGGCGAGTTCATCAGCTAGTCCAGAAAGTCCCAAGAACAGCCCCCCCAAAGAGTCTACGCCAAACAAAGTTGTGTTCGTTCAGCCCACTGAAGACCTTGATGAGTCGCTGAATATTTTTGGAGAGGATGATTCGCAACCAGTGGCCCAACGTGACCAGATGCAGCTTTGGTCCCCTGCCTACAGCACCCCAGCTACAACTTTGCTCGGACAAGGAACCGTGGACCCCTTTGATGTATTTGCAGTAAAGGACCTTCCGCCATATGTCTACAAGGTCTTAGATATAGGTAAGCAATGAGTGTGTTTTCCTCTCTCAATGATACGAGACCCCAACGTTTTGGCTGCCTGATGATATGCGTCTAACCGGCTGACATAATCCCACCCTCAGCTGCGGACATGAAATGGGGACACCTTAAGCCATCGGTCCTCAATCAACGATCCAATCCACTCAAAAGAGCATGGCTACGAGCGAACATGGAATCGCCCGCTGTTTTGCATGCCATGGTGTACGGCATGCTTGTTTCGTTAGACTCAATACAATCGCCGATCGAACCCGGAAACACTCTGAGCCTGAAGCATCAGACATACGCTATGAGTTTATTGCAGAAGGAATTGCAAGCACTTGGCGACGGCATACCGCATCAGAATATTCTGCTGGCTATAATAACGCTTGCTGCGCATGGTGAACCTGTCCGAGACCAACATTTTGCTCCATTAGGCTACCCCGAATCACCGCTGGCAAAGACTCAAAATCTCCACATATATGGCTTGTTGAAATTAGTACCCGAGCACACGTACGCGATGTTCATGATACTCGAACGAATTGGAGGAGTAGAAGCTGTAACGCTCTACGGTCTACGAGATACCGTTGACTTGTAAGTCCTGCCACCTGTCCCTGCGACCCATGAGACTTATTTTATAGTTGCGACCTATATTTCGCCACTCGCTTGGGAACTCCTCCCAGACTCGCATATCGTCACCCTATCTATCCGTTGATCTCAGATATCGAGTACACCCCCGATTTGATCGCTGAACAACTTCTCCTCAAATCCGGCAGATCCCTAATAAGCCTTCCAGCATTGATCGAGGAATACCAAGAAGTCGTTGGAATGTCGGCAGTACTTCTTGCAGGTCTCGATCAGTACCAAAGAGAAACAGCATCAGCTCCTAGCTTGCCGTCTTTGGTTCGTGCAAGGTCTGCTCTTCAGTATAAGCTGACCTCTCTACAACCCGTCGACATGATGCTAGCCGCGTTCGATGAACAGGTTTGCGAGATCTGCCGCCTTACTCTCCTTATATTTAGCAATATGGTATTCTTCCCACTTCCACGCGTGTCCGGCGTCAACGAACGCCTCATCGCGAGTCTACGCTACAGCCTTGCCACCACTGGTGCTGATTTTTTGGTGCAGCATCTGGGCTTGTTGACTTGGGCTTTGACCATAGGGGGTATCGCAGCTTTCTCAACGAAACATCGCTCTTGGTTCGTCTCCACATTTCGAGAGAAGCTCCTATGGCATCCAGATGACTGGGAGGGGGTCGAGGAGGTTCTCGCCGCCCACCTCTGGTGGGATTACGTGTGTGAAGACCCTGGTAAAATGTTTTGGAAGGAAGTCCATTCTGTTCATCGCTCCTCCTCTTTCTCCGGTGGTGGAATCAGCCTGCCATTCTACGGTCCTTCCTGAATGCAGCTTTACTTGGAATTTACTCCCTCGAGGAAACTCGAACAACGCGATTCCAGTTTTGGAAACGGTCAGCATCTGCCACCTGCGACGGGTGGCGGAGTCCCCCTACAGGAACACCAAGAAAATGAAGGCGAGGGCCCAGTTGAAAACATGCGCCGAGTCGCGATTCTACGTGAACTATAAATGAAGGCCAATTCCACGTCTTTGCGACAACTTAGGCAAGATGCTTCGTACACAATCACATCACGTAGACGAGTTTCTTACCGCTAACCTTACCATTCCTCAACTCTGGCAATCCAGTCTTGACGACACCCTCGAGCCCACCTGTTCTGACATCAACTGGATGCGGCTTCACATGTCCCAACTGGAGCAACCTCTCTGCAACTACCGCAAATCGTCGAGCACGCTCAAAATCCTCAGTACTGGCCGGAACGACTTGTCCCATGAATTCGTATTCCTCGCCGAGGAAGGAGTAGCCAACAGTGGGGAGTGTCGTGATACCGGGAAGCGGCGGTGTCAAGGGTGTGAGAACACTGTACAGGACATCTGACTGTTGGGTCTCGTCCTGGGGCGCTAAAACCTTTGCACAAAATGCAGCCGAATCTGCTCTGGATATATTATCAACACAGAGTGTCAGTGGACCAAGGGCTAATGCATTCTTCTTGGCGATTGCAAGCAGCTCGGCGGGGGCGTCGGGCGAATAGTGGTCAACAACGAAGTCTGCACCGTACGATCGTACTAGGTCCGCATTATGTGGTGCGCTGGTGGTGAGGACGGTAAAATTTGCCCTAGGGCCGCTCAGAATCACATCCGCCAGAGACATGGTTGCCTTAGAGTTGAGGAAACGAGTACGACTTACAGCTTCGCAAACTGGATCACCATGGTTCCCATCGCGCTACTACCGCCATACACCAAGATCTGCCTTGGATTTTGCTTACTTGTGTTCACCGAGCCATCCTCCAATATAACTGGATAGTCGATGCCGAATTTATCGAACTACGCAAATGGATGGTGTCAATTCTCGGGCAGCTGGAGGCCATCATTCAGGCCAAACTACTCCAGCTCGATATTTTCAAAACTCGAAGCATTGGGCCGTTGGACTTACAAAACAACGTCCGGTCGTGAGCGTAGTGACCCCTAAAGAGGCTGCCTGCTCGAATCCCATCCCACTGGGGATTCTCAGCTGTAAATCAGCCTTGACGACAATATATTCGGCAAATGTTCCGTTCTCGAATTGCGCCGGATCAGTGCTACGAGTACAACCGCAGACACGGTCGCCTAGCTTGAAATCCCTCTGCACATCAGAGCCAAGCTCAACGACCGTGCCCGCGTAGTCGCAACCAGCTAGTGAACCCGGGACTGCCATCTTGAAGTCTAGCACCAGCAAGTCGGCGGGATTGATTGCTACTGCCATGACTTTGACTAGGAAATACCCCGCCCGTAGCTTTGGAAGTGGCCTGGTCTCCACGACCGCCTCGAGTTGGTCGTCAATACCCGAGTTTCTGATAGTGACGGCTTTCATGGTCTGGGGAAGCGACATTGTGAAGGGTTTTGACGTGGAAATATGAGAACAGATGAATAGCGATGTCCAGTAATTAATGATGACGGACTAACTAGGACTTAACATAGTGGCGGCAGAGCGTTCATGCTTATGTCTTTGCACATCAGGTGGCCTAGAGCTACACCCTAGCACTTGTGGAAAAGGCAGCAAGGCCACCTGCGCCAAGGTTACTTTAGTCCAAGGACGCGAAACTCGCTGACAGGGAATAACCCGTCTCCCGCAAGCTGAGGCCAGAACAAGACGAATGGCGGGTCAGGACAACGAAAAGACGGCTGAGGAGCCAGCCTTTTTTGCGAACTTTTAGTGAAGGTTGGTCTTGAGCATTGTTGAAAGATACCTCACAAACTCGGCTTCCTCACCCTCAATGTGCCCCGAGGGGCGGACCGATACTGAAACCCCGACCTAAATGGAAAGGCCGAAACCCCTGAGTGGGTGGCGCTCTTCGTGTCAAAGGATCTGTAAGATAGACCCGGGTTTTGTTGCTAGATTTCTACCCACGAAGGGCCTGCTGCGACGAAGCCGCAAGTCAGCCACGACTCCCACCTGATGGGTTCGAGGTCCATGACCCTAGTATATCGGCCAGACCACCCCTCTAGCCCAACAAAAGGCTTAAAGTGTCCTTCGTCCTCGGGGCGAGGTAGAAATCCCCAACAAAGATCGTTGATTACCTCTTACTGGTATTCTCAGAGCTTTATTCCTTATCAACCGACCAAGTGGTGTCGAGACTTTGAACATGGGCGAAGCCAAGTTAGAGATGCTGAACTTCCGTCGTGAATTTCAACCCAACATGTTCGAGGTGATTGATATACCGTCCTCCTAGACATGCTGGTGTGCAAATGCCCCCAGTCAGTCGTGCATCGTCTGTGTCTTCCAACATTGTCCGAGCCGCCTGCGCAAGCAACGCCGCCGTCACTGTCAACTTGGTCAGACTCCGGGTTCAAGATGCAACAAGGAGAGGGTTGGTGCTCACGATAGTACATGCTTCCAGTGTACTGCAGCCTCCCCAAGATCTGCCTTCTATTTTCCGTGTCGACATCAGGCTTAGCAACGGCGCGGAACTCGATAATTTCGCTTTTCGTTTTCTCCCTGTCGGGTCCGTCCCCAGGCTTGAAGACGGCTCTCTTGATCAGCGCTCTAAAAGGCGGCAGTAAGACGAACACAGCCCCGATCAGCAGGCTATAATGCATCAAGACACCCTTGAGGAACCCGCAGGCGTTCATGAACTCTCGGTAGGTGAAATTGGGGCCGTAGAACTCCTCTTTCAAGGAAGGTTCCTGCTTCGTCAGGCCCCACGTCCGAAACATGATTGCGGCGTTAGCTGGACCGGTCGCACTTGTCGATAGCCGGCCCAGTTCAGACATCGTGCGTTGGCCTGTGATCGCTGACAGGAAGGTTCCTTGGGGGGCTTGGTGGTCGTTCGGGACTGGTGACAGAGCATACGGTCTGATAGCTTGTCCGATAGCCTTGAGCGGATACTGGTCGAACAGATTCATCAATGTCGTGACTGTACTGCCGGACTGCAGGGAGCTTGAACACTTGGTGAGCATGTTTCTTTCTCGTAGACCAATTCCGGAAATCCTCACTGGAGCTCATGTATATCCACCACGACATCTCCCACGAGCGACGAGAATTCCGACCTGACCTGTGTGGCAACGACCCAAGTAAGCAGATCTGATGGCGCCGATTCCATCGCGCACTGAGCAAACATGCAAGAGCCGCTGGCTTTGGCTGTAGCTTCGCATTCATTGATCATTGCTAACGTCTATGGCACTTCTGGCGTGCAGTCTACGTAGTGAGTACCGGCTTCAGCACAAGTTTTAAACGCGTGTTCCCCATAGCGTGCGTAGGGTCCGACCAGTGCAACGAGGCAAAATGCTTTCCGTGCCAATGCGGAGACTTCCTTGTCGTTGAGAGCGCACACCTCAATAGCTTAGGGGAGCGGTTAGCCTGGCAGATCTAGACTCGGTCAAGCATGAATGATAGGTCCTATCCGGGGTCGCATGATCGGGAACTAGCTTCTTACACCGAGATGCAAGGTCCTGGAGCTTGTCTGCTGAACGCCCGGCGATGGCCCATCTGAGATCTGAAGGGAGGTGAGCAGCGATGTGCTCAGCCGTCAGGACGCCCGAATATCCGACAGTGAGGTCAACACAAATCCATACGCCACCAAAACGAACCATGAACGAACCAGCAGCTCCATATGCCACGATATCATATTGGCGGCCGTGCTGCTTGAACACAATGACGTCCTGATTTAGATCTGACGTAACCCTGTTTCTCAGGTTTAGCGCGAACGCGGCGAGGAACAATTGCGTCGACTATCATTGCTGCCGAGTCACAAGAGCTGGACCTTCAAAGCGAGACCTGCTTGATTTATTTTGTATCCTGCAGATTGTCTCCCATACTTGGAATGAATCTAGCTCTGAGGCTGCCGGAGTCGGCAAGTTCCATCTTTCCACTTCTCGAAGTGGTAGGATTTCAAAGCAATGTGCAATCAAAACTTCGATTTTCGTGATCATGACTTCTCGAATAGCGCACATGCATAGTGCTGGATCAGTGAAGGGCATTTGAGACCCAATTCAGGAGAGGCCGTGGCATCAGTCGTTCAGCGCCTTGGAAGTGGCAATCTCCTACTCCTATTGAGGCTCCGGCGAGGCTGTCCGTGCCCAACTCCGATATTGCACCACAACACCGAGAGCTGCGGTTGCGGAATATATTCCTCCGTAGCCCGACTTTACTTTCTCCAATGATATTTTGAAACTCCCAAAGCTATTTGTGGCGCTGCCTTCTCGAGGTTCCACGGATTCTGCCCGAAATTCGCTCCGAGGGTCTCCAGATCTCTTCGCCGAAGGAAATCAAAGGAGTCGTGCGACTGAGTGAGCACTGCGCAAGAATTGAATGCCGTGGTCGAAGAGCGATTCAATCAGAATGAGCAGTATTTGGGATGGAGTTGCTTGAGAGTATACTGGGGATTGTAGTGGTTCTGGCTGGAGAACCAAATGCTTATGTCAATGATAGATTGACGACTCTGGAAGAATCAATCAGAAATTCTCCTTGGCTTTCAAGGTCTCCGTACCTTGACCCACGTTGAGCCCTGTCGTGGCATGACTTGGATCCGGCTGACAACAAAACCAGTACTGCGGCGGCGCGTGCCATAGGTGCCTCACGACATTCGACCAGCAGACCCGGCACGACCTCATCGCTCGGATGGTCAATGAGCGAACGACACTTCAGAAGGAGAACAAAAGTATCCCGCGACACGTAACCGAGAGGGGAATTGTCGACGAGATGTTGAATCCAGTTTTCGCGGGGACGGACACGACGGGGAACAAGCTCACGTATCTCTTCTACGAGATGGCGCGCCACCCCGAATGGAAGATGCGGCTGCACGAGGAATTAAAGCGCGTGGTGGGTGATACCGCCAGCCCTGAGTATAATGTGATTGAGAAGCTCCCAGTCCTGGAGGCGGTCGTGCAGGAGATCTTTCGATTGAGGCCCGCGGCACCAGATGCGTTGATGCGAGTCACGCCCGAGGGCGGTGCGGTCGTGGATGGCGTGTTTGTTCCTGGCGGGGTATATGTCCATCCCATCCATGCTTGGATTTTCTTTGACTGCTGTTGACTTCCCAGTGCAAATAAGCCGAGCGCCTTTCAACTAACCCATCCCATCACTCCATCTAGATCACAGTATCCTGCCAAGCGCTCTCCACGCAACGGTCGCCAACCATCTTCCCAGACCCTGACCACTTACAACGATGGCTCAACGCTTCCCCTAAAGCTTTAGACCTAATGCGCGAGCAAATGCTGCTGTTCGGCAAAGGCGCGCGGTCCTGCCTGGGGCGAAGGATCGCAATCATGGAGATCAAGTGTGCCTTGACGGCTGTAAGCAGGAGGTACAAGGTCGATATTGGAAGTGAGACGACAGATGACGATATGCAGATGATTGACCATTTCGTGTTGATTCCGAAGGGCCAGAGGTGTGTTTTGAAAATTACGAAGCTTTAATTTTTGGGGAGCGGCGAGCGGCGAGGGCCGGGGCTGAGCTGAGGCGCTCGGAGTGTCGAGCGTTGAGTATGATCGATAATATATTGGAGACTCTTGTTCATGGGAGACTGAGTAGGACATGGATGAGCGATGCTGGTTAGCATAGTATAGCATTGACACCTTGGCTGTGATAGTACAAGTGGTTGTCGAGTACAGATGGCATGTAGGCATTCTTGAATACACTCCTGGATGAGGTATACCACGTTGTTAAAGCACTCGTATTGAGGTCATTCTTCACCTGCCTTGGTCCTACTGGACAGCATTCTTCCTCACTCACAAGTCATCGCTCTAAATGGGGATCGTGGAGCAGTCGACAATATATTTGTAGTTTGTAGAGTTTAGTGCCTCAGCGGATGAAGGTTATTCCGTTGCTCCGGTCCTCCATAAACAGTGACCACAAGGCGCCTGCCACTCGAACGCACTCGGATGCCATTTACTCCCAATGGCGCAGAGAAACATTTCGCGAAAAAGGTCAAAGATGTATGCAAATGGTAGAGTTCATTTCAGTTCAATTCAGTTCGCGAATGTCATTAGCGAATGTCATTAAAAAGTGTTGCTCGCTCGACACACGCTAAAGTTTCCAAAACCCTATGGTCTCATGCGGTGTGGCATATGCATGATATGGCGCCTCGAATACTGAAACCAGCATATCAGGGCCACTCGCCACAGCTGCGTCCAGCCACCAACCTTTCACCCTTGAAGCAGGCTCCGCGCCCTACTCTTCCATCTCGGTTCATCTCAACGAATCTGTATCCGCCGGCCTCAGATCCGCACATGCTAGAACCGAGCCCGCTGGGTTGGCTTTGAGCTCGCAAATCATGCAGAAAAGACAGTAGTTCTGTTGCAGTCCAAATCTCTTGATCACATCAGGACCAAAACGAAATTACTGTCGATCGTATTGCCCTCCAGATATTTGGGATTCCTTATCATATGCTTGCGCAGCTAGCGTGTCCAATGTCCAAGATCGAACCAGTCCAGATTGCCTCCATCCGACATCATTCGTTTTCCCGTACCATAGAGATCAGTCGTTATATTTACTCCTCGTCCTTCCAATCCCAGACCTGCTTGAGGAAAGTGGACATGCTGACCTTCTTGGTTTTCATCTCCGTCATCCACGGATGCTCTAGCATACGCCATGGGTTGGCTCTTCTGGGCGGCTCTTTCTCCAAGCAGCATTCGATGAAGTATTTGAACATGTCACTCCATTTGATACCGTTTTCGGGTTCATCCTTCAATTTCGGGATTGGTTGGGCGACAATATATGTGAGGAGGTCGATCAAGCCCGCACGAGGTTGCATCTCAGTCCCGTCTGCTGGGAAGGGAAATCGGTGTTGGGCGACTTCCAGTAATGTCACGCCCAGAGACCACACGTCCGAAGTGATAGTGTAGGATTGACCCTGTATTCGTTCTGGAGCCATGTAATATGAGGTTCCGATAAAGGTATTGGCATCACCTTTAGTGCCGAACTCTCCACTCACCCCGAAATCGCACAATTTGACTTGGCCATTTCGACAAAGTAAAATGTTGGAGGGTTTGATGTCTGTTCGAGTTAGCATGAAAGAAGAAAGACCACAATGTATTGAGACGTACCTCTGTGAATGATCTTACGGCTGTTGAGGTAGGTAAGCCCATGGAGTACTCCTTCGGCAATTTTGCCTAGAACCTTTTCTCCGGTTCGGCCTCCGAGCTTCTTCACTTCTTTGTACACGCTGTCGAGACTCCCGCCTTCGCAGAATTCCATGGCTATGGATATCGTGCTAGAGGATTTGTCCATGAAGGCACCATAGTACTGGCAAATGTATTCGGACGTGCAGTTCTTGTTGAATTTGAGCTCTCGAAGAATTTGTTTCTTGACATCTGGATCGGGACTCGTGGTTATGATCTAGATAGATGTCATTTCAGTCAGAGATCAAGGTCGGCTAATTAGAAATGCACATACCTTCAATGCAAATACGGTTTTCCCGCCTTGTAGCATACACCTTGTGACAGCACCACCAGCACCCTCCCCTAGGGAACCGAGTTCAATTATTTTCCTTTGCTCACTTGCAGCACCCCACCCTTCATCGTCTAGGTCGTCGACATCGAGTGGCCTCCCTTTTTCTAAGCTGAGTTTCTCTAAATCAACCAATAGTCCACTCATGCTCCCTTCTCTTTCCATGGAGGCTCCACCGACTTCGGAATATATTGAACTGATCGCAGAGGAGGGATCTGGAGTGCCGGCTTGTCGGCCGTTGTTGAGTGTGAATGAGAGGGCAGAGTATGTGGATGAGGAGGCGGAGCCTGGAACGCTTGTCCCTTGGAAGCTGTCCCCTCGAGGTCGGCTGGCATTGTCATTCCCATGCACAGCAGCGATATTTAGCGGTTGTATCGAGGGTCTGAACACTCCAGCCTCGTGCACCGAGCCCTGGCTGCCCATCGGCGTTGCTAGGGACAATTTGGGGGCACCCTTAGAGGCAAGACTAAATCTGGGGATCTCTGCAGGTTGTTCGGCATCAGGATGGACGGGTTTGACATTTGGTGAAGGAGGAATCCCGAGAGTGAGGCGAGGCGTCCGACTACCGCTCTGGCTTCGCCCACCAGGGACTGGCGGCCGAAGAAGCGGCACCGGGGACGACATTCTGGTTGTGAGAAGGATGCAAGCAAGGGTGGGTGTACGGTTAAGAAACCCTTGTAGGTGTAGATGAGGTGTTCAAGGAGTGGTCCCCGAGTCAAGGAGAGATCGCAAGAGTGTAAGAAGGTATTTGTCGTGGGCTGCGGTGGCTCAGTGCGGGATGGGATGTAGACTCGATGAGACGCGGGCAACTGGGCGAGGCTGGGATCAATTGTCCAGCAACAGCAGCTGCAGTGGGAGGACTTGTTGTTGCACCAGGATGCAGTGTCGTCTTGTATCGATCAGAATAACGCCTCGTTGCAAACAGGCTGCCTGCTGGTTACACCAGGAACTGCAGCCACGGATAGATGTTACTGGAGATAAAGCTGGTCTGTTCAGATGGCAATAAAACACAAGAGGGAAGAATGTGGTGAGGAACCAGAAATGAATTGCAGTAGTGAGTGGTGATGAGTGGTGGTATGGCGATGGGCTGGCTGAGCCCGGGGCCAGTTCTGGCGGCTTCTGGTCACCGCAGGCGTGAGTTTGGCGAGGTGAGACTCGGCTTGACTTGGTACGAGATAGCGGGTGAGACTCCGTCCTGCAGTTTGCTGGTCTTTACTACGGAGCACTTAGTAACTGGCTTTCCTCGAGTCTTAACTTGGAGAGACACTGACCCAAGCAGACGTCGGGTTTTGGGTTGGCAGGTTGGACCTTTTGCTGAGTTTGGTGGGTTGGGTGGGTTGGGCGGGCTGGCCGTTTTGGCCCTTTGCCCTGTGGTCGTTCCGGCGCCTTTGGGTGATCTGCGACAGGCGGCTACATGAAACACCACTCATAGGCACGGCCGTGTTCTCAGGCAGGCTGTTCAGGCAGCTTCAGGCCTCGATTGGGGCCGAGGGGCCAAATTTGCCGGCCCAAAACAACTGACTGGGAAATTAGGTTGGCTGTTGAGTGAATCAAAAGCAATACGGAGTACAGATGAGGAGCAGGAACAGGAACAGGAGACGGAGAAGGATGAGGACAAGAAAGGATGGGTCGAAACAGGTCTGTCATCAGGCAAAGCCGGGCTTGGATGAAATAGCAACAGGCTGATGGTTGATCTGATGCAGTTCTTCTGGGTGCGCTCGCACTGTAATGACTGAGTCTGTATCTGAATCGTGTTGGTGTTCCGTGTCTCAATTGTCTCGCCAATCCATTCGCATTCCCTCTCCCTGATTACCATTACCAGACGCAAGCCAGTCGGTGGTTTTACAGGCCCGCCCTCATAGATTCCGAATAGTCCGCCAACTTCCATAATTCTGTTGTCCTCCTACTCTGGTGGAGCGAGGGGCACGTTTGCAGGTAATGCCTGTGCTAAACCCATGTCCAAGCCCTACGAAGAAGCAGTGACGCAGTCATGCCGTGGTCTGTGAGCAAGTGCGTATGCGAGCCCCATATCCCCATGCGTGATGGCCACACATGCATACCGCTCTTTGTCCAGGAATTGTGGCCTATGGTCCACCTGTCAGGGCCATCAACATGCGGTGACTACAGGGTTCTGCACTTCGTACCATGGATCGCCCATCAGCTCCTGCACCCCAAGCCGGGTCAAGCCTGGTCGAGCCTGGCACCCACCTGGTCTGGTGCCTCTGCCGTTTCCGTGACATCAGATGGGAGAAAGTGGTTTCTGTCAGACTGAATAAGCCGGCTGCCGGCCTGGCGTGGAGGGGCAATTTCCACCACACTCCGCTTCCAATTCTTCACGTTATAATGCCGCCCCCTCCAACGGTCACTTGTCATTCGCCATGTCAGACCTCCGATTTCGACCTTCACACAATACAGCTGCCCTTACCCGCCTTTTTGCATGTGGCGCATCGACTGCATCGACTACGCGTACTCTTTACAGCTTACTCCGTACTCCGTACAAACTACAAGACCCTCCATGCTCCGTACGGATTACAGGGAACTCGAGGTACGTACTCTGTCCCTGGTGAACAGGACATGCGAGCCTTCGGCTTCTCTCATCCGCTTCCGGCCAAGGTGAGGTCTCCAAGCCACCACCAAACATATGAGTGCTCGTAATCTACTTGTACCACACAGAAATACAGTGGCTGCCTACAAATTCCGAGGAGGTGCCTCGCACATGCGTCGTCATCACAAAACAGTTAGAAGAATACTCGGTCCGCGGAAGACGGAGACAGATACAGGTCTGGATGAGTTTCAGTATTTGACTAGGAGAATTCCACCTGCCCGCCGTTGCTTTTGCTGCAATTGCTTCTCTGCCAGCTCGACTGGTGGTTTGCTAACTGTGTTCTGGATTCTCAATGCTGTACTGTGCGGTACTAGGGCCCCCAGCTCCCACTGCCCAATCGTCACAATTCGCAACTATCCTTCACCACAGCCTGGACAAAAGTCTCACCTCGCTGTCAGTCCCGGTCATTGGAGCAAACAACATCTTGCAGGGCAATCGGTGTATGTGTTGTGTTGGGATTCGTGGTGTAGTGTTGGGCGGTCCATTTTGTGGTCCTGCACCACAAAACAAAGACAAGTCTGAAGTGATCGGTCATCGGTGAATGGATGGTGGTGCGATTAAGAGAAGGATTGTAGTGGTGGGTTGCATACAAGCACAGGTCATCACTCATCAACTCGCATGCCAGGCGAGAGGTTTAAAAAGGTATCATAAGCTTCGTCATGTCGCTTTGCGCAAGACACCGTCTATCGGACGCCAAAGGAAAAAAACGATGCCCCGTGCTTTTCGTCAATTGTGTTTCGACCGGCCGAGAAGGAAATTGGTGAATGGAAGGAGCGTGTTGGGAGTAGTTGGTAGAGTTGTAAATCTCAGGTCTGCGGAGGCCATCAAGCGCAGTCGCAGTTGAGTGTGCAAGTAGGCGAGGTTGCATCGCATCCAAGTCGGACGTAGCCTTACTCGGAGGAGATCTGTTGTCGGCGGCCCTTCTCGGCTTCCAAATTCTCGTACAACAGGTACAAGGCTCTCTCATTGGCACTGGCGCTGCCCATAATAGTGAACATTCTTTCCCCAGTGTCATCATGAGGTGCCTTTGCGATGGAGATTCGTGCCCCCGAACTCTTTCGAATTTCGCTGATCTTGGATCCACCCCGGCCAATGATGCAGCCGACCATATCGGCGGGTATGCTGATGTTCTGGGTCTGAACCTCTTCGCCATCTTCCGTGACAATGGGGATGCCGCCGCCGCGGGGACCGTCGTTACCGCGATTGTAGGTTCTGGTCTCGCTGAAATCAGCACCGTTGCCAGTTCGGTTGTAAGATCGACCGCCTCCATAGCTGCCACCGGTGGGTGCTGCATTACCACCGCTGCCGGCCGCGCCAACGGCAGGGGGCAAAGGACCAGAGCCAACTTGAACTCGGACTGCTGGGTTGTAAAGGACAGTGCCAGTTCCGCGTTGCCAGTCATCAACGAGGCATTTTCCAATCTCCCAAATGGCCTTGTCAATGCCCTCTGGAGTTCCTTGGACTTCAACAATGCGCTCGGTGGATTGTGGCAGCATTTCCTTTTGGGCAACCATGCGGACACCAGAGGCATCCTGGATGTGCTTGATCTTGAGGCCTTGACGACCAATAATGGTGCCCATTTGGTTGTGAGAGATCAACAGGCGAATGGCTATACCATTTGTCAGTAGTGCTTCAGAGAAAAGAAGACAGGCAAAAACTTACGGTGGGTTCCGTTGTTTTGAATGACACCACCCATGCCCATCTGAGGCGCACCTTCCAGAAGGCCTTTGGCAACAAGCGAGTATGCCTTTGAAATACCAGCGAGGGGTCCAGTGACAGTCAGGACACGGTCATGGACTCCCTGGACGACCTTGCTCACACCAGCTTTGACGCCAGTCTCCTCGCGAAGGTCGGCAACATTCTTTCCCGCTTTGCCAATGATGACACCAGCTTCCTTGGTAGAGACAATGGCGCGGAGGGTGAGCTGTGACTGCGCGTATTCTTCTTCAGTCTTGGGTTGCTCATCCCTGCTGTCGCCTACACTGAGGACGTTCATGCCATCGACAAGGCCAGCATCATCGATGTGGTTGGCGTTGATTGGAGACTCTGCAGAAGCCATTGCAAATGGGGTTGACGGGGATCAAGGAGATCGGAAAGGGGTCAGGGCGGTAATTGTGGTGAGGAGAAGCGAGATGAGGGCGGGTGTTGGTTGAGGTTGTGCGGGAGAATTGTGCGGTTATGCGGATGGCGGATTGAGAGACAGGCCGTTCTGAAGAAGCAGGACTGTGATAGAGAGGCTAGTGAGGATGAGGTACGATGGTGTGGAGAGAGAAGAGGACGAGGTTGTCGGAGGGGTGGAGGGGTGGAGAGACGAGAGACGAGAGACGAGAGACGAGAGACGAGAGACGTGAGATGAGGGATGAGGGATAGAAAGGTAGAAGAGTGCGAGCGTGAGTGTAGGAGTGAGTTCGATGGTAGCGAGGATGAAGTGGTGAGGTGAAGGTGGATAGAAAAGGTGATGGAGGAAACTAGCAGCGGTACGGAGTAGCAGTGGTGGTGGTAGAGGCAGTTACGAGGAGGACGACCCAAGTGCGTGAATTAGCATTAGCAACTTTGGCAGCTTGGTTTCGGTGGAGTTTTTGCAGGAATTTGAACTGTTTGGTTTGTGTTTGGCAAGCACAAACAGCTGCCCTGCGGGTGCCTGCAATGACTGCCCATTGGTGAGAGCCCACAGTCAAAAAAGTTGATGGCGAGGGAGCAGTCGTGCATTGTGCGTCGTGCGTCGTGACTGAGGCTGGCCACTAACCGTCGAACTAAGCCCCTAGCTAGTCCCCCTCCCTCCCGTAGTGCCTAGCTAACTCACCACTATCACTGTCCTAACTGCTAGTATCAAGTCCTTGGCTTAGAGCAGGTTAGCCCCAACTTAAGCCACCCCAAGTCGCTGGATCCAGCCTTCTAATTCAACCACCTAAGGCACCCCGCCCAATGGGTCCCATGCCTAGCCAGGACGTAGAGCCCCCAAGCAGTTATTATGTGGTAGACCAACGCAATGTGTGCCAAGAGATCAATTCCCCGGGCTCTCGCCTCGTCACCGCCTCAGCCTCGAGGGCACAAGTACACCACACCGTACGGAGTGGTTTCTCGCCTCTCACCATGTCCTGTGGTCACTCAGGGCCCGACTCAGGGCCAGATCTCGCTATCACGGCGCCCAATGCAGTCCGGATCTCGATTGATGCTGCAAGATCCAGGAATCCCCATGCTGTTCACCGAGAGATTCTCACCACGCCTGCATATCACACGGATCACATGTCTTACAAAGTACGGAGTGCTGCTAACAACACTGGTTCAACGTGCTGAGCGTGCTCTTGTCCCATCTCCTACTCCGCACTCTTTTCTTATTTATCTGCCTCGAAAACGATCTTCTGCACCCGCATGTTATTGAACTCGTCATACCATTTGACCGCTTCCGACATGGGCTTGATATTTTCAACCATAAAGCTAGAAGGAACACCGTCAGCAAAATCGGGTGACACCAGAACTCGTCTACTCACTCAAGTTGGTCCTGCTTCCTTGCCAGAACGTCCAAAGCTTTTTCGAAGAGACCTAGAGGAGGCCCTCATGTCAGCAAGGACAGAAACACAGCCCAACGCACGCGCGGTGCGTACTGGTCAAGGTAGGTATGCTTACTTCGAACAGGGCACCTCCCCATCTGGATCCGCAAATTCTTGCCGTACGCCTGGTTGCCAGTCCACGGGATCTCGCCGTTGTGCACACCAACACTCGAGATATTGCCCCATGGCCTGAGGAGCTCGAAGCCCATCCCTAGGGCATCACTGTGTCCCACGATCTCAATCGCCGTGTCAGCACCCCGGCCATCAGTCAACTCGAGAACACGCTTCTTCAGACCCTCCTTATCCTTCAAGTAATTCCAGGGCTCAGCGCCCAGCTTCTTCGCCAGCGCCAACCTGTCGTCGACACCATCCACCGCCAGCAGCGCCTTAGGCTTATAATCCAGCGCATTCACCAGCGCACACAGCCCGACGGGCCCACACCCGATCAACACCACCACACTGGTCTCAATGGTCTCCTGATCAAACCCGCGGAACGCATTTGCCGCCGCGAAGTACCCGGTGGGGAAGATATCGGCCATGAGCACCAACTTCTTCTCGTCGATATTCGGCGGCGCCTTCGCGACGGTCGCGTCTGCGAGCGGGATGCGGCAGTACTCGGCCTGGCCGCCGTCGAGAACGGCACAGCCGAACAGCTGGCACTTCTCGCAGCGTGAGGAGAAGCCCTTCTTGCAGTAGAAGCACTCGCCGCAATTGACGGTGAAGGGCGTGACGATCAGGTCGCCCTTCTTGACGGATTTGACATCCGATCCCGTCTCGACTACTTCGCCGGTGAACTCGTGGCCCATGATGAATCCTGTAGGTGATGGCTGGTGGCCTCGGAAGACGTGCAGTTCACTGTGCGTTTAGAAGAACGAGGCGTCAACCAGTCAAGCCCCGAGCAGCCCGCCACTCAAGGGCGGCGTAGGATTGTCAGAACTCACCTGCCACACAGCGCCGTGTACCTGACCTTGATGATAATGTCTTTCGGATCCTGAATCTTCGGGATCGGTCTCCTTTCCACCGCAACCTCCAATTTCCCCTTGAACACCACCGCTTGCATGGTATCCTGAGCTGCCATTTTTTCTGGTTTAGCTTTCTCGTTTCTTGGGGCTGGCCTTTTCGGGGTGCGCCTTTCTCCTTGGATAATGGTATATACGTATCACCTCACCTTGCAAAACTATGAGAATGGGAGGGAGGATGTACGAAGCTGGAGAGGAGACCCGAAAACACTTAGAAGCAATGGCAAGTAAAGACCCGGAAACCGGAATACTCTCAGTACTCTTTGACCAATATAAAGATATAGGAAAAAACAAAACCGAGATCTTAGTTCGGCGTTGCATCAAGCTCATCTCCGAAAGTCCTTTCAACCCATCATGTTATTATTACTACTGCATGTCGGTTTACCTAGGCTTCGGCTGCGGGGGAGCGCGAGGGGTGCTCTTCCACGTCCCTCGCAAGTTCGTCACGTTGCCTGGTGGGGAAGATCGGGTGTCTCAGGCTGAATTGTTATCCAGTTGTCCGACCATTCGACAGCCATGCCATGCCCTTTCTATGACCCGCCGAGTCACATCGGAACATTGTATTCTCGCAGAACCGAAACCTGCCTCTCACGGGTCGGAATCCGAGTTCCATGGAAACCCACAGCCTCTCCTATCCCGCATCACAAAAAGGACGCCTTCGCTGAGTACGGCGGATTGTCCAAGCCAATAGTGGATGGAGGTTTCTTTCCCCGGCCTCGTCTCGTATGCTATGAAAGATATTATTATATGTGATATAGTCGTGGCTTTGGCGGCTGCGCCGTCACTCATAGTCAGTCTATCAATGTTGCAGTTTCCCAAAAGAAAACACCAAAACAAGGTTCCCATCGCGCCCAGTCATGTCTCCGTCCCTTTCTGACTCTGATGGTATATGCAAGTAAACTCCAAGCCCGTGCTCCTGGTGGCCCAAGTGGTGGTTGTGATAATGGATCCTCCAAGCAAGTCAAAACCCGCCGATGCCATACCGAAAAGAAACTGCGTTCAATTGGCCGTCCGAGCAGGCTCGTAAACTTATCCTGTAGCTGTTGATCCCAAGCCTGGATCCTCTAGTCCCCAATAAACCCAAAATTGTATCAATTGACGGTGCACAGCAGTTCTGACTCCAGAATATACTTGCCCTCCTTGTACTTCTCGCTGGCCTCATAAGCCTTGTCGTACTTCCATCCCACCGTCTCGTCACACTGTTTGCACTTGATGTCACGCACAATGTGTCTGCCGGTGGTCATATTACGTTCCATTGCCTCGGCCTGCTTGATGTTGACCACCGTGGAGAAGAGAAATGCTTTTCCATGCTGCCCTCGAAAGTTACGCGATATGATGTCGTCAAAGTCCGCCAGATGCGTCTTGCAAGTCTGCCAACAGGGAGGCGGTCAGTATGCAATCATCATAGTCAATCGAGTTGTAGTGTCCGACGTGCTTCTGCAGATGGAACCTACCTTGCACCCAAAGATCTTTGCGGAATTGAGGTATGTATTGTAGGTGAGTCCCATCTTACCTCCTCACTCGATTCACTCCCTCGGGAGTTAGGCAAGAGGAATCCGAGTTCCCACGACCCTGGGCTATATCAACCGATCTTAGCCTATTGACTCCTGCTCTTTCCCTCGGGGTTGCTCGGCTTCCTCCTCAACAGCTTATAGTGGTTATGAGCGAGGAGGAAGCCCTCAAATTGAAAGGCTTGGTTTCGGCGAGGTTGCAGTACAGTTGATGGGAGACCAGACGGCAGAGGAGCAGGGTCTTCGCTTGTAGACGGAAGAGGACTGAGAGGTGCGCACTTGGGTCTAAGGACTAGTGATGACCGAAGTCGTAGGAAGGCGGACCGTAAGCAAGGGATATCAATGGCAGCAATAGGTCGTGGTACAACTGTGGTGTTTGTTGTGTGGCTTGAGGTCGAATTCTGGGGGAGGCAGGCATCACCCGAACATCACGATGATGGATAAGCAATAAGCGGAAGGCGCATGCGGGCAACTCCAGTGCACTTGCCCCACCAATTTCGTTCAGCCTGATGGGATGTTCCGGTGACCAGATATCCACTTTCATAAAGCCTTATGTCACCTCTCCTCATTATTGACTGCTCGGGCTGGAGTCACCGTGGTGCAGTGATGGGATAATATCGGCACTGCCCTTGAAAATTCTCTGCCGATGTGAGAAACTTCGTCTCATAGAGTTCTTGGTCTAGTCATCTTCTAGTGTTAGGTTACAACTGGAGACTACTTGGTTGCACTTATTCATTCCCAATCCCTCATGAACAACTAGCTAATCCTATCCCCCGCGTATCTTGGTGAGTGTGAACCCATCATCCTCGCTTTCGGACCCCCTTCGTGCTTGCTGTGCCTTTGCCTCGCTTGATAACTGGGCGGATCGGGTCTTGGATTCACTGTCCCTTCTCTGCTCAGGCAACGCTGCAACTGAGGTGACAAAGCTCGATCGATGTCGATTCTCACCTAGCATGAATGAGAACGAGGAATCCATCAATGATGGTCGCGACTTGTGGCCTGTAGAGCTACCGCCGTTCTCGCCACTACTCGCCGCATGAGGACCTGGAGCTGTCGGAACTGCCTCCTTCTTCGGCTCAACAATGGTTATATCTTCGACACCGTGAGCTGAAGTTTCAGCAGAAGGTGTCGATGATTCTGATTTCGCTTCATCCGCTTGGACCGCTGCGGTCTTCTGTGGGAGTTTGGGCAGGCACTTTTCCTCCTTCGACAGGGGTATTTCTGGCGGGATCGGAATATCATTGTTGGCAAGGTATACCGACACAAATTGAATCTTCGCAAGGCTCATGTTGAAACTCTGATCCGCATCCTCTGGATATTCAGAACTTGCAAGTTTGGTAGAGCGGAGAGCTTGTAGCGCATCGTCAAGCATCCTCGCCAGGGTTTTATTGCGCGTTTCCAGTTCCTCAATTTTGCGCCGAGATACTTGTCGGATTTCCTCTGCTCTGCCATCCAACGACTTGCGTTCCGTGTCCAGTATGTCGGTACTCGGCTGTCTCGAATGTGACGTCTGATAGTTGTTCATATTACGTCGGACCTCTCCCACCGCACTTCGGACGGCTTTGGAAACATTCCAACCTTCAGTTCGCTTCTGTAACCCGCCAGCCACGTCTTGGAATAATCCTTCCAGCTGTCTCTGAGGTGAGGCAAACCTTCCCGGAGAGGCACTCGGCGACTGACGATGCTGTATGATCCTCGTATTTCGTATTCCAGATTGACTACGACTACCAGGAGTTTCATTCACCTTTGGACGTCGCCCAGTGTAACGTAGTATCAATGTAGCCCCTGCCTGCTCGTTCCGATTCTTGTCCAGGAATGTCGCGTCCCGGACCAATTGTTGTGGTCCCTCCTGACTCTGAGGCATACTGTAGTGTGTCAGCGCTGTAATCGCCGTGGTATAGTCTGCTTCCAGCAAAGTCCATCTACATCTCAGCAACATCGCAACGCACGTGAGGTCGACGACATCAGACCTGATATTCTCGGCAAAAAGAAGGTCCCAAATCCGTAATACTTCCTTGAATTCAAACTCTCGCCCGAACAAAAGTCGAATCCATCGGCTAGACGATACCGTGAGTTGTTGGTTTTCCCATGAAAGGAACGACTCACATGGAATAAATCTGGGGTAGAATTCCTATAACCGTCAAATGTGAGGCCAGTTCTGGATCAATGGCAATCAGTATCTCCTCATGGATTTTCTTGCTCCTCTCTACGATCGGTGACGAATCTCTGTTTTCTCCGATCTCGTAGAACGCCTTCGCCGTCTGCATCACTGCACAGAAGAGGCTGAACGCATCGTGCTCGATGTATTGACTGTCTAGAGTCTCCAACATGAGGTTAATACCCTCAGCCTGTTTGTCTATGTTTGCAGTTGTCACGAGATCGATGCCATCTTGTTGAATGATCCAGAGAATTGGTGCCAACAGCTCGTGCATTCCCTGCCGATATCCAATATCCGGATTCAATTTGGAATATATGAACAGAATATCCAGTAGTCTTCTCTGGGTAGCTGGTTCTCGGAAGAAGTAGTTGTCTTGCATACAGCGTGTTACGTCCTGGAAGATTTCTTCTCTGCTCAGTTCATCCTGTCGGAGCGTGGACCATGGAGACTTGGCTTTGTCAGATGTCAGACCCTCAAGGCGCAAGTAAAGGGATTAGACCGTACATTTTCATCGTCCGCAAGCGGGTCAGCGGAGGAATGAAGGTCATTCGGGTGGTCGATAAACCGTAAGAAATGGTTTCGCAGTGAAGTGTAAGCCGAACGCGATTCTGCGAGTTTCTTTGGCCATGATCTTTGACTCAAAGGGCCGTAGAGGAGGAAAGCCTAAGACCATCGACAGACATTCAATTGTAGAGATGCATTAAAACCAACCTTCCAGCAGACGGAACGCAAGCCATCTTCACATGGGTCAAAGCCGTCGCCATCCCGCAAGGCTTGCCGTAGATCTACTCCAATCGAAGTGCTAAATAGCGAAATCCAACGGCGCCTGGATATGTTAGAATTGCAGCAGCTAACTGATCACATTATCTCACTGTATATCATCCAATGTTCGCATGGCCATCAAAGGGCTGAGAAATTCAAGAGGCTTGAACAAGATATAGGAGGAAGGACACGAGCTGACAGGCTGAATCCCGACAATCTGACGTCGTGGAGGGGAATATTTCTTGGCGGATTTGCTGACCACGTGATAGTTCAATACTGGACTGGTGCCAGAACGTAGATGGATGCATTTCGGTTTGTTTGGAAAATGATGCAGGAGATCTGGAGACTAGTTGAAGAAGAGAAGAAAAAGGAGTCTGTGGTTAATTAATTATCATAGAAATCAAGTTCCTAATTACAATTATGTGGTTATGTGATACAAGATTGAGACAAGTCCAACGGTATATGTGGTGGCATAAATAATCGCTCTTCAAATGATGTTAACCGGTCTCCCTTGAAACTGGAAATGGGAATGCTGTAGCTTCGTGGATCGAGCTGAAGGTCGCCGCAAAAGTGCTATACCAGCAAAGCGGCCAAAGCCTCCACGCGTAATCAGCCTTCAAAGACTAGGAAATCGAGGTTGGTGATGGGCTGCGTGAACCACGCATTCGACATGGAATTGAAACCATCATCAGTCCAGATGGAATCGAAGAGGTCAGTGTCGTCATTTTCTGTCAACCCAGGAGGCCTTGCGTTGTCGGTAACGTCTGCAATCTCCACGACGCCGCCTGGCATACCATGTTTCTCAGCCTCTATAAATCACGTTAGCAATAATGAATGACAAGGCCAAAGATTCCGCGGAGAGCATACTGTTCCTCTGAACAGCTGCGTTAGCAGCACCTCTTGAGGACTGGAGTTTGTCCCTCAGTGATTTCAATACTTGAATAGCCTTTTCCGCAGACTGTATTCTGCCTCGATGATATTCTAGAATTAAGAATACCTTTTCCCAAGGGCCGGAAAGTTCGACTGTACTCATGTAAGGTCCCTTCTCTGAGCAGGATGCCGTCGCCGCTAAAAGAACAGTTGCAGCGGAAAAAGTGACTATCAAGCCCATGAGTGTTGTCATATGAACAAAGTGGTGAGCGCTCAACTTACAGTAAACAGTGTACCAGACCGAATTCCGCATCATGGAATACAGGTTTGTATGAATAGATTCAATCAGTGCACACGCAGTTTTGACGCAGATTTCACAAGCCTTTGCAATAAAATGCTGTTCAAACGATACCGAACCGAACTCTATGTCCGATACGACGTGGCTGCGGTCATCGTTACAGGCGGCTAGCAGAACAGGTCGAAGAAGTAACATCCTAATGTACAAAAACCTAGATTTTTCATGAGCTAACAAGTGGAATTAGATGAGCAAGGCACTCACCTGCACAACAAGACATTTGCTTGTAAGACAAAGCACTCCCTGCGTGATCCCATCTCGGTTAGTTGCACCGTCAAATAAGGTGGCACTTGCCGCCAGAACTGGTCAAGAGCTGAATTGAGTCTCATCATAGTCTGGAGTCTCTCCGGGCTCAAAAATTTCCGTTCACGAGAAGATTCGCTACCGGAATCATGTACATATAGTGTTGTAAGGATGTCATTCAAAATCTCGAATAGTCCGATGCTCTGAACGAAGAATCCCATTTGAGACTCACACCCTTCGTGAAGAGTCTCCGCTGCGGGATCTGAAAGGAGCTCCTCATCGACCGCGAGTGGAGCTGTGACCACGCAAGCATGTGTCAACATCGTTGGTCGTCCAAAACACATGGATTGAAGTCTACAAAAAGGGTCAGCAGGTGAAACTCTTGAAAAATGAGAGAAGACAACCTGTCGAGGATTACGCAATTATGCCATATGCGACGGCCGACTTCTCGATCCAGGAGACTGGAACATTCAGCATCTCTATGGAGGCCAACCGCTTGGGCTGCACGAATGGCCAGACCAAGAGTATTCCAGCACCTAGAAGCATGCTGCGTACTTTGCAGGTAGATACTTGTCAACAATAGGAACTGAACGCTCTCAACACTGGCAGCCTCCAAGACAAAACTGGAAGAGATCGATTGAGAGCGATTATAAAATTCATTGGCGAGCGAAGGGCGTTGTGAAACTTCAACGTAGTTGCTGAATTGACATCCCATAGCAAAGATTACATTGAGAGTGGACCAAAACACTCGGGTTTCCGAGAAGGATGCCTGGGTGGGTTGTGCGCCGTCTGAGGTTGAAAGCCACAAGCACTGGTACGCATGATTGATGGTGCCTTGGTGGACGATGGGATATAGTGGATGGGTGTAGCGCCAAAAGTTTTCGAGGAAATCGTCCGCAAGCCGACGACTAGGCAAGAGCGACGAAGCGGGATCACTTTGAACCGTATTCCCACTATCACCCTGCATATATTTCCGCATCCCGCCGGCGGTTATTGGTGGCTTATCAACCTTCTGAACAAGAGAACGAAGGAAAGAAATGGTGGAGGAGCTTCCATATACCAAGGTGTTATCTTGAGTCAATGCCTGTGGGGATACTGTTGCCAACCCATCGATTGATCCAGGATCTTGCGGGCTTGGTAAAATCATGCCAGCCTACATGAGCCGGATCAGACCAGATCAGATCGCACAAGAAGCTTGTTCTCAAAACGTACCTGGAGGTGTTGCAGAGACCTTGGAGTGTGCGACTGCGGGCTGGTATCAGGAGAGTTACTCTGTTGGCGAGCTTCAAAGTGGTCTCCCCTAAGGCCTCTGAGCAAAAGGGCATTCCTCTTTTCAAGATCTCTGATTTTCTCCTCGAGAAGAGAGACATGCCTGGAGATGGTTAGTGGTCTTCCCGGCTTTCTGAGCTATCTCCTCACCTTTGTGTTGTAAGAAACGATTCTTCATAATGGCAGGAGGCTGCTGCTTCGCGCCGAATGCAAGCGGAGCAAGCGGGCTGACGACCATCGCATCGTGTTTTTCGGTCCCGACAGTACGTGCAGGCTAACGACACCTTGCGGCGTTTCTGAGAAGGAAGTTTTTCGGTCTGTGGCGGATAGTAACGACCTTGCGGCATTGGTAACTGATTGATATAACGGTTGGAATTGCGCAGCCGAAGTACCAAGCAAGACTTTCAGTCCAAGACAGCGCCAGTGAAGTCAATGAAGAGCAACAAGATGTGGAACTCTTTCGAAGTTAGGATGTAAAGTAACGGAGAGTATTCTGGTATTGGCATGACATACTTCCTCGGTACATAATTTGCGTGAAGTTTTAGTTTAGGGTTTTATCCCCACTCAAGGCTTGCATCGGATTGAGTCAGAATATCACCGTCGGGGCCTCAGTGCTCTCCAAGGCTACTTAGGTGTTCCACCGACTAAAGTAGAGAACTATGTTTCGCGGTCCTTATTCTCTACTGAAGCTCAAGTATGTAAGAACGTTAAGGGTCTACCTGACGGGCAGCAATGATCTAGGCAGTTCTATATACCGAGTCCTTTAAAGCCAGAACCATTGGCTCACCTAAGCAGTTCTTTCCCTCAGATGCAATAAAAGCTTCGCTCCCGCAGGGCCCGCGTTGAAAGTATCATACATCCGCATGTCCTCTATAGTCATGCTTGTGTCAATGTCACCGTTAAATCTCAAGAAAAAGGCAGCCACTACTTTGGCAAGCTCCATCTGTGCAAGGCTGGAATGCATTTGGGTCAACCAAAGGATCTAGTATTAAATATAGAGCAGAGCCAAACTTACTTGATCCCAAAGCATTTGCGAGTCCCAACCGAAAACGGTGTGAATGCCTCCTTGCGCGTGCTACCTGACTCATCCTCTTCAAGCCAACGCTCAGGAGAGAATTCTTCCGCCCTTGGATATGCGGTTTCGTTGCGATGAATGGTGTAATTCTGAGTTCCGACAATTGTCTAACCGTGTAAGCTTGAGGAAATCTGCGGAGAGAGTCCAGTTGGACACTTACACCTTTAGGCACCGTCACTCCTGCCACCACTGCCTCCTCTCTGGCTGTCCGAGGTAGGGTAGCAATGATTGTTGGGTACAGTCGCAGAGTTTCGTTGATGACTGCTTGTAGATATGGGAGTGTACTACACGTCTGTTCCATCCATTAGTCCTGATCTTATGTCCCTGAATTGGCTTTCCCTCACCTTGTAGTCCGGGACAATGCATGGGGTGTGGTAGTGCTGCCTTAATTCCTCGTGCAGTTTCTGGACGACATCCGGTCGTCTTAAGCAAGCCCACAGCAGGTACACCAGGGTATTTGCCGTCGTTCCGCTGCCTCCAAACCTGCAACTGTCAGTCTGAGAAACCCTTGGTGATTACAAAACACTCACATTCCACCCATACATTCTTCAGCAAGCTCTGAGTCTGTCAATGGCCGTCCAAGAAAGGCGTCCTTCTCCCCACCCAGAACGCTGCGCAAGAAGGGTGTTCGCGCCTGCCTCTCGCGGCAATTCTTGATGATTTCGATGGCGTACTATCCCGAGGTCAGTGCCGAAAACACGGAAGTAGTTGTCTCCTCCCACCTTCTTCCAGGCCTGTACGTCGCGAAAACGTCCTCCAATTCGCCCTGGGATATAGACCCCCCACTTTTCAAGTATGGGCATCAATTCTTTCTATCAATTGATTAGTTATCTTCTCCTGGAGACAGAGATTTTGCATACATAAATGAATGTAGGCCTCCAAGCTCTAAGGTACGGCATGACTTCATGTGCTTCTCCCTTTCGCACAGATCCAGGATCTTCGTCAAACATTAAATGGTCTGAAGGTTAATTAGCACATTGCTTTCCACGGCGCTACATAACATACAAACAACATCAAATCCAAGCCAATGAAGCCAAGGATATACATTGATTGAGCCTCGGTGGGATATTGCTGCCCACCCATTCAACATTGCTTCAATCTTGGTTGACATATCATCTTCGAACTCCAACATCGCCGCTTGAGAGAATCCCCTCAAAAGCAGCTTGCGGCGTTGTTTATGGGCTTCTGCGTCTCTGAGACTGGCCATCAGCTTGACAATATCGACCTTTCCCATGAAATACATACCTGAAACTGAACAAATGGTTCTCGTGGAAGATCTTCTTTGCGCGCTGGAAAAATGAGTGCCTGAACCGAATCTGGTCTTCGTAAACTTACATAAAATGATTCCTCCTTCGTAAAAATCTCAGAAGTATAGATATCTCTAACAGCAGCGGGATCCGCGAATGACAGTTCATTTGGACCAACCCTGACCACTGGTCCGTACTTGAGGTGGGCGTCATGCACCCTTTCCGATTTTCGACCATAGAAATTGCCGATACGAGCCCAGAGCCGAGTGCAACGAGCAAGTGGAGGTCCTGGAATCTTGCGAAGGGGGTGCATGAAAACATTGTAGAACACTAATGCCAGCTGGCAAAAAACAGTGAGCAGAAGAACCCAAATGGCAAGATTGCCCGCTCTCTCCATCAAAGATTCCCCTGTTTGAGCCTGGGGCTTGAATAGCGCCGACATAAAAGCCATCATTGCTACTTTCAACGACAATCGATCCCGTACGGCCCGTGAAAGGAGATTCCAGCTCGATATTACTACTTACAAGTGAGCTTTTACACAGCGAGCTCACTAGTACTTAAAGTAGGAGGTAATTGTACATGTATCGCCGATATGAGATACACCACGTCACTATCAGGATATGATCGAGGGGCTCTCCACCATGGCCTTAGGTTGCGAGGAGCCGGTCAAGGTGGATGGTACATCTCTGTCTGAAGCTACCTTATCTCCCCGAAAAGTCGGTTTGCTGGTCGCGGGCCGAGTGCATAATACATGCCCACAATCAAAGGCTTATGTTGGGTGCCTAGAGACATGTCGGGAAAGGAACCATCAATGCGAACTATGAAACTGGGAGTCATAGAGCGAAGAGAATGTGTTACGGAACTTCGTTGGAAGCCGCAGCAGAAGCCAAGGCTTCGGGGAGTTAATAATCAATCGTCGGGGCGATAAAGGAAGTGGAGTCAAGGATCAGCATCCGAACCTCACAACGAGTCAGAACTGCTCCAACTCGCTACACATGAGCACACCAGATCTGAAGTGGACCCATGGCATGCCTTTGCCGGTTCAATCTCTCCGACTGCATTAGAACCTCAATGTCTTCCCGAATCCGCCAAGTATGTCTTGTCCTCCCCGTGGGGTAGTAGGGATGAGATCCGAGGATGCCCCTTACTATGACCATCTCATTCTTTCAAGGCATCCACCTTCTACGTATAGCTGAACACATCCGACCCGGGGAACTTGGTGAAGTGAATGACAGAAGGTCGGAAAAGCAAGATATTCGAGTCAAAGCACAGGACAAGCAACATCCATCTTTCACGAGTATAAAGCCACTGGAGCTCCCTCTCGGTGGTCAAGACATTACAAACCTCGCTTAGTCCACTCTAGCTCATATGATGGATGAAAAGACATCGATGGCGACCATCGATCAACACGATATCGATCAAAAGTTGTCTGAAGCCTCCGACCATGTCCATGAGGAAGCTCTCTCGATCGACCCAATGGATGACCGAAAGCTCCTTCGCAAGGTCGACTATCATTTGATGCCTATAATATGTCTCTTGCTGCTGTGTCTCTTCGTTGATCGGTAGGTCCCCTTCCCTAAGCTCTTCCATTTGCGAAACTCACCACTTTCAGAATCAATATTGGAAATGCACGCATCCAAGGCTTGGAGGCGGACCTGGGAATGGCCGGAAGTGACTACAATATCGCGTTGTTTGTATTCTTCATCACCTACGTCTTGCTCGACGTCCCGTGCAATATTATGTTGAAGAACATGCGGCCATCTGTGTTTTTGAGCATCACCACGGCTTGCTGCGGCATTGTCACAATCGGTCAAGGAGTCACGAAGTCCTTTGCTGGGCTGGTGGTCTGCCGGGTCTTGATAGGAGTCTTCGAAGCAGGCTTCGTGCCGGGTTGTGTTTACCTCATCTCGATGTAAGTAAAAGCCCAACGAAATGGAGATTATGCTGAGCAATTTATATCAGGTACTACAAGCGCCACGAACTCCAACTGCGAATCAATATCTTCTATGCCACCTCGATTATCGCAGGAGCATTCTCTGGCCTGTTGGCCTATGCAATTGCAAACATGGACGGCGTTGGAGGGTACGAAGGATGGAGATGGATCTTTATTCTAGAAGGTAAGCAAAGCATGACATCCAGTATGAGAGTCTGGCTGATGGTAGAAGGTGCTTTCACTGTGCTTGTTGGTCTTTTCAGCTACTATCTCATTCCCGACTGGCCAGAAACCGCAAAATTCTTATCTGTCAGCGAGCGCAAAGCCCTCTCGGATAGGCTTACAGCTGAAGCATTTGACGCCAGCATGAACCACTGGAGCAAGGCTGCTGCTCGACGCATCTTTGGGGACTTGAAAATCTGGCTAGGGTGAGTTTCCCTTGACACCTGAAGTGGTAACTAGATCTGATGATTCAAAGGGCATTGATGTATCTAGGGATTGCAACAACCAACTATGCAACGCTGTTCTTTACCCCAACGATCTTAAGGCAGCTTGGATGGACGGCTGTTAGGGCACAAATCATGTCGATTCCAATCTACCTTGCGGCAACGGCCATTGCGTTGTTGGCCGCCGTACTCAGTGACAGGCTCAAACACCGGTTTGCATTCATAATTGCAGGCTGTGTCATGGCCATGGTAGGCTACGCTATTCTATTTGCAATGCTGGAGGTTCCAGTTGGGGCCAGATATTTCGCTATCTATCTCATTACATGTGGCTGTTGGCTTACACAGCCGACCACTGTTGTCTGGCTGAACAACAACCTGGGAGGCCATTACAAAAAGGGGGTCGGTGCTGCAATTCAACTTTCATTGGGCAATTGCTCAGGTTTGGTAGCATCCAACATGTTCCTTGCGCGCCAGGCGCCTACGTATCACTTAGGATATGGACTTGGTTTCGCTCTCGTCTGGATTTGTGTCTTCTCGGCAATCACCTTCTTCTTCTATATCCACAGAGAAAACCGATTGCGAGATCAAGGCAAGAGAGACGACAGGTTCAATCTGCCCCCAGAGGAGTTAGGGAATCTCGGGGACGATCACCCGAATTTCAGATTCACATATTGAGTAGACGCTTGGTTTACGATACGGTGGAAGGTGATACAAGAGAAACTCGTGGAGCCTGGGTTGACAAAGTGACAGTGATAGAATGGTGTTTGGCGTGGAGAAGCAGTCCTGCGGGATGACCTACAAAGGCGAAGAACGGTACTTTCAGGATTGAATGCCAAATACTGCCTCGAATGGAATTGATAAACCCTGCTTCTTGCAACCAAATTTTTGGAGATCACGACACGAATTTCTAATCTCAGGGTCCCATGGGTCCCATCTTCGTTGGCAATACTTCGATTTACGTTTGCACAGTCTAGGCTATATGGCGGTCACTGCTTAGGTTAAACTGGCTGTCCTTCTGTCTTATACTTGAGATACAGAGTCATCAGAGTGTTTGGATCGCAATAACTCAGCAACGTCACCGCGCTCTTTGGACGTAACTTCTGGGTGTGTCGCATACCATAAGGGTGTATACCCTTCTCGATCTCTGGACTGGGGATCAACTTTACCATCAGTAAGGAGGACTTTCACCACAGCCTTATTTCCATTCCCAGCCGCATTCGAAAGTGCTGTCCGACCGAAATCATCACTCGAGTCAGCATTGATCTTTCCGGTATTGAGCAGGCCTTTCGCCACATCCCTACGTCCATAACTGGCCGCATACGAAAGTGCGGTATTCCTCGCGTTAGCATCGACATTACAGGTCTTGAGCAGCCACATAACTATAGCGCTCTGTCCCGCTAAGGTGGCATCTATAAGAGGCGTCCGGCCTTTCTTATCTTTCGATTCAAGATCGACTTGGCCGGTGCTGTGTAAAAGTTTGACGATGCTCTCGTAGCCGCAAGCGGCAGCAAATGAGAGCGCCGTTGTGCCACCCTCGTCTTGCGCATCTACATGCGCACTACCAACATCGAGTAATAATTTGACAATAGGATCGTAGCCGGAACTAGCGGCCTGGGCCAGTAGCGTCCGACCACGGGCGTCTTTCGTGTTGATATCAAGTTCGCCCGTATCAATTAGTAGTTTAAGAGCAGCTTCATGTCCGTTCTCAACCGCCCAATATGCTGCCCACCATAGGGCTGTCCTTCCGAGTATTCGCTCTTGTGACTTTACGCCAGTATCAGTTTCGAGAAACAGCTTAACGACACTCTCGACCCCGAAATATGAAGCGACCAGGAGACAGTCAAAGTGTTGTGCTCGGGGAACATATCTATCAGAGACTGGGGTCTCATCCACCATAAACCAAAAGGCGGGATCGACCACATCAGAACATAGTCTGAATGCTAATGACACCGTCGCGGTGCTGTTTTCTAAATGGGCCTTGCGGAAGTGGCTAGCCCGATTTTGGACACAATATACGAGCATGATGTGGCTATCAAGGAATTTATTCCTGTATCTATAGCAATCCGCAGTATCAAGCTTGTCATTTGTCCATAGCAGTCGCCACATACATATTTCCGCTAGAACACGATGAGAATCTGCAGGCAGCAGTGAATGTCGCCATCGAAGACTGTCTACCTCACGGCTGAGGGAGTCCCCTCGGTTGCAAGTTTCTGTTTTGACCAAGAATTCTTTTGCTGTTTGATGGAGCAAATAAATTTTCGAATCTATAATGACCACGAGTAGGCCGCAGATCTCTCGAACAGTGTTGCGAAATCGACTTAGTGGTTCCAGCTTGAGGTCATTGAATGACTGGTGATTTTCTCTGATCGCCAAAGCCAGTGCCATCTCTTCCAGCGAGAGCGGTCTTTCAGCTGCCACAACGATATGCAGAAGTCTCTTCGCCTTTGTAGGATCACGGCTCCTGCAAAGGATTTTGTCGTAAGCCGCTTCTACTGTTTCAGGAAGTTTGCGGACCTGGGCCCGTAGAGACTCCTGGCTGATGTCGATGCTCTCTTGAATGATTTCGAAAACAAGGTGAACCCAGAGATATGTCCGATTGGGTACACTGGTTAGCTCGTCCTTTAGGGTTTGTTGTTCTTCTGGAAGGAGGTCCAGCCTGGTACTCAGCTCTCTAACTCTGAATTTTATGACAGTGTTGATTTCCTGCGAGATCTTCTTGACCTCGGTCTCGTCCTCCCCACTGAGATGGATGGTAGGGACAGTATTCCCCAGAGAGGTGCACGCGCGTTGAATATGAATGTGTGGCCGACTACTTAGCAGGAATTTCAAAACAACATTGCTTTTGTGAGTCCGGTCGAGTTTTCGAAAGGCTTCGGCCAGCTGTCGTAGGCCTTTCTCTTCGCATTCATCTAGAGCATCTAGGATGCAGAGAATTTCTCTAGGCTGTTGGCCTTTCGCCCTATCGACCTCTGGTGTTTTTTCCGCTGTTATTTCGATGAGAATATCCCACAGTTCTCGAAACGAGCCAAGCAGTCGCTCTCCACCTGCCTCAAAATGTTCGAGAATCATGTTCGAAAGGAGCTCGGGCTTTTGAGCAAATATCTGGCGCAAGATACAGCATAAGCAGCTTTCCAAGCTTCTCTGGTCTTCGAAATCGTCTTTGAAGAAAAAGCAGCAGGTAGTTCTTGTCGCTGAGCTTTGGAGCACGTTATCCACCAAATATTTCGCTAATACTGACTTTCCACAACCTGGATCTGCAGATACCCAGAGCAAGGTTGAGGACTGAGTCTTCTGCCAAGTTTGGAATAAGGGATGATTTGTGAACCACTCGCAGGTTCCGTCAACCCGCTCCGGGTTCCTGTCCTTACGATCTCTGTAGGGAGACGTGTAGAGCTTCCGGAGCAGTGCTGATCTCCTCTCTCTCAGAGCCGAGTCATTTTGTCGGTGGACGATGTTGTATGCGCTTGCCCCGAGCCCAGCGTATCGATCACTGCCATGCTGTTCAAGGTCTGGCAATGCCGATGCACGTTCTCAACAGCTTCTCGGGTTTTTCTAGCCTGAAAAGCCCCCTTTATCCGTTCCCATCCTATTCGATGGCGCTGACATCGAGCCTCCAAATTCCCAAGGAGAGATTCCAGCTCGGTGCGACAGGTTGATACCAAAAGAGAAGTGTCTGTCCCTTGCTCACCGTCTCCAAGGTGTGAAAGCAGGGCTGAATTCCGTCCCTTGAACGCATCTGCAAACTCTTTATTGTCCAGAATGTTCTTTTTCGTTTCTGCTAGGACGGTTTTCAGAACTTCGAGCTCGGCTATGAAGCTTTTGGCTTCGGCTGGAGCGTCTTTCCAATCCAATCCATATTGGACACCAACTTGAACGATCTGGATGGCGACGCCAATCACGCCAATGACTCCAAATGGATCGGCCATGTCGCCTTGCGCTTCTCAAAAGACTGATGGAACTATCTCAGTGACTAGATGAAGAGGGTGGAAGGGAAAGCCTGGAGATGAACAACGCATCATCCCATTTGAGAGCACGAGGTTAGGCTGCGCCGCTGCACAATCAGCCAAGGCAGACTCTTGCAACCCAATGAAATCCAAAGGCTGTTTTTTTGTTCCAGCCACAACCTCACCTCTCTTACATCCCAGTCTATCATCACCAATCAGCGAAAGGTCGCCAATCAGCTTGGTTGAAGCTTTGCTGGGGCGCTTTTAAAACTGTGTTTCATAGCCTCATCAGTACTTTTCAAACATGGTGTGGTCCGAAAAAGCTAGTACTAAAAACTTAGCGACGAAGATGGTTCTCCCAGTCTCCTGATTGCCGTACTGCTACCTAGTTTCGCCTCCTCTGCAACAGCCCACTTTCGTATCGAGTCTGGGGTCTTTACCTTGAATTGGAAGGCCTCGGAGAGCGAATTGAAGGGTTTCGTACGCATCATGATTCCGTACACATCGATCCCAGGTTTGTTATATTAAATCAGAATTCCAATAATTTCGGCAGTCCTCATTCGGAGGTGCGGAATGATAATCCTGCGAGTTCTGGGGAAGTTATGGGATATAACCTTGGAAGTGGCCTAATGGATGAATCGCAGCGAACATATATGCAACTTTTTTCTGGAACCGCCTCAGCCAAGCGTGGTGAGTCCACAATGTCTAAGACGGAAATGTCACCCCAAACATACGAATCACCTCGTACAATCTTACGTGTGCTGTTCCAAAATGTCTCGCTGCAGGAGCTCACCGTCGGCACACCTTTTGGAGGACTGATAAAATTGGATTTTGAATTCGCGTCGATGATCGCATTGATCAGGCTTCTGGGTGCGCAATGACCTAGTGACGAAGCAATGTAGGGAAAGAGCCAGATCTCTTCCCGATCAGTGTTCACGATCATGCGGTTTGGATCTGCCCCGTTGTCCAGAAGCCGCAGAAAAATTTCCACTCCCTTTTTGGATTCATTTCTTGTTCCCACAGGATAACGGATGCCGTATGCCACAAAGACCAATAGAGTGGACAGATTATCGATCGTGCTTGGGTCATTGCGCCTGTCCACCGCGTCAAGAATTCGTTCTGCTTCTTCCCAGCTTCCTAGCATGCAATATAGCCGGAAAAAATCAATTACACCTCCCTCTGATGAGGGGAAGGATTGGCGGTTCAGGTCGCGAGATCCCATACCAGGCATCCAAAATGTTTCGACAGTGAGACGTCCTCTTTTTAGTAAGCCATTGCACACTCGCTGAAAAATTTCGGGATCCAGCACGCAGTCGCAGCCAGGACTCATCAGTAGTGTATCCATTTCGGCTGGGCCCTTCATTGAACCTTCCAAGCTTGGGAAGACACAATGGACCACCAAGCAAGTTTCGAACCACATGTGGTTCCATTCATAATTGGTCATGTGACACGCCGCTGGTATCTCACGTCCAGAGACAGTCTCGAGAATGTATGTTCGGGCTGACCGGTGAATAAAGTTTATGAAGCAAGATCCGTATTGGTCCAGGAATCGCGTTAGAGGCAAACATTTAGAATCGCCAGCAAACCCGCCATGTCTGCTCCCCAGGCTTGACCGATGACGACTCACTTCAAGCAATCCAACTGTACGTACTTTGACCTACGTAATTTTCTGTTCGCAGTCGAAATCGGTGTGGACAGCTGTCAGATCCCATCCAGTTTCAGGGTCCAGGTATCCCTTTCGATGATCATCATCAATGGCAAGACAGCAGAATTCGAGCACAGGAAACAAATCACAGAATGGATCCCTATGAATTGCCAATTAGAAGGAAGGCCAGCCATTTGCACATAGGGTCGATCGTCACAACTATTACGCTGTAGCTTTTGTCCGTAAAGAGCATCGAGCTCGGCAGGGAGTTCTTGAAGACGACGCTCCAATATTTCGATTGTATCACGGTTCCGCAGGCCTCATAACAAACTTCCTATCACCAGCTTTACCCATAGGACAACACCTTTGGCCGAGTATATAACCATTTCTCTGAGTCTCTCGAGGCGCATGACATCCCTACTTTTGACGACTTTCAAGGGTTTCGGATTACTCATAAGATTGTCTCTGATAATAGACTCAATATCGCTTTCGTTCAGATCTTGCATCCTGATCATAGGGTAAGTAGAGAGCGCGTCTACAAAGATTTACTCAAGCCTGCTCGAGATACAGAGCTTTGGCCCAGGAATATGTTTGGTCAAAGTCTCGAGCAAGTCAAGTAAAGCCTCCGCTTCAGGTCCAGCTTCATCCAAGTCATCGAGAAAGATCCATAGTGGCAGACCATTGATTTTCGTCAAGGCAGTTGTAAAGCAAGATTCGAGACGACGTTTGGTCCATGTTTTATTGGCAAATGGCTTTATGGCCTGGAATGTGGAAATTTTCGATCTTTCATCTTGAAGAAGCTGCCATATCAAAGACCTGAAGCAGCCAACAAAGCTGTGTTCGAGCTGCTGACCTGCCTCCCAGAACGAGAGAGGTAGTAACAATGGAAGTGTCGGCGTCTCCCGGCCGGCCCTGGGCATACTACTGACCATGTATTTCATCAATGTGGACTTGCCTGATCCTGGTATTCCTGATATCAATACACTGGCTCTTCATTCTTGAGCCAATCAAGGAACGAATCCCACAGAGGCTGTTCGTCTTGTGGAGGCTCCAGTATCCACTCGAACGTTTTCGGATGAGCGTCATCAATGTTATCGTATCGTGCCTGCATTTCAACGAATTCTAAAGTTGACTGGACGGAATTAACCTTAGTTGGGTTGGAGGTAGGATAGTGCTGGGAAGAGGCCTGGCCGGGTGATGTGCTCACTGTGGCAACCTGAATATGCGCCACCTGCTGAGGAGGAACGACCATCAACAGCTCCTTCATGTATACTGCTGCTACAGCTGCGGCGCACGGCTGCCACTGTTTGTTCTTATGCGAGTCGGCATAACCACAGATCCCTCAGATAACCAGGCAGGGAAAGGAGTCCTTTAGGCCAGCCGCCTCCATCTCTATGCACAGCAAACCAAATGCTTGCCGCCGTTCTTCTCGCAATCTGGCATCCTTGACCACGAGATTCGCGGATCCAATGACACCGTAGTGACACTTTGGACCCTGGTTACGACGATCGGTCATTTCGATAATTCGAGATTGATCGCAACGTGAGCGATTTGGTCCACCAGAGTGTTGATAGTCAGCTCGGTAGAGTCGATCGGCGTCAATTCCTGGATGGGAGTATTCTTCCTTCATCGCAGGATATTGCTGGAGCATAGTGGACAGCAAATGCGGTACTTGGGGACCCTTCATGCGGTGATCCGCCGCCAGGCTTTCCACACTTGCGCAGCGCAGCGCCGGAGGTTTTGCCAACACGCCGATTCGTTCGAACCCGCCACTTGTCGAATATTTCCCCAAGTCGTACTGGACTACACCTCCGAGGCTGGCTACGGGCTTACTGACTACCACATCTCCTAATCGAATGTCCATTCCGTCCTCGTCTCCGCTCGGCAGCCCGCCGCCGATACCAACAAGTAGACCAAACCGAATCGAGGGGCAATCGTTCATTAACTGGACGGCGACCGTTGCCGCCGCGTCGGTCCCGACTTCCGGCAACACCGCAATTACTATATTGTGCCCACCTATTTCCCCTAGGGTATAGGTGTTCTGATAGCGCGGAGTCGGTAGACTCGGGTGGAAGGTGTCCAGCATCGCCTTCATAGGAGCTAGTTCCACCCCCATGGGGCAGATGCAACCCACCGTGTAGTCGGTGTGGGAGAGAGGCATATTCGAGTGAGAGCGCGGCTTGTGGCTGAGTAGGACGGGGGATGATGTTCGGATGCCAGCTGGCAGAGTCAGGCTGAAGCTCGAGGTGTATCGGTGGACCATTGATCCGGTTCACGCAGCGGGCAGCGAAAAATTGCTGCTGTACTTCGAGGGATCATCCCGAATCGTTTGAGCAGCAGCATGCCAGAAAATGATGATAAGGCTGTGAGTACCTGCGGCCAGGCTGGCGCGGCGGGGTGTGTCTTCGGCTCAGCATTGCATGTAGTCGCCTGCCCAATAGCAGATGGACAGCGTACACATGGTGTGAGTCCGGGTTAATTGATGAATCAATCGGGGAAAGGCTTTTTTTCAAGCAGCACAGTTCAAGATGATACTGCGATCCGTTCCGCTGTTCAGTACTTGGTGCTCCGTATAGCAGACAGTTTGTAGGTTCTGCGTAATGCCCTTGCGGCAAAATGCTTGCAAGGTGGGCCGATGATAGAGTCGATTAATTGTTTGTATCATTGTCCACATACCATGATACCATGGAGATGGTAAACGCTATTCCCAGATGGGTCAAAGCCCAGGCCAACTTTCACAACGCCGTGGGGCCAAGTAGTTCCTCATAATTGACGATTCAAGATAATCATAATGTTTCTTTGATTCGCTGATAATTTGTGTTCTTGCTCCTCCTAAGTTTATTATCTAGTACCATAGGTCGCTTGATGTAAGTTTATCACCTACCCTTTAGCCATTATTTTCCTAACCTCAGTCAACAATAGCCCTGCTGCCTGCAATCAAATCAACTGCATGCGGTCCAGCATTAGCCAGAAGTGAACATTGCAGCAGTCGAAATGATCGTTTCATTTAAACATGTCCGCCGATCTGTTTGCCGCCTTTGTCACCAGTGATGGCGAAGGCTATTCCGCCGAACCTAATGTCACAGGTCAATCGCAGAATGTGCTGTCTAAGTCTTGGGATAACGAACTCCATCCGACAACAGGGCTGGACCACGCTCCTGTCGTTCAATCAAAGAAAGCTCTAATTTCGCCGCTATGGCAAAAAGACTCGCGAGGCACTGATGTGCTCTTTGATGCTGACGCAGCAGAGGACGATGATGATTTCGGCGACTTTGAGGACGTCGATGCTGCCGATGCACCCGGTCAGGCTCCGAAGCCTCTTGTGGAAGGTGATCAGTCTAATATTACTCGGCCAATTAATCCTGCCCAAAATACTCCCGATCTCATAACCTTAGAGCCAGGGGATGGGGCCCCAGCCACTGACCCAGGCGCATCTGAGGTTCGCAAACAGCAAGAATCACAAATATCTCTATCGCCTACGTGTGATCTCCCAGAACCACAAGCACCCTGGGATGGTGACTGGGGTGATTTTGAAGAGACATCGCCCGCAGGGAAGCCTCCAGCTCATTCTGGAGAGTCCAGGCTCTCCAATCAGCCTGCGAAGATGGATTCCGAACCTGCCGAGGAAGTTGATGAAGAATGGGAGCCCTTCGAAGATGGCCAACCACAACAGTCACGCTCTGACACGACCAATCAAACTCAAGCCCCAGCTACATCGATGAGGGCGGGACGCAACGCTATACTAGCCTCAAACGAGGCTGCGGAGAGGCCAACCAACGTACCCCCTCCCTCTATGCTTCTTCAGCTCCTGTCTTCTGTGTTTGAGGCAGTACATGGTCTGAACAACAGTGGGGAAGAATCCAAGCAAGTTCTTGGGTCGAGAATCCTTCTCGTATTCCGCGTTGTATCAAGGATCATCGCGGGACGGTCATTACGTTGGAAGCGAGACACGATCTTGGCACAGAGTATGAGGATAGGACAAGCCGGAAGCAGTCGAGGCATGAAGCTGGCGTCCGTCAACCGAGGCGAGAGCGCAAGAGAAGAGAGGGAAGTTGAGGATTTGATCGGTCATTGGTCCAGATATGCTCATGAGTTCAACAGCATCCTTGCTCAAGCACATATGACAGGACATCGATTGAAGCTTTCGTCATCCCTTTCTTTGAAGATAGTCAAGAGTGCCGGGTCTGGGAAACAGTGCGCTCTATGTGGTCTTCAAAGAAACGAGAGAATCAACGGCATTGACACAGACACGGAAGATCTCTTTGGCGAATTTTGGACCGAACATTGGGGACACAAGGACTGCTGCGAGTTCTGGTATCTCTACAAGAAGCTTTTAGGCCAGCGATGACTTCGATTTCGACTTTTAGGGGCCGCCATTAGCAAATCGGTGTATGCTTGACTAAGTAGAGGCTCGAATGTCATAAATCGGCAGTTTGTTGAGAATTCAACGCGTCGTGTTGCTGCTGGTGTTTTGTTTGGCCGACAGACAGATGGAATGGTTGTTTTTGCGGGCTCGGAGAAATTCGGCGTCCGAGTGCTCCATCGTGCCACCCGGGCTTGGGGACGCCTGGCAGCGCCTAGAGGGTGTGACCACTAGCTAAGACCGCCACCGGGTCATCAGGTCCTAAACATAACGGCTAAGACTGCCTAAGTACCCCTGGACCATTAAGTAGTCGGTTAGCAGGCCCCCAGGCTTCCCAGGGTGCCCTGCTCGCTGGCCACTCCCAGGCAAAGACAGTCGCTCCGCGTCACCTTGTTTTGACGGCTCTTTGGTGGTCGTACCCAGCCTTTGAAGCTGTACGAGTACTCACTCGTACATGTGATTTTGGAGGGGAAGAGGAACGAGGGGATCCCCTTCGCCTGCACCCACCGTCACCATCACCACCACCAAAACCACGACCCTGATCTCCCACCAACCCGCAGAGCCACCCACGAGTCCCATCCACCTATCCGCTAAGCGAATGCTCGATCGACATGCATTTTTACTGACTTTGGTCGCCTATGATTTCTGCGCCCTCAGGCCGGGTCCATTTTTCCTCACTGTCGACCTCTCCTAGTATCGTTCACGTTGCTCACACTCTGAGCTCTTCACGATCACGACCAGAGTTGACTCGTTCCACCCCCCTCGACACCGAACTTTATCCCCTGCAGACAGGCTTCGATAACCTTTCTCAACGGCCGTCCCTAACCGATCAGCTGGACCATGTCTTTTTCTTGGATATCATCCTAACAATTGCACTGGGACCCGCGGGTCATCCGGCCACTGGTACCTGGCAACTGGCATCTGAAGCTGGCACGGGCTGCCGTTCAGAATGACACTAGATGCAGGAAATGACTATGGTATGTCACATGTCAACGTGAGCCGCGAGCCCCATCCAAGGCTGCGTTTCTCATGTCCAAGCTCTCTGAGAATGGCAGGAATGCTCACCATGCTCCAGGAGACACCACCCCACCATTATCCCTATCCCCTCTCCTCACCATCCCGGCAGGAACAATGTCCGGAGATCAACAGCTTCGTCTGCCCAAGAACAAAAGTACTGGCAACTTGCTGTCGCCCAAGACTGAGCTGGGCCAGAGAGCGCGCTTCTCGTTCGACGCTGGTTCAACGCAAGAAATCACAAATCTGAAGAGGTAGGTCTTATACAACTGTCTATGTTCACAAATGCTTAACAGAGACAAGGGTATCTCGCGCCGAACATGAACATGGCTTGGGAAGATCAGGTCTCCGCCGCATACGACGCCCAGGCCCCTCCTTGGTTCGTACTCCTACTCTGGTGCTGGAAGAGAGTGAATGGGCTCCACCAACACTGCATCATGCAAAGACTGCTCCCATATCCGGCTCTTCTTCAAGGTCCGTCTCTGTCGGCTACATGACAAGCGGCCCTGCCTCTCCTGTCTTGGAGGATTTGCACCGATTCCCTTCGGAATCGCTTCATTCGTTTTCCTTTGCCAGGCAATCCGAGGAGCTCTTGCACAGCAGGCAAAATATTCTCAAGAAATCCGTGGATTTTGTGCGTGATCGTGCATCCTGGGCAGCCAACCCCGCCCTTGCCGATGCCCAGGCACGACTGAGTGGAAACTTGGAACTTCAAGGCATGATGGACCTGCTCAAAAAGGCCAATATCATTTCCATCGATACGGCTGCCGCTAGAAACAATATAATAGCAGCAGGACCGGTAACGGGACCCGCTCATCACGATGGTCGTAACATCTTTGAAACCAGCTTCAGCAAGCAACTTGAGCAGGCACAACAAGCCCAGGCAGATGACCATCTGGATCATGCGGATGCAACGCGAAAATACTCTCTAGAAGACGACGACCCGCTCCCTGGACTCGGTCTTGAGATTCAACCTCCACCGACGAGGGCCAGTTCCATCACTGGTCCGAAACGGGTGGGACTCAGGAGAACTTATACAGATTTGAATTCGGTATCCCTGCAACAGAAACTGATAGATGCACTTGCACAGCCTTATTCTGCTGACGATCATTCCGCTCCGCAGAATTCTCTTGGAGCAGCCATGCATGGCGCTAGCACCCCAGGAGGAAGCTCATCTGTCCACAGCCACAGCAGTAAATGGTCTCCGACCCACCAGGCTGTCTTTCGTACTGACGCTGATGCTCCCTGGACCATACTGGCTGCAAATGACTTGGCATGTCTGACATTTGGTGTCACTCGTGCGGAGGTTCGGTCTCTCAGTATTCTTGGAATCATTCAAGAAGAAAGAAGACATTGGTTAGAGTCCAGACTCGCACGTCCAGAACTCGTCGCGAAGGAGAAGGTCAACTCTCCAAGCAAGAGCAGTGCCAGCAGTGGCGGCCTGTCGTTGGTTGGATCCAGAAGTGGTATTACTGCTCGACTGCTTAGTAAAGCTCCATCTCGAGCTAACAAATCTTCAGAAAGAGCAAAGACAGACGACGGCAGCGGAGGTTACAATCGCTCCACCGCCAAAAATCACCCACCGACGAGATCGAGAGGTGTTCTTCTCTGTGGAGACATTGTCCCCATTCAAAGAAGAGATGGGACCAAAGGTGCCGCCAGTTTCTGGGTCATGGAGAAGCGTGGTGGATTGATATGGGTGGTTGAAGAAATCCTTGAGGACGTGGCATACCTGGACTTCGATTCCGAGGGCCATGTGACAAGCGCTCATGGAGGTGATGTAGCGATATGGGGTCAATCCGTTGCACCTGGTACCCCTTTACGATCACTCTTCCCTCGATTTCCGCTCGACGAACTCGACACATACAACAAGCATCATCTAGGATATTTTGCTGCTCGGACCTGTGAATATGTTAACGTTCCCACCGCTATTGAGAAATCCCCAACCCAAAATGAACTTCGGATATCCAGTTTGCCTCATATTGCGGGAGTGATGGTCCTAGATCCGGATACTTTCAAAATCAGCAGTTCAAACACTATTTTTTCTGCAGCCCTCTTTGGCTACGAACGACCCGAGGGTCTATCGATCAACGACTTGATACCCAATTTTGAGGATTTGTTGGCAGTTTTGACGGAAGAGGAGGATATCGAATTGGTCGATGGAATCGTTGTTCCCGAACACAGCTTTCGACGCGCTCGTGCTCTCTTAGCCCTGCGAGAAGGAAAAGAGAGTCCTGCTAGCATTTTCCTTCGGCCATGTGGTTTACCTGCAACGCATCGGGATGGTTCGGACATTATGGTTGACGTGCAGATGAGGGTAGTTCGCAGTGAAACAGTGTTTCCCATGTCGGACGAAGCAATCATCGAAGAAAAGGATGAATCTATCGGCGACAGAAGCGTTGCGGTTGCTGAGCTTGTCTATGCGCTGTGGGTTATTTATTCACGGAACATCCACTCAAGTGGGATGACTGCTGCTGAGACTGAGTCCGTATCTTCACTTCGACCTATGTCACCGCCTAGCCAACCTGAACCGCCTCCGTCTATACCATCACCTCCAGTGACTTCGATTGGACACCTAGAGAACCCCGGAATAGGCTCGGACTTGTCTGAGCAAGCGGATGAAACAGGATCGGCCGTCATGGAGGAACCTTTGGATCATCCACCCCCGCACACCGCGTACGTGCCACACGAGAAGAAGACGATTGACGACTTTACAATTCTCGAAGAAATGGGCTCCGGGGCCTATGGACAAGTGAAGCTTGTACGGTACATGAAAGGCCAGTCTAGGAGAATGGTGCTGAAATACGTGACCAAAAAGCGCATCCTGGTAGACACCTGGACCCGAGATCGAAAGTTGGGGACTGTGCCACTGGAGATCCACGTTCTCGACTATCTCCGACGTGATGGACTAAGACATCCCAATATTGTGGAGATGGTCGACTTCTTCGAGGATGATATCAACTACTACATTGAGATGCTTCCTCATGGGGTTCCCGGAATGGACCTGTTCGACTACATTGAGTTGAGGACGAACATGACCGAGGCCGAAAGCCAGAATATCTTCCGACAAGTGGTTGACGCAATCCATCACCTTCACACCAAGGCCTTGGTCGTCCATCGAGACATCAAGGACGAGAATGTGGTTTTGGACGGAGAGGGACGGATCAAATTGATCGATTTTGGCAGTGCTGCCTACATCAAGAATGGACCGTTTGATGTTTTTGTTGGAACAATAGGTGAGAGTCGCCATCTGGGCAGTTTCGTGCCTGGCGCTGACCAAGCCAGATTATGCTGCCCCGGAAGTCCTGCAAGGTAAACCTTATGGTGGTAAGGCTCAGGACGTCTGGGCTCTCGGTATCCTGCTGTACACGATCGCGTACAAAGAAAGTGAGCTCCCCTTATGCAAGCAGTTTTCAGTCATGATCATGTTGCTAACAAAGTCTGGACAGATCCCTTTTACAATTTAGGTATGCACTTGCCTCGTTCTGACCTCCCGACCCACGCGGCTTAAGCGTAGATGCGTGTACTAACACCAGTGATTCAAAGATGAAATCCTCGACCATCCACTCCGAGTACCATTCCTACCCTTCTCCGAAGAATGTTTGGACCTCATCCGAAAGATGTTAGACCGAGACGTTGATAAACGCATCACAATAGAAGAGGTTCTGGCTGATGCTTGGTTATCCGAAGAGAGTTGAGAGACGTCCGTGGGTACTTCGAGCTCGTTCCCCGAACTGGCGGCCCCAGCGATCTACCCAATTCTCCGTGATCAGACGCAATCGGACGGCGTCATATGAAGCCCACGAATGCGACAGACACACAATACAAATGAATGATGAAACAACCCCACATAACGAGCGCGCGATGCAAATCGCCACGATGGAAACCAGACGAGCTCCAGTATTAGACAAGGACGAAAGACAAGAGGGGGAGGGCATATTTTGGGAATCTATGAAGTGGTTGTTAAGAACGAGATATCTGCATGAGTGATGGAGGCATGGATGCATAGATCCTTCTTGGTGAGTCTGAACTCGATCCGAGCAGGTGTGCACAGGCACGAGTCGGTTGCATGGTCAAGGTGCGATGACCGCTCTGACATTGCTGTTCCGGCCTTGCGGCGTGTATGGATCATGATTGTTGAATGACATGTTGGCATGTGCGACCACACCAAGACGATGGGCAACACGATGCCGATAGACAGGGGCAGGGTGTTATCTGTCATTGAGCAGCACCCCCGTACGGGGTACTAGTACGACACTTGGGACCTGCAGGTTGGTTTACTCAGGTGTAGGGCAGGGGTCTGGCTAGGGTTACAGTGGGGAGCCTGCGACGACGGCCAGCGAAACGGGGTTTGTTGGTTATGCCCAGACCTCTATCATGCGCTATGCTGGGGGTGCTAGCACGGGAGAGACGAACAGGACAGAAGTGCCTTGTTCGCAAAACATGGCTCTATCCGACGATCAGCCAGCCAAAGCGTTCACCGGTGTTTGTATCTCGTCGGCTCGAACGTGGGACTCAGCTTCTACCTCCTTACCTACCTCGCTAGCTAGCCTGCAAGGTTGATCGACCGCTCTGGTCCCGGTTGTAGATATTCACGGGCATTGTTTTAAAAAGAAACAAAAATTCCATTCATCCATCTGTTCTCAGGCTGATGGCGACTTGCGCAAGCTCCCGGCCGGACCCACGTATGTACTCAAAGTATACGGTGTATACCAAGCACCTGCTCGCTTCAACCTTGATGAAGTGTTACCTGCACTGCCCGCAGCTAAGGATTTAGCAAGCGGGCAGCTCGATCGTCCGGCAGGATGTCTATCTCTGCTTGTGGGATGGAGAACTGCAGTGGGCCCTCGTCTCGTCTCGTCTACTCGTGCCTTTCACGCCTTGAGCCCTTGACCAAAACTCTTGCATATCACTATCACCGACATGTCTAACTGAATCTACGCCGTCTGTGAAGCGGCACTTCGTCATCGGGCCCAGCTTCTCGTCAGGGCCTGATCTGGCTTCCTATTCGACGGCCTACGATCTCACATGCATTTTGGTACAAAGTGCATAATGATGGCGATGTGCCCGGTATGCGGGTTGTTTGCTTACTGTCCCGTCCCTCTCCGGCTGTGCATCGCCGCCTAGGCCTAGCAGACCCAGTATCCCAACACTCTCGGGTTGTGCCGTGAAGTTCGGGGGAGGCGTCAAGAGTGTAGTACGGATCCGTTCCTTACGAGGTAGTGCTGTCGTCAGTAGGTGTGGACCGGCAACCCTTTATTTTGCCAACCAAACCTTTTTATTTTGCGAGCACTTGGCACTCCATTAAGCGGTACCTTTCCACATCCAGAGTAGATTTTGTTAGTGTTGCGCCACTGAATTTAGCGCCACTCTATGCCAAGGTACCTTGCTACCAAGTGGTAAACAATACTGTATGATGTTTATACTAATACTCATCACATTCTTTTTGCCCAATGTCTTAACCCTCCCCCCAATGAGGATATGTTCTAGTCGAGCCATCCCTACAGTAGGTTTTATGTAGCGGCGCTCAGTATATCAGGCGGTTCCATCTATATTACCAGTAATTTAGGTGAGCGTAACGTGGCCCTAATCCACGAGATAACTACTCTAAACTCGAGTGAACAGACTATCATCCTTCGTCCAAGTGGTATCGGTAAGACTGGACGAATGAGAAGGTTGGCATTTAGGGTACCTCGGGTAGTGGCTCGCAGAGAAAGGATGTCAAGCAGAGGACGTGCCAAGGGGATTGAGATTGAAAGTCTTTTCTGCGGACAGTGTTAGCCCGGCCGATTGCATCAAGCTCATCCTCATGAGCCCGCCGTGCCACCCAAAGCGCCACATAGCAATTGCCGAACGCGAAGAGGGCAATTCTTCTGCCGCCAGCTCAACAAGGCCCCAGAGTCCAGACTTCGAGCCTTTCAGATACAGGCAGCCTCGCGGCATCGCGTCTGCGACGGCGGACTCGCGCCTGCTCCATCCAGTGTCGGCTTGCTCGATCGGTCAAATTCTGGCGGTCGTCATGAAGCTCCAGCAAACTTCTCGTTTCTGAACACTTCCAATTCTTCAACAACCTGTGCATATACTTCAAATGTACCTCGCTCACCAGCCGCCTCCCGTGCTTGGTACGACCGCGCAAAAGGTATCCTCGGGGGGGCCTGACCATCCTTCCGAGGGGCGCTGGTGAAAACTTTGACGTACTCATCGATCCGGCTCTTGTATGTTTCCACCGATCCAAATAGTTTGGGATTGAAGAGCATAATGACGAAGCCGAATCCGTCCGCCGGGCTGGGCAGTGCGGGCGCACCAGCGGCAACTCCCAAGAGCTGGACTACTATCGACAATCCTAGACCGACTGGCCCATCGCGGACGGAGAAGATGCCTTCCATGGCTTTGTCTGGATCTATGGTCGGGTTTCCAGCCTTATCGTACGCAATGCCTGGTCGGAGCTTCTCGCGTACCCGTTGGCACATCCGAATCTCACCGTATGTGGATGATGAAGTCTGTCACAGGCAACACGTCAGTTCTCGTTCATGGATACTGGTGGCTGCTTCTGACGCCCATCAAGGGAAAGGTTTACCCCGATATCGTAGATGATTGGAATGTCCGAAGAGGGAAGCGCAATACAGAACGGATTCGTTCCGAGCAGAGCTTGGGTCGTTCCAGCTGGCGAAGCACAGGCATTGGTGCTAGATGAGATGACAGCCACCAGGTCATTTGCGGTTGCCATCTCCGCCCAGTATGATAGCATGCCTGTGAAGATCTGCAAAGGCAGATTAGCACATAGACCCACCATCCGAGTTGAATGGAGACTTGCCGTATTTTTGGCCGCTACCACGGCGACACCATTTTCCCTCGCAATATCGATAGCCAATTGTGTCGCCTCATACGCAACAACATAACCAAGACCATTGTGTCCGTCCAAAGACGCCGATGAAGCCGTCCGGCTCTCTACCGTGGTCTTGCCGACCTTAATGATGCCAGCCTTGATAAACTCCAAGACCGACAATGCTCGAGACAATCCGGCGACGCCATATCCGCGCAGTTCGGCGTCGATGAGATGGGCTGATATCCTCACGGCATCCTCGCATTTGTATCCAGCGTTCGTGAAGACTTCTTCGAGCAGCTCCTTGGCGTCCTCGACCTTCAATTCAATTGTGGGCGCCATGCTAGGTGATCACTTGGTCATTTGTTGGAAATGGAAATGATGCTAGTCTTGGTGACAGGGATAGCTGCCACTAGCTCGTTATCCGTACAATACCTGCTTCACCTCTAACAGCGAGAACAAGCAATATTATATGCTTACACGATTATTGCATCAGCTGGGTCGACACCGAGCGGGTGGATGGGCGCTGATGTCTGGCACTGGTAACCCGGCAGGTTGCGCACGATCAGCGACAAGGTCACTACCCAAAGGTCGTCCATGCCGACCCCGAATTCGGCGATTTCTGGGGCTGGAAACAAGAGTTCGTGACGTAAGATTTGCCCCAAGGAAACCCAATGTCAGCTCCAATTAACACTGTATTGGACGTTCGTACGGGAAAACAAAGGATGAGTGCAGATGGCCGCCAGAGTACCGATATCCAAGGTCGGTTTTGCAGGCTCTGACCACCATTTACGTTCAGTTGAATTCGAGGAGGAGAGCGTTTGCCAGACATCACAACATCATGTCATTGGCTCGTAGTATGCGTGCGATTTGTGAAGCTGATACGTACAAAGCTTAATAATGTACAAAGCGGTACAGCAAGCTGGACTCGAATGATGAAGGTGTTGAGTAGCATGCGGCACAATATCTTTCAAGCGCAACAACCAACACTACCTGATGCCTCAAGCGCTTGGCTAATATCCCCCACAAATGACCAATGCAATGATCTGCCCAGCCCCCGTTCTTGCCAATCATTAAGCGACTCTGGGAAGAATGGCATATTTTTCGCCCATCGCACAGACGAGTCGTGCGCAATCAGGACAAGGACATTTTCAGCTGCATCAGCCTCTTGCAGCATATCGATCGTGGCGTGGAAATCGTCATCATTGTGGATTAACGTCGAAATGTAGAGCGCCTCCCTCGGTTTGCGGCCTCGCTTTACGTTGGTTTCGTCGAACCACTTCGTGCAACTCATGCCTTTCTCTTCGGACCCGGTGATGGGATGCGGAAGAATTTCTGGCGGTAACGGTGCGTATCGCGACGGGCGAAACTCAGCCCCATGGTGTGCGGTATCACCACCCAACAGCACAAATGTTGGAGGGTGGAGAGTCGTCCTGACGAGAGCACATATATGCCCGACCTCGTGGCCAGGCGTGTCGAGGAGATAGAGAGAGCCGTCCTCGAAGAAGTCGACGGCTGGAAAGCGACCAATCCTACAATTAGCGTTGTTCTTGAAATCGATTTCGCGAACGGGTCGCCCCCTGTATACACAAAACGATTAGATCACGGTTACTTGACGATGGATGTCATCATCTGATAGAAATGGCACCTACTCAATATCGCGAGGGTTGATGCCGCCAAGTCCTGAATTACCGCTGCCCTTGATGAAGTGGTCCGTTGAGCCAGGGCCAAGAATGAGCTCTGTTGAAGCAGGGAGGGTCTTCATGTCGCCCTTATGATCCCAATGGCAATGGCTGACGAGTCGTGCTCGTTAGCACATCGGCATCTTTGAATCAACCTCTATTGGAAATGCTCACCTCCACATGACACCGGAGATACTCTCTGGTGGGATACCATTCGCAGCCAACACGCTGGCAGGGTCTTTGGCCTCAATCTGGTAGCTGACGTTTTTCAGCCGCTTGGCGATCTCCTGGCCAAGTGTGTCGAGATCTGCCGGAACGCCAAGGTCGAAAAGATATTTCTTGCCAGATGGGTGTTCTAGCAAGAAGGAAAGCGCCGGTGATGGGCGGAAGGTGTTGATGCCGTCGATATGAGGAGTGAACAGATTCTTGCAGGATACTCCTGCTATAGAAGCGACGTCGATGACTTTGACGGAGACCGCGATATCCCCGTGGGGAACTGCCAATCCTGTGGAATCCATCTGACTTCGTTTCAGGGTATTCAAGAGCGGTGTTGCTGATTTCGCGAGCTATGCGTACTGGGCGTGCGGTATCCACCTGCCTGGAGGTTGGGCTTCTGTCCTGATGGACGATAGCCTTCCTGACCGATATACATGGTGAAGTCAGGCGATGTGTCTCCATTACGCCGAATTCGGGAAGCCCCAACTTGAAGCCGACGGTTGAAGTGGGGCTCAGAGCCGAAATGCCGACAGACCCCAAATGCTTTCGTAGCATCAGGAGAAGGTTGATCAGCAATCACAGGCGGACCCGATATAGGCCAAAACGGATTGAGCATACATAGAGCCAGTTTCGGCACTTCGCTTCGAGGCTCGCAAGAAAGGTCAAAACAGAAGCTTCAGTCGCATGCTTCATACTTACTCCCTACCAGCTAGATCCGCTTTACGTTGACAGTATGGCGGCGAAAGTCCCCTTCAGCGAGTATCGAGACCGTCTAGCAGGTTGCTGGGAGCTCTATTCGTATAAAGTATACAAAGATGGACAAGTCAGCGGAGAACCTCACGGAGATGACCCGAGGGGCATTGCCCAGATTAGCCGCGACGGATACTCTTCATCTCATTTGGCAGATCCGGCGCGCGTCAAAGTCCTTCAGAAAGATCGCGCGTGGTCTGCACATACCGACGCAGACGTTGCACATTACGCCAGAGGCATCAGTATGTACTGCGGCCAGATTCAGCTTTTCGAGGACGAAGAAGGTCTCTTCTGGAAAACGACAGTTGATATCGCCAGCGATCCGTCAAGGATTGGTGGCGAACAGATTCGTAGGGTTATTCTGAGCGAGGAGGACGGAGAAGAGGTCATGATACTGCGGCCACTGAACGCGGAAGCCAATGTTGTACGTGTCATCCCTGAATGCACCCCTCTTCAATTTGCGTGCGCGCTGACATCCATCGTAGGGAAGCACATCGTCAGTCCTCAAATGGCGCAGATTCCCTCATAGAAACAGATCGTGATAGATGGGCATGAGTCATTGTCTTTTTAGCAGCAGCTACCGCAGGCTCTTGATGAGTTCTCACGGCTCTACGAATGTTCCCCGGCGTTTGCTGTTTAGAGTTGTGAGAATGTTGACTGGAATGCACCGATCGATTTTTTCCGACGCATATCTGAGCCGCAAAAGTAGTGACTGGTCTCCTAGCAGATGCTCTCGCACCCAGTGGGCCCACGCGAGTTGTGCGCTGCCGCCCAGTCGCCAATTTCGTTTATAGCAGAGCATATCGCAACTTAAAACGGACCTACGTGCAATATAGTCTATTTCTCCTGAACTGTCCTGATCTCATCCCTCAGTTCTGCCAACACTCGACGGTTGTCACTACCTGACGGATGATATGTTTTGATCATCTGCAAACCGTTCTGCGTGCACCAATGTCCTTGGCCCCGGCTAGTGTTGGGTAGATTCCAGCTGAGCGCGAACAAGTAGGCGGCCTGACAATTGTTCCCCGGAAGGCAGATTGTGCTTACCAGCATAGTAGGACTTTGGTGTATGGAACTCAAGGCCATCCCTTACCCCGCGACCAGCAAATGAAATCCGAAGATACCGGAAGGGACTGTCCCTGCCGAACCTTGCATGACCGAGATTCCGTGCCGTTGCAAGAGGACTCACCGAGTTCGGAGCTGCTTGATTCGTGAGTGCCACATATCTTGTCTCCGTAGGCCGGGTGTTGCTCATCGGTCATGATGCCTCCCAGGGTCAACGAGAACTTGCTCTCAAACATGTCTCCAATAGGTGATAGGTTGCCCGCAGCCACGTATGGCTTTATTGGCATTGGCAATATGGGCTGTCCCATGGCATGGAATCTCCGCAAGAAGATCCCCCAAGAATCGAAGCTTATCATTTGCGACATCGTTGCAGAGAACGTTCAAAGATGCTTGGCAAAGTGTGAAGGACTTGGCCCCGTGGAAGTTGCTGCGAATCCGAAAGAGATTACGGAGAGTTGCGTACGTTTCTCTTACATCAAGGACCTTTTCAAGCAGAGTTGATAACTCATCATTGCAGGACATTGTCATCTCGTCACTCCCGCCCAAGCAGCCAATTGAGATTGTCTTTCGACATCCAGAGACTGGGATCCTCGCGGCGAAGCCGGGGGCTGTGCCAAAGTTGTTCATCGAGACTTCCTCAATTGATGTGCCAAGCCAGTTGTCATTTGCCAAAGCGATAGAGAAAGCCAAACTTGGCGAACTGGTTGATTGTCCAGTCTCGGGCGGCATATTCGGTGCGGAAGACGCCACACTAAGCAGTGTTATGGGAGGTTCAGAAGAGAATTTCCGACGTGTGAAGCCAATCATGTCTACCATGGCGAATCCAGAACACCTCTTTCACGCCGGGGCAGTAGGCTCTGGACTTGCGTGTAAAATCATTAACAACTACGTTGCAACAGTCAGCTATGTGGCACTATGCGAAGGTATGATTTACTCGCCCCGAAGTTGTTTTCCATTCGTCAGAAACCTGTGCTGATTTCTGTGAGCAGGGATGAATGCTGGGGTTCGATACGGGCTGGACCCAAAGGTTTTGGGAGACTTGATAAATGCAAGTAGTGGTATGTCATGGAACTCGAAGTATATGAACCCGGTAAAGGGTGTGTGCCCTGGCTCATCTGCCGAGAAAGACTTTGAGGGAGGCGCAAGCTTTACTCTAGCTGCAGAAAGCACTGAGATGGCTGCGAATTTGATGAACATAGTGGGCGCCCGATCACTTTGTACCCCAATGCTGAGGGACATCTGGAGACGAGCCGTGACGAATTCTCATACCAAGGGGAGGGAGTATCGCAGCATCTACTGGCTATTCTCCAAGGATGACGGCGAGGGTCTCGGTAACGTCTTTGTCGAATGATTTAACGTATAGATTTGATCAGCCAGCCACCGTGGCCTGCTACTACGTAGAGCCTTACTTGTAATAAATTGGAGATCTCGTGACAGTATCCCTCCAACAGGTAGATTGTAGTCTCTCATGTTTCCATCAATCCCGTAGCATTGAAGGCCGTGGTGATGTTTGCAAGAGGCAGACAGAAAGGCACTGTACCGAGTTCGGGATGCAGACCTCAACGGTCAAACCATGTCCGACCTGCTGGTTTGCCGTTCCGGACTCAGAGACCTGCTGTGCAAGGAGGCCAATCTGCGCCACACCTGGACCAACCTAGTCGAAGGAGGAAATCTGCATAATGGGGTCATGATTGCAATCAAGAGTGTTGATCGGAGGCGTTCAGATGGAGTACTTAAAGCAAAGAATCCTCATCTCAATAAAGCAAGCCATAACTGTGCGATCAAGTTCCCACAAGTACTTACCATGGGCAGAGAAGAAAGCCCCCCCGTGCAGCCTCCATCGCTTTCGTTCTCTGTCATCCCAACTGACCATAAGTTCGACCATGTTGATGTGCCTCATGAAAACGAATGGTACCGCAATTTCAATCCACAGTATGAAGTCCTCGAGCAGCCTTTGCATACGCGGAAGCCACTACATATCATCGTCGTTGGAGCCGGGGCTTCTGGCCTCAACATCGCTTTCAAAGCTGCCAAACAACTGGTCAACGTCACATTCTCCGTGTACGAGAAGAACGAAGACGTAGGTGGCACGTGGCTGGAGAATAGATATCCTGGCTGCCAATGCGATATTCCATCGCATGCATATCAATGGTCATTTGCTCGGTCGAGCGAGTGGGCTTCGTATTACGCTGGCAGTGAAGAGATCTGGGGTTACCTGAAGAAGTGGGCAACTGAGACTGGGCTTTGCGAAAAGGTCAAGTTAGGTCATCGCGTGACCAGCGCGGCATGGAACGAACAGAAAGGCATATGGTTGGTCGAAGGTGTCGACGGAAAGGGCGTGCGTTTTGAAGAGGAAGGTGCAATCCTTGCTAGTTGCCACGGTGTCCTGAAGTAAGTCGTCGCCATAATATGGCCATGGAACAGGTACTGACAATGTCGGGCAGTACTTGGAAGTATCCAAACATACCCGGGATTGACACTTTCCGAGGTAAACTGATGCACAGCGCAAAATGGGATGGCAACTACGATCTTACTGGCAAGACTGTCGCTGTTGTAGGGGGTGGCTCCTCGGCCGTGCAAATCATTCCAGCCATACAGCCGAAGGTCAAAAAGCTCCTGCCATTCCTTCGATCACCAGTGTGGATAACATCAGGCTTTGGTGCGAAGTATGCGGCACCTGGAGGTGGTAATTTCCGCTGTAAGTATACATTTACATCCTCCACTGCCGCCACAAGCGATGATAACTAATGAAGCGGCTCAGATTCACAAGGCGAGAAAGACACATTTGCAACAGATGGCGAACACCTAGATCAATACTGTCGTGATGTGGAGGGTGAGCTGAACAAACGTTTTGCCCTGGTAGGTTGACTCAATAATGGTCTCGATGCCGCTGGAGCTGACGCAACCTAGATGCACTTGCACAGTACTGATCAACAACAATCGAGGCAATGGGTTGCTGAGTCTATGCGGAAGCAGCTGGTAACGAGGCCAGATCTGGCAGACCACATGGTGCCACATTTTGCACTAGGTTGTCGTCGCATGACGCCAGGATCTGATTACCTGAGCTCTTTATGTCGAGAGAATGTCCAGGTCGTAAAGGACTCCGTTGTCCGCGTCACAGAGGATGGTGTTGTCGACGGTAGCAGTACGGAATACAAGGTCGATGTTCTAATATTTGCCACGGGCTTCGACAATTCGAAGCCTCCTTACGAAATCATCGGCCGTGACGACAGAAGACTTGCCAAAGAATGGTCGGAAAGCCCACACGGGTACCTGAGTATCATGGCCGAAGGGTTTCCGAATATGTTCTGTAGGTCCAGAGAGATTAGTTCTCGATGATGAACAGGCGCTAACATGCGTTGAAAGACTTCATAGGACCCAACGGGCCGGCATCGCACGGCTCTCTTTTGCCTATTATCGAATGGCACACACGGTGGATGTTCCAGGTCATCGCACATATGCAACGGACATCCATCAAGTCGCTTGCGCCATCGTCCAGAGCGACTGAAGATTTATACATCCACACGCATCAGCTGTTGAAACGCACTGCCTGGTCCTCAGCGTGTAGTAGCTGGTTCAAGGGAGGGAAACTGCATGGACCTGTGACAGCTATATGGCCTGGAAGTCGTCTGCACTACTTTGAAATGCTGAAGGAACCAAGATTCGAAGATTTTGACATCCAGTATGAGGGCAACAATCGATATGCCTACCTTGGCAACGGCTTCACTGAGACCGAACTGGATCCTGAGGGAAACGCTGTCTGGTATTTCGACATCTTAGGAAAGGAGCTGGGTCTGGGACAGCAGGCCTTTGCGGCTGTATCCTGATGGAAATCAGTTCAGAGGTGGAGAAGCTTACGTCTAAAGCAAAACTCGAGCGAGGGGACTAGTTGTTGTAGCCTCGGCATTCTAACTTAGGAGCGGTGTTACTGTATATAATAGTTTAGGTCGTTCATTAATCTTCAGCGGAACTGTCAGTGTGCGGGGATGCCCAGCCTTCTTCACACAATGCCTCCTTTCTTCCCTTTCCTACTAGATACATAACGTTGGTGATTCTAACAAAGTCCGGAGTACCATACCTCTCAGAAGACTGGGACTTCGACCACCTTGTCACAGAGCCACTACAAGAACAAGATCGCAGGGTTGTTCTTGGAAAGAACCCAACGAGATCCCATCCCCGTGCAGCGAGACCGAAGGCGGTGATGTCGTGGAGAGCATAGTTTCATCCGCTGCAGATACCTTGTGAGCATGGCCGAAGATCAACAAACGAACCCTCCAAGCAGTCGCAACAGTGCTTGCTCCACATGCCGACTGCATAAGGTACGGTGTGATGATAATGCTGCCTCTGCCGGACTGCTCACTCTTTTGCGCAATAGGTTCGCTGCGACGCTGCGGACAGGCGCCCGGGACCGTGCTCAAGGTGTGAGTAGCATGGCAAACCAATTTTAGGTTGTCTTCGCGATGGAGCGAACTAACGTACCATGCTTAGGCTATGCAAAGGGGTTGCAGTGCAAATTACTGCCAGGCTCCCTACAGGCTCGACCAACAAGAAGACAGCTTCAAGCGGAAGTTGAAACATTACGACGCATGATGAAAGATTCAGACAAGGTTGTAGTAACGGTAGTCCAGCCCTCGACTACAGTGATACCGCCACGCTCAAATCGCGGAGCACAATCAGAGTCTGGGTCACAACAATCACCATCCTCGCAGAACGCAGCCCAACGCGAGATTCAACCGACTTTTCCAGGAGAATATCCAGCATCAGAAGCGACGCATGACACGCCAGCTAGCAATGGCATGATGCCTGTCGCCAATTCTCTCACCGTCGCTCGGAGTCTGGATGATTTGGAAGTTCCCCAGGAGGCAATTGATGATTGTTTCGATAAGTGTGCTTATGCCAAACCACTTCACGCGTGTCCGTACTAACACGATTCAAGTTTTTTCAACCACTACGCATCTCATGTTCCCGTTCTAGAGGAACAAGTACAGCCAAACGCATGCTATGATCGATCGCACCTACTGTTCTGGACAATCATCGCCGTGGGAGGACGAAGCTATGATGACGATCCAACACTTCTGACCTCCCTGGCACCTCGACTTAGTTCCTTGCTCAACTCAATCGTTGTACTTCGCAAGAATCCGCTCGCTACAATACAAGCACTTGCATTGCTTTGCTCTTGGCCTTTGCCTTTCACTTCGCTTAGCTATGACTCTAGTCCATTGCACGCTGGATTAATGCTAAGCCATGCTTTCCTCACTGGATTGAATGTTCACGGCACTGGACAGGACTTTCACGATGCTAAACTAAAAATCGATCACTCTTTCACAAGAAGACGCGCACGGTTATGGTACGTGTGCATTACGGTTTGTCAAAGAGTACACTGCTGTCATGGCCTTCTTCCCCTGGCCGGACTCGACATTCAAAGCGAAGCAGACCCTTTTGGAAGTGGGAATCTTGGAGCGATCCTCCATCGAATAGTGATTGAGAAACGCATTAGTGCTATACAGTCCGCAGGCATCACGAAGCTCCAAAGCATTGTGACTTCAATCGAGCCTCGAAATCGTCAAGTTGCCATCGAATCTGCTTTGGAGAGCTTTCTTGGGCAGCTGTGCGAACTGGAAGCTGACTGCCACGGGAATCTCGGTGAGTTGTGCGGTGGTCTGAGTTGAGCATGTCAGCGTGACTCATCGATGGTAGGCAATTTTTATCTTCAAATCGCCAGACTCCAACTTCTTAGCTTTCGGCTTCTCATTCCGCGGGACTTGCTGGAAGATAACAGGCTGCGAGAATTACACGATCTCGCGTGCAAGATCCTCGAATCGTTGCAGATTCTGGAAGGGAACCAGTCCCAGCCAGCCTTGATTTCGAGATATGCACCTGTGTTCGTGGCACACTACAGTATACTGGCAGCCTTCATGATCCTCAAGATATCTCGCTCGCACCTTGGCACATCAGTCGATGTCTTGAGAGGTCGAAAAGCTTATTTCTTCGTCATTCAATTATTGCGACACATGTCTGTTCAGGCTGGAGATGCCCTGAACAAGACGATGGGCATACTAACGCAGCTTTGGGGTAGCAAGAACATCTTCAGAAGACGAGATGGAACCATTGACAGTTTGACTTTACGTTGCGGCGGCAGACTGGCCATGAGTGCATCCTATGACTGCTACTGGTGGTGGCGATGGGAATTTGCTGGTCAAGCGTACCCGTACGACGAAGAGAACGGTGCTGATATCAGCAACTCGCAACACTTGGATCCGAGGGTGCGATCCGCCGATCGCACCGGAGTCGCTGGGTCCAACAGGCCGGTTTCGCCTATACCTAAGGCAAATGATACCATTTCCTTTGCTAACTCAGGCGGAACAGACTGGTTCAATCCCACTGCAACGTTCCTCGAGGACTACTGGCTAGAAGAACCCGACCTCCAGATCCTTGACTGGGCTCCGCCGCTCGTCAATGGGCCCTTACTTCCGGCAAACGGAGCAGCATTGAATGAGCACGTGGTTGATGCATGGCACCCTAGTAACCCACAGGTTTGAGCCTCACAGTTGGCACAAGATCGCATGCTTTGTTCGGGGTAATTGAGTCTAGATTCTGGGGCCGAGCCCGAGTTCGGTCCCCGGATTCGGACGTCCTCTTTCGGAGCGATCGGCAAACCCAGACTAGACTCACTTATCACTGGTACCCTGTTGAATACTTCAAGAAGCCCCGTTTCCCCACTACTAATTGAGCCAGGAATTGCTCTACATAGGTCGCCTTGCACACGAACAACGAACTGTAATCTCATGGACTTTATGCATAAAACTCGCGCTGAAATGGGTGCAAAAGACTCTGCCTGGATAGAGGACGCTATACCTGTAACGCGTTCAGCCAGAAGCGCCGACTCGGAAGACGTCCGGTACGACAGCCCGGTGACGAAACAGCTCGAGAAACGGTTGCTCCGCAAGATCGACTACACTGTGCTTCCGCTGATGGGTATAAGTATGCTCATCTCCTTCCTGGTACGTCAAAATGCTTGTGGCACCAAGGTCTGCGTGAAACAGTACACTGACTCCCGACAGGATCGCGGAAACATTGGCAATGCGCGAGTCTTGGGCATGCAGAAGGACACTGGCTTGTCCAATCAGCAATTTCTGAACATTATCATGATGTTTTGTGAGCGATTCTTCACCCAATCGATTGGGTGGTCTGGCAAGGCTAATGATAGTATAGTCCTGGGCTATGTCCTTCTCGAGCTACCGGCTTGTTTATCTCTACGCTACGTTCACGCGCGTTTTGCATTCGGAGTGCCCATTATGGCCTTCGGCATTTTTGTCATCCTCATGGCTTTCTGCACGAGCTATGCAGCTCTCATGGTGCTTCGTGTGTTGGTAGGCTTGGGCGAGGTCTTCGTCAACAATGCCTTCATCTTCCTCACACTGTGGTATAAGCCTGAGGAGGTGGCCCTGCGGATCGGTACGTCTTGTGACGGAGCAGACCGATAGGTCCAGCCTCAGCGTGCCGGCTAACTCGAATCTAGCAATCATGTACACTTCCACAACCATTGCTGGCGCCACCTCTGGCCTTATTTCTTATGCATGTGGTGTCACGCTCGAGGGTCACGACGGTCTGTACGATTGGCAGTATGTTTTGCACACCAGGCGCTGATGATCACCCGGCAGAGAGATTAACTAATTCGCTATAGATGGATGTTCATCATCGAAGGCGTCATGGCTGTTGGTATTGGGGTCATAGTCATGATTTTCCTGCCGGGAACCCCGGACGAGGTGGCCAAGAAAGGCAGTCTCTTCATCAAGAAAGAGGAGGAGCGGCAGCTCATTGCCGCAAGATACCACGCATGTACGTGTTGCTTCACCGGTCAGACGATGGCATTTCGAGCAACGCTAATGTGGATTTTGCAGCTCACAACACAGCTGGCGAGGTCTTCCGCGCTTCACAGCTCCTCGTTGGCATCCAAGACCCGAAAATGTGGCTTGGCGCACTGACAGTGGGTTCTGGTGGTGTCGGCCTGGGTGCATTCAGTGTCTTCTTACCAACACTTATTCACGCATTCGGTTTCGATCCGCTACGCACACAGCTCTTCGTCATGGTGCCGTACGCTTTCGCGCTCGTGGGCATGATCGCGTCCGCACTGATCTCGAAACGGATCGGACAAAGAGCGCCTGTCGTACTCGCCTGCCTCGGCACCACCATTCTGGGCTTCATTATACTCATCTCAGTCACGGGCCAGGTTGCCTCGATGGTGGGAGCATGCTTCGTCATTACTGGAGCCTACTCTGGCGTTGTCCTCAGTGTCTCCTTCGTCTTGACTCTACATGGTGGATACACGAAACGATCGTTAGCCGTCTGGCTGATGCAGATCGTCATCAATGTCTACAGCGTGGCTGCAACCCAGGTCTACCGAACCCCGCCACGCTTTTACCTGGGTCACGGTCTAGCTCTGGGCCTTTACTGCCTTGGTTTTGGGTGCGCGACGACGATATGGGTCATTTGCAAGAGAGAAAATGCTCAGAAGCTCAGGCGACGTGAGGATTTCGCGGCGAAGGGCGAGGTGGATCCTGACATGGAGAAAAGCTACGAGGAGTTGTGCGACCGTCATCCCGGCTTTCTCTATGCGTTGTAGGTAGCATCCGATTGAGAGATATGCAGCCGTCTACCTGGTTGCTGTACCACTAGCCGTAAGCGCTGCTAGAGATGGCTTGTCCAATTTGGTCGACCACAAGCCAAAAAAAAAAAAAAAAACCATCTATACCGCTATGTGATCGCTCGTCTGCGGCTCCTGTTGCACCGTTGACACTCCAAGTCCAGCTGCAGACTGGGCTGAGTTCTCTATCACATGCCCCAGTCCCAGATCGCTGCACCTTAGAAAGTGCAATCCATCTTGAGACTCAGTCTTTGCATCCCACAACCCGTCCATGCCATGACACAACGAACAACTCGAGTATCGAATCAAGGTCTTTCCGTGGTTGGCGTTCACTTAGTGTCAACTCTCTCGCCGAGCTGCCGCCGCATCGCGTGGATCGATAGGCCACAGGTATAGCTAGCATTGGTTAGAGCGCTCTTAAAAGATCGCGATGAATCTACTTTTAGGCTTCGAGTAGTGAGTCGCACCGCCCGTTTTCAAGCATTTCCGTAGAATGGGTCTTCTGGGGCTGACTCCTTAAAACCTACTACTGTAGGCGACTGAATACTGCGGAACCTTAACATAATTAGAATCACGCTAAATTTGGTGGTGCGGCACTAGCAAAATCTACTTTGGATGTAGAAAGGCTCCGCTTAATGTAGTGCTAAGCGATGGCAAAATAAAAAAGTTGGTTGGCAAAATAAGGGTCGCCGTGTGTAGCATCCCCCCCGCAAAACTTGAATGGGGATGGGGATGACAACGAGATCCGGGGCCGAGCCCAAAACGAGTATGAACCAACTCTGTTTGACAGGCGTTCGGGTACTCAACAATAAATTGAAACGCCTGACCTTAGACGTGGCGCCTGGAGCACGACTGTCGGGTAAGGAAGTCGATCAGAGGACTTGTATTTAGCCGAAATCCATGTCGGTGGTTGGGCTAGTGGGGAGAATGTCTCTGCTCCCCCCAGCCCACCCATTCGAACTTAAATGTCTTGGCTGATGGTTACATGGAGAAGACGGGGGGCGCATGCCACTTGGCCAGCTCTTCGAACCACGGCTGAGAACATGTTCGTCTTTGGTCCTCCAACTGAATCGTTGGAATCTCAAGAGGTGCCAGAATCCAGGAAGAGGAAGAGAACTAGAATGTGTGGAATGCTCAGATCTGTGAAGCTGACAACAGTGCTCCGTACGAGTACTGAGGCGAGGCCTGAAAACGACAATAGAAAACTTCTGCCGATCAGGTCTGGCGCCAGGCTCGTACGGAGGTACTCCGGAGCAACCCCCATCTTGCCCCATCTCTCAAATGTACGGACCCTTGATGCGATCTCGCTCCGAGGCAAATCGAAGTGCGGGAGGGGAACAAAGTAGTTGGGGCGTTGGTAGGTTTTCCGGGGAGCAGCGCTATATCCATTGCTAGTTTCGTCAAATTGAGTCGGTGAAAACCGTTTTAACTTGCTGCCCGAATTTCTGTTTGGAGGCCCAACCGTGCATAATTAATTGCAAAGGGCCATCACTGAGAACATGATGTCCGGTCTACGAGGAAGTCAATTGGACTTCTGCTGGCGTCCTGTTGATGCGACCTTGCAGTGAGAATGCAAGCACCGAAGTTTCCCTGCAGACGATGTGCATGAGACCCTGCCTTCTTCAGGATGAGGAGGGCTGCCGGAGTGGTGAGTGTGGCAGCGCGGGCGCTAGAGAACACCATGCGGTATCTTGCATGTCGCAGCCGGCCTGGACCTGGACCTGGCCTTGGATCAGTGTTGAATTCATGCTTAAATTGACCGAATAGGAGCCCCGAGTCGAGCGGATGTCCCACTTCTGGGAGAGCTGACAGGCGAGAACAGGTCGCCACGAGTGTTCCTCTCGGTTAAGGAAGGATCCGCAGTGTCAGTTGGCTAACCCTAACAAGAAGGGCCCGTCCTAAGGTCAGTCGTTTAGTTCTCTAGGCGGAGCGGCGACGGCTTGGGACTCTAGCAGGGACTGTTGACTCTTTTTGGCGTGTAAGGGTAGTCAGTACATCGTATACAGCCTGGCCTCCACTTCCCCCAGTGGATGGGTTTGTGGGGAGAACCGCGAGCCAGAAACGGGCACTCGTGTCACTGTCACTGGGGTTCGAGCTGCAAGCCTGCAGTTCCTCGTACGGGTCACTGCAGGGACGGCCGCGATAGGACAACCAAGCAGGATCATATGTGAGTGCCCCTGGATGGCAAAAGTTACGGCTGCAAGCACGCGATGATGATGATGGCAAAAGGGGGCTGAGAAAAGAAAGAAAATAAGGAGATTGGGGGGGGAGTTCTTGTGTCACCTGCAATGTCAAGTCGTCAGTAACTCGTAAATGCTGGAAGGTGCTTATCAGCATCAGTGATGGTCCAGTGATCTGCTGACCACCGTTGCCCTTGAGGATCCAGAGTGGAAAATGATAGAGGGACACAGAATCAGGATCGGGTGGTGTTGGAGGAATGCACGTGGCTTGGCAGCAGTAGCAACGGGAAGGAACAGGTCTCCAGTCTCCACCCGGACGGTGCACCAGTCCCAAATGGACCTCGGGTAACGCCGACCCAGTAGCCTTTAGGCTTTATCTGGTATCGATACCGAGGCCACCGATAAGATACGGTCTTTACAGGGGTGGCTGCCTGGGTGCCCCTCCAAGCCGGTCCTTAGGCTCTCCCATTGCAGTGACCACCAGGTGATTTCCCCCTCTCTCTCACCACCAGACTAACCTTTACCTTGCCAGACCTGACCTTTTACAGGTACTCCGTACGGATACAATGGTACTCCGTGCAGATGCATAGGAAACCTACAGCCGATGCCCTAGTAACGACCACGCAGGACGGGTAGCTCTACTGTACTTTACTACTCCGTACTGGTGACCACGGTGCCACCCACATCCACCCACATCCACCTCCACTTCCCATCCTCTCGCATCCCCCCAGTCCATGTCTTGCGTGTCGTATCTTGGATCGGCTCATGGTCTTTGCTCCGTTGGACTTGTAATTCAATTCGTCTTGGACTCTTGGACCGAAGTCTTTCCACCACCTTCAACCCTGTTGTCGCCGGTCCTTCCTCCCCAAAAACTTGGTCACCCTTCCGTCGCCTGACCTCATCGTGTGAACCTCCTTCTACAACACCACCGACCTAATCAATCTGTGTGAATTAGCAGATCTCCCATTTTGTTGTCGTCCGCACCTTCCTTGAGGTGGTGAGGGGCTGCCTCGTGCTTGCCCGTCCTGTACTGCATCGGTATCACTTGCACCTGCACATTCGACCATCCGACCGCCCACGGAAGGTGCACACGAACACCATGGAGTCCATTACCACCACAATGACCTCGACATCTCAATCTCAATCTCAGCCATCACAACTTGATTCTCCTAGGCCAATGACTCCCTCCAGTCCGCTCATCGAGGCCACCACTGCCTTCGACCAACCCCATCCGGTGAAACTCAACCGTCGGCATAGATTATTGCAAGGCCTGCAGCGCATGTCATCCTCTCCATCCTTGGTCAAGCTGGGCCGGACTCGTTCCAGCGAGAAGGTCTACAAGTCCAGCCAGAAGGCCTCGATCTCATGCGTCTCCCTCAACTCTCCTGCCTCTACCTATTCCTTGTCCCCTCATGTCTCCTACACCTTCTCCAATGGCTTCTCAACCGCTCCTACAACCCCCGGTTCACCGGGCAGTCAGCAGTCTTACTTCGAGGCAAATTCGAGATTACGACCCTTAGACCCTAACGATATCACCAGCGTCCCCATCCCTATGGACGTTCGGTCCTCCAAACCTCTTTCCAGCCCTCTCCCCGAGATCTCTGAGAAACCATTCCCACGAAGACCCAATTTCAACTTTTGGAAGGATATGCCTCATGAAGTCCGCATACAAATTCTCTCCTTCCTCTCGCCAAAAGACATCATCAGAGTCTCCGCAGTCTCGACAGAGTGGCATGAAATGTGTTTTGATGGTCAACTATGGACAAGTCTTGACTGCCAGACATATTATCAACAGATTACCTCTGATGCACTCATCAAGATCATGCTCAAAGCCGGTGCATTTGTCAAGAATCTAAATCTACGTGGCTGCGTGCAATTGAGAGACCAATGGCTGAGTTTGGGCACGAGAATGACGAATCAAGAGTGCAGGAATCTCGAAAACTTTAGCATTGAAGGTTGTAAGATCGAAAGGTCATCCATCCACTTTTTCCTCCTGCGGAATCCTAAGCTTCTTCATATCAACATGCCCAGTATGCAGAACATCAACAACGCAACCATGAAGATCATTGCCACTTACTGTCCCCAACTCGAGCTGTTGAACATCGACTGGTGCTCGCAAATCGATTCAAGGGGTCTTAAGAGAGTCATTCAATCATGTTCAAACCTGCGAGACCTTCGCGCTTCCGAAGTCAGAGGCCTAGACGATAATGATTTTATGCTAGAACTCTTCCATCGAAATACCTTGGAGAGACTGATTCTTCAACACTGTGATAGTTTAACCGATAACGCTTTGCAGATTTTAATGCACGGTATCGAGCCTGAAAGAGATTTGCTCACAGATCGACCTGTCGTTCCCCCCAGGAGATTGAGGCATCTCGATATTTCAAGATGTCGAAGCCTCACAGATAGAGGTCTTCAGGCCCTGGCCCATAATGTCCCATATCTGGAAGGTTTCCGTCTGTGCCAAAACACCGCTTTAACCGATGATGCGTTGGAAGAGCTACTGCAGACCACCGATCGTTTGACTCACTTGGAAGTAGAGGAGCTTGAGAATCTGACAAATGCAACGCTGATCACTCTCTCCAAATCCAACGCGGCAAAGACTCTGGAGCACCTGAGCATTTCGTACTGTGAGCAGATGGGCGATATCGGAGTACTACCGCTTCTCAAAGCTTGTCCTGAGATCCAATCCCTTTATCTGGATAATACTAGAATCTCAGATCTAGTCCTTATGGAGGCGTCCGAACAAGTACGCAACCGTGGAAGCACGACGAAGAAGTCTCAAATCCCTAGAAAGGGCCTGGAGCTCGTGGCTTTCGATTGTGCGAATGTTACCTGGGCAGGCGTGAGGGAAATACTTCAAGGCAATGGCCGGGTCATGCAAGGACGTAAGAAATCAGTCGTTCAGACCCAAAATTTCGTCGGAGAAAATGGTGAACGAGAAGAGTCCAGACGGGTCATTGAAATCCAGACATTACTTTATCCCACACAAGTCATCCATCTCAAAGCTTTCTATGGCTGGCAACAGACCGTTGAGGAACACTACAAGAGATGTACGACGGGTAGGTGGGGTGCAGCTGCCCGACTGGAGTCCAAATGGGCAGAATGGATGGTGGCTAGCGAAGAAGTTGGTGGCCTTGGCCATGGCTGGAGCTCCAGACGCAGACGGAGAAGAGCCAGGGAAGCTGAAACCAGGGTCAGAGACGACGAGGATGGTAATGTCCAGGATACCGGCACTGGTGATGACGATGGTAGTGGTATGGAATTTGTGACCGGCAGAGTGCCTCGTGGAGGGCGCCGACGAGCTCGGAGCGGAGGTTGCATGGTGATGTAAAACGCACTTTTGTCCTTTTGAAATCTCCTCTTGGGCTTGCAGAGGCTGGAGTTGCAGGGCATGCATTTGTGCTGCTCTCAGTGCAGACACGGAGGTGTTGGTTATCTTCATGCAACGGCATTATGACACTGGTATCTTGGGAGAGGTGGACAACGGAACGGTCTGGCGTATGGGCATTCACCCCTTAGGTTTGGTATAACGTCATCTCAACCTGGACAGAATGATTTACGAGCGTACGAAGTCAAACTTATTGCTATGAGAGCGGAGCTTAAGACCAAGTGGCCAACGGTTTGAACGTTTGGCAATCAGTGTCCATGAAACTTCGATGTTGCACATTTTGAAGCCCGGCAGGCTTCATATGTTTAGATAGATTGGTCATGTTGGAGCTCTCTTCCACATCAACCAAAGGTCTCTAGTCCCATTTTCATCATGACTTCCCAACTTCTCATGTTCTGCTAGTTGTGAGCTTCAGTTTCAAGACTTTCCCAAGGCTGATATGCGGACCGGGTCATTGCCAGGGGCATTTTGCATCGATGTATAGAGTTGGCTTGAAAACAGGTATCACGTACATGGAATTCCAAGCATGCTTTGTCAAGCTAGCATCCACTTGATCCTATTCGACTATGCATGGCTCGATTATGCGTTCTGACGCCGGGATAGGACCAGACTACGATCAATTGTACTGCAAACCAAAGAACCTCCCGAGACGAGCCAAGGGTCCACCAGTCAAGGTATGTGATACGGGAGGCCACCGTCTTTGATCAGTACTTGTAAACGGTCTTCTCAAACCGCTCAGAGACGTCAAGCACCTCTTTATCCATGAACGGAAGAACACTGGTGAGTATCAAGCCGAGTTTCCCACTCGAGGGATCCACCCAGTAGTAATGGTTGCTTATCCCCGCCCAGGCACCACTGCCAGCCTTGCGTCCGCCGGGGACATCGTCGAGATTGTACATCAGCGCCGCGGTCCAGCCCTTGCGCACGCCCGGCAGCAACTCGCCGTCGTTTGTGAGAAATGGGACCGTGCCCTTCAGAACCCCGACATCGCTCGACCCTGCAGGCCCAATGACCTGCGGGATCTGGTCCGTAAAGAGATAATCCTTGACCGTCTCGGGCTTGAGGATCTGCGCATGAGACACGGGGTCCGTCCCGCCGTTCAGCACCGAGAGCAGGATCGCCGCGTACTCCTCCGCCGTCGAGATGAGATAGTGCCCGCCCCAGCTCTGCAGAGGGGCGTCCTGGGGGCTCTTCTCTTCCACCTGCTCGGGCAGCACGACCAGCGTCCCGTCCGGCGTGCGGAAGTGGATGGCCGTCTCTGACTTGAAATGCCACGGCCCACCTGTGTGCTTTAATTTCAGCGGCTGGAAAATGTTCGCCCGGAAATACTCGTCGATGTTTTGGCCCGTGATCGCCTCGACGACCCAGGCCACCCACTCGATGTTCAAGCCGTACGCCCACCTCGTGCCAGCGTCGAAGACGAAGGGCGGGCGGACGTCGGAGGTCTTGCGCCCGGTGCGCTTGATCCCTTGCGTGCGCTCGCGCCACTCGAAATAGCGCTTTAAATCTGCGTCGAGCCACTCGTAGCCTGAGCCCGACGTGTGCGTGAGCAGGTGCCGGATCGTGGCTTTTGTTTTCGGGGCGCGGAGGATCGGCTCCGCCTCGTCACCGTCGCCGGTCCAGCCTGTCAGCTGCTGCATTTCCCCGTACTCGGGCACATATTTCTCGACGGGGTCGTCGAGGCTTGCGATCTTGCCGGACTCTAGGAGTTGGAGCGCCGCGATGGAGGTCACGAGTTTGGTCAATGACCAGATCAAGACCGGGGTCGAGGGCGTGATCCGCGGAGATGAATCGTCGTTGATGTCTGTGGCCGATCCGTAGGCGCCTTTGTAGAGGACCTTGCCCTGCTTGTCGAGTGCGATGGCTACAATGCCCGGTACACGTTTTGCTTCGGTGGCTGTCTGCAGGAGCTGGTTGACTTCGCTTTCGAGCGACATGATGGATTTCCTTTTTAGGCAGCTTCTTGGAGTGGTGTAGATTGCTTCAGAGACGAGAATGCTTCTTCCAGGGGACGTCATCAGGGTTCGGAGTGTGGCAGCACTACATATACAGAACACAAGCTCATTATTATGGAGAACTAGCGCCACATCTCCCGGTTTGCAATCGGGGCCAATGTGACCTTCGCTGGGTACCTAGGTAGTCAATGGTTGGCATAGGAGTCTGGCCACTACGGAATGGTCAGGTGGGTGTCAACACGCGGCTGGCCCTTGGCTAAGACGAGCAGGACCCATATTGAGGCATTGTTCAAATGTACAGCACAGAACTTTGCTGTTCCCTGACCATCCAGGGTTCCCGGAACGAGGCAGCGGTCAAGGAGGCGAGTGTCCGTGTTGTAGACTTGGAATGATACTCACCCGTTTGGAAGGGGTGGTGTAGTCAGCTCTACTTCTCCCGTTAATGTTGGTGGCAACGCTGACTTACAGTAATACCACCGTGGCTATCATTTACTCCGGAAACGTGGAGCATGATGGGTGTGAGACCGCCTTCGCTCTCGCTTCTTGGGACCCTGCATTCGTCTTTCGGCACATCTCTGCGGAACGAGGTATTTGCTTTACTAAGCGACTTCACCGAGCACCGATTACCGTGTATCTTGTGCAAAGCTGACAACTCAGGGACAATAGGCTTTGGGAAACCCGCACTTGACTAACTGGTTGTTGTCATCTACGCGCACGTTTAAGGCCACCCTACCATAGGTATGATACTCTGGGAGAGGAGCGAGAAATGCCAAACCAATCACACATCTATGTGGGTCCTGCCGATGCTGACTGACCAAGAGAATATCTTAGAGAAACCTAGTGAGCCCAGAGTGAAACCCTAGGAATCCCAAATCCGATGCCTACATCATATATTAGCTCAGTTCCACACTACAGAAATCCTCGAGGAAACCGCTGACCAACAGCTACTCCTCCACATCTAGCCTCGTGGACAGAGCGAATTCCCAACCACGCAGAATTTGGCCATTATTGATACTCGAATATCTGGCCCACAAGCTCCTCGGTCAACTTCCACAGCTTCTTTGCGTCACGGGAGCTAATAGCATAGGCCTGTAGTTCATCCAGGTCGGCGGGTTCCACGTCCGACAGAAACCTGCCGTTATATTCTGTGAAAGACCGCGGTTAGCACCCGGATCAAACGAATCTATGGCCGCCACGAAGGGAGGAGGAAATGCAGACACTACTGACCTTTCAGACTTGGGTCGAAAGCCGCTCGAATGTGTGTTGCGACGCCTTGACTGGGCGTCTTCACGGGGAACTCGGTCCAGTCACCCTGGTAGTTTCCAAGTACCTTGTCCAACGCATCTGCGAAACGTTAGTTAGAATACGCTATGGCTCAGTGCAATGGGTGATGTAGGTGGACTGCGATGTCCCCTCATGGCGCCGGGCAGGGCATGGCAACTTACTCATACCAGCGAAATCCTTCTCCCAGTCCAGGTGAGTTCCAAGGTTGGTGATAATCACGCCTGGATGAAGGCTCAGCGCCACCAATCCCTTGTCGCCGAGCTTCTCGGCCAATGACATCGCCATCAGCATGTTGGCGGTCTTCGCTTGTCCGTACGCGCGCCATTTGTTGTATGTCTTGCCCTCCTATAGCATGGCATATCAGAAACCTGCTCTGCGCAAAGGGTAATTAACCTCGCCTGAGACGCCGACATACCTTGAAACCAACATCATGGAACCGAATGGGACTCATCCTGAACCCATCACTGGAGATATTGACAATCCTGGGCGCCGGCGACGCCAGAATCTTGTCCATAATCAAATTCGTAAACAGCCACGGCGCGACGTGATTCGTGCCGAACTGATTCTCAAACCCGTCCGCTGTCGTGGCATACTCCGTCGCCATGATGCCGGCATTGTTGACCAGAACATCAATCGACTCCTGGTAATCATTGACCACGGCGGCTGCCTCACGGACCTTCGCCAGCGAGCCAAGATCGAGCTCGAGGATCCTCGTCTCCACGCTGCCGTTCGTGATCTCGGCGATCTTCTTCGCGGTCGCTTCTCCCTTGGATTTGTTCCGTCCTGCGAGGATCAGCAGCTTGGGCTGTGCCACGGCGATGTGTTCGACGAAGTAGGCTCCTAGCCCACCGGGCGACACGCCTGTCGTCAGGATGACTTTCCCGGCGATGGAGGCTTTCAGGTCGGAAATCACCTCTTCGGCTGTTGTCTCGAACCTGTATGGCGCTGGCATAGTGGTTGATGATGATGGGTTTTTCGTCAAGTTGGAAATGATGTGCTGGAAAGACTAACTAGTAATTACTCGTAAGTCTGATCTTGCGAGGACATGTACGCAGGTACTGAAGAGTGTTTGAACAATCCAACGACCTCCAGCCAAGGGGGGCACCATCCGGGGTTCTTATACCACTCTCCATCCCGCTACTTGGCAATAGCTGGATATAAAGACGATCTTGTTTTGCATTCTCCATAAATTCGGAGCCAAGGTGCAAGGAGGCGGCGCCTCGTAGTCCCCACGGGTGATGAGAACCATCCGTAATTCCTCCGCGAACTGAATCGACTGCGTCTCCCATATAGCCTGCCAATTACGCGGTTCATTATTTGCTCAACACGACCTGGCGCCGCGGAGTGACGAGCATTATGACCGACTGACTACTCGGTAGTATGGGTTAGCCATGGCAAGGCTGCAGAAACTGGACCGGAGAGAGAGGGGCTTATTACGCCGCGGGGCAACATTGAGTCGCTGACTCAGATGTGCGCCGGAATCCTCCCCTCCCACAACGGTGTGCGGCCGCACATCGCTTGCAGATCAGTGCGAGCATGGCTCGGTGGTAGCGGTGATAGCTGTTGGACGCGGGCTGTGGTGCGCGCGCTATTCACACAACCGATTAACCCCAGCCAGTTAATCCTCGGACGTCTGTGCTAATTACTATATCTGCTACGTCCGTAGCAGTAACTACCAAAGTTCTTGAATTACCAGCTAGTTAGTGACAGCCTTTCAAGGTAAGCCTCATGTCGTGTTGTCATAAACGAAGATGTTCATTATTCTGGGGTTCTATGCCACCGCAACTGAGGCAAAGGCTCGGGCTATGAAATCACATCCATGCTGTGAGTCCTCGCCGATGAATACTCAGGTTGGTAGTCTTGTATCCTCACGAAGAATCCAGGTGCATGGGTTGCTCCTGAGTCGATAGAGGTTCCGGCTTCAGAAGGACGAACTGTCCGATGCTCAGTACTAGTAGCTGTAGGAGTCTAAGTGCTCTGAATTCCACTGATCAAGATCTTGCCCTGCCATAACTTGAAATATCAGCCACCTGATCATCGGTAAACCATTATCTATCTATATCTCCAACCACCACAAATTCCAACTTTGCTAGAGCTTGAGGCTCTGCAACTTGTTACCAGTAGTTTCATCATCATCCTTCTCACACGCGTCCGCCGCATTGGTACTCCAAACTGGATAATCGACATAACCCTCTGGGCCAGGCGTATAGAAAGTCTTCATATTCCAGGGCGCCAGGTCCCACCCGTTACGGAGCCTCTCGACCAGATCAGGATTACTGATGAACTGGCGCCCAAACACAACTCCGTCGAGATCACCTCTCTCCAACGGCTCGACCCAATTAGTCGCATCGAAGCCTCCGCTCGAGAGCATGGGCGTCTTCTTCAGCGCCTTGCGAAATGGTCGGATGGACACCACGTATTCAAGTTGATCTTCGGGTACGCCGCGGGCTCTCGCGATCTCGTAAGTACTGGCCAGGCGCGCGGCGGCTGAGCCCATCATTTCGGTGCGCGGCTGCATTACCGTCACGTACGCGAGGCCGAAGCCGTCGATCTTCTTCAGCAGCCAGGTGAAGTCGGTGACTGGATCTGGGTGGCTCTCTGGGATCTGGAAATAATTATAAGGCGAGAGCCGGATGCCTACTCGGTCTGCGCGAATGGCAGAGGTGACAGCGTCCAGGATTTCGAGTGTGAGGCGTGCCCGGTTTTCAATGGGGCTGCCGCCGTATGCATCTTTTCGGCTGTTGTTGACGCCTGGGCTGAGGAACTGTTCGAGAAGATAGCCATTTGCTCCTTGCTGGAAGTTTCAAAAGGGAAACCCAGGCCCGACGGTCAGTCAATGTCCCACCTACCGAGCCGGGTCTTGGAGACAACTTACAATTTCCACACCGTCGAACCCCGCCTCGATCGCACATTTCGCAGAATGGACATGGTCAGCAATTGTGTCTTTGATGTCCTCCATTGTCATTTCTCTCGGCTCTTCACACGGCACACGCCCGACAGGAGTGAATAGCTGTGTCCAGTCTAGCTTGACTGAGGATGGACCGAGGGGTTGGCGGCCGCCCAGGCAAGCAGAGACGGCGACACGGCCGGTCTAAGGGAGATAGGTAAGTGTCAGACGCAGGTCGCCAAGTATGCTTCACAAAGGCTCCGACCTACATGCCAGATCTGGCAAAACATGTACCCTCCTCTGGCATGGACGGCATCGGTGATCTTCTTCCATGCACGAATATGTTCAGGTGAATACATTGAAGGGACCCCATGATAGTTTCCTCCCTAAATCAGGGCCGATGCATCAATTAGCTTTGCTGATCGTCAAATGGAGAGGGTAGGGGAGCATAAACTGACCATGAGTGATGGGTGAATCCCTTCCGATATTATCAAGCCCCCTTGTGTTACCCGTTGGCAGTAATACTCACTGCTGAGAGCGGTAGGTAGGCCTGCTGGACTTCGAGCTCTGGTAAGAGGCGACATGACCACTCGGTGTGCGAGTTGGAGTCTTCCAATCTGGAGAGGCTGCCATATTTTGCTTGGAGCCTCCCCGTTAGTCGCGATGGGGTTCATAGTCATGATGATGAGGTAGCAGTGATGTGTCTGCGAAGACTTGGAAAGAAAGTAATTATTGACTTTCCATCATTCGAGGCTCTGAGCATTCCATTCGGGCCTTTTATACCAAAATCCATCTGTTGAGTATATCTGTCCTTCGTAAGGCATTCCACCATGATGTCCGAGGTCTGGATTTTGCTTCTGAAGCAACGGACCAATTCGATTAGTAGACAGAGCCTGACTTGACTGACTTAGATACTTGACTTGCCCAATTTGGGGCTAAGAGTGACAGAAGTCATTGCAAGATCAGTAATCATCTCGACTTTTATGTGAGGGTGGGCCCGATTCTCCTTGCCGAGCTGCTGCTCTTTCTCAACAAATTGTGAGCTCGAAATCCTGCATGAATGGAAACTAATCCAAAGATTCAACTCTCCTGAATGGACAAAGGTACAGCACGAGTGACTTCTGGTTAGAGCGGCGTATCAATAGTTTTCATGGTGCTCAACGTGAAGTTGAAGGATTTGCCTAGACAAGGCACAGACAGTGGACATGATTCGTGTCACGTATATCGTACGTGAGTAGCTCGGCGGTCGGTGGTACAAACAGACACAGACGACTCTTCCCACGATTGGTCGTGTGAATTTGTTGAATGTTGAGGGTGGATAGTATGCACAATGGGATGAGCGGCTTGTTCCAATGTTGCCTACCCGCTGCGATGTCTTCAGGCTGTGTGTTCTCTGCTGTCAGAGGACGAGTCCAGATCATGGAGGTATCTAGGCTCAGTAGAGGACAGTAAACCGTGTCATATATTGATTACTTACATAAAGCCAGGTGTCTTTCGCTCATTCAAGTCTAGAATTTGGACTGATGAAACGTGCATCTCGCGGTCAGGGGTGTATGGGCATCGGAGAAAGGCACTCTGAAGAACTTAAATGATTAAGTTGTAACATTGGAGTAATTCTGTATCTCGTGTTGGGTACTAGATTCGATTGACTGCGAATTCAAGGCCGAGGATGCTCGTCTCCGTGATAGACTCTGGAATTGAACCTGAAGAGGTGTACAAGTGGCTGATATTAGACCCACAAAACCTTTGCGGCCATCTGCATTTCTATAGTTGGTTTATCCCATGCTCAATTCACTTGCTGTTTTGTGTCTGGGTGTCCATCCATGCCTTCCAGAGGGGGTTCGTCGAATAAGGGAACTTTGAGAGGTATGTAACTCGTGAAACTTGCTGATTAACACTGCAAATGCTGAGGCTGGGCGATGGTCTCCGTTCTAGAAAGGAGTTAGTGCTGTAGCTGGGTTGAAGGTCCAAGATGATTATTATAACACATACAGCAATTCTCCAGTGAAGTTGCTTCCAGCTACTACTCATCATCCTCAAACAAAGCCTTCAGGATGGCTTTGCCTTCTTGAATATCGTCAAGATCGTAGGATTTGTGGCCAGAACACAACAAGATTTCAGTGAAGTTTCAAAAGCCCGGTGCACGCACCATCTAATTTTGAGACATTGGTTTGGTGAGTTTTGGTTTAGTGTCGGCCTGAGGGCTTCCCTGGTTTTGGGTGCCTTAAGATTCCGGCATGGCTGCAGTGATAGTATGATAATTTGAGAGCAGGGAATGTAGACTGAGCGTATGAGTAGGAGGATGGTTGGGAAGAAAGGTAACTAGTCGGTCTCAGGCTATGAGTTGTTGCTTTTGTGAGCTTTGGGAGTGGCTGGCTCTATCTCTGTCAGAGGGAAGCACAATCGATCCGGCGCGAGAGAGTCTTGGTGCAAATAGACCGGG